TTATAATCGATAATTATGTCTTAATTACTACTAATAGCCTTAAGGACTTTCGCGGCACCACTAGTTCGAACGTCCCAAACCTAATACACTAAATATGGAAAACTAGCGACTTTTATACATATCCTTTAAGACCGTTACACGAAGCTTAGGCCGACACCTTTACTAAGAAGGGTTATAAAGTAAGATTCTAGACCGACGACGACGTAATAAATCTTATCGAAACAAATTATACCTGGTTAACTTTAGCATATAACGGCTATAGCCAAAATATTCAACGAGCAGATATAGCTCGACTAGTGGTAATATACGCGTAGGGAGGAATATACGCGGATTTAAACGTACATCTAATATTAGTAACAGATATTCAGTGTTTATAACACCGTGCATTACAAGCTATATTTAGCTCTACGGCGGGAAATTCTGGGCTTAGTAATCATTTCTTTATGGCCAAATAAGGATGGCTATTCCTTTACTAAACACTTTACATAGCCGAAGAACGTAGCGGCCCGGCATCGAAACAAATTTTCTTACCCTATTTGGAAGTTTTTTGGTCCATAGGACCGATGATAGTAACCTCGTCATTCCGGCAGTATACGAAGATCCATAGAACCTCAAAACCTAAAGTGGCGTTATTAGAGGAGCATTACGCAAAATCGGTTGTTAGGCATGTTATTAAACGGTCATGGCACGGCTTAAATGGACGTCTTCTAAATGCGTTAGCAGATTATATGCGCATAAAACATCTATGGATTAGCATATTTCTGCTTGTTATTATGCTTAGCCTTATCTATTTCATCACACATCGTGGTTATACGTCTAGAACAGGGTGTGGGAATTTATATATATCTATTTACCGACGCCTCTAACAGATAGATGTACATGCTTAGTCATATATGTCTGGATAGATAGATAGATGTAGCCTAGATGTAAATATAAATAGAATCGATAGAATGCTATTTACTTGTCAAGTCTTAGCAAGTAAATTGACCGGCGAGAAGATTTAGCAGTTAGGAAAAAGAAAGTTTTTCCTTTTTTTCCCGAGGTAAGTGGGGGATAGGCTACTAATACCTCTCAGACATCGGCATAGATTGGTATGTAAAGGTATCTATACATGAGACTCTTATAATACGCGTCTATCTACATTTCACCTATGTAGTATAGGGTTAAGTAAATAGATAGATGATTCACCTAAGCCCTTAGTAGATAGAGTAGCATACCCCTAAATTACATTCTTTGATCGTCATCCCGTGCGTTGTTTAATCGGTCACCGAGTCTCGACAACCAACGGTGAGCGACGAGTAATAGTGGAAAGATGACGCCGAAGTATTCATGGGTCTACTAAGACGAGAATCACGAGTCCACTTAGGCATAACATCATATACAACGAACTTGGATTAGTCTTAAGTGATCCGAGTAGGAACAGAGTATAACAATGGGAAAGTGGATTATATTTGACTGCTTGTTTTCCTTACATGGCAATAATATCAGAACTATTAGCAAAATCATTTCACATTTCCCTCCTAAAATACTTTACGATAAAAGAACGTCTAGTATGTCGTTACGCTATCCTTCGATCTTTCGAATCTACTACTCCCGAGTCTTAGCTCGGCGCATCGATCGATTGGGCCGCGAATAAAAGAGATCCCCGTCGGAACCAATCCTGCCAAATCAAACAATGGCGGCTAAATTCGATGTTCCCTCTATGCTTCGCAATTAGAGAAAAGTAAAGACACGAACTACCCCAAACTCGCGATGAACTTACGCCGAGACTTACATTAAATATGGGATAATTACTGCCCTCAAAATAATAAACACCTGATTATACTTCTGCTCTAGCCGAATTGTGCTAAAAACGCACCCATGTGTCTACGTGTATTTAAAACTAATATACTGTGACATTAGCTAGGCCGTTTTCTAATGTCAACTTCTCATTTTAAAATAAGATTATCTAAAAAAGGCGGCTGTAATGGCGGGGTGCCGGTAGATCTGCTAGGTCATAATCGACTAAGATTACAGTGAATATGCGATTGTCCGTCTTATCAGGCTTGTAGCGAAGTCACGCCAGTATGAACTCGGCAGTTTGTCGTTCTATAATGTGATAGCCCAAAAAACTGAATGGTGACTTAAAAACTAAGGAGTCACGCTCGCGCACGACTTGAAAACTGGACGCTTAGAATACGAGTAAGAATAAGTCGAGGATTTGCTTGACCAGGTATAAGAGCTGGTGACTTGGCGTGGCTTTGTACCTACTTAGTTCAGGCTCGAATAGGCTTGTATTCTAAGTGGCCGGTTTTTTCGGTCGCACCGGGGCGGTTATTCTCCCGTAATCTCGCTAATATAGAACTTTATAGATTAGGCTAGTTCTTCAAGAATAAGGAACCACGAACCTATGTTTCACCCTGTTACAATACCCACAGCGGGGCTGTGTGTTATAACAGGTATATAGACAGATCTCTCTAATCTGTACTTAGAATAACTTGGAAGACAAGACATATTACAAGCCCATATCAACTTTACAGTTCGTGACGTTATAGGCTTGTTGTCTTACACTATCGTTATCAGCTCTCACAGCTTAGTGCTATCCGCACCTATACTCTCACATTACCTTTTTTATACGACGAAAACGACCTAGTCGGCTTATAGTTATAAATAATTGTGTTTATAAGGTAAATAACGCTTCCTCCGCGTCGGTATCCTTTACTTTTAGTTTACGTTATTAAACGAATAGTCGTATAAGCGAAGAAGTTACGAAGGTTCCATTATAAGATCGACTAATACGGATATACTCCGTATAACGAGAAAACTTCTTATCCATTTTACACGCTAGGTTTTGGCGAAAGCACTTAGTACACGGCATCTCGGTAATTAAACTAGATGATTCGATAGTAGCGGCTAAAGCAAGACGATTTAGCGTTTTGCGTATTTCGGTTTTTTAATTCGACTTAACATGATAAGCATGTATTATAAAGACATAAACTATAGGAGGAAAACCTACCAAACTAACAAGGGCGCCATAACGACTTACTTATATGACCAAGTTTTAAATGGCTAAGACTAAGAGAGGGAGGACCTAATGTTACGAACGCAGGCCATGTATACGACCTAAAGTAATATAGCTGCGGATACGCCATGTAGAGACAGCTAGAGCCTTAAACGGGCATGAGACAAGAAGTCCCTAGGTTACGTAACGATCATTAGATCACTACTAAGGATAGTGAGCCATATTATAAGGATCACTTAAGATCACGGTGAGCTAACCGTAAGTCTCACTCACTAGGACAAGTGAGCCAGGGCATTAATAAAGGAATAAATGGATATAATAAGGATTAGATTTCTTACTCTATATAGATAGTTATTACTTCAATGATTAATCTAAGCATTTATCTTACTTATAAGTGAAGCTAAAGCTTTAACGACTACACTTGTAAATCTCTATTACTTAATATCTCTGAAAGTCTATCTTTGTAGTCTTCTCTTACGGCTAGCATATCTTGTTAGTATAAACCCCTTGCATTATATTATTTATAGTTATATAACCCGATAGTATAATTGTCACAGGGTCATGGCGGCTGTACAATGAATTATTCACGTACACCTTTATATAATCTTGTTAAAGTAAAATATATAAGTTGCGCACATATCCCAGGTTACCACAGCCGTTATATACGAAATGATCATGTGGTGTTACTAGTATCGTGAACAAGACGCGATGTTGCTAATCCGCGGACCCCTTGATATAAAACTAACCTCGCTTTGATTGCCAAATCACGTGACACATTGAAGATGTTCGAGTTTTTGTTTCGTCAGTTGTACTTGTAAGCTCTGGCAGTCGGCTCCGCATTCTGGAATTAGACAGAGATATATGACACGGCTCTACAATGACCAAGCTCTTTCAATTCATCCAAACAATCATGGAAGCCCAGAAGTGTATCAAATATATCACACTTATGGGTCAAGTGATCATTAGCACAGATTTTGATCCGAGTTATTCTCAAATATTAGATGGGGTTCCTCATCTTCGTTGCACAAGTTCTACCTCACCGGCTACCCAATTCCGAACACCTTGTATAGAGTATGTTAACGACAGGTGTTTCTTCTTCTGGGTTCACTTCGGTCCCTGCCCAATCAAAGCGTACGCGGAGAAGTGCGGCAAAATCGCGACAAGGCTGTGGAAGGTGCAAAGTTAGAAGGGTCAGTGCTGGGGACTGTATTCGAATTGTCTTGTTTACACTGCTGACTTTGAAAGATCAAATGTGATGAGAACCGGCCGGCCTGTCATAACTGTTCGAGGGTTGGATATCAATGTCCGGGATTTGAGCAGCAACTGCGCTGGTCAAAGAAGCATCAGCCATCACGAATAGTGCCAGTCGCCGAAAGAAATGTCGCAGAGTCTGATGAGCATAATCAAAACAGTTCACAAGGTCAATCAATAAGTCTTATTGCTTCCCCGTATGCTTCATCTGCCGATACCAACTCATCAACTATTGATGCGAGTCATGACTGGCTCGACATGCACTCACCAATTAGACTCGCTGAGGACATCCACGTGGACACGCAACCGGAAAACAGTGTTGTATAAGAGCCGGAAGCGTATGTCCAAGATTTTGCACCTTCTGAACCGCGATATGATACATTCTCGCCCTCGACTGGAACCCTGCAGGGATTAGCCCATTTGCCGACTACGTCAATAGAGTACTGGGCCAGGTACGTTTGTCCCATGCGGTCCACATTTGACTCCGATATCAACTATAATCGTCAACTGGCTCGGAACACCTGGAGCACGTCGGAGGCCGTCTTCTATACTATGCAAGTCATGTCAGCCGCCTGTCTTGTGGGCAGCACACCACAACTGAATGAGATTCTGCCATCACTTAGCGCCCAAGCTGTCGCGGCCATTGATCGAGGAGTTTCACACACAACCGCTTTAAACCCTTCCAAAATCACAGCTGATTTTGTGTTTGCTGTATTCTCAATGGGCACGTCTTTACACTGGTCTAGCAATGTCTATTGCGCCCATCTCTGGTCAGAGTTGGCCCATTGATTACTTTCAAAATGGCGAGAGGAACTCTCGACCAGCGATGCTCTCATACACGCGTATTTCTGCCAAGCGCTCACATACTGGGAAATACCTCGCCACAGTTGGTCACGGCTCAATTCTCACCAAAGTTGATCGAAAACGCCGCGTTTATCGCGAAAGGCTCCAGCAAGCGTTGAACTTGCGAGACCTTGATCATAACGATACTCTCGACGATATGCATGGTCATGATCTCAGCTTGAGGCTCTTTGGAACTCGCCCCAACTCTTGGTGTGGCGTCTCAAATGAGGTCATTGATATATTCGGACAAGTGCTGGCTCTATGTCACAGCGTTCGCAGCCATGATAGAGATATATCAACATTGACTTTGTCAGTGACTAGCAGTGTACTGTGCGACATTTCTGTCGCACGCGAATTGCAAAGCGAGCTACTGGCTATGGACTTTGGAGTTATCGTTCTTACGGAAGAGTTGGAAGGATACCTTGTGCATACACAAGACGAAAAGACACCGTTATTGCATCTCTTACAAACCGCAGAAGCGTATCGCCAAGCCGCACTTCTGCAACTACACTTGGCGTTTGTTGATTTTAGGTACAACGCCAGTGAATGGGCTTAGTGTTTTGTCATCTTCTGACGCGCTACCTCAGAGTGCAGGCAATGACTCATCTGGCAATCAGCAGTGCCATGCAGAGTTCCTTCTCGCGATAACACTGCGCCTTGTGAGTATTCTTGAGCAGATTCCTGTTGAATCGGGCTCGAGATTTATTCACCCCATGTTATACCTTTCGGTAGCAGCTGGCTCAAGTTTCAAAGCAGTTCAAAATCAGACGAACTTGTTCAAATGTTGGCAGGTCTCATTCAATCGCTGGCATATACAATACGTCAACCTTGGTTCCGCCCACACAACTCGATCAGCTGTTCCATAATGCTGCGCAACTGGTGTCGACAGCAACCACTGACCCTTACCTGTTCGAATTATATGGGGAACCGATTCTGGATAATTTTTATCCAGCAATCTGCATTAGAGGTTTCCAGAGGGCGACGTCTTGTATGCACTCGAGTTACTCAGCTTCAACAAGCCTTACCGCACAGGACTAGTGACAATATGCTACAACTTATCAAAGCCATATGGAAAAAGTATGACGATTGCCAAGTCGATTCAACTCGTGTTCATTGGCTTGATGTCTGGCGGGAGACCGGATTGGGACCGATGTTATGGTAGAGTAGTCACTAGTGAAGAGCGTAGGCGATACATCTTGGAACACTACAGCGGGTTCGTTGTCGTACGTGACAACTCCAACCCCCTCTATAATCGCTGTCCTTAGCGATATTGGTGTATAAATACACTAAAAGTGATTGCTTATAGCACTTTAGGAGACCTTTTCCCAATCCGTACGCTTGCAGTTTAATATGTTTTCAACGGCCTAACGCTGGCCTAACGCTTTGCTTGACTATTTCTCTCGCGCTTGTTCTTGATTGGCGATACTGCCACTTTGCGGCGTTACTACCGTGTTACATCCTAGCCTTTACTTTCTACTTCGTAGGGCCCCTATTCTACGGTGGACTTTCTTTCTTTATGGCCTGGTCTTAGAACCAAATTGATCCCGTGCTGATCCCGAACTGGAACCAAAACTTTCGATCAGCGATACACATCGATGATCGTAAGCGTGAACTTCAGACCCCTCAAGGGGAGCTCATAAAATACGGCGTGTGAATCGAATTTTGAGCTCTTCATTGAGGTATGTTCCAAGCATAGTTGTCAAGCTATGGTCACTGTCACGCTGTCATGCTGCGTAGAAAAGGAGGATGCTCGTGATCGGTTAGTATTCGAGCATCTATCGTGGGCCACACACCTTAGAACACTACAGTAGGTTTGCAGTCGTACTTGACATTAAGAATAACTTGAAATAAATATTATAATTTCTCTTTAATGTCTCATAAATATCTATACCTTCCACTTGCACTATTTACCACTTTTTATGAATGACCTTCAGCAAAGATTTATGTTATCGTATTATCGGTACCAAGTGGTAAACATAACTAAGCATGTGGTGGCAAGAGATGATGAAACTAACTTGAGCTTAACCGGAGGTCCTCCACAAAAAGCCCTTTTTTCATTGCTAGTATTAGGCTTGACAATACCAAAAATGGCAAGGGGATCTTAATAGAAGGTATCGTGAGTAACGAAGGTTGTGAAATGGAGTTACCAAGGGCAACTCTTCTAGAGCTCTGTAGACAATATGACTAAAACACACAGCTAGTTTGCGTCGGCAAAGTTCTGGAATAATGGCACGGCTGCGCAAGACTAGACTAGGTTAGGTCAATGGCGACGAGGCAATTATATCTAGAGTCGCCTCCAGCAACAGCCCTTTTTGTCATCCATACGCATTATTAGACGGAGGCCACTAAGGTATGGGCTTGGTTCTATTGTCAGCTTACACATATAAGTGGTGAGCTGGATGTACTTTCTGAGTCGGCTATGGAATATTTCAGCAATAGCCCATCTCAGCCAGCTTCATTAGCTATTGTCAAGACGGTACGTAGAAGACCCAGGTCCGTGACCCGCGAGTCTGCATATTTGAATGGCATGTGCTAATTGTGTATCAAGTACCACAGGGAGTCAGTGGCGTAGAAACATATTGCATTCCATTATCTCCTTTGAAGAAAACTCCACGAGACGAGCTTTCGCCTTATATTGATCATAGGAAGCCGAACTACCTCGTTATTTCATGCGTATGATTGAACATAACGATGCATTCACTGTAAGTAGCAAGCATCTGTGCAATCGTTTTCTTGCTGAACTCTTCATCTGAACCGTGATAATTGGAGGCCGGTTCATTTATACCATTCGTACGGATCTGTGTATATAATCATTAGTCACTCGTCTACTAGACTAGATTAAGGTCAAAGTTGTGCCCGCCATCGGAGCCCCACAATTTCATCGAATATTGGTATTTTTACTCCAAAGACGTGACTAATGCACTGGATGTAACCCCGACTTCTGTGCCGCTTGACAACTCGTTTTTTATCTCCCATTTCCCTCAATTAATTGTTATCTTGCGTTCCCATGATCCATAGCCGCTGTATATACTCGTTCCACTAGCAGCATGTCGACCACACAAACACAGACTATTTCGTATCCACTCACCCAATTCGGGAGTCACCCAGATAATATCAGTGCATTAATCCCGTCTGATAACACAAGTCTCCGGCAACATGGCGACGGTCTCGTTCGTAAGAGCGCTCGATTGCAACAAGTTCTCATTATTCTACAACTCTTTGTCGTCACTTTCACTGCTAGTATCATCAATGGCCTGGTAATCGTTGGTCTGCCAACCATAACTGAGGACCTCCAGCTGCCGTCGTCCTTGGCCTTTTGGCCTGCCTCGGTCTCTGGCCTGGCGACGGCTTCGACGTTACTCTTGGCTGGTTCGGTTGCTGATTCTATAGGCCCACGATGGGTCGAACTGGTCGGGTGCTTCATGAGCGGCGCTCTTATGATTGGTCAGGGCGTATCCCGGACGGGAGAAGAACTCGTTGCTATGCGTGCAATTCAGGGAGTAGGGGTGGCATTGCATCTGGCTTCTGCCGTATCAATCATAACACAGACATTTGCTCCCGGAAAGGGGAGGAACATGGCGTTCTCCATGCTGGGTCTAAGTCAGCCTGCAGGATTTTCTGTTGGTCTCGTCCTTGGTGGTGTTCTCGTAGACTTGGCGGGTTGGCGGGTTGGCTGGTATATGTCAGGTGGGCTGACATTGGTGTTTGGCGTGATTGGTCTTTGGGCCTTGCCGAAGAGCCAAGATACCCGGAGTGTTGCCCAGATGCTCAGCGATTTGCGTCACAAGAGTGACTGGATTGGTGCTATGCTGGCCTCCACATTCATGGCTCTGCTATGTTATTCGCTCGCGTAAGTGCTACGTTGACCCTGGATTCTGTATGAGACATATGACTAACGAGTGCAACAGTGTTATCAGTGCTGATGTTAATCGCGTCAAGCAAGCCGATTGTATCGTCCTATTGTGTTTGACTGCAGTGGCTTTACCAGCCTTCCTCACGTGGATGCACCGACAGGTCCGCTTGGGTCAACCAGCACTCATTCCCAACTCCCTCTGGAAGAACGCGACATTTTCTAGCATCTGCGCTGCTATAGCTCTGTCATTTGCCGTTATAAACTCCATGGAGCTGTTTGCCAGTCTTTTGTAAGTTATAGTGTTAACAGGAACAACCGAATGCTCAAGCTGACCTTGTCGCCAAGCTTCCAAGAAATTCAGGAGCTCGAAGCGTTACAAGCATCAATTCGTATTCTGCCAAGTCTAGTCGTAGGGATCTTGACAAACCTTGTGGTTGGGGCTGTCGTGCACAAGGTTCCTGCGATTTGGATTGTCACATTCACCTCGATCTTATGCGCTGGTTCGCCTCTTCTCATGGCTGTTATTCAACCATACTGGCCTTATTGGGGCAGCGCCTTCGTCGCTCAGCTGCTACAACCTGTCAGCGGCGATGCTCTCTTCACTGTCGGACTGATTATTATCACTGAAAACTTCTCCGAGGACACACAGGCACTAGCCGGTGCCGTTTTCAATACAGCTGCACAATTTGGAAGTGCTCTAGGCATTGCTATTCTGCAAGTCATCTCAACAATGGTGACCCAGGAGCAGAACACCAAGAAGAAGGAGGAAGCTCTGATGGCTGGATACAGAGCCAGTTTTTGGACAATGTTTGGCTTCATGCTGTTGTGTACAGTGATCGGATTGTTCGGGCTGAGGAGGGCAGGAAGAATCGGGTTGAAGAGGGATTAAAAGCCATACTTTTTACGTATTCGGGGCCGGGTTACCAAAGTTGGGAACCCACTTGCATACAAGCTTAAAGCACGAGAACATGAACTTTGCACAGTCCATATCTCAAAGAGGAAGGGTCTTGCCATGGGGTTGAGACTGATATATTTCAAGGACGCTGATAGGATGTCTCGAGAGGAAATAATCGATGGACTGCCACAGTGGGGTGCTTATATTCTCTTGTTGTTTAGGATACATATTCCTTTGATATTCCGTCGATGCAAAAATAGCGCAGTGGCAACATTCGCTTAAATCCATAAGCGGTGTGCCTTTGTGAAAGACAACAAAGAACAATTCTACGTTGTATCACTTTCCGGAGGAGGAACCTGTCAAAACCAAAACTGTGATTATAATTGAAGATTTGGACATTAACTCAGGGAGAAGAGTAAGCTTTATCACACTTGGGATCATATCTGTAAGAAGCCAATGGACGCAGTCGACGAGATCCAGTTGGCTAGACTAGTCGCCGGTGTCAAACTGAGGTTTGCTGAGGATGCAAGATACTCGTTTGAGCGCTCCCTTGGAATGGGGGCGCAGGGCATTTGTTTCAAACTCAAGCGAAATGACCTCCTGTCTACTGACTTCACATATGTAGCGGTCAAGATCTCGTTTGATATGGGCGAGCTTCAGCGAAATGAGATGTTGGCACTACACGTACGTCGCCGCAATCCCAGCGAGACGGTCTACTACTAATAGTTATAGGATCTCCGAGGAGCTGAGCACATAGTGAAGTTGCTTGCAATCTCAAATGATCCCTTGGCTGGCGCTCCACATCTAACTACCAATTTCACTTGGCTTTATATGGAATGGCTCCCCGGTGGAAGCCTAATGGACTTCATTGCGAAAGCCACCGCAAAAGAGGAGCCATTGCCAAATCGCCTACTTTGGAGGCTCTTCCTTTGCCGTACGTCGTCCTCCCCTTTAATCTCCAAAGCACGACGTGTGAAGGTATCTTGCTGATCGAGGTACGAACAGTAACTCGCATAGTGATTGCATTAGCTTGGCCCGGAGCCCACGACCCTACCATAAACAAATTAGAACAGCTACAGTACGTCCCATCAAGCTTGGTGTATCAAAACGACGATATTCAAGATGGAAATTGTGAGCGAAGGCATCCGCGCGGCACAGTTGCTAGCATTTTACTCACAGTTGTAGTAATTTTCGGGGCTTTGCCCAGTCAAGACACAGAACATCACTTGACGCCGCCTCTGAAAATGATAGACGCTGGTTGTATTGGTATAGTTCGTCCTGAAGAGTGAGTCACGTGACGAGCAGTTGATTATGGCTATCATTGACCAAGACAGTCCCGCAGAATTCAAGGAGGCTGTTAAATCGATGACTGACCAGGTCATCGACGAGGTGAGCGACTCCTCACGCGTTTTGGTGCAGTTTGAAAACTAATAAATGTGCAGATCATGACACTTCTTATAGCAATTGGGCGCGAGGACGACGATGAATATGACGATGGGACTCTGGATGAAGCCCTGAGAACTCTTATTCTGGGGCCACGAGATGAAGGGGTCCGAGACGAAGATATGGATTTGCCTGATTTGTTCAATCAAATTTGGCTTGCAGTCGTGCAACGTGATGCGGCTTGGTATGCTGAAAATATGGGCATTGAAGACGGCTCAGAAGATGATGATAAGATTACCGGTCTAATAATGGAGCTCATCATGATGCCTCAGTTGGGGGCATGGTAGTTTTCCGTTGCTGGTGCACCTGAAGAATTGGTGCACGCATAATATCCAAAGCGAGCACCAGCGAAGGCAGTGCTGGCTTTGGGTATTAGAGGGTGATTGAGCATGGTTCAAGTTAACCTCAACAGTAAAGAAGAGGTAATTGAGATAGCTGACATAATAATGGAAAGTGGTATTTCCCTTTTGGATATCCTAATCTGGTTGCAGAGCAATGAGGCTAAGTCGACAGATTGTATATACTACAAGAATATTCAAGGGCGCTGCCGAATGTCTATAGGGTTCCTGCTGCGGTTTTATAGTGTAAGGCGCAATACCAGTCCGGCTGACAACCCAGCTGGTTGACTTTCGCAAATTAAAAGTGTCCCTGTCACTACTATTGGCTCGTATCCACCTTCGACCTCACGTTTAAAATATAGTTGGGAACGCTTGGAATAATCATTCGTAGTGTAGCAGATCAGTAACTCGACAGCTTTGTTCATAATTAAGAATCTTCCCCAAAATTTGGTCTGGCGACACCTCTTCATCTAGCTGTTTGCCGTGAGCACCTATCGCCACGCTAAGATTCTGGTCCTTCATGGTGCAGACCCCGGATTTCTAGCGTAAGTATTGACTAGACCTATCAGTAGACGTAGTATACACTGCGAAATTCTGTAACAGGGCGGACGTTAGTGAGACCGTTGCCACCCATTTCTTAGTGGAGCTGTTGAGACTGAAGCACTGCACTAAAGATATGCCCCTTAGGTTAGTCACTTCTTCTCACAATGTGCCCCACCTGGTCTGGGAATTTCAGGAGCTGACCAGAAAGCTTTTTGAAGACCTAGTTGGGGGAGCTCTTTGCTGGATGTATGCCATCACCAGCACGGAGTAATGTATCAGAGGGAGAGGATGAAGACAAGGAAGAGAAATACTGGCAAGTACCTACACAAAGGATAAAGGGACGCGTTCAAACAGTAAACCTAATATCAGGCTAGGGATCTGGGTGTGGGAAATGTTGATCGTATCTTTGTTATCCCTATAGAATGGGGATAACCTCCCTCACAGGGCAGTCACCAAATAGTTTCCATTTTCTAAAACATATGACTAGAGTATCTGGAGACGAGAATGCCGACCCGAAGCAATGAAAAAGTTCCCGTCAGTGTGTGATTAAATCAGGTGCGGTCCTTCTACAATACAGGGTGGTGAATAGGACGGTTTGCATTATTGGGCCATTTCACGAAACCGTGACCTTCCACTGTCACTCAACAGACCACTTAATGATTGCACCTTCTTCTTACTCCACACCAATAAGCAACACTAAAGAACACAACCGTACGCAATGGCCAATTCTCACCATGAACAGAGTGCCTATCCAGGCATATAACCCGAGCCGCCGGCTGTCGACACGCCCAAGTTCGACGCCAGTTAGTTGGACGACATCCTGGCAGTTATCGTAATTATCGCAGATGTGCTGATCGTCACCGCTTTCCCAGACTCCTCGCACCTTCTCGTGCACACTTTCATAACAGGGATCCTAGGAGCCCTCCGGCCTCAGCACTGGGAGGCAATCTGCCTCAACGGCATCGTGAGCTGGTTCATCGGTCGGATTGCCCTGCGTTGGTCCGTCGAGATAGCCATTTGGATCGTCGCGACCATTGCCTCCGGAGCGGTCTTCGGCCCTCTGGGCTCGCCGCCGTTCTGCAACTCCTGTGTTCTCGCCACAGTCTACGCCCTGCAGATCCCAGGCTGGAGATTAGTCGCCGCCACGATGCTGGGGTCCTGTTCCGGGAGGGTGGTATGTGTGATCCACGAGTATTACACCAATCGCGAGCTCGTCACCAGGGTTTGGGAAACGGTCAGGCAGGACTGGCAAGACACGTCGGAGGCTATTTGCACTTTCCTCCTTCCTCCGAAGCCGCCCAATACTGGAGGCAACTTGCACCGACTCGCCAATTGGACCAGAATACTGACTAACCACCTGATAGCTCATGACAGCAAGAGGGAAAAGCCGGAAGACTGCCAAGGGCGTAGCTCTGAGGACAAGAGATGCGGTGGAAACTACCCTTTCGGCGACGATAGACCATCTGGCACCACCTCGCCACTCGACAAGACCTTCCCGCTCAGTGAGAACGGCGAAGAGAGCAATAATAGTGCAAAAAGCGAGGACGGCGTACACAGCCACGATGTTGAAGAAAGAGGAAGGACGCGTACAAGAGGAGATCCGTACCCACAGATTATCTTTTCTTTTGACTGAGAGGTAACGAGAGCCGCATTGATCATACGGTCAAAGAGACAGGAATTTCGACTATAAAACTGGAAAGCTTAGAAAGGACTAGGTTAGCTCGATAAGAGCTACCAGACGCACAGCGAGACGCATAGCAGTATACGTGGGTGGAATTTGTTCGTATAGAAAATGACAACCCATGCTACTTCTCATTTCGCATGTGCCACTACAAAATCATGAAAGGTGTGGGGTAACATGTTGCGGAGCTTGTTAGTTATGTAAGGCTACCGGCGAAGAGCGATCAATATATATGCCCTTGGTTTGTTGTCTAAAACCACCAACTTCACTGGCCGGCCGATAGATAATTTTCTAGAAACGACTCGAGTCTCCATCAGCGCATGATGATGGTGTGCCATCATGAAACCGAGAATAAAAAAACCGATGTACTATCGGTGTAACAACTACCAGTGGCCTGTGCTAACGCCATTTCAATAATGCTTCCAATGTTGATCCTCATCTAACCTCTTCCCTGATGCCGTGAAGCTCTTGTAATGCGTCTATCGTCTCAAATCGTAACATTTCGTGATTTCTTTTTGTTTTGTTTTATTTTGTTTTGTTTCCGTGTCCAGGGGCGTATCATAGTCGTGGAGGGTTCTCTCTCAGCGTATCGCTCAATCGCCGTGGGAGCGGCAGAGTGGAAGCACTGCTGGGCTCTCGGTTCCCCGGGTTCGAACTAGACATGGTGGACGAGCCCGCCATGACCCGGCCACGCTCTTGTAGCCTAAAGTTCATAAGCCACCTCACATGCATCCCCAGGACGCCCAAGGTGCTTCGGATCTCTGTGAGCTGATCCTTGATCTGCAGTGTTTCGTTGATGAGCATCATGGACTGTCGGCCCTCGACCTCTTGCAGGGCCGATGACACGCGCTCTACTTTTGATTCCATGGTCTCAAACAATGACAAGAAGTATTGGTCTCGTGATTCGTACGGTGCCAAGTCAGTACCGTTGTTGGCCTCTGAAATGTTGATATCCGACATGGCCTCTGGCGCGCTCGGGGGGACATTGTGAACCCCTTGTTCTCGAGGAACTTGATTCTCCTGTCTTTCAGGCGATCTTTCTCCTGGAGAGCACTAAGCTCTGCCCGGAGCTCGGCAAGTTGTCCGCCAACAGGGCCCACGACGCGGTATTCGCAAGTCTCTCCATGCGCCTCGAGCAACTTGCGCGGCATCTTGTGGGCACATCCAAAAGGGGCATATTTGCAGCCAGTCTCGACCTCGGGACATGCCTTAGTGTGGTCCTCTTCCTTGTTCCTCAAGAAGATGGTGGCACAGAGCTCGCATTCCGTCTCGCGGTCCGGACACTCGGAATCTTGATGCTCCTCGAGGTCGGCCTTCTGCATGGATTCTTGGCAGTATTCGCACTGGACATGGTAGTGCAGGCAGCCCTTGCCGACATCTTTCCGCACGACGGTGCCGCAGCACTTCGGGTGCGGACAGGGTACCGGTGTTTGGTCACAATACCTGGTGACATGATTCTCGACTAGACTTCGCGCCACGACAAGCTGGCAGCCACGTACATGGTTGGGACAGCGGACTTGTAGGCTGCCGAGCTGGTTGTGTACGATCTTGGGCGCTGAGCGAGTGTCGGCGGCCAGCTTGAGGGGCAGGCGGTCGATGGGGCACACGGGGCTCAGGGCGTGGGCCTGCACGAGGCATCGGTGGCAGAAGACGTGGTCGCAATTGGTGATGACGGGCTGGACGAATGCGACGCGACATATAGGGCAAATCAGATTCTCGTCGACGGCGGTCTCGTAGTCGAGCAAGCGCAGGTCCACGGCGGGCGGCGTGGTTGCTCCATCGGTCCGGGGCGGCGATGTGCCGGCGGTTGCGCTGGACGGCAAAACGCCCTCCTCTGGGGTGTTTGGCGGCGGCATGGTCTGTGGCCTGCTACGACATGGACAGCGTGAAGAGGGATTTATTTTCCTTTACCTTGCTTTGCTTTGCTTTCTCTTCTCTTGGTTGCAGAGTAGCTATGCGGCAATGCTACGCATGAACGTGTCATACACATCTAGGTTAGTCCAGTCTAGGTTCCATTGGAGAGTTGCATTCAAAGAGCCGAGGCGTGGAGTTTGAGTTGATGGCGGGCATCAGCTCACAAGCTAAGGTTAATAAGCTATTGTAAGCTAGACTAAGTTTAGTTACGGTCAATTTGGTCTAACCTTAGTCTAACCTATAAATGTCCACTGTTTGGTCGACGTGCAATGAAGCACACACCCAGCTGGTCAATACTCGACTAACTTGTTCTAGGTCAGCATGCAAGCACAGTCCTCCCGCTCTATAGAATACCTGTACGTCCCATTCTCAAGGCTATACTCAAAGGGGGACAGAAAAGCATTAGTTGGTGATAACATCCGCGCGTTTCATCGGGCCGCTGGCGTTCCCCTGTCCAGTCCAACCTAACCTGGCTCTCCAGATGCTGTTGAGAAGTCAAAATACCACTATGCTTTCGCCACAACAAGACTGATCTTCAAGTACGCCATAGCCTTATCTCGGAGGAGGGAGTAAAGGCGTCGCGCATGCTTTTAGCCTCAACACTACTTGAGGGGGAAGCTAGCCAGCGTTCAGGCTTGAATGTGTTGCGATCTGCGAAGTGTTCTGCGTTGCGATTGATCGCGTATGTGTTGATACCAACCTAGGTCGCACGGAGGATTTTATGCCCGTCCACCACAAGAGGTTGGACATTGGCGGCCTCCGGGTTCTGTTGGCGCCACAGCGTGGTAGAGATTGGCGGCGACATGCACACCGACTCGTTGATGCAAGCTTGGAGAAGATGGCAGTCGGGTTAGCTGTAGGCCCCCCTTGATATATTACCGTTTCAAAAGGACGACCCGTCTCTTGGTAGCAACTCTGTCGTTGTATTGTGGAGTTCGTGACAGGTAGAAGGACATGCCGCATATGGCGGTGGCTTTAGTGTCGCCACCCGGGAACCGAAAGTGCTGGTAGATACTGCCTCCAGGTGCAGCCTTCTTCGTGCAGCATAGTATCTGGCATGAGCTTGGGTGAGTTTGGCGACCAAGGGTCCCGGGTATTTCCTCAGAGTGCAGCAGGAGGCGGTCACTACCAAGTAGCAGGATATGTAGCGACAGCTAGCAGGCAATATGCAATCATACGAGCTGGCCCTCACATAAAGGGTCATGGCATATGCAGTAATCTGCAGTGGAACTGAGGTTTCAATGGCTGACATGTCAGTTGCGTGTGTTTACTGCTGAATGAAGAAAGATATCAGCTCAAAAGACGGCTAGATCTAACTTCTGCTGAGAGGGAAGAAGCAGGGCAGGCTGTGCAGGCTGGCAGGAATGGGTTAAAAGCCTTGTTGCAGCCGTTGATGCTATTGGTTGTCTGAATAGAGCAAGCAGTTGACTGATCTAACGTGAAGGAGCATGCAGATCAGTTACTGCTTGGTTGTGATTCGTCGATAGTATAACACTAAAACTGGGTTGTCAACACACCTAACGAGGTGGCGAAACGTAGCACTGCTGGGAAGCCAGATTATACAGCTACAATAAGCTTTATTTGGGCCTAACGCCCAACCGTTAGCGACCCAGCTTTCTGCATAAGATTTCATCCGGACGAATTCATATCCTTGCATGCCGTTCAATGGCTTTATTATCAGCATCAACGTGGATACATGAAAGGATTAGCTACTCGACAATGCATTAAATACAATGACACGCATAGCTAGTTTTGTTATTAAAGAATTGTGGAAGGGTATCCAGCTTCATATAGTGCTAGACTAGGAGGATATTTCTGTCGGGTAGAGGATACAGTTTCCATTTTCTCTAGAGCCACGCCCGGGCCAAAACCAGAATTATCAAAGTCCAGTCTGAGCGACCTGATTTATCCACTCAAGAGTCAGTATCAATCTGAGTCATCTTGTTATCCCTAGCTCATTCACACCATTCCTTGCCAAGCCCTTTAATGATGTTTTCAACTTGTACAAGATAGAGCTCCTTCATGATATCGTCCCAAAGCCTATTCGCTATACACCCGCCTTCGGTCTTGTAGATTATGGGGGACAGACCGGGGAAAACGTGATCAGTAAACAACAACGGCTCTCTTGGTGATGTAGTACTCACGGCGTCGATTTTCAGCCTTCCAAGTCCTGCTCATAGACTTCCTCGCTATGTGTGACGGAAGCATCAATGATTTATGCTGCCCCAATAGAATATTTGCGGCCAGCGATGCGCATCAAACACCCAACGATAAAACCCTATACTATACCATCGACTTCTCTGACGAGACTGGAACCATAACATAATCCTGGATTGACGGTCATGATGAGAGCTACCGACGGGGGGATTCGTTTGACCAACTCGACCAGAAACAGGTATGTGAGGAGCTTAGACACTGCACATTGTTCGGTGTTATAAAACTTCTTAACCATATATATATTGGCTAGCGTTCATAATCATAGCTAGGCCACCGTGGCTTTCTTTCTTCAGGGTCCTTTAATTTTATACATCATGTTGCACTTATATCTATCCGTGTCAATTGTAGTCCTGTAAGGCGTAAAATGTGGTCGTAAGCCACCATTTGGAGCGGGAGGGCGTAACGTGACTTCTGTGCTTGTATAATTTTCAAACAATCTATTCGACCCGTGGAGCGTCTGCTGTGGTGCCATCAGGAGTCATAGCGAGATGTTAGCAATCACATACAGATGGCGATACCCGCCAATTTATTAAAGCATATAGCTAGTTTTTTATTTCGATGAGTGTATACGCGAAAGAACCCTAATTTTGAGGATTAGTCATTATGCACAGCAGTCTCGATGTTGGTATATCAAACAAGTCAATTGTCGGGCGCGGGCGTATACAAGGCGCTAAGCGGACCCAGCGCTACATTCCGGTCTGGTTCATTTGGTATGTAGCGCTCTGGTTGCGGCTTGACTTCTTCACACTTACCAGTACAACACTCTTTCCAGCCACATATTGTTTCGATTGATCATTACAGTATCTCTCCCCTTTTTTCCCTTCTTATTTTCTTCTCTATAGAATTCAAGCCAAATGCCTCGCTTATTCAACAATTGCCGTGGCCTGGCCGAACGTGGAAGCCTCCTGCATTCTCTAACGTGGGTTTCCCGCGCCTACCTACAGACGTGAAGATTGATGAAGAGCTCTCCCCAGACTATCTCGGATCGCGATATTAGCCAAATCAGATGGCGAGGTCCTTAGAGAGCCTTATCAGATTGTTGGTAAACTTGGGTTTGGAGCCAGCTCATCAGTATGGCTTACACGTGATTTGAGGTATGGACCATCTGACCATTCCAGGGAAATACTCGCCATTTCATCTCAGCCAATTACTATTTAATTTATCGTCGGCACGTAGCACTTGAGCTCTATATCGACTCCAAATCGATGGGCACAGAGCTGGGTGACGAGTTAAATATGTACCAGTGGATTTCCAAATACTCAGTCAACCATGCTGGTCGCCGTGCTGTCAGGGAACTGTTAGATTCATTCGAGTTCTAAGGGCCAGATGGAAAACATCTATGTCTTGTGCATCCTCCGCTGTGGGAGAGCGCTCTGGGTTTTATCGCACGTAATCCAGTAAAGGAAGCTCCCAGTTCCGGTCCTTGCCTTTATCCTTCAGCGTCACTTCCTCGCCTTGGACTTCTCACATACAAATTTGTTCACTAGATACGACGTAGAACATCAGACCTACCGTAGCCGAGCGCGCCTCGCAGAGACTATAGCACTTCTAGGGCCGCCTCCTCCACGGCTCCTCGCGCGTAGCCACTTAAGCTATAGGCTCTTTACGGATAAAGACATGTTAACATATCTCGTTAGGGTTAATATCACTATTGACCAACACTATTTTGCAGGAGAGCTTCAAGTAGCCATTCCTCATGTGGGTCTGGTTCCGCTTGAGGGGAGACAGGATACTCTTGACGGAAAGGGCGAAAGATGTTGCAATGGGAACCGGAAACATGCAGCACGACCAGGGAACTATGTGACGATGAGTGCTTACGAGAGCAGCTATAGAAACCCTATACTTGCAGCCTATAAAGCACTCTGACATTTGAAACTCCTAGTACCAAAACTGGTGACTATCCTGCGGCCAGTACTAGAGATGTCGTAAGGGATCCACAGCGAAGTAAACAGACTCGATTTGTGTAATTCTTGTAGGAAATGATGCTCGTTGCAGGAGAGCCTGCTCACTAAGATCAGACACATGTCGCACTGTGTGGGCGACAGGCAATTAGAACACGACGGCTCAAACAAGTGAAAGAATGAACCGTTGAGTTTTGTATTTGTGATGGGATACTGAGCGGAGGGGCTGCAAAGTCAAATGACGAAGTGTAATTGGAAGCATGAGACACAAAGATGAAAGATGAGACGCCTGTTCAGTTCGCTTCGCTGCCGTTACCGTACGGAGCTCCAACATACCCAATGCATACCCCCAATACGGTGGAAATATTCATTAACGTCACTCGCCTCAACAAGAACATAACAAAATTCGGGAGACATGAACAAGCGGCAAGCAAGATTCCGTACCGTACCTGAGGTAGGTCTTCTAACCTTGGATTTTCTGCAATGACGATTGCCTCCAGAGTCCACTTCTGCCAGGGCTCCACCCCCAATTGTTGGCTAGGTAAACCTACCGACCGGACAGACACTTTAAGGCGTAGGTCAACCCCGGTTTGTTTTTTGAGACTTCCACCCCGGGAATCATCAACCACCTCAAGCACTCTTTGAATTTGTCAGGACCCAGGGCCCTGACAAACAATCGCTGCGACAAGATGGCGGACACAACCCTGAACCTGACCCAGCGCTGTAAGAACCTTAGCTCAATTGATCCTTCTATTTGAGCAGGAACCAGATCTAACCACGGCATCTCATTGCAGCTCCCGCGCACCCCGTGAAGCGTCTCCCGTCCTCCCTCGAGCTCCCGTCCGGCGCCAACGTCGAAGATGTCAAGGTTGCAATCGCCCGCAAAGTCGGCTTCTCGGACCACAACCGAGTCGGCCTGTACGATCCCACCACCAAGAAGACCTTGAAGGACCGCAAGGCCGCGCTCTCCTCCCTCGGCCACTCGGAGCTGCTCGTCAAGGACCTCGGCCCTCAGCTCGCCTGGCGCACCGTCTTCCTCATCGAGTACTTCGGCCCTCTGCTCTTCCACCCCATCTTCATGGGCCTGCGGAAGCACCTGTACCCGGCCGCCTACCCGTACGTCAAGGCCCTCGTGCCCTACGAGCCCAACGCCTTCGACGGCCCCCTCAGCATCAGCCAGCAGCTCACCTTTGCCCTCGTCATGCTCCACTTCCTCAAGCGCGAGTACGAGACCGCCTTCGTGCACAAGTTCTCCGCCTCCACCATGCCCGTCTGGAACGTCTTCCGCAACTCCTTCTTCTACTGGGCCGTCGCCGGTTTCCTGGCCGCGCTCGAGGTCTATGCGCCCTTCAGCCCAGCCGCCAAGGCCGAGAACCTGTCCATCGACCTGCTCGGCTTGGCCTTGTTCTTCTTTGGCGAGATCGGCAACTTCTCCGTGCATAGCTACCTGTCCAGCTTGCGAAGCCCCGGCGGTACCGAGAGGGTCATCCCCAAGGGCTACGGGTTCGAACTGGTCACCTGCCCCAACTACATGTTCGAGGTCATCGCCTGGATCGGTGTCATCCTCGTCAGCAGAAGCCCGTCGATTGCCCTGTTCATCTCCATCGGCTCCATGTACATGTTCAGCTGGGGCAAGGGCAAGGAGAGGGCCTATCGCAAGGAGTTTGGCGACAAGTACAAGAAGAAGCGATACGTCATGCTCCCCGGTCTGCTATGAGCAGGTCTTCTTCTTGCTCGATCTTCTTGGTAGTTTCATGCAAAAAAGGGGCACGGCATCCCGTAGTCGCATGTATTTAGTGTCTAAAAACAGAAACGCAGAAAGTTCAAAGTATATAGTATACATATAGTTGCACATCAGAATAATTCCTATTGGATGTGTTCCCAAGACAAGAAGCCGTAGCAGAAACATAGTCGTGTCTGACTTGCAGATGTGATCATGGCCTATTCATGTCTGAAGGTCACCAGAGCCTCAATCGTACTCTCGTCCGCATCCAACCCCGTGTTCATCTCATTACTATGTAGCCCAGCGGTGCAGCTCGGCCTATTTATTGACAGTGCCATCCGATGCGTCGATATCCATCTTGTCCTCATTGACGGGAATCCCATCTGCATCGACGTCTGTTATCCGCTGATCTGTTGAATGCGATGAGTTCAACTCTGGCGAAAGACCGATGGCCTCAAGTGCTTGTATTTCCCTTTCGTCCAAGGTGTTGGGGACCACGACCGGAATTCTTGACCGGTCGTCCACGTCCATCTCTGTCGAGTCTGTCACGACCCTCTCGACAGACTCGACAGCCCCCGGCCTGTCCTCTCCCTGGTCGACGTCGACTACCATTTCTGAAAGTCCCTCCGGTCCCGTCTCTAGTTCCTGCCGCGGCTCGATACACGAGGGCTCCTCCATGTCACCAATACTGGCCGCCATGGCCTCACTGATACTGGCCACTATGGCGTTATTCACCGTCGCAAACGAGCCGTCTTGCCGCCCGCTCGACTCCCTCTGCGCCGCCACCTCATCAATGTCCATCTCCCCGTCCGCACCGCGCAGACCTGGCACGACCACCTCCTCGACCATTTTGCCTTTGCCTTTGTCCGTGCCTCTGCCCGGCGGCCCCGGCCCATCGGGACCATCCGCGTCGCCAAAGCTGCCCCGCCGGCTGGGCGTGCGCGAGCCGCTCCAGCTCCCGGTCCCGGACGAGCAGCCGCTGCAGTCGGGGTCGCTGCAGGGGCCCCTCCTGACGCGCCTCATGGTGTCCTCGAGCACGAGGAAGTCCCGCTCGAGGACCTCGGCCCAGTTCTGCACGTTGCCCGTCTCGAGCACCTTCCTGCTGCCCTCCCTGACCACCTTGAGGAGCTTGTCGTTCTCCTTCCTCAGCGCCTCCGTCGCCTGGAACAGAGATTAGGGGGTTTTTTTTTTTTAATAGACGAAAGAAATAAGAGAAAATTTAAATTCGAAGCAAAACCAGCCCACCACGGTTCGGCTCTCCTCCCCTTGCCTCGCAAGGCGGTATGTGACTTGACAAATTGCGCGTGCACGAAAGCAAGGAACAACGGCGTTGGGGGAGGAAAAGAGAAGTAGGAAAGAAGGAAGAAGATGAGAGAAATATCACACACCTTGGCGACATCCCTCTCCTGCCCCTCCAGGGCGCGCGCGTTCTGATGCAGCAGCTCCGCCCTGCTCTGCAGCTCCGAGTCGAGCAAGTTGCTGATGGTGCCGACGAGGGCGGCGCGGGCCTGGGCGGTCTGCTGGGGGCTGGACGGGCTGGGGAGGTTGGGGTGCAGCAGCAGCAGCGCGTTCTGGTTGTCGTGGTGGTGGTGCGTCACGGACGTGGGCGCCGTCGTCGGGGCGCGCGGGCTGAGCTGGGACTGCGCGCCGCCGCTGCCTCCTCCCGCGTGGGAGCGCGAGGAGAAGGACGGGCTGGGGAGGAGGTGGCTGTGGTGGGAGGTGGTGCCGCTGCTCGACGGCGGAGCCGCCGTCCCGCCGGATGGGCCTGCTTCGGCGGCGTCGGTGCTGGCTGACATGGTTCCCACCTCAACCACCGGTGCCGAAGCAGCTGATGCGCCGGCGGAAGCCATAGTCGAGTCGGGTGTAACCGGGTCCGCTGGGTTGAGGGTAGTAGAACCTCCTCTGGTAAGCGGTAGTTATAAATGGTGCCTTTTCGAAATTCGGATGGTTAAGTGCTGCGATATTGTATTGGGAGCCTCTTGGACGTCTAAATCGATATTCTGGAGGGTTTCACATGCGGGGTGGCTCAACATGATTGGAGGGGAACGCCCATGGGTCGAGCAAATAATTCACGGCCGACAGGCTATGTTTGTAACATAGCTGCAAGAGGTCCTGCTCACATGACAAAGGAATAGAAGAGCTGCATTGCACTTTGGAAACTTTCTAGTCAAGATTTGTGGCCCGTTGGATTGTATACATGGCCGCGCTACACAGTAGGCTGCCCCTTGTGGTGGAATACAAAAAAACCGGCGATATACCACCAGTAACACACCTTGCTAGTCAAACATTATACGCTCTAGTTGTGTACATCAAAATTGCCCCCAGTGCATGCGGGAAAAAAACAACGCCCCGAAAATGCTGTAACCTGCTAAGGATGATCTTCAAATGCAACATTCAACAGCTCTCGTCCCAATGTCCAAAACTGTTACGGTGACATATGGCATATCCAACTGAACAGTATGCGGATGGAAAGATCCCACCCTAGCCGCCTCAATAGCAAAAAATGGCTGTTTCTGATGTGATGGCACAGCTTGGCGCTGATATTTATAGCTAGTACCCTGAATTGATTTCTTTGCCCAAGACGGGGAAACCTGGTCTCTAGGCGGATGACCAAAATGAAATCCGCAGGAAAAAGGAAAGCAACTGTGTCAATCCACGACACAAACACGCTGATTGCCTAAAACGCGGGCTTGCCTCCGCCGTTACGACGGTAAGATATCGAGCCCATGCCATTATGAGGACTTAACATTGACTCGGGACCACGGTCATCCTGAGCTGAAGTCATTGAGGAAATCGAGTTGAAGGAGCTATGGTTGGCACTGCTCATGGTTCCAGTTCGGGACATGGAAAGACCGCCCATGGAAATCAACGCATCCGCCCTCTCAAACACATTCCCCGAGAATGCCTGGGCGAACGATGCACTCTGGGGCGTTGATGGTACGGTAGCTTGCACAGCTGGTCCCAGGGCAGCACTCTGTGGCGTCACAGGAAGTTGCGTTTGGCTGAAATTAGAATTATTTGCGTAATGGCCTGGCGAAAAATAATTCCCGTCGAGGTACTGCCCTGCGTGGTTGAAAATGCCAGACCACGGAGAGGCGCAGATGAGTTGTGTTGTTTCCTTGACATTGAGCTGCACCGGTCGTAGCCGTGCCTTGATATCCAAGGAGAGGGGCACAATATCCATGGCCCCTCTAAGCTGTCTTCCGAACTCCGCCCAAGCATCCACGAAACTCTTGCAAAGCGCCCAAAATGCCGGATCTGTTCTGATTCCAGGCTCTTTGAATTTGATGGCGGACAGTCGGCCTTTCAGGATATCAGTCTGTTGGATCGCGTGGCTACATCTGTTGATCAGATCCCTCCAGCACTGTACGACATGTACCGGCATTCTTTGAGCCTTGGCCTCCCGCAAGCCGTTGTTGAATTGCTGATTGAAAATTGGAAGTGTGCGCATGAGTAGCTCTGTCGATTTTGATAAAGATAAGAAAATCTTCTCAAAATGTCGTTCCTCGTTCGACACGTCAGGTCCATATCGACTGCCGTCGCTTGATGCGAACGACTCCCCAGAGCGTGGCGTGGCAGAAGTAATGGTGGCGGTACGCCCGGTACCGTTCAGGTATGGCATCGGTACGTCGGTTGCTACACGGAGGTTGCTCGGATTGTGACTGTGGGTTCGGTATCTGGCACTTATAGGACTGGGTCGGTCAATCGTCGGAGTAGCCGAACTGTCGCGTGAATGAGGCTTCAGAGTCCCTCCAGGGCCTAGTTTTCGTGCTGGGCGAGATGGTGCACTGAAACCCGGCATACCCATTAAAGCTTGGTTGGCCGTAACTCGAAGCTCCATAATGCTGTTGTACAAGCACAGCATAAGCGTGCGAATGTATCGAGGGTCTCCGTTGCTGACAATGGTTTCCATATTATTAAGGAGTATTGAGCAGATGTGCCCGTAAGCATTGACCAAGGTCAGAACTGCTCTCTGCACGTTTTCGTTCTCTCGAGGTCCTTGATTGCCCTGGTCCGATGATTCATGTTTGAGAATCTCCTGCTCCAGTTCTTCGACGTGCATATTAGTATTAAAGAAGACAATTTCCAGACTCGAGCGCTTAGCTGTGCCATCGTTTGTCAGTCTTGTGAATAATTGTATCATAGGATGAATCTGGAATATGGCATATAAAATGCCCTTCGCAGATTCAAGGATGGGATCCACCACTTTTGATTCTCGCCGCTGCTCGGGCAAGACCGATAGCCGACGGACATAATTGGGGCGGTGCAGTAACGGTTCTGCAGGACTATTCGGGCTGTTGACAGACCCCATGTTGGGCTGCACATTGCCTGTCATGGACGAACCGTGGCTGAGTCCCCGATAATGGCTGAACCTGTTGTTCGCTTGCGTTTCATCGAGAGTGCTCAGCTCGTTTGTCCGTTTTGATAATAAACGTCTCGGGCGTTCCGCAGAACGATCTCCCCGTGATGCTTGCAGTAGAGTCTCGCTGTTCGACCGTAGACGTTCATTCGGATTGCCAATGGTCAAGGGCATCACACCGGGTTTGCGAACTGCCGTGTTCTGTTGGGATAGACCACGAGCATGTGATCGAGATGGTATCGGTGGTGCTCGCGGTACATTGGGCGATCGAAGGTCTGGCGCGTCTACACCATTTACTTTGATGGGAAACCGGCCACTAACCACTCTCTTCAAAGGAAACCGTGGTGTTTCAATGCCTTCACTCCCATCGTCGCCGTTGCCATTCTCCAAATCATTTGTCTTCTCGGCTTCAGCTTTTTCCGCGATCTTATGCTTCAAGAATTTCTTGATATGTGCTGTTACAGTCACTTCCGTTACCTCGCTTTCTTTCAGGAAGCCCTCGTTCGGGGGACTGCTGGCCTGGACCTGCAAGACGTCACGTGGAGGGAACTTGATAGCGTTTCCGTCAAGCTTCAGCACCTGCAATGAAACCATATCACCTAAACAGAGAGGAAGTTCCTCTATCCGATTTTTCTGAACAGCAAGTACTTTAAGTGACGCCAACTTCGCGATGTCTGGTGGCAAAATTTTGATCTTATTCCTGCCAAGATCCAGGATTTCCAACGATCTGAGGTCGCACAACTGCGAACAAAGCGTTAGAGGATAACGTTCAGGGGCAAAGTGGCGAGGCGATATTTACCGGCAATGGGAACTCTTTCATGTGATTGTTCCTCACGTTCAGATAACGCAAGGAGGTACACTCAGAAAATCTTGTAGGAAAGGACGCGAGTTTATTGTGTGATAATGCAAGCCTGAAGGTGAGCAAAATCATGTCAGCGATTGCCCCTCGGGAATTGCGAATCGCAGGGTCACGTACCGCTCCAATTCGTTCTTTATAATGTCAACAACCTCGTCGGGCAGCTCTTGGATGTTCCTCCGGCTCAGGTCGATCGTAACGCCCGGTTTCAGCTCGGTGCTCACTCCACTTGCTTCAGCTGCTTGCGACTCGTTTTCACGTATAGCGCTCCTCATGGCCTCGCGGGCAAGAGCAATGACTTGGTTCGCCGACATTGGCGCGGAAGCCGACAAATTCGAGCTCGAGGACTGCCTGAACATCTCGGGGATCGGAGGAGGTGGAGGCATGTTGGACAAGGACGTCTGTAGTCGTCGCAATCCTTGAGCTGGATTGGTAGGCAGCCCTCGTGAGGAGGAAGACTGTGACGGGATGACGGTGGCACCATTCGCGCCCAAGGGCATCATGGAGGCCATACCGTACGAACCAGACATGGCGGGCGCCGGCTTTATGTACTGGCGGCCCCCTATGTCGTTGTGTCTATACGATGGTAGCGAATGGTTCGAGGTGTGGTTCTGACACGGAACAAGGGAAGGGTGAAGGCGATCCCCGGTTTCAGTCAGGGTAGTTGCTTGTCAATGGTTCGCAAGCGACTATGCAGGTGGATTCAGGACAATTGGGTCTGAGGATGCTGGAGATTCGGCAGGGCAATGGGGGTCGTCATGGCAGAAGTTGTCGTCAATGGATAGCGGGACGTTTGGAATATAGAGGGAACAAAGACGATGGTCGCAGCTGCTGAAATATGGGTTGCGGGTGTTTCGATGTGCGATTGCGTGAAGGGAAGACGCTCCGAGTGCAGGTCGTGTGGTGTTTCAGGTTTCAATGCCAATAGAGGGCAAGTGCTGTAGGAGTTAAGGCAGATTGCCCAGATATATGTCACGGATGTCTTGGCCACTCTTCTCGTAGCTGCGCCGATCTGATTCGAAACGTAATTGGACCGTCAAGTGAAAGGTATAGCCATTGGTCACGGGACATATAGATGGCAAAGCCGGTGGTGAAATGTGAATCGTCTGTGTAATGTAATGTACGATGGCACTGTAGAGGTTGAGACCAAACGACAGCCAAAGATCGAAGATGTTGTACGTCCAAGGATGGACCAAACAATGGGTCGGCCGTGGGAAGATGCGAACCGGTACCCCAGTCGCCCATGTACTACCAACTTACTACTAGCACGACTCTCTAGTCGTAGTCGTGGTCGTGGCCGTAGTTAGTGGTGGTCGTAGTCATAGTCATAGCCGTATCCCTAGTTGCACTGCAGTTGTGGGAGACCCCAGACCAACTGCAAGACTGGATAGACGGTGGACATGCAACCGTTCGGCTCTTTTGATTCGATTGGATTGAATGGGATTGGATTCGATTCAGCAGTGCAGGCTCAAACCAAGCTTCAAGTGAAAGGGGGTCGGCGCAATTTAGGCTTGAGCCTAGGATTGGGCTTGGACGTGGACTTGCACTTGGACGACTTGGGCCTGAGACTTGGGCGGGTGCCCAGGCGGGAGGGTCGCCTGTTGTATACAAAAGACAGGCCCTTTGACCTTACCTCCGTACCTTCTTTGTGGCTCTGTGGCCCTGTGGCCTTGAGGCGCCGAGCTGTGCGAGTCTGTGGGTGACAGACAGGCTTGAGTACGATGTACTGTGGGAAAAAAACCCCACTACCAATGCAACGCTGAACCAGGGTTCAGTGTCTTGTGTGGCTGGAAATAGCTTCAGTGCAGTCTGCAAAGGTGATGGCGATTCGTTGTCAGGACTCCTGATTGATTACCTTAGCAATTCCCGTCAAATGGCGGACGTGCATCATACCTGCAGGTTGTGGTTGGTTTGCATGCTGTCATGACATAGTTGGCTCCAATGCACTCTTCTTGCTTTTCTCTAAGGTCAGTCTAGTCGAATCGCGTCTTGTTCCTGACAGGGTGTGATGCTGTCCGCTACGACCAGTACAAGCCATCCTTGTCCTCCAAAAGGACCGCCACAGCTGATTCAGTCTAGCGCATCTTCTCTTTATGCTGGCCCACCTGCAAGGCACCTGGGCACCGTCCACTCACTGTCTATCAGGCGACTTTTTTTTTTTTTTTTTTTTGCCTTGCCGAGAGCTGATATGTGGTGCATTCGCCATCGGGACGCAGCCTCAAGTATTCCAGGCAACTGAAACGGTCTGTGTTGATAAACCTCCAGCCGGCGCTGCAGCGTTTATCAACAGTGTTGAAAGCTCTAACCTAGATGGATACACAAACTGTCATGGTGGGGGCGTGATCACATGTGGCGATAGCCTTAACTCTTTGCTTAATGGTCCTGACAAAACTCAACGTCATGTGCTTTTTCTGTTCGACTTCAACCCACATCTTTTTAAGGTTACACTAACCAACTGCACAACTCGACTTCCATGGCAGATTGCCATCTACGATATGTACTTGTAGGTACCGGATTCTGTACCAACCATCCTGCTGGGCTTGGTGTTATTAGCTTTGCTCAGCCAGTCTTACAACAGTCGCCACAAGAACGACATACAATCTAAATCCAGTCTACCATATCCCAGGACTTATTTCATTTTCACGACACCCTCACAGCGTTCTAATCCATTAGCTACATACGAATTCAGAGCAATGTTAATGTTGCATCCCCAGCCATGATCAATGCCACCCCCGGAACAAAATCAAAATCACAGGAGATTGAGGATCTTGTTGGGGCCGTTCATTGGAACGTTTCCGTATTGCGTTGCACGAATAAATATTTTACTTTTATTTTATTTTTTCACTGCACCTGAAGTCTCCATGCTGGCAACTCGTCACTAGATCTGCCAACGTTGCCTGATACCTTTCCTTGGCCGAACACCAACAATTGAACCCAAGGCTCGTGAGTCAATATATTTGTGCTTTGCAGATCGGACAATCAATACATACGTACGGCCTACCTGTTCCCCAAGGAATCCCGGAGCCACTACATGATCTTGAAGAGATGCCTCCACTGAAGAGGACTAACTCATATGTCCTCCCGGACCTGGATTTCACCTTGAGGCGCCAGTTCAACAAGCCCGGTTTTAGACCTCAGCAAAAAGAAATCATACAAGCTTCTCTTGATGGAAATGATGTTTTTGTGCAAGCAGCCACTTCATTTGGCAAGAGTTTGTGCTTTCAACTCCCAGCAGTAGTGGATCAAGGCAGTAGGCGGTCCTCATCCGTCTTTTGTTTTTATGTTTTAGCTCTGATCAACTGCACTAGTTACCATCGTCATCTCACCACTGCTGAGTCTGATGATGAATCAGGTAGAAGCTTTACGGGTCGCCGGTATCAACGCCAGCTCACTGAATAGCAACACGCCTCTATCAGAAAAGGATCGCATCTATAAGGATCTGCAGACTGGTCACCCCCTGACGAGACTTCTTTACGTGACCCCTGAACTCTGCGCCCTGGACCGTTTCCGAGACCGTCTAAAGATAGTCCACGAGCAGAGGGAGCTTGCTCGTATTGCCATCGACGAGGCACATTGCATCTCGGAATGGGGCCACGATTTCCGCAAGGACTTCAAGCGCCTCTGCTGGTTTCGCGAGTCCTTTCCAGACGTGCCCATCATGTGCCTCACCGCGACAGCCAACACACAGGTACGCCACGACGTACTATCAACTCTTGGCCTGGACGAGAAATCGGACCGTCTCAAGACCTTCACCATGACGGCGTACCGTCCAAATCTTCATCTCGAAATCCGCTTCACGTCAGACCAGGACGACCAGCGCCTCGAAGACTTCCTGAGATGGATCAGGGGCGTATACACGCGCCGGGCCGGCGAGCCGCGCAAGTCCGAGCTCGGGGCAGGCGAGCGCGTAGACAACGTGCCGGGGATTATCTACACCATCTCCCGCGACGAGTGCGAGAGCCTCGCCGCGGCCCTCCGCTCGGAGGGCCTAGGGGCGCAGCCCTTCCACGCCAAACTGTCCAAGGAAGTCAAGGAGCAGACGCTGGCGAGGTGGGTCGGCAACGCGCCGGGCTACGACATCATCGTGGCCACCACGGCCTTCGGCATGGGCATCGACAAGCTGAACGTGCGGTTCGTGGTCCACTGGCGCCTGCCCAAGTCGCTCGAGGGGTACTACCAGGAGGCCGGGCGGGCGGGCCGCGACGGCAATGCCGCGTACTGCTTCCTGTACTACAGCCGCGAGGACCGGGACCGGGTCTCGAGTCTCGTCATCCGCGACGGCCAGCAGAGCGGCAACGCGAGCAACTTCCAGGCGCGCGCGCGGAGCTTGCAGAAGCTGGCAGAGTACTGCGAGAGCACGAATGCGTGCCGGCATGCTCTGATCTGCAGATACTTTGGGGAGGCCGAGGTGCCCAGGTGCGACTATGCCTGTGACTGGCACAAGGACGCGTCTGACCTCCAGAGGCGGTGGTTGAGAGGCTTGGCGAGTGAGGAGTTTGTGAGTACGCAGAGGGAGGAGGGCCGGTATGATGTCGACTGGTACGACTAATGACGATGGTACCTTTCTTGGCCGAGATGGTTCAACTTACGTACAGAGAGTGGGCAGAGTAGATGGCATAATACTCCCAGAGTTACCTGTGCTATTGCTAAGCCCAGAACGATTTGATGATTCATGCACTTGTTACCACTTCGTTTCACGTTGTTCGGTGTCCCACTACTCGGTGGCTTTTGCAGTCAGCATTGTGAATACTTCTCGGCTGAACCGTATACGGAGTTCCAAAGGATTGAGCAGACGGGTCACTACCTAGCTTTATTTTGACACAGCGACAACAGTAGTAACAGTCGGTGGACCTGGTTGCATTGGCTAATACTGGCGAGATGAATCGATGGCGTTTCTTGTATTAATTTACAAAGAACCTCCTCTCTGTCCTTGAAATCTTGTATAACTTCTTTGAAAAGAGATTTTAATTTAAAAAAAAAATCTATAAAAAAAAATCAAGCTGTCTATTTCAGGGTAACCAGCTCCTCGGCGCTCGTAGGGTGAATGGCTACGCAAGAGTCGAAGTCCTTCTTCGTAGCGCCCATCTTCATGGCAACGCCGAAACCCTGCAGCATCTCGCCAGATCCAAGCCCCATGATGTGAAGTCCTACCACCTTCTCCTCGGGGCCGGCACAGATCAGCTTGTATTTGGTGGGGGGCTTGTCTTCGGGCTCCATCAAGGTGTAATACATGGCAGTAAAGCTGGTGCTGTAGACCTTGAGGTTCTCCTTGCCGTATTGCTCCTCGGCCTGGGGCTCGGTCAGACCGATGGAGCCGACTTCGGGGTGAGAGAAGACCACCGAGGGGATGTTGCTGTAGTCGAGGCGTGCGGTACGGTATTGCTCGGGACCAAACAGACGTTCGGCAAGACGACGACCGGCGGCGATGGCGACGGGCGTCAGCTCGGCCTTGCCGCAGACGTCACCCAAGGCATAGATGTTTTCGACATTCGTGTTCTGGTAGTCGTCGGCGACGATGTGGCCTTTCTCGTCCTGCTTGACGCCTGCCTTGTCCAGGCCAAGATCCTTGGTGGCGGGCGTTCGGCCGATGGCCCAGATCAGGTGGTCCAGACCCTCGAGCTTACCCTCTCCGTTGGCGTCCTTGTAGTGAATGGTGAGCTTGCCATCGGAGTCCTTCTCGACCTTGCTTTGTGAGGATTCCTTGTGGAGCTTGATACCGAGGCGCTCGTATTCGTTCGTCACACCCTCTTGGATCATGGGGTCGAATGTTCGCAAGAAAGTCTTGTGGCGGATGAAAAGGTGAGTCTCCACTCCCAGGGCGTTGAACATGCCGGCAAACTCGACAGCGATATAGCCAGCACCGACGAGGGCGACCTTCTTTGGTAGGGTGTCGATATCAAAGAAACCGTCGCTGTTGGTACCGAGCTCTGAGCCGGGAACGTTGGCTGGCGCATGTGTCGGGTAGCCGCCGGCAGCGATCAGAATCTTCTTTGCGCGCACAGTCTCCTTGGTGCCGTCGTTGAGGGTGACTTCGACCTCGTTTTTGCTCAAAAGCTTGGCCCAGCCAGCGACATATTCGACCTTGTCGTTCTTCAAGTTCCTCTCGTAAATGCCGTTGAGGCGCTTGATGAAGGCATCCCGCTTGTTCTTGAAAGAGGTGAAATCGAAAGGCTTCGTCTCCTCCACGGAGAAGCCGTATGCTTTGGACTCGTGTATCGTTTCTGCGATGAGGGCGGCGTTGAAGGTGACCTTTTTCGGCACACAGCTGGAGGGAGGGAAGCATATGTTAGAGGCGAGACACAACGAATCCGGCGCAGACAGAGCCATGCGTGCTTACCCTACGTTGACACAAGTGCCACCCAGGCGGCTGCCTTCTATGATCATGGCCCTGGTGCCAAACTGGCCGGCAGCCTTGCGCGCCGACGCAAGGCCACCACTTCCGCCGCCGATGACAAGGTAGTCGGTCTCCTTGGATATCGGAGCCATGATGTGAGATGTCGAGGAGAACTGTCGAGAGATGGAGGAGATACGCTGCGCGGCCGTTCTGGATCTACAAGTGCTGGCTACTGCAGTGCGGCCAAATACTACAAATGCTTGCATATGGACAGACGTCTATTATATACAGCCTCGCAGAGAGGGATGGACGGAGGGGTTCAGGGAGGGGAGCTGTATATGTACAGTAGTGGGGCAAGGCGTATGACGTCTTATGCGAAGGGTATCGCGGGAGGATGGCTTAGGAATCGACAATGCGGAAGATGGGCTTTTTTTCGACAATTGCCTAGTCTGGAGACTGACTTCTCGTTGGCTCAATCCAGTATACGAATACAACCACCAATGTTTGCGGAATGGTGCGGGTGCTGAATCATCGCCGATTAGTGCTTCTGTCAAGGTCCAAAAGTTTTGTAAGCACCTCGGTGCGCCGGCGCCTGGCCCGGGCTCTCGGGAGCCATGATTCCAAATCTTAGATGAGATGAGATTTGAGTGCTGAGACTGACCTTGACGGCGATTGCCGAGGCCTGTAGATCGCTAACCTACGGGGAAGCTCGTGCATGAAATGCTTGCGAGGATCTATTTTTTGGGTGGGGGGAGGAGGGGGGGCTTGTTTTTAATTATGAATCCATTCATTATTAGGACGCCAGGCTCGACGCGTCAACCTCAGCTTAAACAATCGCGCTATTTGGCAGAGCGCCTTTTGTATTGACAACCGTGTTGACCATGACTTACACGCATCTTCTCCCTGGGAGCCTAGGGATCGTCGCCTAGAGCCATCCACCGTGAGAATTGAGCAAGATGAGATGGGCCAAAAATCAAACCCAACATTAAATATCCCTTGTTGTCCACCACCATGCTTTCAGCTGCCAAACTGGCCCAGACCTTGAAACTGGCCGAGCTCAAGACTTTAGCAACATTATGTGGTGTATCCTCGTCTGGCACCAAGGCGAGCTTGGCTCAGCGGCTTCAAAGCTCAGTCTCTGGTGTGACGGTTGAAAGTGGCATGCCAGCATCAGAACAGCGCATCTTATCCGTGGACATGGGAATCCGCAATCTGGCAGTTTCGTTTCTTACTACATCGTCCAAGTTCAAGAGCGACGGGCTTGGGCCACGCACACCACCACTTGGTGTCACAGTCAATTCATGGAGTCGCGTTGATCTCACACGCTTGATGGGAGACGTACAGACGGACGAAGATGCATGGAGCCCCGACGTAATGTCTGATATGACTCTTGATCTGGTCCAGAATCTATTTTTGAGCACGGAGAAATCGCCGACTCATATCCTCATCGAGAGACAGAGATTCAGAAGCGGTGGCGGTTCAGCGGTCCAGGAATGGACCTTGAGAGTCAACACCCTCGAAGCCATGATTTACTCGACACTAAAAACGATGAAGTCTTGCGGTCATTGGAAGGGTAAAATCATCCCGATTGTACCAAAAAGGGTAGGACCATTTTGGGTTGAGAGTACGACTGAGAGCGAAGGTATTTTGGACCATGATAAAAAGGCGTCGAAGTCCAAGAACTCCAAGGCTAGACATAAGAAAGAGAAGATTGACCTCATTGGGAAGTGGCTGATCCAAGGCGAGATAAAGCCAGTTGGCCAGGCGGACATCATGGCAAAATCCTATCTCCAGCGCTGGCAAGGAAAACGAACCAAGAAATCAACCAAAGATGAAAATTCTGACGGCGATCGTTTGCAGAAACTCGACGATCTCGCCGATTGTCTGTTACAAGGACTAGCTTGGATAAAGTGGCAGGATAATCAAAGAATCCTGATCAGTGGTGGCCCGGCGGCTCTCCTTGAAAATTTGTCCTCTTGAGTAGTTCGTCAATAGTCGGTGCGACGTCTGCGCATTTATCTTGCTTAGCTATTACTACGAACGAGACACGCATGTCATGAGTTGTGTGTATTGGGAGCATATAAAGCGACGAGTGTAATATCTTGCGCAAAAGCAAATTTAATTCAGGCAACCCCAATTGCCTCGTCATTGCTGTCGGAGAAAGCCTCGACGTGAATGTACACATATTTTTTGCTGTTGTACCTACACTCTATTCTTTCTTCCTTATCTTCGCCATCCAGCCTAGTCAAACACTCTGCGATAATCTTGTCTCTGGAGATATTTAAGTTGTCCGGCCTTTGTTTCGCAGCCAGTTCAAATGTTGTTACGGTCACCGGCAATACAAAAAAAAATTGAGTTTATCTCAAGCATAGAAAGAAATTGTTGAAATCAACCGGCGAGGGCCTTAGACGCTCCGCAACTATTCGCAATCCATTACAGCGGCGCAAGAATTTCTCGGCACATATCTTACGATCACGGGAAATCATAGAAGACTCGTTTACAGTACCAAACCACCCCTCTTAAAAAAAACCCTGGATATGTCTTCCGCAAGTTCATCCCACAGATACTGTCTTAAGAGAACCACTAAAAAGTCCATGAAACATATCCTCTGCTGCAGCGACATTCTCAAAGTCATGATACAGGATCTTGTTAGCAAGATTAAGCCTCGTTCTCGTCCTGGAAGTGCAGAGTCTACATGGTTACCCCTAGACCAGAGAGTACAACATAATGAAAGGGAATACGGTATGAGGGAACCCGACATGTGCGATACCCATTTTGGCCGGCATCGTGATAGCGTTGAGATTGTAATCCCATGGGCTGTGCGTGACGCCATTTTGGAGAGGTACCACAAAGAGATCGTGTCAAGGGATTAATGAAATAAGGAGGCTTGAGCTATGCGGACCACATTAGAACAGCTATAGACTTTGTTCTACATTGATCAGTCCGCTAAACATCTCAACACATGCAACAATTTTCCAACCCGAGATTGTGCCTCGAAGGGAGTTTGATCCCGCCAATCCCAACTGGCATCCCTAGCTATAAGGAAGACAGGCCTCACCTTTGGCATACGTTCTGACGCCTCTCGAACCCACCGATCAATAATATCCCGCTCGTCAAGATTCCATTGCGCGCTATCCCTTGGGCGCCATGGCTGGTGAGCCCAATCCTCGCGACGCACCCTCCACCGCGTATAGACCTAGACCGATCCTTGTGAGGTCCAGGGCCCCGTCTTGCAGCCACTATATACCGACCTCATGCGGAAGGAAAGAAATTGATAGTCTTCACCGGCCAGTCGCAAAGCGCCAGCGCGCCCAGCATCCGCGGGCGCAGTATTTTTCCCCAGCCGAGAACTGATGATATGCCGAGGTCCAAGGGAACGAGCAGCTCGCGTATATTAGAATGCGCCGCAGCCATGAACTCAGTGCGGCATCATGCAAGGTAGAAGTGCGATGTCCCCTTTTGACATGGCAGCCTCTGTCCATAGTCAACGTCGAATCCAATCTCGACAACCAGTTGGTTCAAACAGGTTACGGATATTTTTTCCAAGAGGTCTCATGTTCTCTCGTATGAGCGTGTAGAATTCTGAGGATAAACTCTCTTCTCCGCCCCTTTTCGTGACACCTCCATAACTGGCCAATAAGCATGAACGAGTAGCATGCTCCAAGCACGTGAGATTGGCCATCGATGAACTTTTCGGAATGGCTGATGGCCTCTTGTACGCAAGTGGATTCTTTTGCAGCCACCTTGAAGAGGACCTGTCGTTATCACACGAACTCAAGAGACCCCCAATGCAATAGCAGAGGATGCCACTCTGGCTGACTTCAGGCATGATGTGGAGTACACGTGAGTCCACAACCGCAGCATTCATCGTAGCGACAGGTCAACCATGGGAACAGCAGAATATGGGACTTTGCACGACGGGTGTTTTTGTGTGTGGAATAACCTTATATCACGGATGCATTTGGTTTTCTTGTTTAAAAATCAAATAGATTTGGATATCCCATCATGAAAACCTGAACTCCACAGCTCATGTGATAGTAGATACAAAACCAAACACAATGCGGCCGAACGCTAATCTACCCAAAACAACCAAGGAGCTCGAAGAAGCATAATATACGTATATCCCATGTCCCGGGCCCAAATATTGCGCCATTCTTCGCTCGTCAATCAGCCATGATATCTTGGTCAGTCGTTCCATCGAACTGTTGCTGGAAAAGAGGTCTTGCCGTATCCTACTGGGGCTCCACCTCAGGAGCAAGTTCTTCCTCTTCCTCTTCAGGTGTGCCAAAGTCCTCCTCGGTTGCTTCCTCGGTTGCCTCATCGCCCTCCTCCTCGCCGATTGGCTCCTCTGGGACGATACCATTCATCCTCTCCCAAACCTCACGTCTGATTCTATCGTCTTTTGCCTTTCGAGCGCGCTCGACTTCTTCAAAGCCGCCGCTCTTCTTCAGCTTGCCCTCTTCAACAAAGCTAGCCAATTCTTTCTTCAAGGGGTTCTCTGCTCTAGTTTCGAGGTCTTTCTGTCTCAACCTTTCCGCTCTTTCGATTGCTTCGAGTCTGTCTTCGTGGTTTGGCTGCAAAGCTCTTACTTCGCCAAGAACACCCTCCTTGGCGGCTGACGGATCAGAACTGTTGCCAAGATTGCTAAGACCCTTGGAGAACTGTCGTGCTGTCGGTGTGGTATCCTTCATTTGTTCCTTAGTGGCTTGCTCGACAAGCGCGAAAGTCTCAGATGCCTTTTCAAGATCATCCTGCAAATCAACCATGAGATCTTCCATAACCTTGAGTTCGTCTCGTCCTTGGCATACATCCTCGAGCTCTTTCTCCCAGATTTTGGTCCAGACAGGCTTCTCACGCTTCATGTAATCGCGAACCTTGGTGAGCTCTTTGGTCAGGTTCTGGATGTCCTTCGATACTTCTTCGAGTTGACGGGGCACGGGGCGAACGCCACGGTGTACGACGTCCTTCCGCAAGTCTTCGACGAGATCTTGAAGATCATCCACCTTGGTGACAAGGTGGTCGGAGTCAGTGTTGAGCTGTTTACGACCCTTGGCAACATAAACAGGACCGGAACCATTGTCCGAGTTGGAGACAGAAGCCTTGGCTGCAGCAACCTTGACATTGTTGGCCTTGTTACGTAATGTGGACATGGAGCTTTGGATCTCTGTTTGGAAGTTGGAGTAAGTCTGGCGCATGACAGCCAAGTCTCGCCGAAGACTCTGTAGTTCTCTGAGCTGGCTTGGGTTGAGTTTCGCTCCGGGGCCAGCTGTTTTCGAACCAGAAGGCTCCATGACGACTGGAGGTTGAGATGCTAAACGAGCCATTTCTTTTGCAGTTTCTAGTGTGCGGTCAGACACCCTTTGCAGCGCCGTGCTTTGATCGTCGACGTTCTGCTTGACTTCCTCTACCGCCTTCTTCAGAGCTCCTATGCCCTCATCAATGTGCTTTTTAACCTCGTCGAGCGTCTCGATGTTGAGTGCCAAGACGGTTCGATCCTTGATATCAGAGAGATCTTCCAATTCATGGCGAACACCGGAAACGGGATCTTGAATGTAGATTTCGGGCAGATCAGAGCCATTCAGCGCCGTATTCCATGAGAATTTCTCGATAAAAGCCAACTGCAATTTTCCGATTGTCAAACCCGTATAGCCTTCGGGCAAGACAAACTTCTTGACTTTGGATTTGTATTGCAGAAAGAGAGTCAACTCCCTATCGAGCGGCGGTGACTGCTCCACGATGCTGTTCGCTTGTGGCTGCTGTTGGGGCGTCTTTGGCCGCTCTTGAGTCTGCGGTGGCTCCGGCTTCTGCTCAGCCGATGTGTCTATTGATGACGCCCTTGTCTTTTCAGGCGAGCCGGGACCAATAGGGAAAGCATCATCCAGAGGCCCAGAAATAGTCGCACTAGGTCTGTACCTCTCCTCCGGTGAGGTAGCTTGAGGCGACCTAGGCCGGGGCTTAGTCTGCTCGATCGGTAGGCTTGCTTCGGAAACCTTGCTGGGTATCCTGTTTGGTGAGGACTCGAAGGTGGTCTTTGACTGGTTCGAATCGGACCTGTTGTGTTTCATAGCCTCCCTCAGCTGTACAGCGCGCAGCGACTCGCGTACTTCACCGCGCCCTCTGTTCGGTATCGGGGTATTTTGCGAAGGTAGCATAGGCACGCCATTGGTGGGCGCCCCAAGCATTTTGGAGACTTGGTAGGCAGAGTACCTCCTCGAGGCCCTCCTTTCCAAGTCACCCCCTCTCTGCAAAGCAGCAAGAGCACTCTGTTGTGATTTGGGAGGCGGAGGGGGCGGCGGGAAAGAGTCGATATCTATGGGCACAGCCGAGGGACCGGCCGGAATGGTGGATTCGTCGCCAGGATACGGCGGCATGACTGGTATACTTTGCATAGTGTTGCTCGATAATGAAGATTGGTCCGACGCAATAGAGGATTGGGTTTGATCTCGCGGCTGTAACTTGCGTGACGGTGAACCGTTCACCCCAGGGGGCCCTCCCGACCCTGAGCTATCGCGTCCGCCGTTGTAGCTATGATCCCCCAAACCTTCGTTCAGTAAGGTGGTGAGCCCTGTGCCGGAGCTTCCGGTGGTACTGCTGCTCAGGGTGCGATTTGCCATGCTCGACTCAGCATCGGGTGAGGCGGCGCCGCCCTCTTTGTCGCGTGCCTGCTTTGCGCGAAGCTTTTGTTGTTTGCGCTTCAGTCCGTGCAGAAGATTTATGATGATATCACGTATCCTCGGCAGGTACTTTTCGAGGCTTTCGGTGCTTGCCTCCTGGCTCAAGGTTGATTCGAGGATATGCCTGAGGTTTTCGGGGACGTTTCCTAGGTCTGAGGTATCAACGTTGATAGCGGTGAATGCGCGGCAGGCCATGTTGAATTCGTATCCCAGCCTCACGTAGACGTCGGACACCTGGGTGTCGGTGGCGGCGCCGCGCGACCATTGTGTCAGTGTTTCGAGGAGTTGTTTCGTGGCGACGAGCAGGTGAGTGACACTTTTCTCTATTTGTGACAAGGGCATGTTCGAGCCGCTAGATTGCTGTTTTATGCTCACATCAGTGATCCATTGTTGCAGCGTGATAGGGGATCGACTCATTGCGCCTCGTGGCCCCATGTTGGTGGTTTGGCTGGTAGTGTTGTGGTAGTTGTTGCGGGTGCGGGTGTGGGAATCAACTTTGATTCGAAGGGGTGCAATCAACTCTGATTGTAGATGTGGCCATGGGCGAAGCTGGAGTCGCTGCATTTCTGTAAGAGTACTCACATTCCTCCTCGAACCTCCGGACCTGTTCGAGGCCGTAGAAGACCGTGATTGCATGTTTGCCGGTGACATGGGCCTTTGAGGGACACCAGAGGAAGGAGGCGGGCCTGGAGGGTCAACAGCAGGCGACCGCCGCTGCATCGATCGCTGTGATGGGTTTGGAGCCTGCATTGTTGATTTCGTCCTTGGTTCCTTTCTTTTCTGGCTTCTGTCTGTCTATGCTTCCTCCCAGACTGATCCTGCTCCTACAATGGCCACCTCTCTGGGATTGCGCGTCTGTTCAACCTTGGGCGGGCGGGAACTCCCTTCGGCGGCCGGAGGGTTTCAGTGATTGTGACGGCCCAATCTATCCTGTGGTACACAGCCAAAATTCGGCTCGTTTCGCCTGGCGGATTACTAGTGAGGGTTAATGCGACGAAGAAAAAGAATACGAAGCAAGGGTCAAAAATCAAAGCAGGTAATTTCAAAGGACTATGGTATTTCGACAACCGCGGCGGAGGGGAAATCAATCAGGTTGCTTAGTGTGCGGCTTACGGGACAAGAGGTGATGTTCAGGCCAGCTTAGCGGGTGGATTGGATTTGGCGCGACGATGTCGTCAAAAATGAGCCGCCAGTCCGCTGCAAAGCTGGAGGTCGGGCGTCTCGAGGGTCAAGGCAGAGGTCAAGCCAAAAGGCTCTGTCAGAGTCAAGGCTCAGTCAGAGGAGAGGATCCAGCAGGATTACCGAGTCCAGTTTCAATGCAACAGAGACCAAGACCAAGACCAGAAGCGGGTGAACGGACCCCCCTAAAAGCACCTGAAGACTACTGCAAGGCCCTCCAAACAGAAAGAGAAACAGAAACAGAACACCTGTGCCCGCCAAAACCCTAGAACAGGCTGCAAAGCCGTCTTCTGTACTATGTACCGTGTGATCCATGCCTAGGCTAGACATCTCTCCCCTGCATGTGCTCCAGCATATGGCTTATGTACCCGCTTTCCCTTAAACAAACAGTTCAGAACGCCTGCATTCCTCCCGCTTTCCCTTGGACAAATCTACGCGGCCTCCGCCTCTGCGACCGTCCCTCTGCATTCGTTCCCGCATCTTGCCTCTACACTAAGGTTAGACTAAAACAATCTTTTCTCTGGCAGGCAAGATATGTTTCTACTCGTTTGTCTGTTTCAGTGCTCGATAAACACAAGCTGTCAAGTTAGCACGACTACAGTACCTTATCCTTCTCTTCCTGCTGGTTTCAAGCCCCGTTAAGCATGTGGATACGGACGGTGTACATGCCCGCTGCCAACACAACGATTGCACCTACATAATCAACGCATCATTTGCTTATGTTATCCGAAACGTTCGCAGCAATAGACTCTTGCCCTTGCAGCCGTTAGGTCTCAAGACTTTTTAAGCATGATCAACGCCTGAGCCATTCGCTTCTACGCCAGACGTGGGAATAGAGGAATTCGGTAGGTTAGTCGCTGTGCTTGCAGCACCCACGAAAGGCTTCTCGTTCCACAATTCAAGGCCGCCTTGTGAATGATCCTCGACTATAATTATCGCCCAGGCAGGTGTATTTCGGTCAGGTCTGGTGTTTCCTTTTCCCTGTGGCGCGCATTTCGGACTCCAGTCTGCATGAAATACCGCCGTACACTTCTAATCAAGCTGTGAAGTAAGATGAATGAATTACGAGACAAATCATTCTAGCAACCCCCTACCGCTCGCCGTCCAAATCTGCAGAACGTAAATCCGGGTTGCCTTCAGAAATCCCCCCAATTAATTGCTAAGGCAAGTCCGCATCGTGGCATGGTGAGCCGGAGAATGTCTCAGCGCCGAAAATCCCCGGTCCAGCGGCCGCCCACTAACCACCACTTACATAGCCACCCACACGGAGAATGATAGTGACAACTTCCCCGGTCAGCGAGTATATAAATCCAACTTATTGCTGCCCCTAGAAGAAACTCGAAGGCAAACTACTACGTATCCATACCATTCTCTTTCCAGCAAAACGGCGCAGTATAACCATTATACACTAATTATATCTGCAGCAGACGCCTAAGCATCATTAATACATACGTCATATTGCTTTCCCCTCTGCACACAAGTAACTAAGCGTAGACAAGTCCATATGGCTTCACTGCATATTGCAGTCATTGGCGCAGGACCTGTCGGCTGTATGCTGGCCCGGATCCTCAGTATCTCTGTTCCCTCAGTTTCCATAACAATATACGAATCCGATAGCTCGCCCAACTTCCGTTCACAAGGCGGCGCACTAGATCTCCATCCAAAGAGTGGTCTCGCTGCCATACATGAGGCACAGCTGGAGGAACAATTTCAGAAATATGCTCGCTTCGATGGTGACTACTACAACATGTGCGACAAAGACTTCAGGACTCTCCTCACCTTTGGACCCAGCGCCAAGGGTACCCTAGAGCGTCCAGAAATCGATCGGGCAGACTTGCGCAAGATGCTCGCTGATTCACTGCCAGTGGGCACAATCAAATGGGGACACCGCCTAGCATATCTCGAATCTGACGGCGAAGGCCAAAAGACTTTGGTCTTCAAAGACGGTACGACAGCCACAGGGTTTGATCTTGTGGTCGGCGCTGAGGGAGCATGGAGCAAAGTGCGCTCTGCCCTCACGGATATCAGGCCGTACTACTCAGGCATTGGGTATCACAGTCTCGACATCCTGGACCCCAAAACTACGGTCCCGGGGCTGCACAAGCTAGTCAACGGCGGCAACATATTCGCCTCCAACGCACACCAGAGAATTTCCATTCAGCAGATGGGCGACGGCAGTCTGCACATCGGCTACGTCAAGGTGCGGCCGGAAACTTGGCAAGACTCGGCCTCGAAGGACTGGTGTGGCTACGACGTCCACGATATCGAGTCGACGCGGGTCGGAATCCTCGAGGACATCGCGGACTGGGACCCCAGACTCAAGGAGGCTATCGAGAGGGCCGAGGGGAGATGCCAGCCCAAAAATCTGTACATGCTGCCCGTGGATTTCAGTTGGGAACACAAAGCGGGTGTGACGCTCATCGGCGACGCCGCGCACCTCATGACGCCGTTCGCGGGCGAGGGCGTCAATGTCGGTTTCGACGATGCGAGACACCTCGCCGCTGCCATCAAGAGGAGCGTCGAGATGGGGACTTTGCTGGATGAGGAGGTCAGGCAGGCGGAAGAGACCATGTTTCCACGCATGAATATGTTCCAGGAGCTCACGGAGTCGCTTATGAACCTCTGGATGTTCAGCGATGATGTGCGTACAGTTGTCCCGAAAGTGATTATGAAACATGTGTCGATGGGCACCCCATGGATAGTACACCCGCTGCTGTGGGCTGTGGTGCAAGGATGGTGGACAGTTAGGGGACTAAAGGAGAAAGTATTTGGGTAAGAACGATAGTGTAACGATCCAATGGGTGGTTTCGGGGTGCACGCTTGAGCAAATGGACGTGATTCTCTGGCTGCATGGAAACATTTTCTTTTGTCCGGAAATAGATCCGAACCGCGAACGTCTTACCGTCACAGCATTCTGGTTCTAGAACCTGCGCCTGCGGTTACCAGCTACGTTGTATGACTGGATACGAAGCATGATTGCAAGGCCCCGCAGCTCAAGGTATGACAATACGGGCCGAGCAGCCTAACATTGAGAAAACCTGATTGGTGAAATAATTGATAACCTTGCTTGAGAAATTGAGCTCATTCCTATGGCCAAGGCAAAACCTACCACCATGAGACTTAACTACATATGACCGGTGTGTCGAGAGCCTTGACCATTTCATTTGTATATGTAAGCAGAGAATGGCTTTTAAAACTTGACCCAAAAAAACCCCGTGAAACTCGGACAAACTGCTCATAATCCGATCAAAGATTTGATGTTTGAGGTGTGCTTCTTGAAATGCCGTAGAACCAAAATGAATCGGTAAATACGGAGCAGAGACCACCTTCAATTGCCGATTTCGCGCGGATGCCCCGTTTGAGATAGGAACCGGGTTTTTTATGCAAGCAGCCGCTGCCGACCATATGCAGGAGGATCAGCCACGGGCCACAAGAATGCTGTTACCGAACATAAGCACAATGCGAGATCATCAGAGCGAATATTGATAGGCCGACTAATAACTTTCCGTGGTTAGCTAACAGAGACTCAGGTGATACTGCAGGTTTACAAGCCTAAAATGAAGTCAATGACACGACCTAGCTGCGATGAGGCCAAGCCTTATCACGATTTGTTCTTGGTCCCCAAAAAGAAAAGTAGAAAAACGCTACCTGGTATGCGAACCACCCTCCTGGGCGCGTTTGTCCCTTCACAAAATTCCGTGCTCCAGGTTCTTATCAGTATCGGAAGGTTACACCACGAATTTGTTTGTTCTTCATGAAATAGAAATTTCAGCCCATCGGTGAGGAAAACTCTCAGTGCAGTTCGACAGGGGGAAACCTGCCAGGGTAAAGTGTAAATCGTATGCCCATTGACAAGTTGCCAAAATTAGTCGCAAAGTATGAGGTCGGAGATCTCGTTTGCGGCTGCGCCGGCTGCGCGGGGAACTAGGATCGGGAGCTAACGTTAGGAACATCAATTGTGGACCATGGCGATCTATCAAGCGGCTGCGTAAACATACACAGAGCATGTCGAGAAAGAACGTACAAGAACATATCCGTGCTCTCATCGATTCATCGCATGCGGCTTGTGTTGAGGCCGCTACCGAGCCAGTTTTCATTGCCATGTTTCCAGGTCGGACGTGAAGTGAACCGTTTGCCATACGACTACCTCAATAACGAGGGCTTCGATTAGAAGGTCGGCAGCAAGGACCTTACCATACAACTCACCGTTTCGACAAGACTCCAAACCTCGGATTAATCTAAACGGACGTCGAAAGGATGACTTAAGAGCAAGAAGACTTAGTAATCTGGAAACATTGTGTAAAGAACATCAGGCTTGTCTCAGAATCGAGATGACCAACCAATGGTGTATATATATGTCCATAACTTTTCTTTTCCTTTCTTTTTTTGGCTCTGATGGCTTAAGGCGCTACTCGCCACTTTCGTCAGGTATGATTTCCTCGGAGCAAGTGGCACAAATGTGCTGTAAATCGTGCCACCTCAAGAATCTAATTTTGCTTGGCACATTGAGTAAGTAATGCCGTAGTGCTACTTGCAGCTGTCGAACTTATTGTCTGTACCACTCAAACGGCGGGGCTTTGTTTGTACAGTGCACATATATTCATGACGAGATGTTGGTAGAGCTAGTCAGTATGTGTATCGTAGAGGCCGCACGCGTCCTTACTGGCAACGCTCAGGAACCGCACCTTGTCCTGACTGATGAAGCATTTGTGACGTATAAACTAAACTAGCGCTCGAGGTCAGCCGATGCGAAAGAATAGTATGTCTTACACAGTCCCGGTGGTAGTTCGGGCCCCCGATTCTATTTTTGAACCAGCAGATCTAGATACTCTACAACCTCAACCATGTTAAACACCTCCGAGAGACTGCTAAATATTTTTCTCTCGAATCTTATGTATCGAACAGAATCAACAGAATCGAGGAAGTGAGTTACGATCGTAAGTAGTATGTTATTGTTTTGTTTCCATTCAAATCCGTCAGCTTTGCTGCTCACATGAACAACGCAGTCATGCAGCCTCTATTTTATAACCAGTTGTACTCGGAGGGTAGGATGCTATACGCAGAAAAGACGCGCATAGGTAGCAGAATTGATTGGGGGGGGGGGGGGGGGGGGTTTGAATTTTTTTTATTTTTAAAAATCTTTTTCGTTGTCCCCTCCCTGTTTACCGAAATGCACCGCCCAACTCGAGTGTTCCCAATTCCGATGATGCTAGATTACATTACCTGACCTCATCAGGCTCAAAACCGGGCGCAATGCAAAGCATGGTGCGACGGCCCGGGATGATCACTAGTCGGGCACGTTGTAAAATCGGAATACCTGAGGCATCAGCCGCTTCCGAAGGAGCTTGGTCAGTTACATTTCAAAGCCATGTCAGTCATATGTGCTGACCCTGGTGGGATGCAAGAATTGCTCGGGGCGGTCTCACTTGTTTGCTGCTGAAATCTTGAGTCTCGAAGAAGAACTGGTGCTGCCAGGCTAAAACAGTCTCCATCTGAGGTTCATAGCCCGTATATGCAGTGTCAAGTGGCATGGGAACATCCACAAATCCACATCGGTTTGGTTCCTGGAGGACACACAAATAAAGAGAGAGCATACAGTGCTATTATAAATCAGTCCACACCCATTACCCCAGACGGGAAGATAGATAGACCAATACTGATTTGGACTAGTGCGGTCGCTAGAACAGCAGCAGCTGGCAGCTTGTCTACTATGGTACCCGCAGGCACTCGCTCTACTCACGTTTGGGTCTTGTGTGTTGAGTACTGTAACGCACGACTCTCGTTTCTTGCCGAGCCTGCGCACCCCATCCTCCACCCACCAAACCAACCCCAGTCGTTCGCTAACTTAACAGGCGGGTTTGGGACAAGCTGCCGCTTGGGTTTGCATTCAATGGCAAGGGAAAGTGCGAACCCTCATAATTTTTATTTTTTATTTTATTTGGCCTCACATGCGATCGAGCCCCCAATTTCATACTTACCTTATTGCCTACAGTATACTCCACTCCCCTCGGGAACCACTTACGTACTGTTCCTTTAATCTTCACGAGTCTTGTCGCGGAGGGCGGAGAAAGGAGACTTGTACATTTTTGAAAAGCGACATTGATTCTGCTGTCCATCCTCGCCGAGTTTTTGATCGCTGCGATTGGCAGAAGGCAGATGCAATTGTAGAAGCTCAGTCTGGTGTCCAGCTCATTCGGGCGCAACACAAGAAGGCCCTACCCCGAGGTGAGACACTACTAAATCCACGACCCCCCAAAGAAACCTAGACCATCAAAAGAGAACAGCATATCACAAGCCCAGGCAGTAGATCCGACTTCCTCACCCCCCTTCTGCCATAACTATATCATCATAACCTCGAGCGAGAGTATTTGAGCATCGGTAGCTATCGAGGCTGCCAGTGTTGATATTCTCCAGCTGGGTCGTCTCGTCTTGTCTCGTCTCGTCTCTCGTCTTTGTCTTGTCTTGGCGCACTTTGTTGGTGCTCGAGCTGTTCGAGTGCTGTTCTGTCCCATTGGGACTTGCACTTGCTAGACAAAAGCGGGCTTCTGGTTGACACTGCCATTTCCCGTCCAAAGAGGTCCGTCCATCTCGAATTAAACCAAGACCCTTGGAAGCAAGACCCAACCCAACTTGAATTGCCCCCAAGCACGGCGCCGCAGCGAGTGAAAGTAGCAAGCTCCAAGCAGAGCCAAGCAGCAACCCAGCAGCAGCTCCTAGATGCGGGCCACTTTGTTCCCCGGCTACTTTCCACAACACCTCACCTCACCTTACTGCTCGTACACTTCATACTCATCACTTTGGGGGTTGGTCGTGTCAACAACGAAACCAACAAGCGCCTTCGTCTTCGTCTTCGTCTCCGTCTTCGCCCTTCCCATCCTCACTTCCCCTCCTCCGTTCCCGAGCTTGAACTTGAACCTGGTCCAGCCCGCTTTCGCCATTTTTGGCCTCTTGACCAACATCGTCTCAAGTGGCAGCTTGCTGCTACCCTACTCGCCTTTGTACTTTCAGACACTCATTGCGCGCTCCAGCGCATCACAGCCTTTTTGCTTTCTTTTCTTCATGAGCTGACCACGACGTTCCCTCTCCACAGCCCTCTTAATCCCACGGCCTGGTCATTGGCTACAGATTTTCACCTCAACCAACTACGACGTACCTACAGCTCGTCTGCACGCCCGAGACAAGCAGCATACGCACAATTGGCACTGTAAAGTAAGTTCAAACCACTACTCGTGCCACATCTGATATCGTGTCTGTTGTGTCTTCTACAGCCGCGGCTTCTCCATCTTTGCCTGGTACATTTTGACCAGCCCATGCTGCCGTCAGACATCTCCACTGTTTCTAATCGACGGCTGTGCTGCATGCCACAAAGCACCAGCCCATTCTGTTTTGTTGAAGAACCGTACTCACTAATGGACGTTCAGAATATTCGGGCCCGAATTCTTCCTTCGTAGACGCACAACTTAGGAGACGGTCTTCTCAAGACTGTACAACGCCGACCTTCGTTTAAGGATGGTACAGCCCAAGAAGACGGCTACCGCCCTTAGCAACGGAACGAACAGAAAGGACACATCAAATATGTCGTATCAAAAGAAAGACGCCATGCCTAGCAAGTCGGACGCAAAAGGCCAGAACGGTATGTCTTTTTCTTTTCTCTTCTTCTATCTACCGAGATAGAGAGATTGTCTTCTCAATGTCCCTAATGCTTCGTTACACAGGCAATTTTCGTACCGACACAGCCATTTCTGGCAACCGTACAGGCCAAGAGCGCGTCCTGCAACGATGGCAACCCGATGCCCCGGATACCGAGGACCACAGCCTCGAGAAAGCCAGCGGTGGCGGCTCCTGGGATCAGTTCAAAGCCAACGAAAAGCTCTTTGGCTTGAAGACAGACTACAACGAGAACTTCTACACCACACAGATTGATAAGAGCCACCCGAAATACCGGGAGAGAATTGTTGCAGCTGAGCGAACGGCCAAACAGATCGAGTCTAGTGTTGCGAGCACATCACATGTTGCCGAGGAGAGAGTGATGGACTTTGTTGGCGGTGCCGATAATGGCGATGAAGAAGACAAGTAAGCGATTTCACCATTCGTATGCACGGTAACGTGTTATTAACTACCTTTCAACCACAGATACAGCGGTGTCAAGCGTCAGCAGCAACTGGCGAATGACTTCCCTCCCCTTGGCGGTAGTAGGGATAACAAATACACACCACCAGCTCGCAGAGCACCGACCGGCTCGGCCACCGTCAAGGGCGCTCCTTTTGATCCAGCAATTATCTCTTCCCAACTAAAGTCCAATACACCACCAACCACGAACCCTTCTGATGAGAACAAGGCACGTGCAACGTCAAATGAGTCGATCGCTCCCGCTGTGCCAGCTATATCCAAGCTGCCTACCGATGTGAAGCCAGAGCAGACACCCGAGGCGTCCCAGACACCCGCTGCGGACAAGACCACCGCGCAGACTGCTACTCCGCTCAAGCCCTCCGCTGCTACAAGTCGAACTATATCTCCACAAGCAAAGGAAGGTGTGGCAGTCCCTAGTGCAACGTCGACTGTAGAGCGTGACGTATTGAATTCCTTCAAAGCGTTCGCCAACCAGCAACGGACGGTCGCCGAAAAGCAACGCAGCACGAAGGCAAGGGCCGACAAGGAGGTGAAGCTGATCGAGCTGAAGAAATTCGCCTCCAGCTTTAAGCTTCCTACCCCTGTCCCTGTTGATTTAATTGGAATTATTGCCAAGGATCCTGCCAAACAGAAGGCAATCCAAGAGAAAGCAGCCCGGGATGCTGCCGAATGCCAACGACGCAAGGTTGAAGAAAAGGTTGCTCAGGAGAAGAAACAGCCTGCTACTACCAGCGAAAGTCAGCCGAGCACAAGTGCTCAGGGCACTTCAGGTGATCGAGCACGCCCAACAGGCGCATCTTCTTCATCTAATCAGCCAGCCCCAGCAGCCGCTCGTCACTCTGGGCCCCGCCCGGGCAGTTTTGTCCCGGCCCCTTATCAACAATTCAGAAACGGAGCCCAGCATATGGGACAGGCTGGGGGCCGTCAGACTCAGGGTTTAGCAGCTCGCATTCGCGGAAATGCCGAGAATCAGAAATTGGGTGACATGCGCCAACCCCCTACTGGCCCAGCTAATGCAGTTGATCCATCCTATCTTCGCCGCGGCGGACAGAGCCAACTGGGCAACAAGCTGAATCCCAACAGTAACGAATTCCGCCCAAACGCCTTTGCTCCGACATTCACACCTAATGGTCATCACCCAAGCGTTGGCTCGAGCCCCAGATCTACGTTGAACAACGCCGTCGAGTCTCATGCCGTACCCGGCAGCGCCGGTGCCGTTGTCTTCATTACCCGGAAGAAGACTGCTCCGAACCCCAAGAAGTGCGGTATTCTGTCTTACATCAAGGCTCAGCCTAAGCCTGAGGGAAAGAACTGGGCCGACAACGATGGATTCAAGCCCTCGTTCGACACTCCCCCCACATGGCGCCAAGCGCAAGACGACGAGAAGCCTGACTCAACAATGCGCCTGTCCTACCATGAGTACTTCGAGCGACAGCCGTTTGCAACGCAGCGGACACCAGGCCCTTCTCATGGTACACCGTTGCATTTCGCACATCAGTACCAGTTGCCCCCGCACATGCAACAAGGTGCTCCTACCTCTGCAGCCCGAGCATCTCCCCACGTTCCTCCAGCTTCAATGCATGCAGGACCGCATGGACCGCTCCCCCATGGCTCCTTTAATGGAGCGGATGACCATAGAATGATGCACTCGAACTCGTCGCAATCGTTTGCGGCTTCACCGCGCGTTGGTCCGGCTTATCCCCAAGCCATGAACGCCCCATCTCAAGTGCCCTATGGCCAGAACGGAATGCAGTTCATGCCAGGTACTCCTCAACAGATGGGCGGCTTCAACAGGAGCTTTTCCAACAACACTGGGTATATGCCTCAGCAAATGCCGGTCATGATCCAACCAGGATTCATGGCTCCTCAGGGTATGTCAGGTGCACAAATGCAGATGTACCCAGGCGCTCCGCCGCAGTTCATGCATCCCGGAGCTGTGGCCCCCCAACCTATCCCAGGAGCCAACGGTTACCCTAGTCCGGGACGTGGCGCGGCTCCGATGATGGTGCACCAGGGCTCTCAACAAGGTCAACAGATTTATGGCATGAGCCCCAACGTTCAATATGGACAGCCAGCTTTCCCCCAGCAGCCCGGTCAAAGTGAGTAATTCAATAACAAACCCCAAAGACATGTTGCTAACACTCTGGTTGCAGTGAACAACATGCGCGGCTATAGCAACCAGGGCTACCAACATTATGGAACTAGCCCGCACCAGCCGCATCAATATCCTCAGCAACACCGAAATGGAAGTAACAATTTCAAAAACTTTCAAGGTCACAACCAGCACCAAACCCCGCAAGGCGGACATCAAGTTCCGGCAGGTCCTCATGGTCGCACTCCTGACACCACCGATGAAGCCAAGTGAGCTATTCACAAAATGAATAGCATTTAACCGGCGCCGCGCGCCAGCGCAATTATCTATCCATTCAGTTCAACAGCAAATACCGGCATCCTTTGAATACAGCACCGTTGCCATGGCTGCGACTATCAATTAAGAAAATATTAGCCTCTCCCGTGGCGATCTGGATTTCGCTATCAAAGCAATTATTGAACGAACTCAACCGGCCGGGTCTCGGACGGGATGGATCAACTACATATCTGCAGAGTTCTCTGCTAACAAAGCCCAGTCACATTCTAGGTTGACTTGACCAAGGATAGCAGCTCCTTGAGTTGCGATTGGTGGTCACTGGCTGAGCTGCTGTCGTGTATAGTGCTTGCTCACAAGCGGATGGCATGATTAAAGCAATGGTGAAGGAAGAAAGTTGAAGTGAGTGTTGGGAGAGGCATAGTGGGCCAGGCAAGCGATTGATTAGCCAAGCAGATCTGGCAGCAAGGTCTTCGAGCTAGGACTATCGTCATGGCTCAAGTGTTGCCAACACCTCATGGTCTGGTGGTCGGTGCCCCTTGAAAATGCGAACGGCATAGCGTATGCAGGTCATGACAAGAGAAGAGCTGCAAGCTGTGAGCGATCCTGTCAAAAGCTCTCGAGCTTACTCGGTCAATGAAGCCAATGTTCCAGAAGTACTGTTTGCAAATATTTGAGAAACCCGGCAATCAATGCCTCTATGACGACTGATTATGAATTATGATGCCAATGTGAAATTTATTCCACCAAAGACGAAAAGAAGAGGGAAGCCCAGTTTGGCGGGTACGATACATTTAACATGGCTGACTCATGAGAAATCTCTTGGCTACAAAGATCATGTGCCGAGACTACTGTATTGGCGAGAAGGCAGAATGCCTTGCGTCTCGCCACCATCCGAACTTTTGATGGCACGCATGAACAATATCCACAAGCAAGGCAGTCTGAATTTGCTTGCACAGCTGAGATTCATGGTGGGCACTCGGGCCTCTAGGCCTGCAGTCGCAGCCGAAGAGTCAAATGTGGATCCAATATCGTTGGTGCAGCTTGGCAGGAACCTCTCTGAGTCGCATTCTGGGCAGCGTGCAAGGATAGAGGCATGATGAACTGAGGCTGGACAAACAAGAAATCCCGTCATATAGCCGGATATAGCAAATGAATAGACTCGTTAAGAAACGACGGGCGGCTCAGGTAGTCAATCATACTGGTGAAGACGTTGGAGTGACGGGCTTTGACAGTCAGTCTATATACATTTGTCAGGGTGCACTTTTCACTGTTCAGGGCATTTCTGGCGATGGAGGCCAGCATTTGTAAATGGGAGTTGTAGAACAATGATGTGATATCTTGCAGAATCTAGCAGTAGAAATGTTATACCAGATGACTATAAGATGCGTCGCAATCTCGTCATCAGGCAGAAATGACAGGTGGGCTAAGATTTGAGTTTGACTAACAGCACACGTGGGATTGAAGTCTAGAGAAAAGCGTCCTTTGTCAAGGGGATTGGCAACGGCTCTATCGTCTCATGGATGGCCCCGGAGATCGCCAGTGCATGCGAGTCATCACATATCTTGGGATGAGAGATTTTTAGTTTTTGTTTGAAGCGGCATCAAGCGATGAGGGAAATAGGGGATGGGAGGTTTTAACAGAGAGGGTGCTATAGGTCTCCAAGGGCTAGCATGTAGTTTGTTTCAACGATTTCCAGCTTCCGTCCAATAAGGCCTCCAAAGAGCGCCCAAGACGCTGCACAATTAGGGAGCTCGTGTGCTGTTTCATGTTCTCTCTTTCCGCCTACGCTACCTTCTTCACGTTAGTCGTGTAGGCGCTGCTGTGGCATTCATGCCGAGTTTGTTGCCCCCCTGTTCAAGCCGTAGTCCGGGGAGGATTCCCCTTCGCAGGGTTGTGTGAAGGGCGACGTGCAAAAAAGAAAACGGCCAGAGGTGTCTAAAAGCTAAAAGACTTGGCGGGCCCCCCCCTGCGTCTGTCAGGTACGAGGCCATGGCAGAGCCATCAATTGGTTGGGAGAGACGCCGTGTCTGCTTAGTGCGCAGTTCGAAACTTCCTCGGTTGATTTAGTGGATCCCCGTCTTGGTAGGCGAAGCAGGCGGAGGCACGCCCTCCAATAGCCTCACTGTGAACGCTGTGGTCAGTCTCTCAGTATGTCAACCTCTGACCCATTCATTTGACCCATTACACACTTTAATTCTGTCAACTGGAACTCTTGTGGAGAACGGCATGTGAACATTGTCGGATGGACCCGCCATGAAGATCACAGATGGATATACCCCCTTGCACTAGGTTTGCTTTATCCAATGGTTTGTTGCGACTTGCCTTTCTTTGCCGCGGAGCGAGGTTTGGATGTCATGCTCTGTGATCTTTGTACAAATGCCCCACTCTCAAGGGGGAGGCCCGACGGCGACGTCGTCTGTTCTCACTGCCCATGGGTGCCATCGAGTCGTGATGTCCTCCAGTCGCCGCAATATAGGTCTGGGGTACCTGGCAAAGACAAGTCGATCACAGGGGTAGGGGCTGTGAATCTTTCCGCATTGTACTAACCTAGTGGTGCTTCGTCGGCAGCAAACCAGAAGGTATTGGGGATACAAATATCGCCTTGTTCAACCTCATGGACACACTCTTTTCCTGCTCATCTCGACACGCCAAGTCTTTTGGAATTTTCCATTCTACTTCTTTCAACTTCTTGATTTTGTAAATCAACTTTCGATTCTTCTTCGAGTAGCAGCACTGTGTGCTTTTGACATTCCCGTCTCCACCGGCCATTGTCAAACAATCATTGTTCTCTCACAACCACCTTCCTTCACACAGATACAAAGGACTTGTTGAACAATCGATTTGTTCATCCCATTCATCTATCCGATCACTCCTGGACCTTGCCGTGCAAGTCTATTTAAGGCATTCTGTCTTGGCTTCTTCCTTGCTCAACAGAAATTCCGGCATTAGCTTTTTTCATCCTTTGACAAGGAAACCACATCCAAACGCAAATATTCGTCTCGTACATATTTGAGACTGCGACACTTCCGATCGGAATAGCTACAGGTTAGCTATCTATCAGACCATCCTTTTTCACCTCGAGAAATAAACTTCCGAGGCAAAAATATCAACACAAATCATCCAAGATGCGTTTCTCTACTGCTACCTTGGCGGTTGCCGCTTTGGTCGCCGGCGCTTCTGCGCACATGAACATGGCCAGCCCGCCTCCTCTGAAGTACAAGGGCAATCCAAACGCCAAGACGATTGATAGCGATATCACCTCGCCCAACGTCCCTTCGACTTTCCCATGCAAAGGTGCTCTGGATGTCTTCGACAGTGCCGAGGGTGCCTCTGTTGCCACTTGGGCCCCTGGTTCCCAGCAGACTGTCAAGATCGAGGGCGGAGCCAATCACGGTGGCGGTTCGTGCCAGATCTCCCTCAGCTACGACAGCGGGTCTACTTGGACTGCTATCTACTCAAAGCAAGGTAACTGCCCGGTTGACACCAATCTCGCTTTCACCGTGCCTTCAGATGCGCCTACTGGCGACAAGGTCTTGCTTGGCTGGACCTGGATCAACCACACTGGCAACAGAGAGTTCTACATGAACTGCGCGTCCATCACTATCGCAGGTTCGAGCAGCAAGCGTGAAGAGATCGAGTCTGCCGCCAAGCCGGCCAAGCGTGAGACCGCTTTCTCGTCACGCCCAGCCATGTTCGTCGCCAACCTTGAGGGTAAATCGGACTACTGCGTCAAGGAAGGTGTAGATGTCCTCTACCCCGAGCCCGGTCCCGATGTCGACACGGTCGGGTCTTCCGGTGGTCCCCCTGTCAACTGCGATACTGGCGCTGCAGTCACTGGCAGCACCGGTTCTGGCTCTGGTTCCGGTTCTGGCTCGTCTGCGTCGGCCACTGCTACAGCTGCCACTTCTGCTGTTGCTACAACCACCGCCGCTGCCACAAGCAGTGCCGCCGCCGCCACGAGCGCCATCGCTACCGCCTCCGTTTCAATGTACGTACCATCGTCCTCTTCATCATTCCTTGTCACCACCACCAAGGGCCCTTTCGCCAACTCTTCGGTTGTTTCATCAACCAAGACGCCCAACCCCACCGACCTCACTGTCATCCCAATCTCCAAGACTGAGAGCAGCGTGCTAACTGCCTCCTCTTCTAGTCCCGGTGGTGTCTTTGTTACATCTCCTTCTGGCGGTGCCTCGTCGACCGCAGCTCAGACCACTCAGCAAACAACTCTTCAGACCAAAACAACTGTTATCAGCGTTCCTACATCGGCAGCTGCTACCAAGACCAGCAGCGCCGCACCAGCCACGGGATCCGGAGGAGCGGTATCGGGATCTCAGACAGGTGCCTGCTCCGATGAAGGAAGTTGGAGCTGTTTGTCCGGTGGTTCTAGCTTCCAGCGATGCGCGAGTGGCCAGTGGTCTGCCGTCGTGCCCATGGCCGCCGGCACTAGCTGTACGCCAGGTACATCCGACACTCTTTCCATAGCCCGCCGCGCGATGGCCCGCCCTATCCGTCGCAGCCTCACCTCCTGGAGCATGTAAAGGCCTGAGAGAGTCTTGGACAGGAACACATGTGGATGATCCATCAAAAATTGGATGATACTTTTCTTCTCTTCTTCTTTTGAGGCCTGGGGCCACTTTTTGACACTTGTACATACACGTGTCTCCCGTTTCCTTTCTTCTCTCACATCCTGTACACACTCACAGGGTGGAGAAGAAGGAAAGATGTGGGGGCAGATACATCATGAACCCATTGGCATTGACGAGGCGTTCGGGGAATTGCATTTCAGAGGATCTTAACGACCAAGAAAGGAAATATAAGATGATGATATACTCGACGTCTTTTATAGATCGACGTGGCGCGCAATACGCCTGAATTGACAAATTTATTGCAAATTTACCCGTTATTCCATGTGACATTTAGACTTGTACTACTACAGCACGATCAGTGGTGGTATTATTATTCATTTTTTATTCTACATTTCAACTACCAAGCGCATATTTTCACTTGGGCGCACTGTTTCATTCACTCGAAGTCCCAGCTTGGCAAGTAGCGAAATGCTCTACTCTCCCTTTACTCTTCCGCCTTGACCCAGCCTTCCTTCTCATTCTGCTGTTTACTCCTGTGCGCCCACCCAGGCGCCTCGTCGACACCCTCTTCCTCCTCCCTGTCGCCCTGCTCCTTCGTCCTGTGGACGGATGTGGGCCGGTGCTCGGCCGGCGAGTATACGGTGTACAGCAGGAGCGGCGCGGGCCCCGTGTTGAGGAACTGGTGTCTGGTGCCGGCGGGCACGACCACCAGGTCGCCGGCCTTGACCGCCTGCTCCCGCCCGCCAACCTGCGCCAGCCCCGTCCCCGACGTGAAGGTCAGGATCTGGTCCACCGTGTGCACCTCCTCGCCGATGTCCCCGCCCGCCGGGATCGTCATGAGCACCAGCTGCGAATACAGCCCCGTCCAAAGCACCCGCCGGAACTCCCCCGACGCCGACGGCAGCGCCGACAGCATCGCGGGGAAGTACTGCATCTCCTTCTCCGGAGGGTCGCTCGAGGGCGTGGGGAACGTCCGCGAGGCCATCTTGGTGCTGCTGGATAGTAGTAGTCTCTGAGTATATGCCGGCACGGTGGAGTGGCCGAGTTTGGGCGTGATGCGGGACGCGTGTCTCACGAATGCGGAAGAGGTTCTGGAAAACATGTGTGGAAGATATATGCTGTACAAGAGACAACAACGGGGATCTGTGGTTATATACAAATGCGTCGAAAGTTCATGTCATAGAACAACCGCACGGAATGGTCCCCAGATCAAGGGGAATTGCGACGGATGACGACCTTCGCTTTTTTCTGTTTGGTCGACAGGACAATGTAAGTTTGGATGCTATGGAATATCCCAGTACCGAATATGACCGTATTTCTTCATTTGCTCCAGGTAGTGAGTGGTAACGTGCCGTGTTGCAGTGTAGTGAGTAAGCGTCACTATACGTCATGCACTTCTCATGCACCCCCGAACTTTCAGGGCTCGGCATGGCATCATCAGCCAAGTACCATACCACGCGGCCCACTCCGTCACACAGGTCGATACAAAAACCTCAGATGCAAATCATGTGCATACTACAAAGATTGTTGGGACGGGTGGTCAATTTATGTTTCGTCTGGAAGGATATCGGACGACTGCATGGCTTCTGCACATCAAGCGCAGCAGCCTTGGCCCGGACGGCAGTTCATTGGATATAGGAACGTATAAACTGTGGAGAACTATTTTTCATTGTTTAGCATATCCACTGACCACGTATCATTCCTTCCAGATCAACATTTCATGATAATCTGGTTGTGACAGTTATCGTGCACGATTCTGATTTCAAGTTTCTCCCGACCACAAAAGAAGAGGTTATTGGACTGGTGGGTTCATGACTTCATTTCTATTCAAAATGGACGATAACTCCAGATGTCCTCGCCAGCTACATTCTATCAATTGACGATGGTACTGCTGCTTCCAATCAAAGTCTCGTTCAGCGTGATGACCACAACTCGATCGAATGCTCCGATTGCCAGTTTGTTACCGGCCAAAGCAAAGTTGGCGATGGGTCCAACGACCGCTGCGCTTGCCAGCGCCAGCGCATTAATCTCGCCGAGGACCTTGCCCTTGGAGTTCCTCACGACGATGCCGCCTCCTTCGCCAGTCCAAACTCTGCCCTGGTCGTCCACATGGAGCCCGTCCGCAATGTTCGTCCTTGCCAGGCCCCATAGTCTTCCGTTGATGGGATAGGCTTCGTCGTCAAGCTCGAACTTGTAAATGCCGGGGACCGCGGTGCTGGCGTTGTTGCCCTCGCCGCCGCCGGACTGGGATAGCGTTTCCGAGTTGGTGACGTATAGCGTCTTGTGGTCGGGGGATACACGAATACCGTTGGCGGTGTTGATGGCGCTCCGGTCAATGACAGGCTGGAGGGTCCCCGTCTGCGGGTCGAAACGCCAGACGGCGTTGGGCATGGGGCCGGTGGGGTAGCCGGTCAAGAAGTGATCGAAGCTCACGCCGGTGAACAGCATGTATCTGTCGTCTCCGTGGGTGACCCATACCGGCTCATCCAAGGTAGGGAACGGGATGCCGAAATACGAGTTGAGCACGGGTTCGACGTTGTGGGGCGACGCAACGTCTACCGAGAAGATGCTGCTCGGTATCCCGCCGTTCGGCTGGCTGGATGCGAACCATACCTTGTCGTCGAACAGGTAGGCGCCGTTGCCGTATATGGGCTCGGTCGTGTCCAGCTTCCTCGCCGAGTTGTTCTGGAGGCTGAATGCGAAGATACCCTCCTCCAGGTCCGGCCACCCGTACGGGCTAGGCGTGAACCAGACCTCGTCGGCATCCGGGATGTAAACTCCTGCTTCAAACGCACAGTTGTCATCTTCTCCTGGACACAGGATGCTGGTAATAGACGGATCCTCGCCGATGATGGACAGGAACTCGTCGCTATAGGAGATGAAAGTCGCATCCTTGGCTGATTCGAATAGCGAGTTGACGGTGGAGTTGGTAGTCGTCGTACTGTTCGCCCACTCCCCAGTGATTTCAGTCGTGAAATTGTCCGCTGGGATGTAATAGGTGAGGCTGTCTGGTATCGATACAATGGAGTTGTTCAGCGCCGCAACCAGCGTGGGCACTGCCAACAGCACTGGTAGCTTCTGAACCATTTTGGCTGTAGATATTCAGTCCGGAATGGAATTCGAAATGCTCGATGTATTCCGTGTAAAGTGTCCGGAGAAAATTACAGAGCCGCTACTAGGATCGAGTGCGTTGAATCTGTGTCGGTAGACACAAGGACATTGTGACAATATATATTCTGTCCGAAGATTGCATACATGCAACTCGAAATGAGGCTAACCATACAACAAGAGAAATTGGAACATATCCATATCAATACATAATAGTTATTCACCGTAGGGGTCTACATGACTCGATCTTCCATGCCAGATCTCGGTGCGGTCCGAAAGATCTGGCTCGGTTAGAATTCCATGTCGTCACTTTTACCAAAGTACAGGGAGTGCGTCCCGAGCATGGTGATAGCAATGGTATTCATCTAGGGTCGTATCATCCCATGATGAGGCGATTAGTTGCCGCAATCTTCACTAAGTGTATACGCTAGGCGGTCTAGATTAGTTAGTCCAATATTCTGGTGGACACAGAAGCTGATGTAGCCGATTAAGCCTGTATACTATCAACATAACTTGAATTCGGAGGTCATATCCTATATAACCTATACTATCGTGTAGTCTCTCGATGGGTTCAGATCTCCCACTAGATCTCAAAGGTAACTTGTCATGACTCTATATTTTACGGCGGTATACTGTGCACGGGTTGAGATTCGGGGGTACGCGTCAGCTTTTGTGTCCACCACTTACTAGCTAGCCCAGTGGAATATGGATAGCCCTAAATCTGAAATATATTAAAAAATTCGTCTCTATCAATAATGCACTTTTCAAGCCCCTTAAAATGTCTCAATCCCAGGTTTCGTTAGAGAATGGAGAAAAATTTTCAGCATGCTATTTAGTGCGGCCGAACCGGTAGCGTACCGAGGGAATAACATACAATGCCGCAATACGCGGACCAATAGTCCAGCCAAGATGTGACAAGCGCACCGGCTCTGTCGGAAAAGTTGAGGTACTACTTCACATCACTAACTCTTCTCCTGTACTCTTGTTCGGACACAGCATCATGCCACTCTGTGGCCCCGATTCCGACGACAAAATGAGTCATGATACTTCCATCGTCCGCACCGTGCCAATGCGTGGTTCCCGCCGGAGCCCAGATGGTATCACCAGCCTTGATTCTTCGTGCCTCCTCGCCCTTATCGCAGATCCAACCAGCTCCAGAAAGAACACGAATCATCTGCCCGCCTTTATGGGTGTGCCAGTGGGTTCGAGCACACGGTGTAAACGTGACATTGGCCAGCGCCGCTTGCTCGTCCATGTGCAGCATTTCCAAAAAGACTTCTCCAGTAAAGGTGCCGGTGGGTTTGGCGACAGCTTTTTCTGTGTTTGCGGAGCTGGCAATGATGATTGATTCTGGCATGATGGTGGTTGATAGTGTTGGTCACTGCTGGCTTCCGATGAAAAGGGGCTAGACCACGTCAGACAGGGAGCTCAATATAGCCCTAAAGAGCATCATCGTCTACTTACACAGGTAAAGGTATCGCTCTAGGTAGGTATGCCAGAGCACAATATGCCACCCGATATCCTCATCAGCCCATATTTATAGTCAGAGGGCCCGAAAGCATGAGCAGGTAAAAGCAAGCGGCGATGACTTACTTCCGAGCATCTTATCTCCGGGTCGTTGCATGCAGTAGTAGGATGGCTTGCTTAAGGCGGATCCATCAAAGAATTTAGGAGAGACTCAAGCGGAGCTAGAGCGACGGCAGGGCTTCTTGCTTGTAATGGCTCGTGAGACTGCTCACATCGAAGACTGCGATTGTACCGTCTTAGATCTCGAGGATCAATCTTCGTTCGCCTCGCTTCTCTCTCCAGGTATTCGTGGCCGCCAGCAACTCCTGACAGCCATGTAGCAAACCGCCCCATTTGCGTACAAATTCGGGAGTAACTTCCCACCCGCTGGTATCCCAGGGATTGCCCCAGACTATGAATGCAGATCTGCCGAGGCCGTCACCGGGCTCGACGACGTCATGGCACAGGTCATCTTCATCGATAAGCCCGAGAACCTCAGCAGCCTGCAGAACATTGTTCCGAAGTATCGGGCACGGCAGAATGTCGATCCAGGGATGGTGTTCGATAGCTAACTGCAGGGGTGTCGGCCGAAGACTGTTAGGGCACGATGGCAACATGGCTGCCAAACCCGAAGCGGTACCGGCACGACCGAACGGGGATACGGCTTCTGCATCCAACCATGCGGTAGAGATACTCAGCGCCTCGGCGTTTTGGTTGACGGCAATGAACGAATTGAGCCGAACAAGGGTGGGCAGATGAGTCAGGCAAGGTGCACCCTTCAGGTAGCTGGTATAAGCTTGTGTCGCGAATTGCTGTATAAGGTATTGCCTTCCAGGGCTCATAATGGAGCACGTCTGAGGGACTACATCGCTATCTCCTACAAATCCACCGGGCTCTGTTATGGCAGTCGAGTCGGCAGTGCTAACCTCAGCAGCCTGTCGTGCTTGACGCAACTGTCTTTTTCGTTTGTCTATGGCTGGTTCACCTCTGGGCAAACTCTCGTACTGATACAACATTACTTACGATAGGCTCTCTGGTTCAATCGGTTCTGGAGCTTTCGCCTCTCTGCTGCGCTTGTGACACCGGTCCAATCGTCATCCGAGTTCCGTACCTCAATCTGTTGAAACATAGGCACAAGCGTCACCATCGGCTCGGTAATAGCGGAGGGGTGATTCATGTTTGATCGGATCAATATCGATAAATAGCAGCGGTTGTGGAAGATACTATTGAGTTCTGAGTGGTGATTTGACTTTGGAAGCATGGCGGGATTATGTATATGCAGCCTGCTTATAGACTAAGCCCGGCATGGACTAGTTTTCTCTATGCTCAGGTTGTGACGGCATGGGTTAGAGCTGCACCATATAAGCAGACTGCAGTAGCGCACACTCTAGGAAAGAGTTCATGCGGCCATCCTGCCATCTTCCGATTGCCGAACAGTCTATGCGCAACCGCTTTATTCTAGACGGAATAGTAGATCCATAAAACAAACCAATGTGGCCTGCTTATGGACTGCAGTTTGCGGAAATCGGCTCTCGAAATGTCACTATCGATACGACATGGAAACAGCGGGAAGATATATTGGACAGATGTCCATCATGAACTCCTCCAATAACCACTCTATTGCGTCTCCGTCGAAGTCTTATCAAGCCTTACCGAGTATCATAGCCTTCAATGTCATTCTTCGACCCACCCCCAAGGCCCCAGACCCGACTAGCCTATCACCGGGTCTTATCTCCGACCGCATCGGTGAAAGTATCGCCAATATGTCTCGGAGGTATTAGCATAGGAAACGAATGGAGCGAGCTGTTCGGGGAGAGTGAAGATGCCTTCACACTACTTGACCAATTCTTCGAGCTCGGCGGCAACTTTATCGACACGTCCAATACGTACAATGCGGAAAGCTCGGAGAGACTCATTGGAGAGTGGATGAAAGCCCGTGGAGTGAGAGACCAAATGGTAGTTGCCACTAAATACACTGCCGGATATCGAGCGCACAACCGGGAAAGGGAGCCGCTTCAGAGCAACTTCACGGGAAACTCGGCCAAGTCCATGTTCGTGTCTGTCAGGGACAGTCTCCGAAAACTCGATACAGACTATATCGACATACTGTATGTTCATTGGTGGGACTTTACAACTTCCGTTGAGGAAGTTATGCGGCACCTCCACGCCTATGTGATGGCCAGGCAGGTGTTGTATCTAGGAGTTTCCGACACGCCAGCTTGGGTTGTCGTCAAAGCGAACGAATGTATGGCTCGGATCCATTACTCGGCTCCCACGTACCTTTCTCCATGCTGACTGATGCAGACGCACGAAGACACGGCCTGACGCCCTTCTCTGTCTACCAGGGGAAGTGGAACGCGGCATTCAGGGATATGGAAGCCGAAATCATACCGATGTGTGAGGACCAGGGAATGGGCATCGTGCCGTGGGCAGCGCTCGGTGGAGGCCAGCTGCTCACTGCCGAACAGAGAAGGCAGAGGGAAGAACAAGCCGCGAACCAGAAAAGCTTCTACACACTAAGCAAAGATGATATCTCGGTTTGCGAAGCACTTGAAAAGATTGCTGCTGACAGAAGCGCCTCACTGCAAAGCATAGTATGTCCTACCAGCGTGTGATTTCAAAGCGCGCCCATTGAGACTTTCTAGGCGCTCGCGTATCTGTTTCACCAGTCGACATACGTTTTCCCGATTGTCGGCGTGCAGACCACAGCTCACGTGAGAGCAATGGAGGAGGCGCTCGCAGTGAAGCTGTCGCAAGACGAGATTCGGAGGATCCAGGAGGCTACACATTTCAACCCGCTATTTCCAATGAACTTTTTGTATCCAAACCAAGAAGGAAAAGGCTATAGCCTTCAGTTGACCGCTGCGGACAACGTGCAGTACCAGATGTCGGCGTGGATTGATGTGCCGGGCAGGCCCCCTGTAAGTTATTCCCTCTCAAGCCGTCTTGCGTGCCGGTGCAATACTAACGACTATTGGTAGGCCTATGAGCCGCATTCGACGCCAAAGTCGTAGGAATTGATTGACACGAGAAAAGTTCGAAGACGAATATCGGATGGGAACGGCGGCCAAGGGGTGGCCTTTTCTTTTTTCATTTTCTCATGTGCCTACGTTCTGGAGCGATGAGGTCTACTATGACTAACAACGCGGAGGAGAAATTTTGTAACAAGGTTAGATAGTTCTACGAGTGAACAGCAAAATATATGCCCGAAGAGCACCAAGATAATAACTCAATGCGCCACCCGAAACCACCAAGTTCTACAGAGAAGAAAAAGAAATCGAGAGATACCCTTCTTCCTCTCTTCAGCTTTACCGGGAAGAGGTGGAAGGCGTCTATGGAAAACCAGAATAACGAACGGCAACGAACCTTGCCAGTCTGTCGTCCCTCTACAGCTCTTCGACTCTGTTATCAACGGCCTCGCCATGGCTCGCTCCAGCGCCAAGGTCCGCATGATTGATCATCATTTGCTGGATCTTGACCCCTTCCAACCCCTGGGAACGCAAGAGGCATGAACGCAATGAACACGGCCTGGAGGACTTCGGTGGGTTTCGCAAAGATCCCCTTGACCCTGAGCCAGAACATGACAGACCCAGTGACGATCCCGATCGACCACGCGACCACCTTCCACACCTGCTTCCAGGCCATCTTCGCGGATTTCTCGTCCCTCTCCATGGCCTTGTGAGCCTCTCCGGCGCTTCCCCTGACCTGGTTTGATATGGTACTGAACAGTCGACGAAGCTCTGCTCTCCTCTCGAGCTCCTTCAGGATTTTCTCTTCGGAGGTCTCCTCGGCCGGCTGCTGTGGGCTGTGACCGGTGGCGGCTTCAGCTCGAGCCTTGCGGTTCTCGATTTCCTTCCTCGCGATCTCGGCCTTCAGTACCTCCACCTGATGGTCCATGAAGAGCTCGAGCCGGCCCAGAATCCGATGCATCTCCGACGGGGTGATGGCCATGCGCCTCTCGATGCTGTGCCACGTCTCGTTTGTCTCAAGCGTTTTCCCAAAGTTCCACCCAAAGTATATGTGGTGGTCGACGTGCTTGAACTTCACCATGAACGAATCGATGTTGTTGATCACATCCCCGATCTCGGCTCGGAGCAGATTCTCTTCCTTATCGGCAAAGGGAGCCAGACGGAAGAACTCGTCTATGACTTCGGGGTCCAGAAAAACCCTCTGGGCTTCAAGGTCGTGAGCGGGCTTGGCCTCGACAGGCGGTCCAACTTCGTTCTCGTCTATTCTGACAAGCAGTGGGCCGCCCATTTCGGGATCACGTTCGAGGACGGTAGACATGTTTTACGGGAACGATAGTGCGGAGTTAAAATTAAGGATCAAGATTGACTGTAGCAAGAAACAGGTAAGTTGTAAAATGGTGCCTTTCTCTGTTCTGCAGTGAAGTTCAAGTACAACTCTGTCCTGTGAATCATATTGACAGGTCCAATTCACGACATCGCAGTGTACTCGTAGCCCCCGTGAATCACTATATCGCGTGAGCACTCTTTGATTCGTAGTTTCATGATAGCCACGCGACATAGGGGCAACCTCGAGTTGCACTTCAGTACGGAACTATAGGGTATTAAATCACAACTGGCAGAATTCCCGTTAAGCGTCAACGATCACATGAGCTAGGCAGGCACGGCATCAATGGCATATACCGAAGTATTCTCCTCACATCTCCTGTTCTTGTAGGTACAATATGGAACTATACATTACTAGCTCATCGGCGTGCCCAAGGCCCGACGTCCAAAAAAATATACCGGGAGAAAGAAAGCCGGGAATCCGCCCGAAACCTCAATTTCTTGCACATAGAAACGAAATGCTGAAAAGGCCCATGACCCGAAAAGATGATCGCCCATGAAAAATGACAGTCTCGCCCTTTATGCAAATATAATAGTTCAAGTTTGTTCATATGAGGTTGGCCCTCGCTCGTGATGACTATACATAGGAGCGCCAGGTCTTCCCTAGTAGCCCTGGAGATCACGAGTGGCTGGCAAGGAAGTTCGCGGCCTATAGAATTAGTCAGCAATTGGTCAGGCAGGGGTGATCAGGTACAGCTGGACTTACCCGCTCCAGGTTGTAATCGTACTTCTCTAGCGCATTGAGCGCGTCCGTCCTCGAGTATCCCATACCAGTCAGATTCTTCAGAATAGGATCATCGTGCACACCCTCCTTTGTCAGTGCCCTACCAGCGTTTTGTAAGCTGGGCCGGCCTGAACTAGTAGCGTCTGGGCTGCCGGGCTTTTCAATTTGCGTGTTCGCTGCTGCACTTGGCTCGTCCAGATCGGCGAAAATGGAGTCCCAGTCGTGATTATCAGCCCCCTTCGCGCCAGCGCTCGCAGGTGCTGCCGGTGTAGCGCTTGTTGCCGATTGCGAAGGGTTTCCTGAGGTGGAGGACACGTTACCGAAGTCGTAACTGCTGCCAGTGCCAAAGACGTTGGAAACGTTAGTGGACTCGCTCTTCGGCTGCGACGGCGGTGGGCTGCTATCAAAGACGGAGTTGAAGTCGTCATGATTCGAACGTGATACATGAGCGAACTCATCATCAGCCGAGCCCTCCTTGGCATCTTCGAGGCCTTCGAAGTCGTCATCAAAATCGTCAAAAGCGTTCTTTGACGCCACTGGTGCGGTATTGGTGACCGTTGTTGGAGCCGGCGCAAAGTCAGAGGCAGGTGCGAAAGGATCTTCCGAAACTGGTTTCGGGGCTGCCTTCGGGGATGAAGCAGAAGAGAGCTCACTTTAGAACAATGGTCAGCACAGGAAAGTAGAGTTATAAATTTTTTTTTAAAAGAAATTTGGAACCTTACTTGTTCAGATGACCTGCGGAGCCAGCACCCTCCGCAGCCGGTACATTGGGAATAGGAGCAGATCTGCTTGTCGCAACAGGTGACGATGGCGCCTTGGGTGTCTGGTTTCCCTCTTGCTTCTTAGCAGCCGGAGAAGAAGGGGCAAAATCATCGTCAAATCCGTTTCCATCACTGGCCGAGTCATCAGAGTCATCGTCTCGCTCTAGTTCTGAGATGGGAGGGAACTCGGAGTTGAAAGTTGAGAAAGCGTTGTTAGTCTCCTTGGGCTTTTCTTGAAGTTTGCTGGACGAGCCGAAACTGGCAAAGGCCGAGTCAAAGTCATCCTTTGTGTTGATGGGCGCCTTCTTCAGTCCCTCAAAGATCTCACTGTCCCGATTGCCGGCGAACGATGGAGTAGCGGCACTTTCTTCTGCTCTGGGGGTCTCTTCAGGGAATGCACCCGGCATGTCACCAAGGGTGTGACCGTTGGTCGTGAGAGGTGGCGTAGACTCATCATCATTAGCATCACTTTTGGTGTTGTCTTGCACAGAGGCTGCACTAGCCCCTGTAAACGCAGGCTCCAACGCCTTGGTACCAATAGCGGCAACTGGAGTGCTGCTATCACCAGCACGGCTCAAGGGAGGAGAAGCTTGGCGGGAAGATGTCCGCGATTCGCTCAAATCCCCAAACGGCAAGAAACTGGAGCTGATCTGCCTTGAAACAGGCGGAGGCGGTGGCTCGAGAGAGCCGAACGTGGCCTGGCGGCTGGTAGTCGTGGGAGTAGAGCTGGCAGGGGCGGCAGAAGATCCTACACTAGCTGTTGAGGTACCAGTGTGCTGTGCTTTGAATGAAACGGGCGGCGGCGGTGTACTAGATGTGCTGCCACCACCGAACCCGCCAAAGATGTCATCGAATGACTTGTCGTTGTAGGCTTTGGGTGGGGGCGAAGCGAAAGCACCCATCATATCAGTACTTCCACTGCGCTTGAAAAAGGGGTTATTACCGCTCGCGGACGATGGAGCAGGACTGGCCACTTGAGCAGGTGCTGCGACCGGCGAACCAGCGCTGATTTGACGGGAGAGCTCTTCGTTGCTCTTGGTAAGGTCCTCGGCCTCAGTCTTGAGCTTCTCTCGCTCCCCTTCAACAGTGGACAGTTGCTTCTTGTTAATGGCCACCAATCCCTTTTGTTGCCGGGCATCCGACTTCAGTTTCTCAATTTGAGGCTTCAGCTGCGCAATCTCGGCATTGACAGCACTGATCTTCTGCTTGAGACTTTGGTTTTCTTGCTGGTCTGCCTGCAAGGCGCTTGAGAGTTGCTGGTGTTGGCCTTGGATGTCCTGGTAGCTTTGGTTGATTGTTGCCATCTCAGTCATCAGCTTCTGCGTTTCGCTGCGAGATTTCTGCAGTTGGTCCTTGAGATCGGCAACTTCCTTGGCTTCCTTCTCATAAAGAGTTCTAAGCTGTGCTAGGCGATCCTCAAAGTTCTTCTTTTGCTGACTGGTTTGGGTAATCTCCTTTTGTGTAACTCCACGCTGTCCTTGAACCTGCTGCATCTGAGTTGACAAGGAGCCGATTTGGTTAGACAAATTGGCAAGCTCGGCTGTCTCGTTGGTGAGCTTTTTGCTGATCTCCGGATCATTGTCACCAAGCAGGTCATCCACCGCTGAAGTAGGCTTCGAGCCGGATGAACCCCCGGTGTCTTGCGCCTGTAGAGCCCTGCCGAATGTTGAGGATGGAATGAATGGCTTGAACTGATTGCCGGTTGGCGAAGCATGGATAGGCGAGCTTGGAGCTGCAGGCGAAGCATTCGCAAAGGGATCTCTTGTTGCAGAGCCACCAGTAGCCATAGGGGCTTGTGCGGGCGCAGGGGCAGGGGCAGGCGAATCGAGGCCGAAGAGATCGTCGAGTGCGGACTTGGGCGCAGGTGGTGGCTGAGGCCTTGGTGGCTCTGGAGCATCGAAAGGAGAGGCACCGGCGGTGGGCGGGCGTACCTGAGCTCGCAGGGAAGGGGGGATCAGGTTCGAGGGCAGAGTGCTAGGGAGGGTGTTTAGTCCGTCCTTCCTGCTCCTCTGCTGCCTGATGAGGTACATGGCCACAGCGAAGGTATCCTTGGTCAAGAGTCCCTGCGAGTTGATGTCTGACAGATCCCATATCTGAGCCAAGACGTCCTCGGATAAGCTCGACTGGGCCAAGAACGGCACCGCCTCCTCTCCGGTGATGAAGCCCTTGTTGGTTTTGTCCAAGTCGGCGTACAGCAGATCAAACCTTGCCTTATCTGCAGGAGTAATGGCCCAGTCAGACCCAGTGGTCTGCGGTTGAAGCCCAGTTGCTTGTGCGCTCAGGGGTGCGCGACCTAGAGGGCTGGCTTGCCGTAACGGGGCCTGCCCACTCAGCTGACGAGGAATGGCAGACAGAGGGGGGCCGGCGGTCGTCGGGCTCTGTCTCGGCGGTTGGCCACGCCTCGTGGCCGCTTCGTAGAGGGCAGCTGGGAGGACGTTGGGCAGCCCCCTGAGCTGGCCAGTCTTCAGTGATGTGAGCAGATGCATGGCGATGACGAACTCGGTCATGACGAGCAGGCCTCTCTGCTCCGTGTCCGCCAACTGCCATATCCTGCCGAGCAGCTCGTTGGGCAGACCCGACTTCTCGAATATATTCTTGGCCTGGTCGCCTGGGAGCATGTTGCCGCCCTGTAGGTTCTGCCTCTCGAACAGGCCAGCGTACTGTGAGACCTTCTCGGGAGTCAAGGGTGGAATGCGGATAGGCACGCCGCCGGTGCCTTGTGCTTGAAGGGGTTGTGCGGCGGCAGGTGACGGCGGTGCAGCGGGTGCTATGGTGATGCCATCGAAACGTGGAATAGGTCCCTGCTGCAGGGCGACCTCCTGTGTCGGTTCGCGACCAGCTTGGGCATGGCCAATAAGACGAAGGACGATGCTGAAGCCAGCAGGAGTCAGGAAGCCGCGGTTCTCTCGGTCTGCTATTTGCCAAATCTGTAACGGAAGGACGCAGAGTTAACACCTGGGCTAGAAGTTGCCTGCTGGCTCTGTTGCGCAGTCGTGAGAGCATGGCTGGGCAGTGGGGGGGGGGGGGGGGGGGGGGGGGGGGGGAGGGGGACAAAGCAAGAGAAGCGTACCTCTCCGAGGACCCTTGAATCCAGTCTCGTCTTCTCGAAGAACTTGACAGCTACGTCGCCGGTGACGACTCCTACATTATCCGTGTCGGCTTGGCGGAATAGCTGGCCATAGACTCGTTTCTCCTCGGCATTTAGGTTGAGGTTGGGCACTGCCAGGGACGAGTTTCATTAGCCTCTGTCCCGATCATGACGGACAAGCAACGATTGCTGGTTCCTCTGCCGCAGTCGCATGTAGCTACGACTAGGACTAGGACGGGGGAGATGCAAGGCAATCCACTCACCCTCAGCACCCGCTTCGGCCGACATGGTTACGTTGCGTTGCGTTGCGTTTACCACGCTTGGAAGCGCTCGGGGTCGATGAAGGAGCTCGGGAGAGCTTCAAAGCAGACGCGTGGGTTAATCAAACACGAATCTATTGGGAAGATGGGACGCAGACTGGCGTAACATGTAAGTCTAGAAAGCTTGGACTCGAACAGGCGAGTGAGTCGCGATCGAAGTATGCTGCCCAAGACCTGACTGATTTGGGGGGGAGGCTGGAGGCTGGAGGCTGGAAGCTGGAAGCCGGGCTCGGCAAGCTGGACGTCGATGTCGCTAATTCGGTGGAGTTTAGGTAGGGGGATTGGGCCCCGTAAATTGACCTTCAACTCTCTCTACCGTATGTATGTATGTATGCACATACGAAGCCGTACATGCCGTACAGTAACGTGACAGGGGTGTACTCAACTCAATTTGGACGGATACTCGGAACCTTTCCGTCTGTCTGAGTCTACATAGTAAGGAGATGGCATCAGTTTATTTTAGTACCTAAAAGTCCAAGGTAAACAAACCTTCATGTGGACAAGAAGGTCTGTAGCTTTCCTCCTTCGTGCTGTCGCGCATGCGCAGCGCCGCAGCGCAGATTCCGCTGGCTGCCATCAGTGCAGGGGCTAACGTTAGTGGACGACAGACCATCCGAGTCTGAGTCCCTATCCTGCCGACGACCTTGCAGTACCTACAATCCCAGCTCCTATACCGAGCATGTCTCGGTCCCTAAGCATGTACATACATCCATTATGTAACAAATCTGTAGCGCAACATTTCAACCGAAACATTTGAGCAGGCTGAAGCCATCAAGTGCTCATAGTTTGAGCCGACACTTTCATTCACAACCATAACCATCACCAGGATCTCTCCACCCGTCCTGCCTCGTATATGAGAAAATGTAAGCACGCCAACCATATCCTAACTTACTTGCCCAGGTTACCCAGTTCCCCATTGGCCAGTTTAACCTAAGGTTAGTCTAGACTAGTTCGAAACGGTTGCGCTGGCTGCAGTTGGCTGAGCATCCTGCATGCCGACAGTCACACTGCAGCACGAGCTGCTCGAGTCACTTGCGTCGTCCTGTTATGCCTGGCATTTTCTATTGTAATGCCATCTTCAAGACGGAAACACTGCTTTACTCGACAAGAATGAAGGAAAAAGAAAATAATTATGCCACTGAAGTCTTCGTACTATTAAAGGGATTTACAAAGTGTAGTATACTACTCCTCTTTCGCCTGGCTCTGCAACAAATCAAACTAAGCAGAGAGGCTATTCTTCCTCAACCACTCCCACAGAAATGTCCTGCCCCTATACCCGCGCAATGCCGCAAGAGCCTGTTCCTAGAGAAGAATCGAACAGCCTTGTCATCGCGACAGGGAGAGTTTCCGTGTGAGATGATCAATAAATTGCCAACGCATGGGGTCTGGCCAAACGCTTGGCTTCATTGTTTCCACGCTTAGTACTCGGCCTCAAGATCGCCCTCAGCCTCCAGAGAGTCCGTGGCAACCTCCTCGTAATCACGCTCAAGGGCAGCCAAGTCCTCACGGGCCTCGGAGAATTCACCTTCTTCCATACCCTCACCCACATACCAGTGCACGAAGGCACGCTTCGAGTACATGAGATCGAACTTGGTAGACAAGGCAGACCAAGCCTCGGCAATGGCCGTGGTGTTGGAAAGCATGCAGCTATGAGATATCAGCAAATGTGAACATGCGAAACAAGACTCGTTTCGATAATAAAGGGAAGAATATGAAGGAAAAGTAGATGGTCAACTTACACAGCACGATCAACCTTGGCCAGATCACCGTTAGGCACATATTGAGGGGGCTGGAAGCAGATACCCAGCTTGAAGCCAGTAGGGCACCAGTCGACGAACTGGATAGTGCGCTTGGTCTTGAGGGTGGCAACGGCACCGTGAGCATCCTTGGGGACGACATCACCACGGTACAGCAGGCAGGTGGCCATGTACTTTCCGTGACGGGGGTCACACTTGACCATCTGGTTGTAGGGCTCGAAGCAGGACATGGTCATCTCTTGCACCGAGTTGGCCTCGTGGGAAGCCTTGGCGGCAGAGATGACAGGGGCGTAAGCGACCAGAGGGAAATGAATACGAGGGTAAGGAACCAAGTTGGTCTGGAACTCGTTCAAGTCCACGTTGAGCGAACCGTCGAAACGGAGAGAGGCGGTGATCGAAGAGACGACTACACGAGGTTAGCATATAGTGCCCTTTCCACCGTGGTCCCACCTGGTTAGGAGCATGGTAAATACCTTGAGCAATGAGGCGGTTCAAGTTCTCGTAGTTGGGTCGCTCAACACCGAGGTTTCTGCGGCAGATGTCGTAGATAGCCTCGTTGTCGACCATGAAAGAGCAGTCGGAGTGCTCGAGGGTGGTGTGGGTGGTAAGGATGGAGTTGTAGGGCTCAACGACCGAGGTGGCGGTCTGAGGGGCGGGATAGACGCAGAACTCGAGCTTGCTCTTCTTGCCATAGTCGACAGACAGGCGCTCCATGAGGAGAGCACCGAAACCAGAACCAGTACCGCCACCAAAAGAGTGGAAGACCAGGAAACCCTGGAGACCGGCGCAGCTGTCGGCAACACGGCGCACTCTGTCCAGAACGGTGTCGATAAGCTCCTTTCCGACGGTGTAGTGGCCGCGGGCGTAGTTGTTGGAAGCATCCTCCTTGCCGGTGATCATCTGCTCGGGGTGGAAAAGGCTGCGGTAGGTACCGGTGCGGACCTCGTCGACGACGTTGGGCTCGAGATCGCAGTAGATGGTGCGAGGCACGTACTTGCCATTGCCTATGCAGCACGTTTGGTCAGATCAGGATCCAATGCGCCTCGTTTGACGGTTATAGCGTACCAGTTTCGGAGAAGAAGGTGCTGAAGCCATGGTCTGGGGCGGCAGCTTTGCGCTCTTCGGTCAGGTATCCATCGGGCTGGCGAGATGCTGGATCAGTTGGGTGTTCTAGCCAAGGATCGAGCTTCGGCGAGCTTCTTCTGACGAACTTACCTGGATACCGTGCTCAAGACAGTAAAGCTATAAGAATGGCCATGTCAGCCCAAGATCACAGGTCCCTGTCCCCGTCCCCGTCGCAGGGGTCGGGTCAAAGCATGAGCAATGCCGGGAGCTACCACCATCGGATGGAACAAGCCCGGCATCTGCTGCTGCTGCTGCTGCTGGCACTCACCTCCCAGCACGAGTTGGCAATCTGACAACCGGCCTGACCGACTAGAGGAGCAAGAACGTTAGCGATTTGTTCGCCCCAAGCTTGGGATGAAGCAACTCTGCGGGTAGGACGGATTATGCGGTGAAGCAGAACGCGTGCCCCGGCCAGGGTCGACAACAGAGTCGGGAAGAGCAGCACGTACCGTTGATGCTGATGATCTCACGCATTTTGGCTTGCGATACAAAAAATGGCAAAGGTATGAGGGAAAGAGTATCACGGGGATGAGAATTGTCTGAGCAGCCAAGGATGCAGCTGGCTCTGTGGTAGTGGAAATTATCGAAAGATATCGGGGAGAGGAGGTCAACAGGTGGAAGATGAATTTAGCGGGGGGAAACGGGGATGGGGCATTTGTTGATAATCCAATCCAATCCAAATACAATAAACCAGCCTGGTTTGGGGCAAGCGCGTCCCAAAACCGTGCCTGCTGTACACGAAAAAAGCAGGGGCCAGTTGCCCAATGCTCCATAAGTTCAGTGGGTTCAGGGGATTGTGACTGGCGCCAGCAACACGGAAACCGAATCAACTAACCTTAGACGCGACCTAGTACAGATAGTCCGACTGCGCTTGGTTACCTCTGCTTCTACAGTAGGTGTGCACCCCTGCACGAATGGTAGGCCATGAGAATAAACAAATAAAAAGGAAACCCGTATGTCGAGAATAGGACACCTCAGGAAATATGTCTCACACCAGCACTCCCGCACATGTTCTTTAATGCTACGTAGTTCATAAATTAAAGCCTTCATCAGTCCATGTCCTGAAAATGTCTTTGTGCAACCAGACAGCTTGAAGTTTTGACTTGCCTTCAAAACTGCTCCGACGCTCGAAGACACGATGGGACCCCCCCCCTTGCTGCCCTGGTCCCGCAGCAGCGCTCCGTAGTACCGCATGTCGCGTGTCCGAATCTACCGCCATCACCGACCCAAAAGCAGAACAAAGCCATCAAGGGTCCTGCAGAGTGCAGCAGCCACCCGTTGCATGTGCAAACCTTGAATATCACGAGTCGAAGCCTCACGCTGACCGCGACGGAACAGGCAGCGAGATTCAAGTGTACCGAGAACGCCTTCGTCCTCCACCATAAAACCCTAGCAACCAAAGGAGTCCGAGTATATAGGAAATAACCACACCTTTCGAATATGTGGGTTTACGTCTGCCTGGCCGCTCTGGTTGCATCGGCATTAGCAAACACTGAAAAGGCCATATTCCTCGGCCCACAGGCCATAACCATACCAACAACCCACCCTAACCTGGATGATCTGCGTATAGTCACCATAACACCACAGAATTGGACCATCCGCACGCATGTCAATGCTCAGTTCCCTAGTGACACGGCCAGTTTCGGCAAAGCCACCTGGCTAGTCCTGGATGAACTAACTGAAGGCCAGCGGTATGAACTGAGGGTTTGCTGGGCTGCCACTGTATGTCTCATTATGATATACGTATTGTTCGCTCTGCTAGTGAAATGACTAATGAAGAGCAGCAACCCACGGCGTTCCGTATCAACACGTACGACCTGGAAACGGTCTTTGGAACCCCAGAACTTGTCACAGAACTATCCGAGTACGCATGGTCGCAGCAGCCCACAGATGAGGATGCCAGCTTGCCAAGTCCTGACTCGTCGAGGGCTGTTGCGACCAAGGAGAGGGATGCGTCGGTCCTCCTGTTACAGATCATGGCCGCTGCCGACTATTTCACAACAAACCAAACCTTGATGAATCATGTACCTCCTGTATTTGTGGATATCATTCTAGACCCATACATATTCAACCTGCTTCCACAGTCCTTGGTGCCGACGGTGGGCTACATCGTCATTGTGGCCATCGTCTCCTGGTTTCTCGCGATGCGAATTTCGTCGTGGATCCGTGATGCCGCGACAGCGTCAGATCAGGCCAGGAAAGACCAGTGACGAGCTCTTAATCTCGAAGCTTATGTTATTGAGCTGGACAAAACACGAACGTCCTCTATGCCCTACGAAATATACAGATCTCCTACCCAGTCGTTATTCATCAACGCATATATCGAAAGTAATCCGGGCATCGTCTCATGCAAAGTCGACATCCGCTCTACTCATTGGAGACAGTGCTGAGCTGCCCATCTTATGGCGACTCAAGACGTGGACTTGATATGTCGCCAAGAGTCGATTATAAATATCATGAAACCAGAAAAAGCTTTTGGTCTCTACCCTATTCGTGTGCTCCACCAAATATCCTCCTGTGTCTAGTCTCTAAAGTGCTACCACTGATGGCCAGGGTAACCTCCCTGGTGACCGCTCTGTTGGCCATATTGCGGGTGGCTATTCGATGGTACAGCCGGGGCAGGCTGATGGCCATATGGAGGCTGGCTGGAGTACGGTGGCTGACCAGTGGATGGCCCCTGTCCATAGTGTTGGTTGTAGCTAGGTTGCGACTGCGGGTATTGTTGATGTTGTCCACCATAGGCAGGCTGGTGCTGGGGCGCACCTGAAGATCCATATGAAGATTGTTGGGCTTCTCAACGTTAGTCCAAGTGACATTCGGTATCCGTGAGGTTTACTTACAATAATGCTGGCCCTGCGGCGCAGGACTGTGCTGGCCATAAGTCTGATGTTGCTGACCTGGAGGGGGGCTGCTGTACGAAGCGCCATGCTGGGACGTGGGCGGTGCATAAGATGGCGTGCCATGCTGCTGTGCCGGCGCGCCGTATGAAGGTGCGCTGTGTTGGGCGTGTTGACCGGCTGGAGGAGGCGAGCTGTAAGCAGTCGTGGATTGGCCACTAGGCTGGTATGACGCTGGAGGAGCCTGGCCACTATATCCTCCTGACTGGCCGGCATTTGAGTAGCCATAGTTTTGGGACTTTGGTCTATTAGCAGTTGAAACCATGATTAGTTGGTTGGGAAGAACCTACCGATTGACCGGGACTTCCACCAAACATGTTGGCGACACCTCCCATTACAGATCCAGCAAACCCACCGGATTGCTGTGGTGTGGAGGTCTGGCCGCCGTGGTAGTTCTGAGGCTGCTGGTGCTCGGTCTTACCACCGCTGGAGAACAGGCTGGAAGCCAACGCGCCAACTAGTTTACCGGCGCCGTTGTTCGAGCTGCTGCCGTGGGAATTACCCTGCGAACTGCCGTGGCTGCTGCTTCCCGTGAGACCTCCCATCAACTGGCCAGCAATGCCGCTGAGCGGACTTGAACTGTTACCGCTGTTGTGCGATTGTTTTCCGCCGGAAATCTGGTTCATGAGCATGTTTGTCGCAAAACTCTGTGGCCGAGGGATTAGTTAGTCTTCTGCCTATGACGTGTCGCACCCGATCCTGGGAAATGTTTGCTTACGCCGATGGATCTATCGCCAGTCCCTCCGCCGACACCCCTGGTACCATCGCCGGGAGGCAGGACTGGCTCCATGCGACCATCTGCATGCCGCACAGTCTGTGTTCCGTCGGGGTGCGTGATGATCTCTGGTCTGGGGACGCCGTACGGGTGCTCTTGGGGCTGCGCAGGGGTGCCTGTGGCGGCGGCCTCTCTAGGGGTGTCCCATTGCGAGACGCCAGTCGAAATGGAAACAAAGTAGTACTTCTTGCTTGAACCATCCCATTGTGCAATCCATCCAGGTGGCAGTTGCGGCGGTTCGAACGTGGGGCCTTCGGTGCCTGGGGAGGCGGGGCCAGCCATGGCGACTGAGGGGTCTTATCTCGTGAGGTCTGCTATGCAAAGGGCGAAGTGGCCGTTGGCAGGGAAGAGAGAGGCGGTAGGAAGGAGAGGGAAAAGGATCGTCAAGTTATCAAGAGGGTTTCTCATAACAATGAAAAGCCCCCGCTAGTCGTTGGGAAGCGAAGCGCAACTGGTGTGCACTTGCTTAGCCACTCTTTTGGGCAAGTTGAAAGAAGGCGATAAAAGCGAGTCCACTTGCAACAGACGAAGCGAAAAACAATGTCGTAACACAAAAGCCATAGCCAGAAGACCCTGGGAAATTCTGCACAGCCTCACCTACTCAGCTGGATTCAAATCCCCGAGACAAACGGGCGAGCTTCACAGTACTTACATACAGTGTCTTACAGTGCCTTGCCCTACTGCGGCAGAGCTGCCGCACGGTCGAAAACATGATCAGAAGCCACAGGGTGGCGGCGCTAGCTGCTAGTAATGATTCAATCATCATTGGTGTGAGAGTCCGGCGAAACCGTCCTCAACATCCCGTGTCCATCCCTGCACAACAAACAAGCAAGCAAACAAACAAAGAGAAAGTGATCACACGACAAGCCATTCCAGCTTCCCGGTGTCCCCGAGCCTACGGTGCCTTACAGGGAACATAAGAAGACTCAGTAAGGTTGTGCATGTTTGAGAAGTGTTACTGGCGCTTTGATGTTTTTGATAATACGTACATATGTTTTATGGGACGGGCCAATTTGTTTACACCGCTGCTGGACGCATAAGGACTACCGGGACCGAGTCCAACTTCATTATCAATATCATGCATTCATGTTTAATGTTTTTGTTATTATTGTGGTAGTGAAAGACTGGTATGAAATGGCCTGTTTGCGACATAAATAGCTAGGTTTCGCTAATTATCCCAACGCTGTACCTCTGCTGATACGTCAGGAGGCCTCCTGCTTGAAGTCATGTAACCTCCTAAATATGTGGGCTTTTCGCGATGACGATGAGTTCCTCTCAAATTGCTTGCTCGTGAAGCATCCGCAGACCACCAAGAACGATCTTGGTGTAGTGATATCAAAGGACTCCCCTGCTCTTGACATAAACGGCCCGCCAGGGGACGTCCATCTTGATATGCACACTAGATGGACGCCGTCTAGAGGCAGGATAAGCAAGCATACTAGCTTGATGTTGAAGCAGCTTTAGGATGGGTCGTCCATGAGTTACCTCCCCAAGATCTACCTACCATACTTACGACTGAGGGCAAATCCAGAACATATTTTTGCAACACTCAATTAAGGTATGATTAAGCGCTTAATTATCCATTTTTCTGAGGTGGGGTATCCAGCTTTGTGCCATCTGGCAAGGCCAAATCCCTTTTGGTCTGCTTATTCAGGCCCATCTTCTTCCGAATTTTTGTACTATACGCACATCCCGATGACTTCCTCGGCAGGCTTGTTATCATGGAGAAAGTCTCATGCAACATCCGAAGCGTCGTGCTCGACTACCAGCAAAAGGATTGTTCCGAAACGTCGGAAAAGAGAAGGGAACTGGGAGTCCACGTGCTGGCCACTTCTACATGGACTACTGCCAACGATAGCGCAGCGTTCTGGCTACGCGATATGTTTTTCACGCCATGAATGAAGGCTTTTTGGAAGGTGTATATCTGAAGGGAAAAAACATAAATGAAAGGTTCCCCATAGATTTTCCCGTGAAGCACACCGTTGATACCGGTCGGGCTTGGGTGGGAGCAGAAAAGAAATCGAACTTTCATAATGCTCCAAGAAGTAAAACAAAAGGACGCGGAATTGCTAACTACGGTAGATGAGCAAGATCGAGCAAATTGTGTGAATACTCAACCCATAACAATGATCCACAGAAACAACATCCAGAGAAGCAAAAGTGTGGTCTCAGAGTGTATCTGAGGGAAGTGATGAGAGTGGGACTTGAACCCACGCACGTTTCCGTACCAGGAAGTAGGTGTTAAGGTTGACCTTAACCTGGCGCCATAACCAACTCGGCCATCTCACCGTGAGTTGCTGTTGAAGACTGTGCTGGTGATGCGGGATATAACCAAAACATCTGGGCGAGAAATTTTCAAGCAATGTGTCAGAAGTGGGTACAATGTACGAGAATTGCTGTACGTCAATTGGGAGGCAACGTGAATCGAGTAGAAATTGTATTGTCACCGGGTTGGTGACGAATAGGCTAAGACATATTGTTACATGGTGTTGTGGAAGTGGGTCGAAGTATATCATGTAGAATTAAGGGGGGGTACAAGATATAGGTGATTATAGATTGTAAAGTGGGTTCTTTGGTAGGAGGGGGGGTGACCGCTGTATTATATACTCGGACTGGCCTAAGTCCGATCGCCATACGCTTTTGGCTTGATCTTGATGGACTCAATCACCACGCATTTCCTTCCTATGAAATCGCATACTCCTCTGCACCATAGTAATGTCAACATGTGAGATAGTCTGCATTGTCATGAAGTCGTAAACACCTGTAGAACTGGTTACAACATACTTCCTGAAATCTAACGACATATCACAAATGTAAGTCATGTGTGATATCATAAGCTTCCAAGCTATTGAACCGTTGTAAACCTAGCCAATCATCACAGTGACGAACTTAATTTGATAAGTCAGAAATTCGCTTGCCTGGTTGCCTGGCAAAGCAGAGCCGCTTCTTTGTCTGTGAATGAAGCAGTCGCTACTTCCATGTGTCTCACCTGGCACGGACCATCCACCAAATCCGTTGGAACACAACATGCCAACGAAGACCACTGCTTGGAATGACGCAGCCGTCTTTGGCAAAATGAGCTGTTTTCGGACCGTTCTGTGTTGTAGGGATGATTTGAGTTTTATCACAGGGTCTCAATCATCCCTCAAAATGACCTTGTTACGTACTTCAAAACTCCTGCTGTTCTTGCTCAGAACCGTTAAGGTTTTCGCAGGCGATCGGCGGATCTCCCAAAATGGCACCCTATAACAGGCCCCACTCACAAATAGAGGACATGATGGAAGGTGCTTCAGCACACTCATATCAGTCGCCATACGTCCATGCTTCCAGGATGAACCTTGGCGAGGAGATGGACCTTGGCGAGGTGGGAGCCCCCACAGCCCTATGGTCTCTCTGGTCGTGCCTCATTTGAGGTGAGCGATGACCGTCAGTTTATTTCGCAGACAAGAGAACTAGCTCTCCGAGTCATTGATGTACGCCACACATTACCTTGTTGACCAGCTCTGTGACGCACAAGATAGAGGATACATGGGCCCCGACAGATCAGACTCTACTGGAACGCATCAGCGATGAGTCCAGATTGCAACGCTTGAGTCATAGTACTTAGTAAAGGTAGCTATTACGTACTTCATGAGCAGAATGGCCCAGCAAATTACCTCGAACGAGGCCATTGCTCTAAAGCTCACATCGTATCGTCAACTCTTTGATCAATGAAAGTGATGTCAAGGACGCTGATCTCTTATCGCGGTGACTAAGATCAGGTTGAACCCCACAAAATGTTGCCGACCACTGCAGTGAGCGACCGTCTCGCGACAATGTGGGCAGGTATGAACGCCTTCATTCGCGATTATACATGGACAGTTCGCAGAAATGCAGAAAGCTCTGGTACCTATTCGACTTACCAAGACTGACTTGTTTTGACTATCTTTATGGAAAGCCCGACGTAACGTTGTCCTCACGCTATCTGAACTATTTCATGAAGCAACATTTATCGTGTTAGCCGGAGTAGTCCTGCTGGTTGCAATTCTCGTAGATAAAATAAGGCCTCGACAGTCCTCACCCCAGAGACTTGGTTTGCCACTTGTCAAAGGTCCCAAATCGTCCAAGAAGTTCCAGTACAAGGCAATTCTTGACGCAGGTGCAATATCGTACTTAGGTCAGCTATATTTTGTAACCTACTCTGACTTCGAGTTATTTATCTTTAAAAATTCCAGTTGTATTGAAATCAAGCGTCTATCTGTGACGAAGGCCTCGAATTTTGAGTACTTCAGAACTTGCTTTCTTTCAAGGCTGGCGCTTAGCGTCTCCAAAGAATGAAGACTCTCCCGTATGTACTGAACTGAGCAAGATAGTATTTCGACCACGAATCTAGCAGGTCCTATAGGGCCATAATTCATGACCAAACTTTACTGTAACAGAGTGATCCAGAGTTGTGTACTGGCTATAGAAATCGCAATCGCAGCTGATAGTCTACCGCCTCGGCTCCTCCGGCCTTTCGTTATACTCTTTGTCTTTCTGTCAGCGTTGGGCATCTAATAGTATATAAGATGGCTCCTGCTACTAATTTTCAAGGATGGTATGTATCAATCCGACGCATCAAGCAAAGAAAAGAACGAAGTCCAGGCCAAATCAGATGACAAAGTTCCCGCCCACGGCATGGTTCCTGAGCAGATACCTACCGAATCAACAAACTTCGCAGAATGTTGGCCACAATCACGTCATCGCGTCTTTTAGATCGACTTCCATAACCTCATCAACCTTTTGTCCACTATCGTTGAAGTAACTCAAAGGCCGGAGGTAGTGGAAGAGCTACGGGAAGCAGTAGCCCGCATCATGGTGGATGGTCCGCAGACACGACTGACAGTGCTCAAAACGATGGACATCTTCATACGTGAATGTTCCCGACGGAATACTTTCGGTCATAGTACGTTTGATCTCAAGCTGCTGGCGCGTTAGAACTGGCATCAATTCACGAGTCTCGGGCAAGATCCCTCAGGCTGGGGCGATGGGTCGCAAGCATGCCTGGGGTGCACTTCTGCGTCAACCACTCTAAAAGTGACTAAAGCACTACCTATTGTCGAACTGCGATATCCGTTTGCCGCCTAGGGGTAGAAAGCCAAAGAGTGTTCGATGCCTAACGGATTGGCGCGGGCTTGCGAGACCAGGTCCCTCTCAGCGCATCCTTTTTCCAACCCAAATGGGATTCTCGGGCGCATTGCCAAGGTATTGGAATTACACCTACTGCGCGGAGATACTCCAACAAGATCTGCACACGATGGTGAGAAGATCTCGTTCGCAGGATGCGGTGATACCTGACGCCCCATCTCCTCGAAAAGAAGCGTTTAATTACTTTCAGAGCGTAATGGGTTGTCTCTAAGGTCTATGGGCCGCCACGGAGGCGGGGGTCTCTCTAGTTTGCACTTCGTCTTTATAGATAGGAAGATTCCATGTTGACGGGATAGGTTGTAACGACAGTACTATTAAGGCCAGAATAAACTTAGATGAATATTATGTAGGGTCTATGCTAATGAGGTATGCTACTTTCTCCATACTGTTTGGTGTTCCTTCGGCCCCAGGGTTAGTCCGTCCTGCTCCACCCCTAGCCTCTGGAATGGTTATGTTCGTGACATAGGTCAAAAACATTAATTAGGCTAAGTTTACTGCTTGCCATTTTCAGCTATATAAACATGACTAGATCGGTTACTGAGTCGAGAAACATGAATATATTGATACGTAGTCTGCGTTAGATCATAGTAAAGCCCGGCCTTGTGGTGCTGAAACAGAGATCGCAATTGTTGCCCATGATTTGACGGATCTGTTCAGTTTAGTTATCTTCTGTGAGCTTCAAGGGGTGAAATCTAAGATCTTCAATGCTGGGGACAGATTTAAAACGGAAAAGTTGTATCTAATTGATTTTTGATCTGAGGAACGTGCGTGAATTGATGCAGGGTGGCCCCAGAGCTGTGGTAGGCTTGCATGATTGCAGTGTACGTTAATCCGTAGTTCCAGTTGGCTGTGGCAGCGACTCCAGTCTTCTTTGGGGAGTAAGTAGTCCTGAAAGTACTGTAGTAGAAGAGGTGCTTCCGTCTCAAGCAATGGTTTTAATGTTTCTTTTAGTGAGTTCGAGCCGTACCAGCCCAGCAGCCTAGATGGGTATATAGTCAACTGTCCAAATCCATCGGCTACTTTCAATATCGAGACGTTCTTCTGGATTAATAATATGCAGGAACAATGCCTATTTTCGCGTGGAGAAAGGAGATTCTGTAATCCGCCATCAAATGTTGAACAATGGCAACATCTTCGATAAGACCAAGGATTCCAAGAACTTTGTCTTGAAGATCATTTGCCTGGCATCCGTTGATGTAATCAAGAATCTCAGGTAATGATAACTCTAGTAGATTACAAAAGTGCTTGAACCAAGCCGCATTCGTAAAGCCACACTTCCAGGTAGGTTGATTCCTGGTAAATCGATTCAGAGACAGTGGCGAGACAAGGAAATCTATCGATTTATTGGTATGATACCATTGTGAGCCAGGAGAAGTTCTTGGATGACTCATATGCGAGTGGAGTACTTGGCCCGAAGTATTCTCAAGTTTAACCGTGTCTCGATGTTTCAGCAAGGATGCCCTCAAAGTTGAGTCGATTACAAATCCTTGAGCGATGCGTACTGGTAGAGCACGTTATATCAGGCAATAGAAAAACAACAGTTCACCATGAGGACATGTATACTAGGCCGATCTTGCTGATGTAAACTTCCAGCTCCTCGAGATCGTTTTGGTTGATACAGATGGCATCAACCCAGACTAGCCGATTTCCTTCACCTTTGCGATGTTACAGGAAGCGTAGCAGTGATATATAGTTTGCGGTCTGTGGTAGGATATCCCAGTAGGCTCCGACGTAGATCAGACACATCTGTGAGTAATCACCAGTTTCGCCGCTCCACGTATAAGAAGCAGTTTCGTACTCCGGGTAACGCTCGTCCGATTATTTTGCTTTCAGTGGAATGTGAATCGGTGACTCGACATCGCTTGCAGGGGATAGTCGAGCTAGTTTGATCTCATCTGGGTTAAATTGTTTATCATAAATTAGAAACTAATTTATGATCTGGCCTGCTATTGCCGACGCCTGTTTTTACCTGTTTGGATCATCGGTTGGAACGTTTCGCGACTCTTGTCCAGCTTGCTGGTTCGTGTAGGGCACAACTTGTGGCCAGAAGAGACCCATCTGTTCAGAGGCATCATCACGGGGTAATTCACGTGGTGATCTGGGATCGGCTAATTGACTAGGATCATTTTGAGCGATCGTTTTTGCGTTGACACGAACGACGTCGTGGTGCGTCATCCACATAGACGATCGGATTCTCTCAGTCAGAGGCATGCCAATAAGTCATAATTTCGTGCGATAAACACGCCCACGGGAACTACGCAAAATTAATTCAAATCGGAGATTCTGAAATTCATCTTGCAGGTCCTGGGAATAAGCCTGATGCAGTATCAGATGCCAGCGCATCTCCCACCCCCGGGGGGCCCTCAATGAGCTTGTCCCAATACTGAGTAGTGAGTAGTTCTGTCGTTAAAACGGCAAACTAAAGTAGGTAAAGGCCGTTTCCTTCAAAATCGGTCGTATCGACAGCCTATCTGCGGGCAAATTGTCCATATCTGGTGTGTCCAGAGCCCCTGGAAGCATAAAGGTCAGTGCTGCAAGAATATTTTGATCGACTTTTTCTACCTGATGATTCGCCAGTATGTGCCACATCAGATGCCTTCAACTTGAAAAATCATTGTTTGCATGACAATGGTTGCTAAACGCTTCCCGGAAGATGAGGTCGTTGTCGGGATCGATGAAGAGTAACGAGGGCAAATGGGCATATCGCAGCACAGGATTGGTCTTGTACTGTAGAGTCTTGGCTAACACGACTCCGCTCTGGTATTTCTAATGCTGGCTGAAACGACTTTTCGCAACAGCCAGTGTGCTGAACCTTCTAATACGTTTCAAAAGTGTTTTCTCAAGTTGAAAGAAACGAAGAACCACTGGCACGCTTAGATCGTGCTTGGGCGTTGAGAACTCAACTCATAAAAGAGGAACGCTCAAATGCGGGAAATGATACACAAGAAGACGTCGACGACTCTGTAGGCTTCCAAAGCTTGGTTGCATATACAAACTATTGATCATTCGAGCCAGTGCATGTTATTCGGCCGAATCTACAGCCAACATGTACCAAAACTCAGAATCATACAATTGCTTTCTTCTTAATCATGCTTTGTTTAGCTGTGACAAATTGGTTCGTTCATATATAATCTGATGGCTGCAATGCAGACTCGCTGAGTAACATACTACTGCAGTGGTCGTCCCCAATATTAGCGTCGTCATGAGGACTTTGAACCTGAAACGCAATACATTGCATGGTTCTCAAAGGAGCCGTGGTATCTACTATGCCGCTTGGACACGCCTGTCGGGTTTAAGAAAATGTGCTCAATTCACTTTTACAGGAGATAGTACTCATGTTCATGATCGGTGTATGAAGACCAATAGGGCTGCTTGAATTTCTGAAGTGCTCAAGCTAACTATCAACACCAAACTTCATTTCTTCATTGATCGTCAAAACAAGCATTTACGACTTCCCCCGTACAAGACATACCTCGGCCACTCCAAATAACATGGCATGTATGACACAGCATCGCGACAGCAAAGTCACGGTGCTGGTCTGCGACCGGGATGTAGACACGGCATGCCATCCAGAAGCTCGAACTTATTACTACATTTCTGGACACTGCGGCTACAAGACACAGCTTCACAGATTAGAGCATTCCGAAACTAGCGATATAAACCAATTGGAGCTCATCTCAAAAATACAACAACTGCTAGAGAGGACCTTCGAGTTTGACCCAAATAATAGAATTCCGCTGCTGCCTCCCAGAAGTAATTGAATCTGCGGCTACAGCATTCGGAAAAAGCTCAGCTCTGGTGACATATTCGTCATCTTTTACATGGTCTCCAGCATGCACGATAGCAACAACTTTAGTCTATTTCAGTCTGTCCGTGCTGGTCGCGGTTCCGAGGATGGTAACTTTTGTTGTCGTGTTGTCTCGTAATGCTTAGACTGTCCTCAAGAACGAATAATAGCGCCGTGATAATCACTTAATTCCTCCTGATTTTATTTGCCTCGAATCTCCGAGGCTCAACACCTGTACCTCAATATTCTTCATATCTATTGGTGATGCTTGTTTGAAATATGCTCCAGAAGAATCTGTTCGCACAAAGATGGGCGATGTCTAAGCGATATGGCGAGCAAGTTCTAGAATAACGATGCGGGTTTCAGATATTGCTCCTTTGTAGATGCCTGCTTAAGTTGACACGCAAGTCTTGCTATAAATTGTGATACTAAGTCTGACGAGGTATTGCGCGTTTCCCCCCACCTAAGTTAGATGAGCTTATTCCCTGTCCTAGTAATCGCGTCGCCGGCGTGTGCGCAAACAAGCAGGATTAGCACGTGTGCGTTAATTACGTCTAAGAATAATATGATAAATGGCGCTGAATTCATAAAAGTGCCGTAAACATCAATGGTAATATAATATTCACGATTTATTATAAAATCGGGAAACGCTAGGACTTATAACATAAAGTCTTCCAAGATAAAGCAATGGTAGAGAACGGATAGTTTTGATTTTTAAAGATAATATGCGGCAAAGAGTTGAACCGAGAATGGTTCTACATACATAAATGACACTTTCATGTCCATCAAAGCAGTACCACAGCTTTGCAAATCAACTGAAAACTGTCCGGATCCTCCAAGCGCTCCTGAGAATTAAAAACGGTCTGGACAACTGGCCTGTACTCACTTGCGTCATGTTTCGAGGATTTCTCTGAGTATAGGGTAGGGAATATGCAAAGTTTGACCACTTTATGATTGTTTGAGTTGTCGGCGGCATGTTGTTTTAAATATTTGTTCCCCCTTGCCGAACCGGGACCCTCGGGGAGATTGCACTTTGTGTCCATGATACGAAAATTAAAGATGTCTCCCGGTTTAGCGAAAACCCATAGAAAGGATCTACCAGATAGATGAAGCTGAAACTTAAGTCGTAGGGCGCTTTGAATGGCATGCTCAAAGAAAGCAGCCGGTAGTATCTCTATCTCAATGTGAGGTGCGATGAGATCTTGTAGAGCATGGCATAGGTACTCCGAGACAGACTTTGCCTTCTCCTCGATAACACATGACTCGAAGGTTTCATCCGACATCAGTGACTTGTAAGCTAGAACATCGAGTTGCTGTAATGCCTCTACTCCATCTGACGTAGTATTAGCCCCACCTCTGCCCTTGACGCAAATGAATAAGACACACCTCGACTCAACAATTGTTTTCGGTAATGCTGTAGCAGCGGCGACTCAGTACTTGCCAACTGAGAAAGAGGCAACTCAAATATAAGAGAGCAGAGGCCGGCTGCCACGAGTGATCTGAGTACATCAATCCGAAGGATCGCTAATTCCGAACTTTGGCGAAGCATCCTTGTTAAGTCCAATCCAGAGACTCTGTCGGCCCATACTGATATCACCGGCCTACCATTACCGCTGTCTTCCGTAGCCGAGAATCTTTCAACTAGTAATCCATTGTGACTGAGCGAAGAGCAAGAGTCCAGAATATCGTTGTAGAGAAGGAAATATTCTTTCCTGATGTTGGTGTCACTTGGACCCAAGCCAGAAGTCTTAAGCTCTTTGATTTCTTGCCTGCTGTTTTGCATTAGTAACAAAGTCTTTTTCAAAGCGGCATTCTCATCCTGCAGAATGGTAAGCAGGCTGGTGTCGCCCCGGCTCGTGGCTGCCGCGCGAGTACGATGCCGAAGTTCTTTGTATTCATTGCGGCTCGCCCAGAGTTGGTCGTTCAAATTGAAGACCTCATTTTGTAAATATCCGACCCTGGCCTCACTTGTATGAGAAGTTCTTCGGACTTTAGAAAGTTCCTGTTGAAGCGCTTGAAGCTGATTATCTGTATCCACCGCCGCAGATAATGGTAAGTCCACCTCGAAGGATCTATCTGTTGTAGAGCTTTCTACTTTGATGTCAGAGAAACGTGAATCTTGTGATGCCACTCGCCCTTGAGGTTGGACCTGGAGTAACAGAGGTGTTGAGGTTGATGAGACATAATCACTGAGCTACCCGATGTTGTTAGTAATATCCTCTTTTAGCAGAGTATAATTGCAAACCTCTCTTTCGATATGCCCGTCACCGTGCACCGATGCAGCACTATCAAATTCAGCGGGACCGATAGTAGATACTGTAGACAGGGTAGATGCTTCGGACGGATGATGAGCGATCGACACACTCTGAGACTGGGATCTGAGCGTTGTTGACGTTCCTCTGAGGCGATATTTTACCGATGAAGGTCCAATATTGTCCACCGCTTGTTGGATCAAGTCACGTTCTTCACTGGTCAGATGGAAGAGACATGCCGTACCCTGCCGATATAGATCGTCAGAACTTTTAGAGTCGTCATGTCCGAGATTCTCCCACTCCAATTTCAGCCTTCTCCGAGCTTGCTGCAATGAGAAGTCTTTGTGAACTTTGATCTTGAGATGATTGACGATAGTCGTATCGAAGTCAATTCCTTCGCGCAAAGAGTAATCAAGCCATGCAGATAGCTGAATTACATCTTCTGGACTCCATACACGTTTTCGCTTCAAAAGTGAGGGTTTCTTCGACTCACCCGCCATTATGCCTGTTGAGGATGTTCAGGAGAACGTGAAATGAAATTGCATGTGGGTTCGGATAGGATAGATAACGGCGGCCCGCTGCAGATGTTCCTGAAGGTGGCTTAGGCAATTTCTTGGCAATCGCACATTGGTATTTAACCCTGCTCGGTCCGGGATCCGCTACCCTGGACGCGAATGCATGAAGACATGTCCTGCAGCCAACACAAGTCGTTAATTGGCTAGGCAACACAGGTTGCCACACCTGCCTCTCGAACATCCGAATCTATTGGGTACCGCAGTCGCCGAGATAAAACAAAGTAGAAAAACTGTGGCTGCCTGTGCTGGAACGATGGCCCTTTTGCTCGAATAGATAAACCTTGGTGAGGGAGCTACAGGCTTTGGTATCCAACAGGACAGGATTTTTTGTCCGCAATTTTCCACACAATGGCCTCTTCGCGAGAATCAACAGCCACTCTTGGGCGAAATCCTGAAGGTGCTTCAAATCAAGATTCCGCACCAGAAGAAGTACCTGGGGGTTTGTTAGATGATATCTCTGACCAGCGCCTTTCGAAAAGGCTGATTGTGGCTGTGGACTTCGGCACAACGTACTCATGTGTCTCATTCGTAGCCCTTGAAGCTGGAGAGGCGCCAGATTATTTACCTCTTGATAGGATCGAAACGATAGGAAATTATCCCAACGACTTGAATTTCGACTCAAAGGACGAGATGGAGAACCAAGTTCCGACTGAGCTCATGTACCCACTTAATCGTAACTTCCGGGACCAGGACGATTTGCCTCCTCTGGAGAACAATGAGGGTATCACTGGTGTAGGTACAGAAGATGAAGGTGATGGGTCGATCCCAGGCCAACCTATTCCCATTACCGACGCGAATGAGAACGGCGAGGATATGGATATGGATGGACTATTCGAATCGGACTCATTACAATGGGGTTATAGTGTCCACGAAGCTCGATCGATACCCGCAATACATATAAATCCGAACAACAGGCCATTGTCGCGCTTCAAGCTTCTCCTTGATGAGAGTCCAATGACCAGGACCATCCGTGACGACCTCAACCAAACAATCGGGTTGTTGAAGCGGAAAAGGATTATACAGAAGCCCTTGCAGGTTATTGCCGACTTTCTGACATGCCTCCTCCGCCATACCAAGACTGAACTTGTCAACAAGGGCTACGATGACAATTGGAAGGTTGAGATGGTGCTATGTGTACCAGCAATCTGGACCCAAAAGGGATGTCGTAACATGCAGACTGCCATGGCTTATGCCATGGAAAAGGCAAGATTTATAGGAGCCGACTTTCAGAACAACAGTATTGAGAACTTGTTTATCGTTTCGGAGCCAGAGGCCGCAGCTGCCTACGTATTGGCAAGCGACCCGGATATTCAGGTATGATCAACGCCAAAGGGAGTCATACAAAGGCGCTCCGCTAATCTTACCACCGCAGCCTGGCGATACGTTTGTGTTGCTCGATGCAGGTGAGCCGATTCGCAGGAGCGCATCGCGTGGAGGTGCCTACTAACTCAATAAGGTGGCGGAACCGTTGATGCGAATACGTATACAATCAGCAGAACAACCCCCTTACGATTGATTCGTGAAGTGGTGGAGCCTGGTGGTAAGCCTCAAAACATAGGACTAGTAGAAGTGAGACTAATGTTGTACAGGGGGCCTATTTGGGTCAAGTTTTCTGAACGAAGGCTTCCAACAAATGCTCTCTGATCTTCTTAAAGACGAGCAGTATCTAGAGACGGGCTTTAAAACCATTGATGGTATCATTGAAAGGATCATGGTCAATGAGTTTGAGTATAGAGTCAAGAGATCCTTTGATTTGCGCAACGTTGATTCGCGTAGAGGCGTGAAGTCCTTCCCAGTGTCAGGACTTCTGGATAATCCTGCCAAGCGTTTCAGTCACGAGTGTGTCATTGTACCATTGTAAGCGGCTACCATTAATCCAATTGACAGGTACAATGATTAACCTCGATACTAGGATAAACATCAAACCAATATTCGTGAGATTGCTTGAGGGAATTGCGGCGATCATGGAGGACCAAATCAACAAAGCTTTACAAAAAGGTTGTCGAGTGGAGGTAGGCGACTTATATTGATTGCTCCAACTTATACTGAGAACATTATCGCAGAAAGTGATCCTCCAGGGGGGTTTTGCTGCGTCCAAATCTTTGAGTTACTTCATTGAGGATCGTCTGAAGAGATTCAATGAAGAATTTGGTCACAATATCAGTCCCAAAAGATCAAACAATACGTAAGTTGACATCAAGAGGTCTGGCGACTATTTTCATTCTTTATCTGGGTCTCTGATGACTCGTAGAATCACTGCAGTAGCGTCGGGAGCCGTCTTACGAGCCTTCAATAAGGAGCAAGGACCCCGCAGAGTGGCACGATCTAGTTACGGCATCCTGAGAACCGAGCATTTCAAGGATTATCCAGAGCATGAAGGTCTCAAACCTTCATATGACCGCCACGATGGACAGCCGTACATCATGAACACGGTGGACTGGGTGCTTACAAAGGTAAGTACCATCCACATCAGTAGCCGTAAAGTAGTTCCCCAAGCTAATACTCCTAGGACGCCGAGGTACCCCCAATCTGGACTTGCAGCCCATTTCTCTGTTACCACACTTTTGACTGCTGGCCGGTATCGCGCCTCATATGCAAGGAGGAGTTGTATGTCATCGATCGTGCACCCGAGTCTCACTACAGGCTTTCACACCAGATGAATGCCGGTGAGTCTTGCCTTCAGATATAAGATAGTTTCATTTGCGATTGCTCAAGACTGTTAGGCGCCGAGAAAATCGGAGAAATCCTAGTCGATTTCACCTTCCTCCGAGAACAAGGCTTGATCCAGCCAATTGAGCCAATCAAGAAACCTAATGGCAAAACCATTGGCACAAGACACTATCGAGTGGTTTTCACCATGGCGATTAGAGTTGTCGACCGCGATTTGCAATGTAAGTCTCTTCAGAACATGTATTGAGCGAGTGTGGGTTGATGAACGATTTCGCTGAGTATGGAGCAGGCTATGCACTTTACAGTGGTCAAGTTGTTAAGAGATGCCGAATCAACATCGCATCTGCATTCCGACCGGGGGTGAAGTAGTGTTATGTTCATGCTTGTGTGGATATTATGCTACAAGTTTCTCAGGTTAGTCGTTATCGCCAGAAATTTTCAACTACAGTCAATAAAGCCCGTGGATGTTACTATATGATGCACTGAAATATGGAGTAAGATAATATGAGAGATTAATACCGATTAACGGTATCCGTAAATCTGCATGGCTGTTTAGTTTATCTGGATGGATATTCCGGGCAGCCACAGGTTGTGTGATGTGTGCAGCCGCCGAGAATTACGAATTAGAAACGCTCTGTCTGATTTGCAGCACGCTGTGACTGTGTTCTTTTTCTTTTGGTGCTTAATCACCTGCAAAGCTGACCATGGATGACAGGAATGAATTGCAGGTTATGTCCAAGCGTTGCTTCAATTCCCTTTGCCCGTATGCAAGATCAGTAACGATCTAAGGTCATTGACCTTTGTTGAACAGCTGGTAGCCCTCATGAACAGCGCCGCTGCTCCTAAATACTTTGCCCGAGACTCATAAAATCACACTCTTTCTTGCTGCACATAGGAGATACCAATGCAGAACAGCTCGATAATGTAATAGGAGACATCCTCTTTCACAAATGTATATCACATTGCCGCTCAAGACCTGCTCAAGCAAAACTCGTATGGTTGCTAGCGGCCTGTCCAAGGGTGACATCATTGTATGCTTGGTGCATGGTAAGTCCTGAACATTACCATGATTACAGGTACTGAAGCCGGGCGGTCACTGTCTTGGTTGGCCACCCAACCAAGATCTAGACTTGGTACTCATTTGAAACACATAAAACGGAGGCGGTGTGCTTGATGCTCTCAGTTGCATTGGTGCATTTGGGACTTAGATCAATCTATATATCTTAAAATTTCTCCTCCCAATGCGCAATTTTGATATTTTTTTCCACCACCGATTGACTTTCTTCCTAATTCTCTTGCTAGTCTAGAAGTATATTTGTCACCGTACTTTGCGGCTAGCCCTCTCTCCTATCACGGGATTTGAGCAGGAGACATGGCGAAGCTCGCCCTCCCTTCGGCAGTGCCAACCGCTCATGAGCTACTTAGGTATGATATTGATTGCATTTTAGATGAATGCAACGCGAATAAGGCTCTCTCCAAAATACAAGTCTCCCCGCTTGCCACCAATGTGCCGCTTAGCACTCCTTTTGTCCGAATCGGTGTCAGTCATGATGAGAATGTACCTAAAAATACAGGCAGTCTGCCTCGGGATAGTAAATTCAAAGAGATATTTAGGACAGTGTCAATGTCACTGCAGCGGAGCTCAATATCTATATCGTAGCGACGACGGAATGCAGGCATACTCCACTCGGGCACTGAAAATGAAGGCCCTCAGAGCAGGCCAGGGTAGGATGAGCTTTCTCAGAAATATGGTGAGAAAATGAGAAGTCTACCATAGTTGCAGGACTAATTTACCCTAGGCCATGTCCCAAGAGACTGCCATGCAAGAGACGACGTGCATATTAGGCGACGGGAATGGTTGTACATATGCCAGGCTGTCATGGCATTATTTGCATCTGTTGGAAGTGCAGCTGCCCTATGTATAGCGATCAAGGGTCAAGAATGGGGCCCTGAGATGCCGAAATATGTCCTCAGTTCTTGGAATTATGGCTACAAATTCATCGAAATTCTATTTGCCACAATCAGCACTTTGTTTTACATATCTGCTTGCAACACATTGGTAACCCCCAAAGTTATGTGGAGTGATTGGAAGGGCCGTGGCACATTCTGTGGTCAGGTCAGAACGTCGTACGCCAACATCAGTCATATCATCAAGGCTTGTCCAACCATGAACAATGCTTCTCCAGACACATCGTGCGTCGTAATGAAGGCAAATGGCGACTCATGTCGTACCTTCTTTACATATTTATCGGATTGGCAGGATGTCAGTCGCCACTCTGAAAGTCAAGCCTCAAGACCCGTTGCGCGAGCCGTCATCATGGAGAATACAACTTTGTCGTCAGCCTGGATGGAAGGATATCCTATCGTGGCAGAAGTTGGTGGTCGATTGATAAACAATGTGACCTTGGCGATACCCCATGCCGGGCTCTCTACTTTGTACTCGAACCCATTTAATGCTTCAGTGGATATTCGACAGCCTGCTTCAACCGAAGACACCGACGGCTATGACATGGCGGCTTCTGTAGTGTCTCCAGCTATCAACGTTATGTGCGTTAGTACATTCGACCATGAAATTAAACCGTTGGTTTCTGCCCCAGGAAAACCCATTAAATTACAGACCAATGACACCACTGTACTTGATGACGTCTTCCACTGGGGAGGGAAGCACAATGGTACGTACGGTGCGAAGTCCGACGGTAGATACCGTCCAGTTTTCGATGCTGTAAGACCGCCCTAGATAACAAAAGATTCTGCTGACAAACTCAGCTTGCGCCACCACTTCAATGGGTCACCGATACCCGGGAGTATATGCCCGGTGCTGACTCCATTTATATCATGGCCCGATCAAACGATACTAATGCGACCGAATACACCCTTTGTCAACTGCGATCCATCCTGACTTCAGCGTGTGCAACACGTTTCCAAGTGTCAAGTTTATCTGGGAATATGACAGCGATATGTGGCAATGATCTGGGGAATATCTCTTTCGAGTCTTACAACCAGGTCAAGAACAATTTTATGTAAGCAGATGACGTTCCAATTCATGTTTACGACTTATGTTGGTTTGACAGTGAGTATGAGGAAGCGAATTGGGATGGTGGTACAATGTTGATCAAGCAGCATCTCCACCAGCCAGCATGGTGGGTATGTTTGGGATGAGTTAAAATACACTAGGGATATGAAAGGGAATGTCGATGATGCCAAATTCAACAGAATATGTGGATATTCGTCTTCAGACCGTCCGAACGATGCTCTCTAACCGGATCTTACGCGTCGATGAGACATGACTATAGTACAGACTTTACACCTTTGGTACACGAGCAGCTCGAATTGCCTCGCTCCTAAACGCAACATGAACTATGCATGTGCACCCATTTCCGCCCTCGCATCTTCCAGTAGCTTCTCCAACCGAACGGCACTGCCGGCCAAATTCTCGAGCTCCACAACACCAAACTTGCCCAGCACATAAGCAGATACGTCTTCCTTGTCTCTGCTACCGCCAGCCGGGCGGCCGATACCAATGCCAATCTTGATGAACTTCCCACCAGGCCCGGGCTCTGTCAACCTGCCTATTAAGCCGGCAGATTGCAGACTTTGCTGCACCGATTTGATCCCGTTATGTCCCTTCGCGCTCATGTTCCCGGCTCGCGCCTTCAGCTGCGCGGGAGCCGTCTCCATCTCGTCGTGCAGAACGATAAGACCAGGGAGGTCCTCCTCGTTTCCCGTCGCAGACCCGCAGGTCTCCTTTGCGAACTGCCTGTAGGCCTTCAGGAGATCTTTCCCCGACACGTTCATGTAGCTTGGCGACTGCCATAACACGTACTCGGGCCGCCCGACATCGGCACCCATGGAAATGAGGCCGTTGGCGTACGGTTTTGACTTCTTGAGGGGAGGAAACCTGAGATGCGACTGCAGCGCTTTGAGCAGGACGTGGCCCGCGGAATGCCTCGTTGCCTGGTAGGGTGATGGGTTCCCAAGGGAGGCTATAAAAAGTCGTACGGAGCTCATGTTCGAGCTGGAGGGCCGCTCAAGTGTGATCTCCGGGTTGAAATAATTGATGGGCGCTGCGGCCAATGAGACGAGACTATGCAAGGACGCGACTACTGGTGTGTCAGCATCCTGCGTGTTTCCCTGCCCTGGTGAGTCGTACGCAATTGTCGCACGATTTGTCTTTCTTTTGCGGATTTCACCTTCACTCTCCCCCAGACTGTTGAGATTGTGCTGCTCGTCTTCCTCTATGTCCACAATAGCAGGCTTCAGTCTTGACTTCTGTCGTCTGCTTATTTTTGCATTAGCCATTTTGTCGAAGTTTTTCTGAAATGGTGTGTCTAAGACAAATTTGTGGATGGAAAATGAGCGCTTGATTGATGACGCTGGTAAGACTTACATGGACGCACTTCGGCGGCAACGTCTTGTATTTGTTATCAACTTTGATGCTCTGTCCGGCTCAATATGACTCAACGGCGAAGTGACAAAGCCACCCGATGAAGTTTTGTTCTCTCAGTTTGCCTAAGCTAGACCATTCTGGGGTTAGCGTAACAAGTATGATGCAGAGGATCACTGAGAGTATATATTATCCTTGAACATCTCCAATTGTGTTGAATCCAAGTGGGGAATATCTATAGTACTGCTGGTTGGGCTACAAGCTGCATACCGTTGTTTGTTCGCCTAGCGTTAGATTCTCCGCATACCTACTTGGTAGCAACTCTTTGCAACGAAATAATTAGACCATTCAACATTATACCTATAGCTCTCATCCTCGTAAAGTCTGGCCATTGTATACTCTAGCCTTTAGGCTGTGCTTTGTCCTTTACACTCTTTTGTCTTCAGTTCTATCGTCTATGACTCTATCGTCTATGGAACCAATCCAATAACGCCAAATTTGTGTACCTCCATAGCCTTGTAGGCATAACCATGATGGCCTCTAATGGTTGTCGCGGGGTAATTGATCGGCCTCGGAGATGTTCTGAAACTGTATCGAGCGCTTCATAATCATGCCTTCATCCAGCTGTGATACCTCGCGGCGATGAAGGTCTTGCCAATAAGTTTGGCTAGGCGGACCGTGATAGCCTCCGCTCGCGTCCAGATGTTTCTTACGAGCCTCGATCTCATCGTCGGTAACGAGAAGATCAACGCGCCGCTTGTCCAAATCTACCCGCACTACATCTCCGTCCCGGACCAAGGCGAGCTTACCGCCAGCAGCAGCCTCAGGACTCGCATTGAGAATAGAAGGCGAACCTGACGTCCCGGACTGTCGTCCATCGCCAATACACGGCAAGGCCTTGATTCCCTGCTTCAAAAGTCGTCCCGGAGGGTGCATGTTGACGACTTCCGCAGCACCAGGATAACCCAGCGGACCGACGCCGCGCATGATTAATATTGTCTTCCGATCAATGGCAGCTGAGTCGATTCGTCTCTTGTAGTCTTCCGGTCCGTCAAATACAGCAACCTGACATTCGAAAGCGTTTGGGTCCTCCGGATCCTCGAGGAACTCACGGCGGAACTCCTCTGAGACCACTGACATCTTCATGATAGCCGAGTCGAATAAGTTGCCTCTCAGGTGCACGAAGCCTGCATTCGGTTTGACCGGATCTGAGAAAGGTTTGATAGTTCGCCGATCCCAGGTTATCTTGCCCTCTGCGTTCTGTCCGATGGTCTTTCCGTTCACGGTCATTATATCAGGATGTGGTAGCTTGTTCGCCTCGATAAGTTCGGCGAGCACAGCTGGCAGGCCTCCGGCATGATAATACTCCTCACTTAGCATCTCGCCAGCCGGCTGCATGTTGACAAGAAGAGGAACCTGGTACCCATAACGGTCCCAGTCGTCCAGGTTTAGATCAATAGACAGATGAGCCGCGATAGCAATCAAATGAACTGGTGCATTTGTGCTTCCGCCAATCGCACTGTTTACTACGATTGCATTCTCGAACGACTGGCGCGTCATAATGTCTCGTGGGCGAATGTCTTGGCGCACCATCTCGACGATACGGAGTCCGGTTTCGTAAGCTGCATGCGAACGCTGACGATAAGGGGCCGGTATGGCAGCTGAGCCAGGAAGGGCCATACCTAATGCCTCGGTAAGTGTGTTCATCGTCAAAGCTGTTCCCATAGTATTGCAGTGGCCGGGAGAGGGTGTGCCGCTCGCAACCATGTCAATAAATTGATTGTCGTCAATATTGCCAGCGGCGCGAAGCTCGCGTGCATGCCAGATCACACTTCCGGACCCAATTCGAGAACCATTGGACCAACCATTAAGCATGGGCCCGACATTGAGACAGATAGCGGGTATGTTCACTTGGGCAGCTGCCATAAGGAAGGCCGGTGTCGTCTTGTCGCAGCCAGTAAGAAGGACAACGCCATCCAACGGGTAACCGCTCAATATCTCTGCTAATGCCATAGCCGCAAGATTTCTGTCGAGTGCTGCCGTTGGACGTCTCCCAGTCTCTTGAATAGGATGGGTTGGAAATTCAAAGGCGATGCCTCCTGCCGTTCGAATCCCTTCCCTCACTCGCTTCGCAAGCTCGATGTGGTGTCGATTACACTATAAAATTCGCTGTCAGCAATGATCTCTTCATAATCGTCGGAGCCTTCGAAATCCATCTGCATCATCAGAAAGAAGATGGGCTGTGTCAGGTAGTATGAGCCTCTTGGGGCACTATCAACAATCGGAAAGGGATCTGGAAAATCGCTTACTGGGGCAAGGTCTGAGCCTGACTGGGCAATGCCAATGATTGGTTTGCCAGAGCATAGTTCCTCTCTGGTGTATCCGTAATTCAGATAGCGTTCCACATACAGGGCAGTCATGCCTGGATCATCATCGCGGGAGAACCAATCTGCAGACCTAAGTGGCTTCTCGGATCGGACGGTATCGGAGGCTAAAGACAATATCTTCACCTGGTTTTGCACATCTTGAAGAGCTGTTTTGGTGATCTTCAGAACCTTATCTTTAGTCCTGAGTAGCTCAAGCAGTTGGTTTTTGTCGAGGTCCTCAATATCGCTGACTGGTCGCTCACTGCAGCCGGTACTGCAACTATCGCATGATGTCCTACAATCGAGCGTATGGTCTCCGACTTCAAACGTAGGCATCTTGGTCGCCGACAACCTCGATATTCGTCAGTACAGCTCTTTTATGTCGTTATCGGGCGTGAAATGAGCTTATCAGGACTTGTGCTTGATTGATGAAACAATGGTGAAAGTAAAGTCACAACTTTTTATTTGTAGAACCAGGGAGTGGTTGTCACTGGTATGGAGTAAGTCATATGTGAAGTCTGATTTCGTTTGTCGCATCTCATCACAGGCTTGTATACTGTTGTATTGGGGATGGCTGTGAAATTCCATGGAAGCTACGGTGGAACACTATAACTATGAAATTCACTCACAAAGCCATGTGGGGATTTCAAGTGGGTTTATCCACCTGGGCGTTCCAGTGTTGTTGACTAGTGAATGATGCCATCGCTCTTTCATACAAATGTTTGTCTGACTGTTATCGTATAGAATGCGATGACCAGGATACTAACAAACAGACATGCTTCTATTCATAGACTTTAAGTCATTCATCGCAACTGACCTTCCATTAGCGAGCGTATTCATATTCATGCCTAGATATATGTACCACAACAATGCGACACATAAATGAATTCGCCGGCTCCATATTACTTCTTGATATGATTTGGGTTGAGTTAATTGGTGCCTTGTTCCTCTGAAGACCTTGAAGTGAGATGCGTGCCACCGATTGTCTGGGTGGATTCGTTATGAGGTAATTCGAGTGTGTAACGCTACAAGTTGCATTTATGATTTACACGCACAACCCTATCGAGTTCATACGATTCGCTGTGACTTGAACGTTCATATGATGGCCCAGCATGTGATAAAAAGTCTATACTGAGACTCTCCATATTGGTCATCAGGCTGGATCAACCTCGCAAGCAACATGGAAGCATTTCCCCCTATCCAATTGGATTTCTATGTGTTCTCCGATAGATGAGATCGATCCAATCCGAATAACAGTGGCCTTGAGATATGAGGGTTGTGCATCAAGCTCAAACGAATAACCGATCTCTGTACACAGTTGACAACCGTATAGTGAGTATCCATAACACTATAACACGTGAACTCCATTCGCTTTTCCATTACTCGCCAACAGATGCCAATAATGATTTTGAGGAAACTCCAAAACCCTGCTGTAAACCCCGCGCTACTGTCTAGACAAACGTTCACGATTGTAGCGAACCTGTGTAAACATCAACAACTCCTTCAACGCAGCTTTCGATCGCCGACCAGCCTACTTTTCTTAATTTCTTTAATTCCCTTTTTTGCATGACCCTTTCTGAAAACTTATTTTCGACGACAAAATACAAGGTTTTAATCGGCGATCAAGGTTGTGTCGTGCACAGATGCAGTGCAAAGCCATCCACCATGACAGCTCCCATAGCAAAAGTGAAGGCTGAAGAGCGGGAACAACTCCATTCGCAGATATTCGGTCAAGCACTTTCAGTTGGTTTGCTGTCCTCAGAGCCATTGGAGTCGGCGACCAATACTCACCTTCGGTCTTATTAGGTGGCCAAAGACGCCGCCATGATCGGCCTTACGGCTGTCAACCAGAAAGATGCAGCCTCTGTTACTGGTCGTGGTTCGGGTCCTGAGTCGCTATTCGTGAACTTTAGCAGGATAGGTTTAACAGAGGAGGAGTCACCATACAACGCATCACGGAAGCGTGACTTTCTCCACGGAACGGCCCGGAAGCTCAATGAACAAGACAGAAAGAACTCTCTGCGATCCGAAGATACAGTTCTGCTTATGGTGATAAACGTCCACCCAGCAGTTTCAGTATACCGTCGACTCTGATCACATTTGGAGCACGTTTTAAGGGCGGACCCACGGAAACTTCTATTGCTCAGAGTCGACGAGCTGGTCAAGCGGAAGAAGTGAAAAAAAGCCAGAGAGGTAACCACAAGCTCCCACAAAAACGCTCATAAAGTCAAGCCTCATCTAATTTCCAGCATCACTGAACCAACACTTTTTGGGAACACAACACAGAAGGATAGAAAGAACCGTGTTGGCCACGGTAAAGACAGGAGCAGCAAGAAGATCAATTTTGCAAGAAGATGGCCGACAAAAAGCTTTACGAGGACTACGAGTCTAAACTCCAGCCATACCACAATGGCAACCTTCCCCTCCAGCCGTATCGCAATGGCAGCCCTACCCTTCAGTCTTATCATAATGGCAACAATGGCAACAGTGGACCTCGAGGCATCTCTACCGAAGTCAACTACAACTTTTCGCGAGCCAACTTGAGACTCACACCAGGCATGCCAAGCTCTGATGACAGCTTCATCGGTAACTATAGCGAGACTGAGAAGTCCGCTGGTCCCAATCTTACCGAGTTTGCCAGTATCCAGCTCACCGACTCCGCCGCCGAGCTCTGGAAGCCTCAAGAAGGTCTCAATCATAATGGACGCAACATGCAGCCCGGTCTGGTGGCCGTGCCTCGCGATGGTACCGTTGAACCCAACCCCACCAAGCCACCCATTGCTCTGTCGGGTCCTCACACTCATCACGGCACTTCCTTGATCTGGACCAGTGCCAAAGAGGCCACACGAGTGCGTTATCATAAGAACATGGCAAAGCTTCATCACATGGGCTTTGGAAACTCCCCCTTCATCCCGAAGACATTCGCGGAGTGGTCGAGGCTGAAGAACGACCAAGTTGGAACCAGGCTTGCCTACTATCAGCGTCAACTTCAGCAGAGCCAGAGCGAGCTTGCGGCCAGGCGTCAAGAACTGGCCATCGGCAGCGACATCGCCAGGACCGAGATCTTTCCGACCCTGTCCAGCAAGCTCAAGAGCACTGCCCAGCGCGACTGCAAGTCCACCGTTTTGGCACGAGACAGCATCTGGACCACCACGTACACCGACGACCCCGAGACCGACTGGCCGCCGTACGTGGAGTTCAAGAGAGAGGGCGACGACCGAGTCAGGGGTTGGCGAGACTATGGTCGCCAGCTGCCTCTACCCCGAATGCGCACGATGGCCAATATGCATTACAAGCACCTCTACCTCGATACCAAGCCAACGGATTCCGCCATCAAGGGCCCCGACGTTCCTTATCACCTTCGCAAGATCAATCCCGACATGTGCAGCGTTCACAAGGATACCATGCCGCAGACTGAAGATGCTGCTCCGGTCTCAGTTCCCCCTGGATTCCGCTGTGGTGCTGGTGACGCAGAGCAGATTGGTATCGAAGAGCTTGATGGTTTCACTCGGGAACTCATCGAGGAAATCGACAACATGGAGTAGGTTTTGGATTCTGGTGCGGATGTGGACTCTGCATACCACCTGGGGGTTTTTGCGAGTAGTGAGGTCTTGCGGCGGCGGGATATGAATTGGAATACCACCTGGCTGCTTTGTGGGTATTGAGTTCCTGCAATGCGGATTTCGGCGTTGGATGGTGAGATCTTCATCGCATTGCAGCATATGAGTTCGGCGTTCAGGACGAGTACGAGCAATTGCACAGGAATGACTTAGAAAACGTTTTCGGAAAGAAACAAGCAATAAAGCACCTCTCACAGTCCTGATACTGCAAAGGTCCTAGTTACGAGGTAGAGATCGATAGCATATGGAAACTAGGGTTGTAATACTTAATATACACGAATCCGATCCTGGACTTCTCAACTGAAACAAGACGTCGTTGAATCTGGTCGAGGAAAGCAGGATACCGCCAATATACTCTGCAATATGCTCCTGAATCATACGAAGGGAAGTGTCGACACACTTTGAGTGCCACACCGCTGGTTCACGGCCCAGGCAACGTTTGAAGTGAAAACATACCCAGGATCAACGTAGTCTCCTTACTGGTAAGATCTTGATTGTATAAGCTGCATCGCAATGATCTGAAATATGGGTAGTCTTTGAGTCGATGCTATGTTATTTGGTTAGACAACAGCACAATGCGGTTAGAGGCAGTTTCCGTATATCTTGAGCTCCAAAATGTATGTTGTTGCCGTTGACGGGATGTTTCCTGCCGTTCCAGCCACTGTCGCCCGAGGTTAGACAAGTAAGCCGACGAACACCTCAACCACAATGATTATGGAACGGTGGCTATGTCAGTATGTCATCATAGAAGGCTTGTCTGCAGCCGAGTATCATGGTCTCACCCCATGGACACGAGACGTAACAGATACCAATGTTCAACGTGCACAGAAGAAGCCGACAGGAATATTACGGGATCAGAGCATCTCATATCCATGTGCGTGCCATGCATATCGGAAGGCAGTTGCAAGACAGTATGTCGTATGGTAGCGAGTGTGGCTACCATGACCATAGCGATAGTACGAGGGAACGTGTTCTCAAGAGGGGGGAAAGTTAGTGATGTCGTCTTTGAGGGGCTCACGTGATCGTGCCAATGTAGGACGTTTCGGTAGGGACTAAGTATGTAGGGAGTCTGCAGCCACACGAATTAATGCCGGCGGCCGAAAGGTCGATCAGCGATGTGAGTAAAGCTACGTGGGCGCTACTTTGCGTTCCTGCATGTTTCAGGGCTTTGGGTTTGCATCTGTCATGTACTCATTAAGTCTTCGCCGCCGTTTCGAAGCATGCTAACATAGCACTGGTGGGCTATTTAGGAGAACATACACACACACACATGCGTCAATCGATGCACGAAAGGCGGGGGCACTAGTGAGTAGCCAGCCAGCTCACGGCATTGTGCCTTGGAGTGGCCTTCAGGATTCGGCGCTGTCTGTCCTTGTTTTGTCTCATTGCCGAGAGGGATCAGTCATAATGCCATGAGGTAAGATGACAGCTGTCGGTTATATAGGATGGAAAATTGTACATGCAGGCCGCAATTTCGTGGAGTGACACAGGAGTCGCACAAAAGCAAAAGTGTCTGCATGGCGCTGAGATCAAGGAGATCCATAAAGTGTAATGCAGCCTCAAGTTAAGTAATTGTACAAAGTATGCTTGCAATTCAAAATTCCGACTCACCTGCAACCCCTGAGAATTGGTGGGGAATCTGGCTGGTCCAGCGCCATGATTTCGAAAGTTACAGTGGGACGCGGGCCACGCATCTAGCGGCTCCCCAGGCTGGGAGCTCAGAAAATCCAGAAGGTCGAGGCATGAAACAACGGCTCAGGGCTCAGGGCTCAGCTCAGGGCATAGAGGATCGCAGGTTGGGTTGATTGGCGACCAGCCATCAGTGAAGACTGGGGGGGTATTAAAATACAATATCGGCAACCAACATTCTGACAATGATAATAAATCATACGGTGTCAATTTGTAGTGGCGCTATCAAATATCGAAATACATACATACATAACCCACCCAAGACCGGATACCGTTAAGGTATGTACGTAGTCTGTGGCTTTGGCTCTGGCTTTGGCTTTGGCTTTGGCTTGGACTAGTGCAGACTAGAATCCGCATTAACCAGTCCTGGTACTCCGTAGCACACCAGGCAGGTGGCTTTTGCACATCAGAGGCCTATCCCATCCCTATCCTATCCCTATCCTTGCTGCTGCTCGGAAGGGTCCCAGGCGCTAAATCGTCGCCCAAGTCGATCTCTCATGCACCAAAAGCGAACCATTACAGTAGCAGCATTTCATTGGCACTTGATCGAGCTCAGAAAGAACAGACAGCTACTTCTACAGCTTACCAGCAACACCCCTCGAGCAACAAAACCACCACCACGTTTTCCTTTTTTTTGACTTTGATACAGAACTCTTCTTTCGGGTCCCATTTATTCGCCAAGTGCATGAATGAATGCGTTCGTTTCTTTCAGAGGGCAGGTCAGGACAACAATACTAGACTAGCCTCAAGGTAGTCACGTCCATCCTCGCTCCCTATCTTTTCCATTCCAAGACAAAGGGTGACCTCGCCCCGACTGAGAGCTCCTCACACGGCACTTTGCCTCTCTTTGCACGGAGCCCATACCTCGTGCCTCACCTTTCAAAGTAGTTGGATACTGCCGATCGCAAGTTCGACCTGACACTACATACAAACCATCTTATCCGAGCCACCACCAATATGGCGGACCACCATGAGCCGCAGTCCGCTCCGCCTGGGAAAGATGTGGAAGAGTCACCTGCAGCTTTGGACAAAGAGATAGTATGTCATATCCCGCCTCAGGCCAACCGCATACCTGTCGCCCCCTCTGCAAGACTGCGAGACAAGTCTACGTGGCTGGAATCCATCTTCGAGCAAAAAGGCTAACAGGGTACACAAAAGGACACCTTTGAGGACGCTCTCGACAATAGCTCCGTGCGATCCCTCACGGCCCGGAAACAATCAGCTTCCACCATCTCGAGACCTTCCTCCAGCGGTTCTGCGTTGACTATCGACCCGAATGCGGTCGAGCATGTCAGGGATGTCAAGGAACCACTAACCCATGAAGACCCACCCGAGACTGCTGCTGAGGAAGCCAGCCATACCGTACAAGTTAAGGAGGTCGAGGTCGACCCAGACTCAGACTCGGACGCAGACTCAGAGCCAGAGCCGGGACCAGAGCTGGAATTGGAGCGAAAACCCGAACCTGAACCTAAACCGGAACCCGAATTGGTAACAGAACCTATGCCAGGGGCCATGCCAGAAGAAGAATCCGGCTCCGAAGCAGAAGTCGATGCCAAGTCCTTCGAAGCAGAAGTCGATGCCAAATCTTTCGAAGCAGAAGTCGATGCCAAATCTTTCGAAGCAGAAGTCGACACCAAATCTTTCGAAGCAGAAGGCGACTCCAAGTCTGCACGAGCGTCAAGCAGATTATCCCACACCGATATGGACATTGTAGATTTGAATGACGACGCTTCTGCTCCTGCCCCTGCTGTTGTCGCCCCTACTGCTCCTGCTTCTGCACAGCCCTTGGCAGAGGAAAAAGGTCAGTTTCTTCAGCAAGGCATGGCGACTTGATTCTATGGTAATCACTAACATATATCGTAGAGGATGTTCCCCCTCCTGTTCCTGAGAAGCAGCCCTCCAAGAAGCTCTCCATCAGTAACATCGCCAGTTCTCTACCCGCTATGCCGTGGTCACCTTCAGCAGCGGCCGAGTCGCCGCCGAAGACCAGCCCCAACACTTCCGCCCCCCTGCCCACCGTTCCACCTCCAGTACCAGAAAAGCCTCCTGTGGTTAGTCGAGCATCGACAGGGCGCAACTTCACCAGCCCCTTTTCGTGGCTGTCCAGGAATTCGACGGCCAAGGAGACCGTAACGTCGCCGCCGACTGCCCCGGTGAGATCTCCCAGGAGAGACACCGCCAGCTCCATTGCAACCCTGACTAGTAACCCGGACATGCTGAGCAAGCTGGAGGAAGGCGACGAAGGCGTCAATGGCCGGCCAAAGAGAAATAGCTTGAGGGATAGGTTCAAGATGGTGCGAATGAGGGAAGAAGCTGGAATCACATTGCCTGAGGATGACAAGGCTCCACCCGTAGCCATTGGAATCAGCAGATCAGCAACGAGCTTGGGTATCATGAGCCCTGGCAATGAGAGACCTACATCTCCTGGACCGACAAGTCCTAATCCTGCGCTGGCCCCGGGAACCGCCTCGGGGGCGTCGGCTGGACCTTCTTCGGCGACAGATGCGCAGGTCGATTGGGATCTGTGGCAATCCGTAGTCTATGAGGGACCCTCCGCAGTCGCCAAGACCAGCCCAGAAGAGCTCAACGGCGCTATTGCTACCGGCATCCCTACCGTGATTCGTGGTGTGGTCTGGCAAGTGCTTGCAGAAAGCAAGAATGAAGAGCTGGAGCAAGTGTACAGAGAGCTTGCAGCACGAGGAACCGACAAGGATGTCTCTAGGGACAGCAACGGGACCTCTCTCAGCTCCGCCAGCAACAGCCTAAGCGTTGACAAGGAGACGGTTGCATCGTCCGCATCATCTATACATTCCGAGGTGTCAGGGGCCAATGGCAACAAAACACCCCCGTCAGAAAAGGATACGGAAGCTTTTTTGAAGGCACAGGTATTAGCCGCGGCTGATCGGAAAAAGAAGGAGAAGGAAGACGCAGCCATGCTTCTCAAGCTTGAAAAGGCCATACGGCGGGATCTGGGCGCAAGGACAAGCTATTCGAAACATGCACAAGCAGCCGGTCTCCAGGAGGGCTTATTCGGTGTTTGCAAAGCATATGCGCTATTCGACGAGGGCGTCGGGTATGCACAAGGCATGAATTTCCTTATCATGCCACTGCTCTTCAACATGCCGGAAGACGAAGCGTTCTGTCTGCTCGTGCGCCTGATGAACCATTACAAGCTGAGAGATCTGTTCATCCAGGATATGCCCGGGTTACATATGCACTTGTACCAGTTCGAAAGGCTGCTTGAGGACCTCGAGCCTGCCGTATACTGCCATCTTAAGCGTCGTGGTATTTCGCCTCATCTGTACGCCACACAATGGTTCCTCACGTTATTTGCCTACAGATTCCCGTTACAGTTGGTTCTACGCATCTACGACCTGATATTTTCCGAAGGTCTCTCGGCTATTCTCAAATTCGGCATTGTCCTTATGCAAAAGAACGCCTCGACGTTACTTGGCTTGTCGGACATGGTACAACTCACATCGTTTCTCCGAGACAAGTTGTTTGATGTCTATATCGACCAAGCCCCGAGCACTGGTAGCATCCTGGAAAATGGCTTCTTTGGTAGCAGCTCTTCAAACATTGACAAGGAAGTATACCGGGCTGAACAACTTGTTCGAGATGCTTGCGAGGTCAAGATTACCCCCGAGCTGCTCCAGTCTTATACAATAGAATGGGAGGAAAAGACTCGCACCGAGAAGCAGCGGGAGGAGGAACTCGAGCATTTGAAGCAATCAAACACAAGTTACACAATCAAGGTGCGGAAACTCGAGGAAAGATTGCAAGCCGCCGACATGGAGCAGACCAATATGGCCAATGAGCTCGTGCACACCAAGATCGAAAACGAAGAGCTCAAGGATGAGAACGAAAGCCTCAAGGGGCAAGTAAAGGAACTGCGCAATGTTATTGAGAAGCAACCTGAAGAACTCGAGGAGGCCTGGAAGCTCGAGCGGGATAGCCTCCTGCAACGAAACGAAAAGGTGCACGAGGAAAACCAAAAGATCGAGAAAGAAATGAGCGAGCTCGAGGAGCAGCTTGTGCAAACAAAGATGCGCTACGCCGAGGTAAGTGACCGTGCCTGGTCTGCTTGGAGTATCAACTTGCTAACGAGACTGTAGATCAACGATCAGTATGAATCCCTCCAAAGAAAATGGGGGGATCTCAGGAAGCAGTTCGCGTAGATGCTTTCTCATGCACTCACACAACATGAACCTACCGCCCATCATCTTGTACAAAGCACGTCCCATTCCACATTACATTTGAAGAAGGAGTTTGCGAACGTAGGAGATTCTCGACCGAGATCATAGTTTTACAGGCGTTTGGTTTAGAATCACAGCTGGCCTGAACGAGTAGAAAAGGGATTTCCATCTCTGGTGCCGCCTGTTTTCTTGTATTTCGCCCTAGGCATGTTGCTCATTATAGATGCCAAGGCGCTTTTATTTACAAGCATAGTACGCCGACATAGAGGTGGCAGAAGTACTCAGCGTGCCTTATTCGGAGAAGAGTCGGTGGGCAAGTAAAGTATTGTATATATCATAGTTATCGGCCTCAATAGGAAGAGGGTCGTCAATGGATACAGCAACATAGCGAAGGAGACCAATCGAAATAATTTCTCGCACGATACTTGCTTATCACGAGTCGTATCAGTGCTATGTCATTCACAACTGCGCCGCGTAAGACCGTGCCAAGCCTATTCAATGGTGTATAAGACAGAATGAGCCAGTGTACATGTGAAGTGACAACGACGGACCAAAAATGATCCTGCGATGCCGTACAGCCCGAACTAAGCAATCGCTGTTCGGCGGGAATGTTGGCTTTGGGCGAGGAGACGGACAGCAGGGCAGAACTCTTATGTTCCAGGTAACGAACGGCATTTCAAGGACCGTAGAACGAGGACCCGACCTTGCTTCCCTCGTCATGCCTGGTCTCGGCACCGCGCCGTTGCTTCGGCTCGAACGACGTGTTCCGTGCGGTTCAAAGTAAAAACAAGACACCGCACACTTCCCAAGTTCCACATCGCGCAAAGCTAAGTGTTGTAGGCCTTCATGGATCAGAGAATGGCAAATAGGACAGCACCTCCCGATCTAGCTGTGGGCTTTTCCGTTCTTTCGCAGGAGAAGAGAAAAGAAAAGCAAGAACGAAAAATCTCTGCTCTCAGCCGCGAGAGGCCCAGCGCAGCACGGCATATTCCTCATCGTGGGCGAGGCTCGATTAAAGGCGTTGTGGTTGTGTTGACCTCCTTGTGCGGGGCGTGGAATGTCGTCAATACTTGGCTGTGATGAATACACTCTTCACGATTTACCCATGATCCGCAAACGCTATAGAGGACTCGATTGTAGGACTCGATCATCATGGCTGAAATTTGTGGGCTGCAAGGACCATGGAAGACCAAATGAAAACTCGTTAGCAATTTCATATTCAACAGTGGGGCTTGTGTATGTTCTCTTTTATTTTATTATTTTTTATTATTTTTTTTATCGAATGGCAGAAACGGGTGGGTAGAATAGCGACTACAGAGTTGATAATGTAGCGAGCATCACCGTTTTGAGGCAGATGGTCTGATATGAAGCAGTCACGAAGGGTAGAAGACGATGAGTTCTCAAATAGCAGCACTTTTGGTTGATCTTTTATTTGATCTGACTATCTCAATGTGAACCCAATCCATGCCGAAGACAGAGACATAATCCGTGAACACCGATACCAAAGTGCAATGCTGACATGACGTTTCCTCGTCGAAATTCATTTCCCGCGAGTAATAGTAGATGCTGCCCCCAGCCGTAGCTATGGAGCAATCTACTTGTGGAGCTTACGCTGGTAGAAAGCCAGCTCCTCACCCTCGAGGATGTAACCGTCGCAGCGACCGCTCTGGCCGGGACGCGAGGCAATGACGGCGAAGATACGACCAGCCTCGAACTGCTTCTCGAGAGCGCTGTCGACCTTGCCCTGGGCGGAGTAGCGCTCGGCCTGCTTCTTCTCGACGGAAGAGCTCTTCTTCACGACCTCCTCCTCCTTACCCTGCTTCTGCTGTCGGCGACGGCCAAGGTTCTGGCCGTAGTGGGCCTCGTACCATTGACGGAAGGGGGCGGCATCAATCTGGACAACGGCGGACTTGGTCAGGGTGTTGGTTCGGACCAGCTCGTTGTTGGAAGGGTGGTAGGCGACGACGATGACACGGGTCTTGCGGGTGATGCCCTCAGAGGCCCAGGCGAAGTTACCGGAGTCGAGACGGAGAGCACGGAACTTCTGGTTGCCACCGCGGGTGCGGACGGTGTGGATGCGCTTGGGGCCGATACGGGTGTTGGCCTCCTGACGACCAGACTCGAAAACGCGCTTCTTCCCTGTTGACAGAGGTCAGAACGTATGATCAATGCAAGGCAGAGATGCGATACGGATTTTCGAGCGTTCGATCAAAGACGAGAGTTTTCACTCTGCCGATCGAACGATGGGTATGGAATGTGTGTGTGCATGTGTATTTGCGGCTGCCATTGCTGACTGCAAACCACCTTGCTTGTGTTTTTCTTCAACGGAACGTACTGTAGTAGGCGCGCTTGGCACCGGTGGCCGATCGCTTGTGACGAGAATCGCGAGAAATACCCATGGTTGCGGTTTACTGTCGAGGAGAATTGGTGGTTAGCCCGAGGTTCTTGCTCAGTTCTTCTCTTCTTCATTCTTGGGTGCAGCCATTCTTGCACAAGGATATCTCCAAGTGTAGGGGAGTGTCATGTGCTTTCTGGATACTCACCTGGTGATGAAATATTACCAGGCAATGGGTGTTGGTCGTTGGGCGTTGAGGGTCGAATGAGCGGAATGGTTCAAAAGAGAAAAGCCAAAAGTTCGACATATCGAAAATTGTGGTTTGCAAACTGTGGGCTTCAAATTCTGGCCCGTGCTCTCTCGCAGGGCATGTCTCCACTCTAAATTGATTCTGGGCGGGGCGGCAGCCAGCAGAAATATTAGATGTGAACTGTCGTGGCCGACTGGCAGCTGGCAGAAAGCCGTCGGGTGATGAGCACAGACGCTTCTGAAGATTTGAATTCGTGATTTGCATAGCCATAGTTACGTGTCTGCGGAGCATACAAAGATCGTATGCTCAGGATACAGGGACAATTTAGAGCCCTGAATTGATGACAGTGTGACTTCCGTTGGTAGCCGCAAGCAAATCATAAATATGCTGATGCGAGGTGAACCTCACGTCGTACGATCCCATCAAACTCTTGCCTCATAATAAACCTACCCTGGACGCAGCCAGCGATCCTGAACAAGGTCTTCACCGGCGTGCCTTCTTTTCGTCCTCGCGAGCCGCTGGTGAATTCACAATAACGTGTAGTTCTAGACCATGATGGGCAAGATATTGCTCGAACCCCCTTTTCGACATGTTTTGAATATATCCAAACACTTCCCTACTCTTGGTCCAATTGCGACTTCTGGGACACTGTAAGGCTTCCTGGCTTAAGCTATAAATCTCAAGATTCTGCGTGGGTCACGCTGGGAGGGGGGGGGGTTTATCCAAAAAGTTGTGCTCCTAGTTCTGTGGTTTGTCCATTGCAAAAGATCTAATAACGAGGCGTTTTTGAGGTCGTCAATATTGGTCCGTCTAAGTATACTTAGCTGATATTCGATCATGAACCACGCTAGGTTAGTATCCTTACCTACGCCCCATCTCCTCAGCGTCCAGCATTGGCACTTGCCCCAGCCGTCAGCGATTCGTCGGTCGATACTCAACTATACAACTACTCAGCCTACTTCATGCTCAGTCTGGAGATACAGGTTCCTAGAGAGCCGTTTGACAAACGTAGGGTTTGTCCAACTTGTCACTGTCGAGCGCACCATTTCATGATCTCAGTCCATCAACCGATCTTTCAAGTAAAATCCCATGCTCAACGACAACATCAGAAACCTGCGGATTATATGCTGATTTAAGATTCGCAACCAACAAACTATTAGAAGGGCTTGTCAGAGTTTTGTATGGGCTGAGCATTGACACAGAAGCCCATCATTGATCCAGAGAACGTACCGAGTACACATCCACGAGCCACACGGAACACGTTCAGCTCCAAGTCCATGTGCGGGTCTTGCACACCGGCAAGCTCCGTCACAAATCCTCACAAACACGAACCCTAAGGTAATGCTTGTGGAGTTCCTACTTAATGTCCAATCATCCATGTATTCTCATCCAATCATCAGAAGATGATTTCGCCTTCTCCATTCAAGGCTTTCACAGGGGATGTGGTCTAGTGGTATGACGTTTCCTTAGCATGCAACAGCATGGAAAAGGTTCTGGGTTCGATTCCCAGCCTCTCCACCAAATCTTTTGCCGTCTGACACTCTGGCAACAGCGACATCACATTTTCATATGCACGCTGTTTGTCGTCTTGGACAACGTGCGGAGCATAAATCTCAACTTTTGGCACTCAGACTCTTTTTTGGCTGGGGCGCTTGCACAACCTTCTATACAACCTAGCCAACGATCAGAAAGCACAGAGTATCTCTGCAACTTGAACCGCCTCCTCTCCACATTTCTAGTGGTAAACCTTGAGGCGAATGCATTTCCAGATGTTCGATATTGTATAGTCTTAGAATGTATCAAGCTTATGTCAACTATACCCAAGCAAGTCACCTTTTTGTATTCCTAACAAGACTGGTCATCTGAGACTTGGCGGTCCTTGTCTTGGTATCGAACCACTACCAATTACCTAACACCACTTGCAAAGCTCCGACATAAAGCTGGTTTCTGGAAAGTCGGTCCTTCTCCACACGTTCCGTTTACCCATAATTGGCGGCTATTCTTGCTGTTATTCGCACTTGCAAGGCTAGGATAGTGGCCTTCACTGGGATAGGTGAGGTTGGTTTGCCATTGTGCGACAGTACCTTTGCCGTGCGCTACGGGCACGCATCCGCCGCCCCCCTGAAAGCAGCGAAGTTGCCCCTAACCTATCAAACCTATGTCCAGAGCCGGCAGGGCTGGAAACCCCACGTATGAGGCAACGTGCTTCCCCAGATTAAAGGACTGCTCGGTGAAGTACAACTCTAATTTAACACCATCGTCCTACCTAGTCGTGCTATTCGATTGGTACCGACACTAAGGCCCGGGGTCGTAGTGACTGTGACTCGTACGCCAACACCACTATGACCAATGTGTTCCTTTTGTCTAAGACCGCTCCGAAAATGACGGAATAAGGCCTTCCGTACTCTGACGATCTTGTTGACGGCGGAGTATAAAATATGACAGCGGGTGCCGTAAAACGGCAGCAGAATGTCTGTTCATCGCACCCTTGAGGGCACGTGAGAACCCAGAAGCAAAATGAAGTTCATCGATCTTCTTCTCGGGGCTACGGCGGTTGCTGCCGTCGTTGCTGCTCCTACCACTGGCGAAACATCCGTTCACAAGAAGCGAAAGAGCAAGTTCCAATTCACGGGTGTCAATGAGTCAGGCGCTGAGTTTGGCAACACTGCGCTCCCTGGCCAGCTAAATAAAGACTATACATGGCCAGCTCACTCCACGATTGATGTAAGTCGTTCTCCACAACATGACATCGTATGGAACATTGACTGGCTGGTATGGAGACATTGGTGGGTAAGGGCATGAACATTTTCAGAGTACCGACCATGATGTAAGTATACAACATGCCGTGGCTCGGTCAGTAACTTACTGTTCGAAGGGAACGCATTATTCCCGGCAAGTTGACAGGTTCTTTCAACGAGACATATGTCGCAGGGCTGGACGATGTAAGATTTTCCGTATGCTTGTCCATAACAGATAACTGATACACGTGCAGATCATCAAGTACATCACTGGAAAGTATGTAAAGCTAGCAAAGATCGATGGATCACAAGTTAACATGCAGGAAGAGGCGCATATGCTATCCTCGATCCCCACAACTTTGGTCGTGCCTATGGAAACGTAAGGACAAGTTCTATCCCAACTATCGTGCAGGATTCGTACTGATGTTTTCCAACAAAAAAAAGATCATCACCGATACTGCAGGTTTCAAGACATGGTGGACCACTGTTGCCAAACGATACGCCTCCAACGGCAAGGTCATCTTTGACACGAATAACGAGTACCATGATATGGACAACACACTTGTAGCCAGCCTCAATCAAGCAGCCATTGATGGTATTCGAGCCGCAGGTGCGACTTCGCAATACATTTTTGTTGAAGGAAACTCCTGGAGTGGTGCTTGGCACTGGGTATTGAATATTTCCCAAGACCCCCTCAAATCACCATCACTGACCGTGCGGTAGGTTTCTAGCGGTACGGCGACAGGTATGGTCAGCCTCACAGACCCGCAGGATAAGATCGTGTATGAGATGCACCAATACCTCGACAGCGATGGCTCAGGCACCTCAACGAGCTGCGTCTCTACGACCATTGGGAAGGAGCGCGTCACTGAAGCTACCGCGTGGCTAAAGGCGAACGGCAAGAAGGGCATCATTGGTGAAACGGCCGGCGGGGCCAATTCACAGTGCATCAGCGCCGTCGACGGCATGCTGAGTTACATGCAGGACAACTCAGATGTCTGGACCGGCTGGCTCTGGTGGGGTGGTGGCCCGTGGTGGGGTGACTACATCTACAGGTATGTGTATTTCCTTACATGTATATCCTCGTTTTCATACCATCCGGCAAAAAATGAATGAACGGGACTAATTTCTCATCCGTAGCATGGAACCTCCGTCTGGGGTTGCTTATACGGGAGTACTTCCGTCGATTACGAAGTACATCTAGGTCCGAGATCTATGGTCATCACAAAGGATGGGAAATTCGTGGAGGTACTGTGAGGCATGATATAGGGCTATCGTGATGGCAACACGGGTCAAAACCAGGTTTCTTTCTTTTGCGCATCTGTTACTCTTTCCTGGTAGCGGGTTGGTCATACGACCGACCTACCAAAATGACAAGGAAAAAGCTTGACGGGAAGCTCGCCTCTCTAGTCATACATGCACGCTCATTCCGCACATGCGTTAAATGCTAAAGGTTGATGATACCGGATGAAGCCACTAGTCCATCTCTGATTCAGCCCATTTGCAACGACGCGGCAGAAAACCCAGCGCCATCCGACCTGCTAAATAAAATACGGATCGGTAGTGACGCGATTCAATTGAGTGTTGATCGAAAATCTGCTTTCCACCAAGTCTCTCGACTCTGTCTTTTGTTCGTTTTCTGCCCCATGTTTCCAATTGTGTTTGAAGGCAGGGTCCGCCTCGGCGGGCTGCCAAATCAGGAAATCGGACGATGGGGGATATGCCCGAATCCGGCGACCGTGCGGCACAACCCAATACCATACCTTCCGGATAACGAGCCATCTGCCGCAAGTCACTGTGAGCCGTAGACCGGGTTGGCCTGACCAGGTGGCCGTGGTGACATGTGAGCTTGGTTGTGATTGGCGCAGTCAATGTCAGCTGTCATTAGTCAGGTCGAATCCAGCAATGATGGTGGTTTGCTATATGTCGCACGAATCGCGTTGTGGGGATTCGGAGAGGGAAGGAGTTTGTCGTTGAGGACTGTGAGGCACCCGGCACGTGTCCGCGGATCGTGAGCTGGCCGTCGACCAACTGCTGAAACGACGTATTGGGCTGCTAGCCTGCTCGAGCTTCTCAGGTATAGGGCATGGGCGATGTTCTATTGGCATCCTTCAGAGTCCAGAGTAGCTCTTGTCCGACGGTTGCTGCTACGCTCTCCCCTGACATTCTCGTTCACGGCTCTGGCTCGTCTAGGTGCGGTATCATAAGAAGCGACCGCAGACCTTCCGAACTTGAGGCTCTGACAGGCTTGCAGCTGACAAGGGCCATTGTTACATAACCGCCATCAGGCAAATAGTCGACGTTTTCCACCTCATAGTACCTCTCGCTGTGGATTTCCAGCCATTGAAAGAAATCTTACTCCTCTACACCAGGCATCTAGGACGGCCCTGACGTACACTGAGATGACTACGGAGCAGCTTTGATTGACTGCCGATATGAGTCGAGATGTTCCGCTTCCGGTTTGTGTCGTGCCTAATGCTGCTGGCTTTGTTCGCGATGGTCCTATCAGTTGACGCGAGGCGCAATGATCGCGCCGTGGCTGAAAAGGATACGACGGGCAGCAGGATAATCGGAAGCCATGTCAATGCCCGGAGCAACAAGTCGGCGTCGGCCCAACCGTCGGGGGTACAGATTCAGCTACCCACGCGCATACCAGAGCCAAATGCAGCTCCTGCTACTTTGCTTGGAGAAGCACGAATCCTCTCACTAGTGACACTACTTGAGGAACCACGTCTAAGCAAGCGACAACCCGGGGATGCCAACGGGCCCGCGGTGGTAGCGGCACCAATGTTGCCTGTAATGGTATCTTCTGTGAGCGCTTCTCTCACGAGTAGTGCAGCGTCTGCCCTTTCCTCGGCATCAGAAAGTTTCCAAAGTCAATTGGAAGCGTTCTCTGCCCAATCGTCAACTGATATAGCGGCGGCTTCGGGCTCTGCGTCGTCCACAATAGCATCCTTAACCGTATCGGCCGCTTCGGCTATCTCGTCTGTATCTGCGTCGGCCTCTTCAGCTATCGCGTATATTTCAGCATCCGCTTCCTCAGCTATCGCATCTGCCAATGCCGGCGCCACGTCCTTGAAAGCGAGCACGAGCAGCGTGGCATCAGCACCGGGTTCCGGTGCAGCTACGACTACAATGGACATTATTGCTACTGCCCAAGTCAGTTCTCCTTATGAAAGCTCTGGGTCTGTGCCCCTTGAAACCGCTGTAAGTCTAAAACAAATTACTAGTCACATGGGGTTTCGCAGGATGTTGACGAGAACAGGGCACCACCAATAATATTGTACAACCAAATTCTTCTGCAAGCCCCGGCGCCACAGGGGCGTTCTTGGTGACGCCGAGCCAGATAGCTGCAATAGTCATCGGCACGATTGTTGGCACTGCAATATTGACCCTGCTCGTAGTCTACAGTATTGTATTGTGTCGTGAAAAGCGGAGGCGGAAGTACGAAAAATATAAGCAAGGGCCTGAGGATAATTACGAGAGTGCCCCGAACGTCGCTGATCACGACGACCAAACGGGGAGGGCAGAAGGTCGTTCAACTCGGGACGAGAAGCGAGCAAAGTGGTCAATTGCACCGCGTCCTGCTGTGGCGGTAAAACCTATAGTGTCACCGAAGCATCCAGCCATGCCAACCAGGCCGCAGCAGGCACAACTAATCTCACATCGATCAAAACTGAGCTTACCCGCCCTACCGGAAGAGAGTCCTAGAGTCTCTGATCAATTTGACCTGCATCCCCCAGAAGCAGAGTCATCTAACAGTGCACTGGCCTTCCATGCCCTGAGCTACACTCCAGAGCAGCCAGCAGGGTGGCGGATACCTGAGCCTGACACAGTGAAATTGACTCTGACGAAGAGACAGTCTCGGGGAGGACGCCAGCGCCTTGCTGTAACAAGAGTCGGCGGCGCAAGCCAACAAGCAAGCAACAATACCAAGGATATGAAACGGGCTTTTGGATTTGCGAATCCTTACGCTGCTGGTCCGTCGTCGTGGGAAGGAGAGCCGCCATTCAGGGGCCCACCCCCTGTGCGAACACCGTCTTCAGAAACCCTACCTTACCCGAGCAACGCGATGCCTTCACCTCTCGCGCTCAACCCCCCAGCAGGTATATCGACGACGTCGCAATATCCCTCGTCCACCTGGGGGCCCTGGTGTCCCGAACCGCTTCGCACGGCGTCGGGGCCGAGGCAATACGAGAACCTGAATGCCCAAGTGCACTCCGGCCAACCGCACACGTCCGGCACCGAGAGCACAAAACAACGGCACACGCCAGACCGCATCCAGAACCATATTGGACTCCTTCCCCAGCAAATCGTAAGCCCGCCCAAACCGGCACCGAGATCCCAACCACCCATCATCCACGTCAGGACGAGCAGCCTCAACGCCACCACCATCAACAACAACAACAACACCAGCAGTGGTGGCAGCGCCAAGCCCACAGGGCCCGGCACCGGTATATCGGCAGGGGCAGGAAGCCATCTCCTGAACTCGTCCCAGTATCTCCGGCCCGGGAACCACACGTCCACGCCGCCCATAAGCCCGTACAGCTCGACGTTCGAGAACCCTCCCGCCTCGCCGACTTTCATATCGCCGCTGTCGCCGCCGCCCAGATCGCCCCTCCGCGCCCTCGTGCGGCGCTCGAGGTCAGACTACTCCCTGCGCGGCTATGCGGCATCACCGCCGGGCAGCACCAGCTCCTCCCCCACCACCCCCACCACCTCGTCGCCGGGGAGAGCCAACCCCGTCGTCCGGCCCCTGCGCCGTCTGAGCTGCAGCTCCGACGAGCTGGGCCTCCTGGCGCAGGCGACGGCGGGTCTGGGCCTCGACATCAGGGTGCACAGGCCGGGGTCCCTCGGCCAGACCGACGCCCCAGAAGGTCTCCCGACCGGCCGGGCGTGCGCCTCGTCGCCGTGGGGCGCGGCCAGCAGGGCGTCGTCGTCGTCCAACACGAACCCGGACGGGGGCGGCCGGTTCACGTTCCTGGCCTCGAGCGGGGGCCACACGCCCGAGAGCGGCGGGAGCCCGACGGGGGCGAGCCCGTGGGGACTGCCGGCGGCGCTGAGGCGCAAGAGCGAGAATAAGAGGCACAGCAGCAGCCTCGAGCAGACAGAGGTGGAGATGGAGATCCAGATACCGCGGGAGCCGAGGTTTACGTTGTTCCCGAGAACCGGGGGCGGGACGGGGACGGGGACCTCGACGTCGGCACTACCGGCTTTGGCGCCCGTGAGCCCTCTGAGGATGCCGGGGCTGGGACATGGCAAGAGTCGTAGTACGGGGGATGTTGAATTTCGACAGGAGGAGGAGGGCGGGGCGGTTTAGGAACGCGGAGAGGCTACAGACATGGACGAGGCGAGCATATTGTGAAGGCATAATCGATAGCTAGGCCTCCCGGTGTTTACTGGGTCGTCCAGGCGCAGTTCTATCATAATTGTGTGGCTACAAACTGCCATGTGATGCTGATACGACCCCCTTAGTCGAGGTCCATGAAAATATAGGCCTTGTGTATCACAGATATCACAGATCTCACTATATACAGTGTAAATTTGTTAACTGTCCGAAAAAAAAAAAACTTTCTTGTGGTCGTAGCACTCAAGTACTGCTATCGTACAGTCGTATGATGCCGGTGCTTGCCAGCATCCTGTTCTTTAACGCCAGCAAATGCACCCTCCCCCTTTTCCCCCCTGATTCATTGGCGTAAAGTCATTCCAATCCTTTACGCGCCAAACCAGCCCGAGCGAGTCGAGGCTTCAAAAGTTCAGGTCTTTCGCTATTATAAAGGTTTTAGTGTTTGAGACATGCATGCGAAGGCCCATGCAGTTTCCATGTGCCGCTGAGATCTGCAGATGTCGGCGGCCTCTCAAAAGCTTTGATCGCGCCCCAGTCTCATGACACATGTGTCCAAGTCGCCCAGGAGTGAGTTTCGTTCCAGGATGGCGGTGGCCCCCTAGACGGGCAGCTTGAACTTCATGCCCTTGACTACCTTGTTGTAGTAGATCCAGAAGAAGTCGGAGTAGAGGACGGTCTGGACGAGGCCGGCCACAACGGCGATCCAGTCGACCTTGTGGTCGACCTCGGTGAAGTACCTCCAGAGCCAGTTGGGGATGTACAGGGCGCGGTAGGCACCGAGGGCGAAGAGGTAGTGGGTAGTGATGGTCTCGGCGGAGCCGGTGCGCTGCAGCATGAAGAGCTGGGGCAGGATGGCGACGGATTCGAGCCAGATGGAGAAGGCCCACAGGATCTCGCTCAATGTGTATCGGTAAGGGAGCAGAAGGGCGAGAACGGCGGCGCCACCGAGCAGGTACTGCACGCGGAAGGTGTCGAGGTTGGGGTCTGTTGTCGCCCTGTATTTGGTGGTCATGAGATAGACGATGTAGCCTTGGCTTCCGATGAACAAGATCTTGAAGATGATGTTGTAGAGCGAGTGTGTGCTGAAGAGATCGAGGTACCGTGTGACGTAGACGATGAGGTAGAGGGCTTGTGATTTGAAGGAGATGCCTGCAGCGCCCTGTGTAGTTCATGTGGTCAGTAAGCTATGGTCTCTCTCGGGAGCAGAGTTCAGTGCGTGTATGTGCGGAAGCTCGTACGTTTAATTCCGTCATCTTGTGCAGTAATATGAAGATGGAGGCCAGATGGGAGAAATCCCCCAGCACCCTGAAAGCGTTCAACATGGTTGTTGTGGTTGTGAAGCTAGCTTAAGGCTGCCTCTGTGGTGTTGATGTCGGTAAGTTTGGTGTCGACGGGGGTTCAAGATGGATGCTCTCTGCTTGGGGGTAATCGATCTTGTCGTCTCAAAGGTCGGCCAGTTTGGAAGTGCTGTCGTCGTTGTTCCTTTGTATGTTAGGAATTGATTCGATCTGAGGCGGGAATGTTTTCAAACCAGCAACTTTCCCTCCGTTTGTTGCAACTAACGTTTAACTCGGGCCAAGGAGAGCTGCTTCCATGAGGACACGAACGCGATTCGCTCATGATTGGATGATTTCGGGCTTTGGCTTGTGGCTGTCTCCGCTGCGGATCCCCGTACATAAAACAAAGAGCTGCTCTAAAGCCACAAATCTCCTGAGCTAACCTTGTACCTGCTTGCAGTGGGCGATGATCGCCCTGTTCCGCAGTGTTCCGCCAGGAGTCTTGTCAATGGATGGCTGCATTGCCGGGCGTGCTTCAGCCTTTTTGCTTTCTCCCCCCCCCCCCGCTAAAGCTCCCTGTCAGCTGCCTGTGAGGAATCCTAGGTTGGTTATTGTTCAATGTCGGAATTCCAATCGAATTTGACGGCGGCTGCCACATAGTCGTGATTGCTTGTGTGTCGAGCCTTCGGTCTCCCCATTCCTGTACTTACTTCTATCAGCCACACAACAGGTAGGTCAACCTAGTGCCTTGGAGAAGTGCGTGCGCCCTCCTCTCCTCGAGGCGCGCGACTTCTGGGCGCGTGCACTTCCAGTCCGGTGACGTATTACAAAGCTGCCTTAGAAGCTTCGAGCGGCGATACCTACGACAACGCCCACGCCCGTCCGCTCCGTCTATAGCTATAGTAGGTCAGCATCTCTTTTTGCAACACCTCCCGCCCGTCATTCTTTGATGATACTGCGCCCATTGCAAGTAGTATTTGCTCCCACCAAAGCATTATCGCCGCCTCGCGACACATGTACACGATTGGCAAATCGTCTAGTTTTCTTGACTCCCCGAAACCTTGCCTCCCAGATATCGCGAACTGTTGTTTCCAGCCCGGAAGACTTCCCAGCACCTTGAGGCAGCATTCTGGTTATACACAACAAAACACTAGAGAAACAATCTCCACGTCTTCAACTCGCCCAGAGCTTCAGTCACACGAAGATGGCACACCAGACACCCCATGGCCCGACGAGTGCCACCATCTCCATCACTCTCAGCCATGGAGGTAGCTCCCACACTATACAGCTTCCTCATGATGCCACCATCACAGACCTTGCGACAGCCGTCCACGTGCAACTCTCCATCCCGCCCACCAACCAGAAGTTCCTCCTCCCAAAGCTGGGCCTGTTGAAGCCCCCCTTCAAGAACCCCGATCTGCCCGTGTCGCAGCTCGACAATGGTAAACCGATCAAGCTGATGGGCGCCACCGCCTCCGAGGTCGCATCGATGAGCTCTGCGTCGCAAGCAGCATCCGCTCGCCAGGCGGCTTACGCTGGCCAGCGCCGCGCCCAGCCCAAAGCCTTTACGAGTCGAACGCCCGCCCAACGGCAAGACGAGGCCACGTACACCTTTCACGACATCGTACCACTTGCGCACTTGCCCAGTCCCGAGCGCTCGCTCGACTTTCTCAAGCGGCTCAGTAGGGATCCCGGCATCGTGGCCACCATGAAGAAGCACAAGTTCGCCGTTGGCCTGCTCACCGAGATGGACCCTCTGTCCAACACCGAGTCGAATCACGAGGGCACCACTAGGCTTCTGGGCTTGAACCGCAACAGAGGCCAGGTGATCGAGTTGCGGCTGAGGACCGATGCCTACGACGGCTACCGCGACTACAAGACCATCCGGAATACGCTGTGCCACGAGCTGACCCACAACGTGCACAGTGACCACGACCGGAAGTTCTGGGATCTGTGCCATCAGATCGAGAAGGAGGTCGCCGCGGCCGACTGGAAGTCCGGCGGCCATCGCGTAGCCGAAGAAGAATACTATGAGCCGAGCGAAGAGGTTGCGTACGACCATGGCGGATGGACTGGAGGAGAATTTGTGCTCGGCGGCGGCGGCAACGCTGGTAACACAAGTGGCAGTCCGCTGAGCTCGAGGGAAATCAGGGCCAAGGCCGCAGAAGAGAGAGCGAAAAGACTGGAAACCCAGAAGAAAGACCGAGAACAACAGCAAGAACAACAGCATGAGGATTAACCGGTCGACGGTTAGTCTGACATTCCATTGCGTTTCACTGGCACATCTGTAAGAAATACAGGGTGTCACGGACAAGCCTGTGCATCACGACGGGTTTTTTTTTTTTTAGCGATACGTAGTGAGAGGTTCGCAAACGACCACGGTAGATGGCCGTGGTTGTTTGAGCAGGCTGTGCTTGAGGACGACCAATGGTGGATGCAGCGAGGAAGACAGAGAAGCTGGCATTCACAAATTCCCACAGTTGTATAGGTTACATTGCATTAGCACGGCGTTGGTGTTTTAAAGTCACCAGGAGGATCCCCTGGTTGATCAATATGTTTGCGTCAAGCGTTAGAGTTTTGCATTTTGAATCTAGACAGTTCACACCAGTAGATTTTTGGTCTTTTGTATTCTGATTATACCTCTACAGGCCTCAGTCATCCTCCATAACGAGTGACATCTTCCTAAACGCCGAAGTTCTGCAATTATATCGGTTGAGCATCCTGTGAAGAGAAGAGATATGATCTCCTCTCTCGAATGATCGAATTTACGAGACACCTTCCCATGTCGACGCGAGTCTGTTCAAACGTACGCCCCTCGAGTGCATTGGAGTGTGTTGAGTGCCATGGTATGAGAGAACAATATCGATTCCTATCAAACAGGGGGTATATATAATAATCCACCTAAAGTTCAATGCGATGCGATGCGATGCGATGCAGTTGGAGAGTGATGCAGAAGATGCCCTTTTCCCAGCCCCTACCCCTTGAGATGTTTTTTCAATCCAGATCAGACGTGAGTTGCTAACTCCTGGCAACGGGAGTGGTTACGGCAGGATAAATGCCCTCCCTCGGAATCTTCACGAGATCCCTCGTCTGCCCTCCCCCTCCCCTAAACCAGCCCCAGAAACCAAACCAAAAGAAACGCCTGTGCAGATGCAAGTGTCCATCCGGGGATGGATCTCTAATATATCTAATATATATATATATATGTATATGCTTCAAAAAAATAAAATGCTTCATGCCCCCCTGCGCGTCATCGGCAAAGAGGGGAGTGCCCGAGGTCGTGCATGAAATAGACAAAAGGCGCCGGCGCGACGCCACATCCGAAGGCGCCCCGATGCAGAGAGATGATGATGATGATGATGATGATGATGTTTTGTGTTTGTTCGGAGCTTGCGGGTTTGGCTGGCCATGTCGCGCGCGCGAACCTCCATGTGGGAATAGCGTCTTTTTTTCCTCCACCCCCCGTGGAGATCTAACGACCAAACCGCCGCTCGCTATTCTTTCTTTCCTTCTTTACTTCTTTTTTTGCCCGCGGTAGGTATGAAGCGCATGAACCCCGTTGGAACTAGGCCCAGCGGGCGCTGTTGCATGGTGTGTGCGCGTCTCGCCGTCGCAATGTTCGGCTTTGCGCGACTTGGTTGTAGATTGCGGTTGCCTGGAATACGAGATTCTGCTGCGGTGAAGAGCCGGGCTTCTCTTTGGACTGAAAAGGTTTTGGCTGCCCCAGTCACGGCTTCGCTCTTCTCATCTCGCGTCGCTGCATTGCTCTGGGTGTCCCAACGGCAGACGTCTCGGGGGGGATTCTCGAAGATTTGAGGAGACTCATTACTTAGTGGCTTCCTTGCGGCTTGCTCTGAAACTGGCCGAATTTGTTGACTGCTTGCTGTTGCGGGGGCTCGGGCTTCTTCACCCATTCTTTGAGCTCCGGCTTCCACTGGTGTCTAAGAATCACGCGACGTTAGTTACACCTCTCTGGCCCAAGTCGACAGCGTCACTTACCCTTCCCACTCGGTGGTCACGAGACTCTTGGTTCCGTACTCATCCGTCAAGATTCGGTCGAACGAGTACGGGATCGTAGCCGGTACGCCCTCGAATTCCGTCTGGCGCATCGGGTACAGCTCGGTCGTGCGGTACCTGTGGAAGTTCTTGCAGCTCCACACGCCCGCTTGCCTCGTCGGCTCCCTCTCCGCCAGGCCCGTGATGTCGATGAACATGCCGTTGCTCAGATCGATCCATCGCGCGTCGATGACGTTCTGGCCGTCGCCCCGGCCGACGTCGCTGTGGTGAGGGTTGATGTCCAGCAGGTACTCCTTCTTCAGCGTCGCACCGGTGGTCGGGTCCGTGTAGGTGTACTCGTGGTGCGTCCGGTTTAGGTTCTTGCCCAGGTAGTGCAGAGTCGCGGCCGAGACCTGCACATCGAGGTCATAGTCCCAGGGCATGATGCGCCCGTTCCACCACCATCCCAGTAATGTGCCATGCGCCAACCACGTCTCCACGCCTAAGGACTTGAAGGTCGTGAGATATGACCGGATGAGGTGTTGCAATGCCGGCCTGTGCTCCTCGTACGGCACCCTGTTCTTGAAATACCGGATGTCGTAGTGACCAAGCTCATTGTCGCCGCCGGGTTCGTGGAAATATTTTGTGTCAGGCTTCGGTGCATTCGTGTTGCCCTTGGACCCTGTCCTCCTTTCAAACTCCCCTGCTGACACTGTTATAGGAGCTACAGCCAGTACGGCAACTAATATTGATCGGAGCAGATGCATCCTGGCGGCAGCAGAACTGAGGTATAAACCAAATATGTAGACGCTACGGACGTCTTGGTCTTACACAAATAAACGTGTCGGCCACGGGGAAAATCCAAGCAAGGAATGATCTGACAAGTTTGCGACTTGGCAAAAGGATATGGTTGCGGCCTTTCGAACCCCGTATGACGATTGTTCGTAAGCACGAGCTGCCGCACGTTTTGTTCGACAAAGAAAAAATCCCTCCAAGAAACAGGTTTCGTGCTACCACTACTCTCAAGAAACGACTGTGGTATATCCAAGTCTGACGTGTGTCTCGTTTTGGAAAATCGTCAGAGTGCGAAACACGTGAGAGTTGTACTCCTGAAGTCGCTGGATTATACAGCAAAAGCAGTGATGTTGAAATGAGATCCCAACCCTAAAATCCGAAAGAGCATTCCTTGGTCTAGGCGATCTTGGCGGAGAAGCTTCAAAAGAAGGTTCGTGGCAGAGACAAGATGTGGAGGCGTCGTGGTTTTATTATTCAAGACATTGAGGAAAGGTGACCTAGGCGCAGGAGTTGTCTCCATTATCAAGGTCCCGCTCGAACACTTTGTAGTGGCGGGCGACGTACGCAGTCGTATGAAGAAAGTCTGGCCACCCTGCCTCGCTGCATGCCACTGGGCAATGGGGCTCCGTTGAGATGAGTAAACCTGTCTCATTGGACTGAAAGACCCTGGGGATGGTGGGTGAGCACGCGAGCATACGTATTTCCTTGTCACACTGTGACAGGGGACTATCGGGTAGGGAGCGAACTGATAACATCCTTACCCGGGAGTATATGCCAAGACTACTAATACCAGACATGGTAATAGCATGCATAAGGCCTGCATGCCCGTTCGACTTGGCGTTAGATTAACGAGATAGCAACCACGAAACCCAAATATGATGTCAACACGCAACAATTGAAAAGCCTGGAATCTTGCGGAAGCACAGTTACGAGAATGCGTTTCCTCGATACTGCAGGCTATGTTGTGGGACGGTTGAGACAAGAATAGAGAAAATGCGAGACGTCGGCCGTCGATCTGCGCGTCGCAAAGGTGTCGGCTAGCAGGTGACTGATCTTCCAGCGGGTCGCTGGAGGTGGAATTGCTCTACAAGCAATGACCAGCCGCCTTCCCAATCCAATTTGCAGGATCGGCAGCAGAGATCCCAGATATACTCCCTAACAGTGCACACGGTTTCGTAAAGGCAGATTTCGCTAACCTAGCTCTTTAGCTGCATAAAAACGATCTGTTCGATATTACATATTAAACACTTGTGCCGTGGTATCGTGAGCAGTGACTTAGCAGCCAGGCCGGTCATTGCCATGGCATGGCAAGCCGCATTCGATAGCTGCAGCCAACGGCGCTGCGGACCCAGGAGAAGAGGCCTTGTTCTTACTCTCCCGTCGCTGATGATTTAAACCCTATGTGTTTAGTTCGCAATATTGCAATAGCGCCGACTCGTGTCGCGAAGTAAGACTTTCGATACTCCTCACGCTGGGCTAAATGCAGAACAAATGTACAGATCATGTGCTGGTATGGCCCAGGTACAAATGCATCAGGACGCGCGGCCAAGCGAACGCGCCCACCGGATTTAAGGGTCCCTGGGGAATAGTTTAGCATAGCAGGTGCTTCGAGCTCGAAACACTTGTGGCGGTGTATAATCTTGACTCCTTGACTTCATCAAAAAGAAAAGCTAGAGCCTCAATAAAATGATCGCGTCGGTGCTATCCACATCATGATTTGTGGCGCGGCGGCATCTAAAGAGCCATACGCCGTCTGAAGATGTTACAGTAGCTTCGGGCTACAACTTGGTGTGAGGCGGGCTGGCTTGACGCTAGCGGCACATCCACCGACTCCCGACTACTATGTAAATAATAAGAAGATCGGTGATAATCAGGAGTTCTCAGCCTCATTCTGGCATTATCGAATTTGCATCTGATAGGTGTGAATGTCTCACCCGCCGTGAGATCGTAGCACCTCAGCGATGGCTACTGATCATGAGTAGCCATATTGTGTGTCTCTGACGGTCAATCTTGGGCTAACAATATTCACGTCCGGCCGCGGTCTATCATGACGACGTCAATGTTTCGGAAGTGGACCCTCCTCGAATATGATGAGGTGGCAGTTGAAATTGATGAGTTGCGTTGCTACAAGGGTTGTACCGCTCGTAACTCCGAGCCCGCACGCCGGGGATTGATGGAAGAAAGTCGTCGCATGCGCTCCGTACATTCACACCTTCGTCGCTTGTCTTTTGCCAATAGGACAAACTTGCATTCAAAGCCCCGCGGTCCCGTCCCCTGGAATCGGTCCCCTGGCGTTTCGCTCGACAGCCCTGCTGGGTGCAAAAGGTCTTGGCTTCCATAGCCCACGAGAACCGCGCTGGAACATGGAAGTGCCGCGTAGCCGTCCAAAGGGGCTGTTCGACAATTCCGTGGCGCACCGTTGCCAAGACCGTCCATCATCTGCTATTTATTTTGGAGTACGGTTGATGATAGTTGAGCGCCGTCGTATATATCGATTTGCAGACATGTTGTAGAATGCAGCTGCGATGCTTTTGCACACCGTCATATCAATGTGGATTCATAGCGACGCAAGCTCGACAATAGCTGTCGTGTGCTCACCTTCTTGATTCGCAGCGTTGCATGAAAAGAAAGATCCGATGGCCCCGGCACTAGCGAGCAGTCAAAAAGGATCAGCAAAGCCCATGTGGGAAGGAAATGATGCCAAGAAACCAAGATTGCGATCTGTGTGGGGTTTTTGGAAGATTCTCTTCGCATTCCAATCTCGAAATGTCAATGGACACGGCTACGCGGCCGTGGGTCTACAGTGCGACGCACCGTGTTTTTCTGCTCTGGGCGGGAATAATAATCCACGATAACAAAGAGGAAGGGGAAAAAAAACCTGAGACTCAGCTGCCAAGAGGCTCAGCTGCCAAGAATAGACTTTCGGACTCGACTCCTGCAACCAACCGACGAGTTGTCAGTTAGGCCAAGGCGGAGCCAATATTGAATTTCTAGACCACAACACCGTTATCGTGTAGCTCTGTTCTGGTGAATGCGGACTATCAGGTATGATACATCGCTTCTGTTGAGTAGCGCTTAGTGTATGTATGTATGCTTGTATGGAATAACCATAAATGTAAGCCTCTGCAGACTTGTAGCTAACTCTATACCTACCAGGTATACCTGTGTACATACCGCTCTGTGCGGGGACCGCGACGTGGTCGCCCTGTGTGCTCGGGACTCGGGATGTAGCTCTGACACTGCCAAGCAATGGTTATTGCCTACGCGAGCACAGAAATACTAGGCAGGTCTCCATAGGAGTAGTTTGCCCATGTAGTAGGAGGTCTCATAACGAGGGTTGAACTACTCGGCACATCGTAGCCGGTTGAGGGCCTGCAAGGTATGGGGCCAAGCAATGCTGGGACGACTTAGTCACCGTGACCAGCCACTATTACGTCCCTGAAAGACTGAGATCTAAGACAGATCTTATCATCATGGCGGCTATGTAGTTGACACAGAACTATGATCTTTCAAGGCACGAATCATTGTGTGGATTCAGATGGGTAAACTCCACCTGGCGTTCTTTCGAGCCTTACTCTGTCTGTTGAAGCATATACGGTTCACGTCCTACGCAGATGAACCTGCTTTGATCAAATCCGCGGCTCTCTCAGCGAGGCCATACAACGTTGCGGTAGGGTGGCCGCTCATCTGTATTGGCACGACGGACGCATCCACGACTCTCACGTTCCGCGTGCCGTAGACCTTCAGCCCAGAATCCACCACTCCTTCCAGGTCGCGCGGCAGCATCGCGCAGGTGCCGATGGAGTGATAATTGGTGGACACTATTACAACATGCATATCAGTTCTCGGTGCTTGTTGAGCTACGGCGGAGGGGAGGCACGCGGCACAAGACTCACCCCCTGAGATTATGTACTGCAACCACGTGTCGTCGGTCGCGTTTAGAGGGGGTATGCCCAACCCAGCCTGGTCCGCTACCCAGCCGCTCAAGGGCGCTGTATTCCACAGCTGGCGCAACCGGCGGCCCGCAGCGGTCAGCACGTCTTTGTCGAAATCAAGCGTTATGAAGTTGGGGCTGATAATGGGATAGTCTGCAGCACTGGAAGTATTAAGGTGGACACTGCCCCACGAGAACGGGAGCAGTGTCCAGAACGCGGTGCCAATGACGCCTGAGGACGCGATTGGGATGATCTCCACAAATGTGGCATTGTCCTTGAATATTAGGTCATGTTGGACCTGAAACCTCGTCTCGAGCGCTTCGGCGCTGATGGCGCCGTTGAGGGAGGTAGACACAGTCTGCGCCCACGTCGCGAGCTCGGCTTCAGTAGTCTCTGCGATGGAGGAGGCATCATTGCCGAAGATGTCCTCGGCATTGGCAAACGTGGCATAGGGCGTAGTTCCAGTAATATCTTTGCTGCTGGGATATACGAGGCCGACAAGTTGCTGGTCTTGCATGCCTTCGCCAACGCCAGGAAGCTTGACCCGTGTCTCGATGTTGTGACTAGAGAGTATACTGGAGAAAAATTAGTATCACCCTAACGAGTGATGAATATTTCCTCAGGACTTACGCAGGATTTCCAATCCCCGAGGCCTCCAATATCAACGGGCTTCGAAATGTACCTGCAGAAACAATCACTTCTTTCGCTACTCCTACTTGGGAGAGCTCTCCCAAAGTGTTGGTATACTCGATGCCAGTGGCTAGAATGTCTTTACCATATGTCTCTCCCCACGTAATCCTGTTGACAGTCCCTTGTATAACCTTGAGGTTCGGCCTATCCTCGACGGGCTGATAATAAGCCCGAGCACTTGGTTCTCGGGTGCCCGTGACCGGATCCAGAGTTTGGGGAAAGACACTGAGGCCCTCGGTAAGGCCGCTACCCACGTCAGGATTCCGGGGAATACCAAGCTCGTTCCCGCTCTGCAAGTAATCATCGTAAAATGAGCTGTTGCTAAGCCCGGGGCTGAATCCGGTCGTCAAGAAGCCTTGTTCGCCATGAAACTCAGGCTCATACGAAGCTCCCGAGGCTACCTGTGCCGCCGTCGGAACTGTGAAGTTTTCCGAGCGTATGAAGTAGGGAAAGAGGTTATCCCAATTCCATCCCTCGTTCCCCAGTGTTTCCCAAGCATCAAACTGGGCCTTGTCTCCACGAATGTAGTCCATACCTAGGCGCCCTTAATGTCATATTCATCAAGCCGATCAATGAGCACGTACCGTTGATGTTGCTGGTTCCACCCAGTCCTTTACCAGCATGGTACAACAAGGAGCGATTGCCTAGCCCATCCTGCGGAACTGAGCTATATTGATAGTCTATAGAGCCATTGATATAGTCTAACCCGGGGTTGTCGATTCGTGTCACATTGGGATAGTCACGCACATCGGTTCCTGCCTCGATAACGACGACAGTACTGCTGGGGTCCTCAGAGAGCCGATTCGCGAGGACGAGACCGGCTTAAACCCATCACACATGGGTTAGTGACTTTTTCAATCAAAAGACTTCAGGATTATGTCGGGGGCATCTTTGGTGCCTCGAGAGCATGAATGACTAAGCAGGGCCGACTTCAGCTCACCGAGATGGTCCAAACAGAAAAAAAGCGACCCTGGATACTGACCTGTGCCACCTCCCACAATGACGTAGTCGAAGGTCTCGCAACTCCCGAGTACGCTGAAAAGCGTCAAGGCCCAGGTGAGTGGCGCCATCTTTCTCCGTGTTGAATACGTGAGTTATTCTCAGAAACATCAAACAGGAGCTGGTGCGGACAAACCACCGGGGGAGCCCTTCTTGCCGTATATATACGCCTGCCAGTGTGCCTGCAACTTCAAGCGCATCGATTGATCCACGATTAACGAATCTATGTGTTCATGGCATGATTATCCACCGAGATTCGGTTGCGATGGCCACTGTAACAATATTGATGCAGTGAGATATTAGTTTTGCACGCCCGCTGACGCTGATTGGCGTGTAACGCTGACGCACTCACTGCCAAGCTATCTGCAACATTGAATAGTCTTTAGGCGATTATCTCTTCAATACACGTGAGAAATGAAGGTCTTCAGACTCTTGAGAGTGCCAGCCTAGTGGTTATGTTTTTGTTTGAATGCATGAGGTCACCAGGGAAGAGGACCAAGCATCTCGGCCTACAGGTTGTCGCAGGAAGATACGTTTGCATGATGAAGTTGGCAGAAAAAGGCCGCTCTCGAGGTACACAGGACACGAGTAATCTCACCACAAGCCTCAAGGATCTTGGGCAAACTCTATGTATCACTCGAAGGATCTTGCATTAGTGCGCATGTACATTGTTGTACAGTACAAGATGCTTGCGAATGTTCTTTAATTGAATAGAATCGCTTATGAGTGCGGCCGCCGAGTCCCAAGGGCTGGGAGGAAGAAGAAGAAGAAGAAGAAGAAGAAGAAGAAGAAGAAGAAGAAGAAGAAGAAGAAGAAGAAGAAGAGCAGTGGCTGTTTGGGATTGAGAGAATTATATAATCGTTCGGTAAGACCACGGCCATTGCCCAATATTTCATTTCGGTGTACATAAAAGCGAAAGACAAAAGCAGTTGATTTAGAGCTCAAGGGTGGCTTACGGTGCAGATTGAGCTATACAGTAATCCAGAGGGAAGTGGACGGAGTTTTGGTTGATCCCGCTGCCGCTAGACGATAGCATGCTCAACACCAAAAGCTTCCCCCCCGAACATTTGCGACAGCCCCCCCGAAGCGCCAACGCAGCCGCAGAGTGCCCCCCGAAGAACAATCCCAAAATGAGGCCCACAGGAAGCCTTTTCAAAGGCCGATCCGTATGGAAAGGACCTCACATCGTCCCGTAAGCCTCCTTTTCCCTCCCGGTCGCCAAGCGGAACAGCGAGACCTATCCCCCCAAAAGGTCAAAACTGACCCAGAAACCTCTCGCGATATAGCCTTCCGATTGTCCGTCCCAAGCCCGGCGAATGGGCGAAGCCGATTAAGACGCAGGCCCGGTCCGCGACGATCCTCCCCAGCTTCGTCGGTCTCAGGTTCGCGGTGCACAACGGCAAGGTCTACAACGACGTGACCATCACGGAAGATATGGTGGGACACAAGCTTGGAGAGTTCTCGGCGTACGTGTACTTGCCCTTGGGTTTTTCTTTTTCTTTTTCTCTTTCTCTCGCATAAAAACCGCCCCAAAGAAGGTGTTTTCGAGGCTGACAAGAAATGCCGAAACAGGACGAGAAAGCCGTTCATCTGGGCCAGAGGAAAATAGACGGGGTTGGGTTTAGTGTGTTGCATTTGCTGGGCGTTTTGGGAACTTGTACGAATCACCATAAACCGTGTACAACATCAGAACTGTACATATAAGGAAGCACAAAGTTGATGCTTGCTGGGCCAAGAACCACGGCAGAGGGATGATGGCCAGCGCGCAAGGATCAGATTGTCACGAGGCGACTGGGACGGTGGCCATGCTGCTGATGGCATCAGAAGGGTACTTTCCATACTTTGCTGTCTCAATTATTGGTGCTCCTCTTCCAGTTTGTGAGGAGAGGTTACCTCAGTCGCCCGTCCTAAGCCTATGTAGTGGCAGACAGCCGGATCTTGTCCGGACCCCTCGCTGCCGTCTGATGTGTAGAAATCATTTCAAAGCCATACCCAGAACGCCATACCATGATCTTAGTACAATCTTCCCCGTGCGCCAAACCGCAAAAACCTTTGTCTGACCTGGTTGTGTCCGTTTGCCCTCGGCCCTTAGCGGTAGAACTCGCTCCTCTTGACGTTGACTCCATATTCGCCCACCGCCATGCCTAGGTCCTCCATGGTCAGCACAGTCCGGTTCTGGGTACCGCCCTGCCCGCCGCCACCATAGCCAGCGCGCTGTACGCCCAAAGGCCCGCCGCGGCCCTGGTCCTTGGCGTTGGGTTGCGCCTGGCCCGGGATGGGGATGCCGGTCGCGGCCCCCAGGTTGCCCATCGGGTTGTTGGCGCTGGTGTTGGACGCCCGGATGCGGGAGTACTGGTACGCGTCGGCGGCGATGTCCGCGACGAACTTCTGCGTGGCCAGGGCGAGGAGGCGGGCGAGGCGCGGGTCGGTCTGCGGCGGCGGGGGCAGCCCGGCCTTGGCGAGGTAAAAGTTGGTGACTGCGTCCGGAATCTGCGAGGGCTTCGGTCTCAGCAAAGCAAGCTAAAAGACATTCTGAACACCAGCCGGTGGTGTTCGTCATCTGGGGAGGGGAGAAGGGGGTGGACGGGGCTACCCACGATTGGCGCATAGTCGTCCATCTTGTTCAGGAACTCCTTCAGCGAGACGTCCTTCCTCGTCGGCATCTTGGCCTCCTGGGGCTCGGGGTTCACCTCCTCTTCCTCATTCTGCTGAGCCTCCTGGGTCGCCGGTGGCACCTCGTTGTTTTCGACGGGCGCGCTCGACATGATGGCGAATACAGATGGCGATCAGGGAGCTTGCGACGAGGTAAAGGCGCGTTGAGGGGGGCCGTCGAAGCGGGCGTTCTTTGATGAGGTAAGCAACGACTCACGCGAACGAGCACTTGTAGATGATAGATGCCGGAGGCGCTGCCTCTTAACGTCGCGCTGTGGTCAACTTTCTGTGCAATGGACTCGAATATTTGCTGGACTAGCAGGGGAAATTGACCGAATCTCGGCCTAGTGACGTTCAAGGTGCTTTCGATGCATTGAGATACCCTGAATTGGTGGAGTGAATGAAGTCGACTTCCACGGAATTGATAAGTGGGGCATCAACTTAAGCTACAAGTGAACTTGAAGCTTCCAGGCTCAGAATCACCAAGAACACCGCCTTTCAATTTCCCCGATCCATTGTATTCCAATCAAGCAATTTACAAATTTGAATACACTTGGCAGGGCCTATGAATGAAAGGTCTTTAGAGGGGGATCATGTCTATAGATTCTTCGATTCAACTATCAATTGCCAGTCCCGGCCCATGATAATCCATGGCTGGGTATGAGTAGCGCACCAACACAAGCACGCAGAACACACGATATATTTGTTAATCCAATATCCCAAGCTTTACAATGTCACAACTAATGGATGCCCGTAAACCATCGACAAATTATCCGAGATGATCAGAATATATTCGATTCACAGCGACTTGCCCTGCATGCTAGCCAGGATTTGTCGAACTCCTGCGAATTCAAACTCTTGCAGTGTTTCATCCCAGACCCTGTCCGTCAGCTTCCTCCCCTCGGCAGTGTACATCATCCTGCAGAACCTGGTAGACCACGTCAGTTCAAGCTCTCTGTGTATTGTTTCGGGGGGCACGAAACCATTTCATTAGCGACTCGCTGGCACTTACGGGGCGACGGTCCAGTTGTACAAGAAACTCCCGTGGGACTCCTTTCCCTTCAGCACGGAGGCGTCAATGTAGGTCATCGCTCCTTCTCTCGTCGAACGGCCCGCCGCGGCCCTGAAGGCCGAGCCCAGCGGCCTCAGCGCCCAGTGCACGTTCCGGTCGAGCCCCCCGTTGCGCATGAAGCCCGGGTCCACCACGTTGACGACGACCTCGTCCGGGCTCACGCAGTCCTTGACCCTGACCAGAAACATGAGCAGCATCATTTTGGCCGTCGTGTACCTGTCGCTGCCCGGGAACGCGAAGTTCTTGGGGTCGTCAAAGGCCGCGAACAGGCGCTCGAACTTCTGCTCGTTGAACGCGCCAACGTAGATGAGTCCCGAGCTGACCATGGTGAGATGGCTTGGACGTCCTGCGGGGTGTCTACCTTTGAGAATGGGAAGGAGAAGCATTGCAAGGTAGACGGCGGAGAGATAGTTGACTTGAAAGTTCGTTTCGTGCCCGGTAGGCTTGTTGATCTCAAATTTGCCGATTATTGCGCCTGCGCTGATGTTGACAAAGTGGATCGAATCAAGTGTCTCGCAGCGCTGAGCAAAGGCCCTGATCGAGTCATACGAAAGCAGGTCAAGCGGCCACACTTCGATCCGAGACGAGGCATGGGCCTTTCTCAAGGGAGCAACATCTTTCTCGAACTTGGCGGGGTTGCGTACGGTGAGTATCAACCTGGAGATCTTATGTGCAAGCAGGATACGGGCTGCCTCAAAAGCAACACCGCCGTTTCCGCCGATGATAATACCCGTCTGGCCGCTGACATCTGTGGTCATGGAGGGCGCCTTCGTACGGAATTGGGAATGCAAGAACTGGTTGAAATACGACCCTTGAAAGGGAGCCAGATCGATGGAAGAGCTCATGATGACTGATAATTTTGCCCTTTGAAATGGCGATTCACGTTGGCCGTTCAATTTTGCTCAACAGATCGGTTGGTAAGTATTATTATGGGATGTGGGTGTGTATACCGCTCGATGAGCTGATACGCAACGCCGTGTGGCGCGTTTTCAAGGCTATATACCCTCCCATACCGCAGAATAGCATAGCAAATTCAGTGGAGAACACAACACTCACATGGCATGATGATCGAAACCTGCGAGCCTACGCAAGTAAACGTCCGTAACAGCATCCGGAAGGATGATTTGGACTCGACTAAGGGGCCGACTGCCATAAGCACCCTTCCCGAATAGGCAGTCAATCCAGTGGGTCTTCCGGCCACCAGCCCCACATAAGCCGTCTCACCGGCGCAACACTGCGCCGTCTGTTCATGATTGTTTCCTCCTTTGCATCATAGTGAGAAGCTTGTCTCTCCCAGGAAAATAATCTCGGTCATGATTACAGCTCCGCGCTGTCTCTTTGAAGGTCGTGGAATGATTGTTGGTCGGCGCCAAACGGCCTCTACGGACTACAACAAACAAATATTGCGTCAGGGCTGGCCTTTCAGTGCATCAACCGGAGTTATCGCTGGATAAGTGACCTTCCGGGGCATTTCTGAGCCTTACTTATTTGTTCGACGGGTGCCGGTCACTACTTTGGTGGCAACGAGACAGTGACACTCGGACAAGGGCATCTACTGGCCCGGCATGGCGACAAAAGTGCAGAGCTTTGCTTTCGTGCCCGTCAGCAGGTCCGGCAAGACGAGGGCCCGGGATCGTAAACTCGTTCGAAGTCATTGCATGCAGGGCAGGAATCAGAGGATCGGTCTTAAACCCTTACCACCAACCTCAGAGGTTTCGCAGAGACGCCATGACAGTGCAGATGACAGTCATCCCTCCCCTGAGTCATTCTCACTGTCACCCGATCAGTTCCGAGGGGGTACCGGTCCAACCAAAGTTCGCAATACATTGAAGTGGACAGAGCCGATATGCTCGGTCCCCCCACCGTGTCCTCCCGATCTTGCGCTCGTGCGGTTCGCGTGTGATGTTGACAGGGACTCGCAAGAGCTTATCTTCAACTGTGCGTACAAGGAGTCTATTCTTTCATCTCAGGCCCGATCTTTGCAGCTAACTTGCCTTTAGCTGTGACTCAGGGGAAGGAGTCGATGTACCCATTGGGGCTTGCCGTCGACTTTGATCTCAGCAGGAGTCTCTGGTTCCAGTGGCTCTTCTGGGACCCTGCTTATCTGTATTGCGTTCTCTATGGCGCCTCGGCCGCGCGCGACTACATACGGAGGAGGCCATCGAGACTGACCCATTCGCATCTTAACAGCACAGTCACATATCTGAACCGTCACCTCTCCGATAGGTCTCTAGCAACACGAGATTCCACCGTTGCGGTCATCATAACGCTTGCGATGATAGCTGGCATGATTGGCGACCAGTGCACCATCATGGCTCACGTGGCTGGTCTCAGATCGATAGTACGAGAACGCGGCGGGCTGGATGCCTTCCGACACGACCCCAAACTGCACATCAAGATCGGACGGTGAGTTTCACATGCTGCTCCTCGTTGCTCGATAAGTACCCGATCGGATCAGGGCTGACGTTCATTCATCCAGAATCGAGCTGGCGTATTCTCTCGCCACCGGGGAGACGACCCCTTTTTTCAACGACCCTGTATCGCTCGCTCCCATCTTCAAGCTGCCCGGCCTCCCAAGCACCTCGTCGTGCGGCTTACACGATCTGGAGATGTATGGCCTGAAGGACCATCGCATCGCCGCCATTTTCCGAGATCTGCAGCACTACACGGACCTCATCAACCGAGCAAGCACGGCAGAAGATAGGCGGCCAGCCGCCGAGTTCCAGAACGTGCTCTGCTCTGTGCAGTACCGCCTGGTGCAGCTCCGGGGAAGCCTCGGGGACATCCCGGCCGAGTGCCTGCGCCTGGCGATGCTGGCCTTCCTGACGACGACGTTCCGGGTCCCGGGGCAGTCGTCTCGGTATCCGCACCTCGCGGGACGCTTCCGGGAGTGCTGTCTCGCGCTGGAGGTGGCGACGCCGCAGCTCCGAGACCTGACGCTGTGGTTCCTGATCGTGGGGGCCATGGCCCTCTACGACGGCGGCGAGGAGGAGGAGGAGGAGGAGCAGGAGTGGCTGCGTAGGCGCTGGTCGGGTTGCGTACCAGATGATATGACATGGTCGCGGGCGAGGGTCCGCCTTAAGAACATCATGTGGATCGATGCGATTCACGACTGGTCGGGCGAGCGGGCGTTTATGGCCTTGAGTCAGACCGTCGCACGGTGAGGGATGATAATTAGTCGTACTGGATTCGTTGTCCGTTATAGAGTTGCACAACTATCCTATATCTTCCTTCCCTTCATTCATTTGCGAGCTTGCAAACTAATTCCGAGATGCAAGGTGTTTCGATTGTTTATACATAGCATAGACACGGTATCATCCCATTTGTAGACCATTGACATGCATTAATCATGCAAACAACCGTCTGCAGCCTCATGTCAAATATCGCACACCATGACGAACCTACTCGTTAGTGCCAAGTGCTTTCACATCTTGCTTGGCCTTCTTCGGAAGCTACTATAGCTCAGGATCGTGGACCTCGAAGCTCTGTCGGGCGGGGTGCTAGTGACATTGACAAAAAAAAAGCTGTGGCGGAGGTATGATCCGCACTGTCCTCACAAATTAAGCTGCATGTAAGTATAGCGATGGTACGCTGAGATGTAAAAAGAAAAGAGATAGAGTGAAATGAACATTGCTTAAAAAATTGCAAAAGAGAAAGCGACGTAGGCCTGATTTGAACAGACGCCTCCGAAGAGATGAGATTGCACTGTGATTAGAATCACCGATTCTAGTCTCACGCATTAGACCACTCTGCCACTACGCCATTGGTTGTTGAAAAGTAGCTTCGTATTAGGCTTTATGATGGATTTATCTCAGTGGCAGGGTCGGCGTCGAGAGTTGGCATAACTATCTGTCCTCGGCGTAGTGAGAAGCATTACGATGCGCTCTTCCTTATTTATATATATTTACGTTTTTAATCGAGAGGATTCCATTATAGTTCGAAATTGGTCTCATCTCTAAAGCCCTTTCGCTTCATGTGTTGCTTTCGATGCGAGTTGTCTAAGTTAAATCGATCGGGTATCACGGAATATGTGGGGTCATGTCTTGGTTTCAGCACATCGTTGAATAGGCATGAGAATGAACCCATACTGCAGAATTGAACTAACCACATAAGTGGGACTCGATGCTAATTAGAATCTTCACTACTATCAAGGTTAGAGGGCATCTTTTTGTGTTAACAAAGACAATCCTTTATCCAGGAGCTTCTCGGACCCATGAATTCCACAGTCTTCAGTTTAACATTTCAATGAATACAATCGCATATTAACACTCGCAAGCATCGTGGATTTTACACACAATGCCCAAACATGTGTTGACGCTGTTGAGCAACACAGAGTCGACAGAGGTTATGATACCAGGTAGCATTGTCTATGCCAATGACTTTTGGTTCATGTTACCTAAATGAAAGGAAAAAATTTGGTAAGCCCATTTGAAAAACGCACCACCTGGACTATTCCTCATTCAGATCCTCCACCTTAGCTTCAGCCTCCTTCTTGGCCTTGAGCTCCGCCGTCGTCTGCTTCTCCCACATGGCGTAGTAACTGCCCTTCTTCTCCAGAAGACCAGCATGGGTGCCCTTCTCGACGACTCTGCCCTTGGACAGGACGACGATCTGGTCAGAATTCGTGATGGTCGACAAGCGATGGGCGATGGTAATCGTTGTCCTGCCCTGGGTGACCCTCTCCAGAGCGTCCTGGATCTGTCGCTCGGTATGGGTATCGAGCGACGCTGTGGCCTCGTCCAATAGCAGGATGGGCGCGTTCTTGAGGATGGCTCTCGCAATGGCGATCTGGGGATATTTTGTTAACGACACAGTTTGGAGGGATAGGAGAAAAGGTTGTGTGCTTACTCTTTGACGTTCACCACCGGATAGCTTCAGTCCTCTCTCGCCAACTTTGGTGTCATACTGATCCGGGAATGCCAAAATGCGGTCGTGAATATTTGCAGCTCTGGCGGCAGCAAATACGTCTTCTTCCGACGCCGAAGGATTGGCGTAAAGCAGGTTGAACATGATGGTAGCGTTGAACAAGACTGTGTCCTGCGGAACCACGCCGATGCTCTTGCGGAAGCTGTCGAGCTTGAGATCCCGAATATCGTGGCCGTCGACTGTGACAGAGCCGCTGGCGACATCGTAGAAGCGGAAGAGAAGCTTGAGACACGTGCTCTTGCCAGACCCCGATTCACCAACAATGGCGGTCTTGGTCCCGGGTTGAACAGTAAAGCTGACGCCGTCGATAGCCGGCTGCTTGCCTTGGTAGGAGAAGTGCACGTCGTTGAATGTCACCTCTCCTCGAGTTGACCGAAGCTCAGTAGCATCTGGTTTCTCGACAATCCCGGATGTCTCTTTGAACTGTATCTTGTGAGCGACTGGCGTACAGATTGGCCGTGGGACTTGACTTACAAGATCGAGCATGCGCTCCGCTTCAATGAGATTATTCTGGAGCATCGTGTAATACGTTCCAAAAAAGTTCAGGGGAGCCTGCAACTGAGAGAAATACGTCATCAATGTGACAAAACTTGCGATCGACTCCTGACCAGTTGAGATCTTGTATGCCGAAAGGACAACAATAAGTGCCGTGCCGACAGTAAAAATGGAGCTTTGTGTCAGGTTCATGGCGTTCAAAGACCAATAGACAATTCTTTCCGCTCTCTGATAAACCGTGACTTGCTCTTTGAAGCGCTCAGTTTCGGACTTGACTGCACAATTGTGCTGGACCGTCTCGTATGCCATAATCGCATCCGTCCTATGTCTCGTTAGCTAATCCTTGTTTCAAGAACCTTAACCAGTAATTAGTAGTCAACTCACCTTGCAGCATCCATTTCTCGGCTCTTCATCGCCATGTCCCTTCTCTGCCTGGCTCGGAATTTCGCCATGTAAATGGTAAGGAAGACATAAGACCACATGATGGTGAGCACAATGAGGGTGTAGAACGCATTGTATGCGGTGAAAAAGTAGATGGCAGCAAACAGGATATCAAGTATCATAGGAACGACCTGGAACAGAAAGCTCTCCAGAAATGTGTTCATGGCACTGCCACGGCTCAGGGCACTGGTGACCTCGCCGATCTTCTTGCTCAGATGAAAGTCCATGGACAGTCCCAGTACGTGCTCGAAGGCGGCACAAGCGAGACGCCGATAGAGATTCTGCGACACGGGGATCCACAGCACAGCTCTAGCTGCGCCGATAGCACCCTGGCCACCCTGAAGTCCACGGCAGAGCAGATAGAGTGCAATCCACTTGTATGGCATTTGACCATAGCCTAGCTTCTCGACAAGCTTACCCATTAACCAGGGAACAAGGATGTTGACAACGCGCTGTACAAGCAGTAGGATCATACATAGAACGACCACGGCTTGATGAAGGCGTGAGTCTTTGGGCCTGCACGCAGTCAATGTTTGTCCATGCGGGAGAGCGAGTGGCCTGCATACCAAAGATATGGAAAGAGAACCCGGAAGCCAGCAATGTAGTCTAGCCACCCAGTGCTCTGGGCATCGGGTTTCTTAGGGGGTCGTTTGGCGCCGTTGGCAGGGGTGCTTCCGTAGCCGCTGGTGCTTTCGCCATTCTCCAAGAGTGATTGATGCTCATCGGACGAGCCAGTGCGCTTTGGTTTGAGCTGGTAATGACGAGAAGCCAGAACGGCAATCAAGATGAGCAGGAGCACGACTCGCACTAATCCTAGACCAGCAAAGGTGTCCAGCAAATCGTGTGCTAGACCGATGTGGTCTTGCTCAGACAAGAAGACACCAGCGATGACGCTCTCCATGAGAACGCCAACAACCCAGGCAAGGCCGTGAGCGATAGTGGGAGTCCATGGCCCATCAGGATCGGGTAACAAACCGGTGAGGAAGTAGAGCAGTGAGCCGACATGAGCAGCTATATATGCAGTATAAGGGAAATTGGTGGGGGGATAAGCCTCCTCCTGAGTGACTGCACTGCGCGTGGCGAGTATAACACTGGTGAGCTAAGGATGAAATGTCAATATGACCTGTGCACCCATCGCAACGGATCAGGACGAGGTTTGTGGGGAGTGACCTACGAGCAGTGGAACCAGTAGAAATTGCACAACACGAAGGAGTATGTTGTGCAGGCGGTTCACCTTCTCTAGGCGCTTCTCGTCGACGACGGGCGTCGAACTTGAGCTTGGATCATTGCGACGCTTGTAGAGAACCAGCTGCGACACGGCCAAAGTGGCGAACAGACCACACGGGTAGAGGTAGAAAGCAACCTCTAAGCCGGTCCAGACACCACCCATGGTTTATAAAGTTACGGGCGCCCACCTGGATTGGATGCAAGTTGACTGAAAATGGGCTAAATTGGGAGAAAAGATGAAAGTGAAGAAGTTGATGTCATACCGCGTCTCGTACCTTACATTGGCTGGAGCCCGCTAGCTTTAGCTGACCCGGGGGTGCCCCGGGCCGGGAATTGCGTGCGTTCAGGGCGTGCCCCATGCCATAGTCGGAGTTCCGTGTGCTGTTCCTGGGAGGGAAAAAAAGAAAAAAAAAAGTAAGAAAAAAAAGAGTAACCATTAATTCAAGCATTCTACAAGACATCCTATAAACATCACAAGAGCCAATGACTCCTGCTGTGCCTTTAGAGGTTCTTAATTCAGCATGCCTCTGTGCTGGAACTCAAAAGAGTGTCCCCCCGAGCTCTGGCAGCCCACGCCCCATGCCCCCATGTCGTGTTTTGACAACTCGTATGATTATTATCCAGGCCCGGCTGGACCACGCCAATAGAATGTAGCCGTTGAACATGGTGAGAGTCGATACATGTACAGTGCCAGGTCTCGTCGTCGCCGTCTTGGTGCCATTGCAATGGGGCTCTGAGCATATACGTACACCCTCCTGCCATGCATCTACGGCAGGCAGGCAAGGCAAGGCAAGATAGGTTAGGTACTGTAACCAACTCGAAGTGAACCGAGTATGGCTCCCAGGAAACGTCGAATAATCTGATTGGCCTCTTCTTGAGAAGGAGAACCCGCTAATCTAGCTTCAGATGCGCCCCACTTATTCAAGCTCCTCCAGCTGCATTCGCATTTGACATTGCCCAAAAAAATATCGTGAAGCTCTTCAGCGTGTTTGGGTGCCAGTAGACCCCCTCCCCAAAAGCAGAAATCAAGACACCATGGCGACACCACGACTCGCAAGGACGCTCACCTGTCCCAATTGCCTGGGCCGCCTGCCCCTCAGCCGGCCAGCAGTCCCGTCGTTTCCCTCCCCGCTGCAGTTGGGACTGACCCAGGTCCGCCATGCCAGGACCCTGACCAAGGCCGAGCTGGAGGATCTCCAGGGCATACCCGTGCGGTTGCTGAAGAACGTCATCGGGTTCGGCAAGCAAAGTACGTCCTGTCTTGTTTCTTCGCCTCCGTCTTCCCGCACTCGCGCGCTCGAGGATACACACCTATGCATAGCGGTGGTGAATCATTGGGCACAAGGCAGATAGCTGACCGTCGCACCTCATCGACAAAACAGATGCCATCATCCGTGTCAAGCCCGGCCGTATGCGAAACCAATGGCACCACAAGGGCCTGGCCGAGTACATGACCAAGAAGCGCTTCGAGGAGCTGGGCCTCACCGAGTCCGCCATCGGCGTACGCGATCGCGCCTTTGGCAAGCAGACGCTCGATGACGAGACATCCCAGAACAACAAGGACAGCAACGTCGTCGAGACCCCCACCACCAAGAAGAAGGACGTTGTCACCATGGCGGTATGTTTTATGTCTTTTCTTCTCCCCCCCTCTTCCAGCCGAGAGACGTAGGCATGAAGATACATATATATATATATATATATATAATGTATATGTATTTGTATATGTATATGTATTTGTATATGTATATGTATATATACACGTGAACGTGGGAAAGGAAGCGCTAACATGTATCTCGCAAAGCCCGACGAGTCTCGCGCCCTACTCTCCGATCTCCTGCCCGCGACGCTCATCTTCGCACGAAAACCTATCAACTCCGCAGACTCAGCCCAACCCGAGGTCTCTGCACCCGAGCCTTCCATCCCTCGCTCCCCCTCCCTAGCAGCCAACGCCCAGACCTCTATGCAGCAACAGCAACAATCCTCATCCCCCGGGATGGAGCCAGCAGTCGACACGACCACCATCTTCGGGTCCGTATCGTCGCTGGACATCCAGCAGCGGATCCGAGAGGCGTTGCTGGCGGACCGAAACGGCAGTCGCGTGGCGCTCGAGGTGGACGGTATCTCGATCAAGGGCCTCGAGGCTGGCGAGGACCGCATCAAGAGGCTGGGCGTCTACGAGGTCGAGATCGTGACCGGCAAGGGCCTGGAGCCCGTGAGGAGGACCGTTGAGGTCGTTTCCGAGGCCGAGTTCGATTAAAAGAACGGAGCGGAACGGAAGTGAACAGACAGGTCCACAAGGAACACGAAATCTGCATAGAATTTGAGTTGTGTGGAGCTCAACCTCTCGAGGTCATGCCAGAAGGGGCAGAAGGGGTGGGGGGCTGTATGCGGTGTCCCCGCCAAAGTATCGTGACACTCTCCGTGGGGGCGAGTATATGCATGTATTATACGGTTCAAGGAAGATAGTTGTACTATAAATGTACGATATTTCAAGCAATCTATCGGGCTCGCGTACCGACACGTAACATTCTGCGGTGTGGTCATGGTCCTGGAATATCAACCAACGAGGCTCTACTCTGTCTCGCGCACATAAGAAGGCCACGAGGGTGTCGTCTTCGCAAACCAAATCCAGTAGAAGGGCCGAGTTCGGACTGAGCCGTGCTGACCACGAACTCGCAAGGGCGCCTTGAAAAAGGAAAATGATAGGAAAAAAAGTCCGAAGATGTTGAGTCTCGGTTACGATGATTTCTCTAGAATAATTTCCCAATCTCCCATAATCCCTAACACTCGAATCCTAGCAGAAAAAAAATAAAAATCCTAGGCGTTTGGGGGGTATAACCTCATCATTTCTTAACCATGAAACCGGACAGGGGAGGGAAAAAAAAAACACAATTCTCAGTCTCTGAATCCGTGGCGCCTGATCTGATTTCATACCCCCGACCCGGAAAACCCTCTCTCTGTCCCCCACGACCATCGATAGCCATGGCCCATTTATGCATTATGAATTATTGTACACCACTTTTCCCTGCCTTGCCGTCTCCTCACCTCTTTGTGTCTCATTTCCCTGGATAGCTCACGTCGAGGCTCCATAACGAGTCCCACACCACGCTCTTGTCGCGACTGTCGGCGCTCGCGTTACTTGCACCCCTCTGGAGCTGCTGCTGCTGGCCGTTCGCTGTGACCGAACTCTGGGACGCTCCCCGGTGAAGCCGGTGCTTGGTCGGACTGCCTTTGCAGAGACTTGCAGGCTTGGGTTTGACGGGCGATGTTGACGTTGAGTTCGGCCGAGACCTTGACGGCGGCGGTGGCATGCGCCGCCGGTCCTGAACCCAGATCAGCTTCTGTGGTAGTAGTTCTTAAAAAAAAGAAAGTGCTCAAGGACCGAGCAGGGCATCCACGTCAGGATTGCCTCGTACCTCGTCGCTGTCACCGGTCTTGGCAGGCGCAGCGGAACCGGAACCAGTACCAGGAGGACCAGAGGGGTGATCGGTTCCCTTCCCCTTTCCCGTGGCGACCAGGCTTCCCGTCATATCAGGATTATCAGCTGGGGCTGCCCGCAAACTGTTGGTTTCGGAGGCTAGTGCACTGCTTTTAGCAGCACTCGCGCCCGCGCCACCGGCAAATGGGAGTGTTTTCCTATTGACGCTCCCTGAGCTAGACCGGCGGCTCTCGAGGCTCTTGTTCAGAGTGCGACTGACGCCCTCAATACCCGTGTTCTTACCACCAGAAAGCAGTTTGCTTGCCACACTTCTAGCTTGGTGGGTATGTATGTCCGCCACGGCTTCAATGTTGTTCGAGGCGATAGTGCTCTTGCCCAGCCCTGGCGTCGAGGGCGCACCGGCCTTATCCTCCACGGCATCCACGAGCCACCACCGTAGGCCGTCGGAGAGGTCGAAGGGATTGTCAAACTCGGTCTCCCCACCACTGCCGTTGCTTGTGTTGACGGAATCAGTCTCACCTACGTGTGCCGCGGTCGACGAGCTTAGGCTCTTGGACAGATCGACAACTCGCTCCTGAACTCGTGTAATGCGTGCCACGAGCCATTCACGCTGCCGCAGTCGGTGCGACTCCTGCTCGCGCAGGAAGAAATGCGGGCATCCGACATTGAAAGCCGCCCAGGCACCGGTCGTCTGATTCCTAGTCGGCAGAAACAGGGCTAAGTCGCCTTCTTTGAAGTGCCGGAACGCGATCTTATCGTGGGATTCCTTGGCGGCTTGATGAGCCCTCTCCCGGTAGTTGCGAGCATCTCTAGTGTACTTGCGGGCAGTATGCTCAAGCTCCTTGACGCGACGGTAGATTGCTTCGGCAAAGGCATCTATGTCGAACGAGCCGGGGCCGGTCACGAATGACTGATACTGAGATGTCTCCAGGTCCGCATCATCGGCGTTCATCCAGTACAGAAGCTTGAGGTCGGTACTATCAGCCAGAGTGGCACCCAAGGAGACAGACCGACGGACCGAACTGCTTGGGTCAGACGAGTCGTTAGGATCTTTTGAGGTACGCTCGGCACGAGGTATTTTTGTTATAGTCATCTTGCCGTCTTGCCGGTTGATAGAGAAGGATAGTCTTTCAAGAAGACGAGTGAGTCTCTCGTTGTAGGTGAAAAGACGCTGAGTCAGGTCCTTCGAACGCTCATTGCGACCCTCAAAACGTTGACTGAGACCCATGGCTCGCAAGTCAGATGAGTCGAGTTTCTCACGGTACATGCGAACCTCCTCTTCTAAGCTGCCAGTGTGAGATTGCCTTGCCGCGAGAGACTCCATCAGTTCTGCGACTCGCTTCTCCTTCTCTTCAAGTTTCCTTTTGAGGCTCTCGGAACCAGACTCTCCCTCAGTCATCTTGGTACGAAGCTCACTAAGTTGTTCCCTCGCTTCAGTGACCTCGCCTTCGAGGGTCGAACACTTAGCTTTTTCTTCTTCTAGAGCTTCGTGGAGCTTCATGCTATTGTTCTCCTCAGAAGAGAGTTTCTCTTGCGCTGTGTTCAGTTCGGATTTGCCTTCTTTGATGGCCTCCTGAGCCACCTCGAGATCCGCCTTCAGCAGGATCATGTCCTCTTCAAGCGACAGTACCTTGGCCAAGACATCGCTGGACTTGTTCACTACCGCATCCATTAGATCGCTCACGTCATTTGGAATTCGTTCCTTTGGCGATAACTGTCCATGGATCTCCCTAAGCATGTATACCTGATTTTCAGTGCTGGCTTCTGAGACTTCGGCTCTTCTTGTGAGTGTTTTGATCGCTTCATTGGCTTCCTGGAGCTGCTTTTCTAGACTCTCATTACGCTCGCGTTGGATGCGAGCCTCGTTGCGCAGGAACTCAACTTGCCCTTGAGTTTTCAGAGCTTCGTCTTGCTTTTCATGGGTAAGCTGGTCAACTTGGTCTTCGAGAGAGCGCATTCTATCAAAGTATGCGCCTTTCTCATCTTCCCTGGAGTGGCCAAAGCGCTCGATCTCATCTTCTGTTTCTTCAAGTCTAGCCTTCAGAGTCTTGATCTCTAGTTCGAGCGACTTTCTCTCCTCGTCAAACTCTTTTTTGAGAGCCTCCATATTCTTTAGGAGGTCCTTCTTGGTAGAGTTTGCCTCGTCCATGCGACCTTCCATGTCCTTGGTATGGGCAGCGGTCTCTTTCCCAAAGATTGCTGATCGCTCCTTTTCGCTGTTCAGATCCCCTTCCAACTGCGCAATCCGCCTCAACAGATTGTCATTGTTCTCGGCAGTTCCCGAATTTCTGGGCTCATCAGATATACTTGGTGTCTTGATTGATGAGATTGAATTTGTACGCTCGTGACCTGCAGGCTGAAACATTCCCCCGATTGTTGGACGGGACTCTGTGCTCTGACGGTGTAGAAGCCCTTCGAGTCGACGAACACGACTCTCCGCTGTTTTCAGTTTGCCTTCCAACCTCATCTTTTCATCTTGGAGATTCCGCAGTAGATCGTCATCTCCGCGGATGAGGAGGCCACTTCTGCCGAGAGCCGCCTCGTGAACACTTCCGTTTTTGAAAGCTTTCACCCGCTTGAGTTGCTGTTTTGTCGGAGTATTGAGCTCGGCTATCAACTTCGTGATGTCTTCAACAACTGCCGCGTCTGCCCTTTGACGTTGCACCACGGCAAAGAAGTCGTCCAGGTCCTTTTTGCTCAACGGCGGCCAATCCTCTTCCTCTCCGAGAAGGTTGACTTCGAGGCCGAGCACACTATTGTCGCTCTTTTCAGGGCCATAGGTGCTACCAACCATTTTTTGCCACTTCCTGCGCCTCTTCAGTTCTTCATCTTGGAATACGGCCATCTCATTAACCAGGGTAGTGGAATCGGTCTTCACTTTGTCCGCCCAGTCCCTTCTTCGAACGGCTTCGACGACGAAAGATGCATACATGAATGGTAACTGTTGTATCAATCGCAGATAGTCGAAGGTGGTCATCTCTTCTTCGCCTTGATTCAGAACACCCACCATAGTCTTGACGTTGTGCAAGAAACTTGTGATCTCGGCAATGGTGCGCATGTATTCGAGGGATTCTGCAGCGAGCTCATTGCGCGCCTGGGTGACATATCGTAGCATTTCGTCCATCTCTTGCACTCGTTTCTGTATGCTGGGTAATAGGCGTTCGGTATGATTTGCGGCGGTTTTGGACGCTTGCAGTACATCTCGGTTTGAGCTGGAGTAGCTCAGAGTCGCCTGATAGTCGGTATCTATCTTCTTGGCTATAGCCTCAATGTCCTCGAGAAGTTGCACGCTGTCGGTGTTGTGATTCAGGATGGATCGGGCCAAGATCTTGTCGACCTCTTGGAAGAGGTCATCGCAGCCACCAAACATTTTGTCCGCCGTCTTGTCAAGCTCGGCGACCTTGTTGTTGAATTTCCGCAGCGAGGTGGCTGCTAGCTTTCCAGCCTTTCGCGCCGTCTCGAGGTCGATCAGGTCCTCCAAAGTGGCCTGACGCGGCTTGCGCACTTCTCTGCCCGTCATGAAGCGGACCATGGCTGGCGAGATGTTGATAGTTCGGGCAAGGTCGAGGTACTGCTCCCAGTTGGCGGCAAGAGTGCCATACTCGTCCTGGGCGGGGGTGGCCCATTTCTTCAGCTCGTTGTACTTGGGCTCCTGGGGCCTAACAGCAGCATCGAGGTTGGCGACAGCGGCATCGAGACACTTGATCATGACGTCTATCTCGTCATGGCGAGCCTGCGCGGCGTCGGACATGGCAGTGCAGTCCTCGAATATCTTCAGGACCCAGTTGCGGCGGCTCTTGAACAGGTCCTGCCATGACTGCAACGAGTGCGTGTCCTCGATGAAGTCTGGGGCACTGGTTACGATGTAGCGCTGGGGCAGGGGTTCTTCTGACGCGAGGGATGTCGGTGCGCCGGTGGTGGAGGCTTGCGTTATCCGTATGTCGTAGATGTAGATGTCCTTCTCGGACTGGATCGTCTGGAGTTTGGCCGTCTTGCCTTGAGGTGTGAGAGCGATGATGTTTTGCGACGGGATGGAGCTCGGGCGGGCTACCCAAGCCTTGAAATCATCTAAGCTGTGAGGTTTGTGCACGATTAGTCTTTCGCGTCGGGGAACACTTGCGACCATGCAATCAAACCAAGGCCACCGGTAGGAGGTTAGAGGCGTAGAAGACAACACGGCTGTACATACGATGCGAACTGCGAGATGTCGACCTGCAGGCGCTGGCCCGTGTGGGCTATCAACACCTGCGTCTGCGTCGCCATAGTGCATGCATTCTCTTTCGTGCGCGCGAGAGAGAATGGCCTTGTGGGTGAGGAAAGATGTGCGAGTCTAAATCAGAGGCATGGACAAAGGAGTCACAGAATATGCAGTCCGGACCTCAGTGAGTGGGAAAAGATGACTGGTAAGCCTGCCATGTGGTGTAGGTAGCGACCTAACGGTGGATGGATGGATCGTAGTCTTCACCTTGCCGTTGCAGGTGACTGATAGGGAGCTAGCTGGCTAAGGCAACATGGTAGACAGACAGGCATACGCACAACAAGCACACGCACAAGCACACGCGCTCACAAAGGTGAGGGTCCGCCGGTTCCCAACTGCAACCTTACTGGACCCTCCGTATCCGCACTTTGTACTATGTAACTAGGCATGATACTCGGCAGCTCGGTGGCCACCCAGTCTAGACTAACTAGACTAATCGGAAATTAAGCTTCTATAGACATTGATGAGCGATACTGTCTGACAACGGCTCGAACTCGGCCCTTCTTGTGGCTGGGGGGACAATAGGTAGCTAAGTTGTGCACCCGTGGTTGTGATTTAGAAAAAAGAAAGGAAAAAAGAAAAAACAACAACCATTGTTCACAGGTACAACCCATCCCATTTGTACCATCTATCTCGAAACCCATGCGAATCGAGGCCCCTCAGCACCACCTATGTCTTTGTGCACAGAGTCCTGTCAGCGCGCTAGTACCTGTCGGTAATCATGTCCAGCCCCGGGGTTCCGTGGTTGCGCCACATTTAAAGTGCGGGCCGCCACAGTTGCACATACCGTGCTCACGGAACACCAAGACGCGTCGTCAACGTGGTCGCTTTTGAGCCATGCGCGACTCGGTACATCGAAGGTATCATTTCCAGTCTGGTCATCACGGTGGCCTCTAAAATGGAAGGCAACACCCCTGATGGGCCGCAGCAAAAGTCGCTGTTGCTCTCGGGTGACGAAAAAAGGGTTCTGGAGCTCTATGACAGATTACAACAGCTGCAACTCGAGATTGCACTCATAACGGCACAGAAAGACCATGTGTCTGGTACGCTCAGACTGCCTTCCTCTTTGTGTCAATACGTTTACTGAGTGTGATCAGACCAACGACAACCCCAGAGCATTGAATCCGCACAGAACGATCTACTAGAGTCCAGGGCCAAATATGTGCTCCGCAACGAGGTAGTAGAGAGCGTCGTCATGGCCAACCCGGTACTACAGGCCATACATGGAGGAGAAAATGCTTCTCCCATAGAGAGGTAGGGCTGGTTTCGAAGCATCGACGTAATACATACTGACCGACCACAGAGACTTGTTGCCGCTTCTCACAGAACGTGACACTGTTTCAATCAGCCTGGCCCAGCAATCCACCTTGGTGAGGCAAATTACAGATGAGATAATTGGCGTAGAGAGTCAAAGTCTGCATCTGAGCAGCCAGAACGTCGATCTAGCGACCCAAGTCTTAAGTCTGGCCGACGAGGCGAACAAGAACAAAACGGAGGCGATCGAGTATTCAGAACATGCAGATGAGATCGCACAGCTGGAGAGAGACGTCAAGACGAGCAGGCAGCGCTGGAGGGTTATGAAAGCAACTGCAAGTGCTATCGTTGCCGGCAGTGGTGTGAATTGGGCTGCTGATCAAGAACTGAGGAACATCGTGCTTGACGAGGATGATGATGGAGTCTAAGAACGAATCGACCTAGGTCGAAAGAATAATTCGTGATGATATCCATGAAAATCAAGCCACCACTTACCTTGTGGAATATAACCTCATTCGGATCATCCGTAGTCTGCGGTGTTAGTTGACCGCAACCCCCGATATTCATGATCGGTGCAAGCATCTAAGCATGACCATCCAGGTCTTTCAGCGGCTGGCCCCGAAAGTTGCGAGATGCTGCAAGTTTTTCAAGAACCGAGAACAGGAGTTCTCCTAGCATCACCAACCGTAGACAAGAATGGCCTCCATCTAGGCCTGTCAGTCAACCACTCGGTGATATTCGGTACTGGCCTACAGATGCAAAGCGCGACAACGATGAGAACATGCACCGAGACCGCGCAACGACAAGAGAAATACACAAATGGGTATGCAGCGCTTCGCAGATACTCCATAGATTCAATGTCGAAAACCGGCATCTCGGGCTGGCCAATCCGGCGCGTTTCGTGCCTGAATGGGTCACGATACGTCTAGGCTTAGCGTAGGTCACAATCTGGGCCATTGCTGGGCTGCAGCGTTCCCACGTGATCAAGTGCGGTAGAGCCTCGTGCAGATGGTCCCCTGTCATCAGCTTGTAGTCCATTGAACTCGCTCGGTCTGCCGGGTCGAGTTTTCGAGGACAAAGTCGTGATCGTCACTTGGCAGCGATGGGGTGGGATGAAGTCATTGGGGAGAAGTCTGGCTTTATCGCATCGTTAGCTCCACGTGATGTCAACAAAGCGCGATGCAATCAGCCTCCCATCTGAATCATAGCGCACCTCCAACCTTTCCAGCTTCGGGGTTTTGAGGGGAGTTTTGCTTTGCCGAGTCGTAAGCTTGATTTTGCCGTACTTAATTATAAGCTCAGGTGGAGAAGAAGCTCACTCAAAAGAGTAAAGCTGGACCTGCAAGCACAGTGCCAATTCGTATTGTGACGATCTTCTGTGCACAACTCTGGGCTGTGACCAGTACAGAGGGTTATGGTTAGGTACTTTCTCATATTATTTGGGCCTAGCGAGACATCTAATGCCTGACGATGCTTGGTCACTGGTGTGAGAGATGGCAACCAAGTGGGTGAGAGACATTACGCGCCACGGTGTTGTGCATAAAGGGACATGTACTCGAAACCCGAGCGCGTCAGTTTGGGGCCAGGTTGCAAGAATAAGCTTGAGAACAAGAATATGTACATCTGTATGCATTGGTGGTGATGAGGTTATTTCTTGTTGCAACTCCAACAGCACTAGTTGAGATTTGAAGTTTTAGCGATGCCGCAATGGGAGCCATGACCTGGCAGCCCGTGCATATTTAGAATTTGCAGACTTCTTTGATTCTCGTACAGGAGGCTGTCGGCAGATTTGAATCAAAAACTATATTCGTGCAGGTTGGCTTTGTGTGACTGCGGTGCGGTAGGGCGTTTCCATATCATGGCATCATTTTGAAGCTTTACAACGGATCATGCGAAGATCGAGCCTTCGTATGTATGCACTCCAACAAATCGACCGCATAACTCAGAGGACGTACTCAACTGTTCACTCCTGGTTCACGAGGGTTTCAACTCTATTGCGCAAGCAACGATAACTATCACCTATACGATCAGAAGTACTGTGACGGAGCCTTGATTTTCGCGTTGTTTGGTTTGTTGGTTGGAAACGACATGGTGCATCATAGGTAGTGTAGTGTGTGCTCCAGACCAGCGGTTGCTGCAGTAAGTCAATGAGGGAAAAAAGCCAGGGCTCATGGCTACAGCAAGTACAATGTCAGTGAGTACTTAGATTTCAGGATAGCTTGAACTTCTTCAACATGTTTTCTGGTTTATTTGATAAATCGATTGAACTTTGTGGTATTGTACATAAATATAAATCAAGGCCTTATTGTCAACAGCAAAGAGACATGTAAGAATAAACAGGGACGGAGGTTTGTGTGGCATAAAACAAGAGGCGGATCAGGCAGACTACGAGCAGAACCATGTGGGAAGGGGGAAGGGGATCAGATCAGTTGGAGAGACACGGCCGTCCATGATGAAGCGGTGCACCCACATGCGTTGCGCAGTGGCAACTTTGAATTCAATGGCAGAGTTCTTGGAAGTACCACGAGGGCTGACCGGGGACTGCGAGGTACTTGCGGCGCGAAAGGCTGGCTGCACCATAGGCGTGGGAGCAATGTTTTGCTTGGGAGGGTGCAAATAAAGAGACAGACAAAGATTGTGGTCGAATGCAGACAGTTGATTGAATGGACAGCAGAATCAAAGGGTTTACGGGCACTACTGGGCGGGTGTCGGGGAGTGGAAGTGATGTGAACGCAATGAAAAAGGAGTCAGCGGAACATTGAAGGTCTGGAAATAGATGCCGTTATCGTTGGCGGAGGACTCAAGGACGAGGGGCGCGATGGCAGTCCTGAGGTACACAGTGAAGGCGCTCAGGGCAATTTATGCAGTATCCCAGCATAAAGATGGTACTGTACATGGCTGGGAGGTGAAGGGACTTTTGATGAGGCAGCCTTTCATTTCGCGCTTGCAGCGTGTGGTGTGGTTCTTTGCAGGTGTTTTTGGTGGTAGTGGCATGGAAGAGGAGCTGGCCGGGCTGGCTTGCCTTGCAGGTGCAAGCTTGTTGCGCGCTTGAAAGCAGCGGTCTCCTTCCCACGGGGTGGCTTCCCTTGCTGTCGCGCTGTGTACCTAGAAGAGATGCCCGGTCTCTCACGGTGTGTTTGGAGGGTTGCGTGGGTTGCTGCCTCTGGGTTTGGTTTTGGTTTGTTCTTGGTCTTGGTCTTGGTCTCGGTTCTCAAGCTTTGGTCTGGTTGCGTTGCGTTTCGCTTCGTTGCGTTGCCCACGTCCACCCTTTCCAATTCAAAGGGAAAAGGGCCCCTCACACTTCCACCCATTCTTTCCTACCCGCAATCAGCCAGCCTTTGGAGCTCCCATAGTAAAAGGCCGCCCGCACTCTCCCCCATACAAATTTCCCTCTCTTCTCTCTCACCAAAAAGCTCCCATACAAATCTCCCATACAAAATCACCCTTCACACATAATCGTCGCCTACACAGCGTCTTCACACACAAACCACATACAACGTGAGTACTTCCCTTTCTATGGCAAGCCACTGCAAAACAAAAGTCCCCTTCCACCTGCACTGCCATCGCATCCCGTCACTATCGTCTGGACCCCTCTATTGGACCTCGTCGTCGCAATTGATCGCGTTTCCCGCCTGCGCTTCAACTCTGCCACTTCTGGAGCTGCCCAAGCTTCCCTATCGCAATCAGCTCGCCCCAGATCACTCAAGCCAAACCCACGCTCAGCAATAATCGCCTTCAAGCTGCATCCGCGCATATTCGACATTTTGCTCTCTGCAACTGCACACAAACCTTCCCTCACAACACAAGAAATCACAAAACGTTCCAAACTCAATCCAAGTACGAACTTGGTCCAATTGGATCATTTTCAATCTTTAGATCACGAATCACCTCCCATCCCCGGGCGCAATTACCTTTGCGACTGGAGTACGCCATCATCTACCCATCCCATGTTTGCAGCGCATCGCAGCATCATCATCACGAGCCCCGCCTACGTAGCGCGTCGCGTCAAAGTCGGCGCTGACGCATCTATGCGTTCCACACTCCAACTGCTGCACATTTGGCTTCTGACTTCACACGTACCTTGCAAGTAACATCAATACTGACAGCCACATAGATGCCTAAGGAGACAGCTACCAGACGCGGCAAGTCCGACAAGGTCGTTAAGGCCAAGCGTGGCAAGAAGGGTTCGTGTTTTCCCTGCGTCCTCACGTTCAAACAGTGCTAACACGTTTACTAGACCCCAACGCTCCCAAGCGTGGTCTGTCTGCCTACATGTTCTTCGCCAACGAGCAGCGTGAGAACGTCCGTGATGAGAACCCTGGTATCTCCTTCGGTCAAGTCGGCAAGATCCTCGGTGAGCGATGGAAGGCCCTCAACGACAAGCAGCGTACCCCCTACGAGGCCAAGGCCGCTGCCGACAAGAAGCGTTACGAGGACGAGAAGGCAGCCTACCAGGTGAGTTTTCAAGCCCTCAATGTTTAATCATGACGGCGCTGAGCCAAGCTAATAGGCCGCCGATTCCGAGTAGGCTGGTTTAGATGATGATGAGGATTAAACACTCATACTTTCTCTTTCACTGCTTCCTGTCTACGAAGTTTCATGATGAGATGACAAAGGTTGTCTCGATGGAAGACCTTCGGATTTGAAGGACGGTTCTGGTTTCTACTTTGCGTGTAATATGGGATTTCGGACAGGTGTTGGCCGCGCTGCTTTTGAGAACTTGCATCATGATGAGGGGCCGGGATGATGAATGAGTGGCTCGGTTTCTTGTATCGTTGCAGATGACTTGTCAGCATTCCCTCACGATACCAGACAGTCACTGACAGCGCATGTATACTATGCAGACTCTCGCAATGCCGAAGAGTTGTCACACATCTGATGTACCTACACCACGCGTGTGCTTAAATGACACTTCACAATGTATCATGATGTCTTCCAATGTGCCTCGCAGTTTGCGATCCGTGTGTCTCGGGATCGCCCGCAACATGCAGAACAATCCAGTTCGATAAGGGACTACCAGATGAATGATTTTGCCCTGCTAACAATAATAAGACTACTGGGGTATGTGAAAACACGCAATGCATTTGTACATAGGATCACCCCCTGGGTATGGAGGGCATCCTCAAGCCTGATTGGCTGTCATTGCTCGCGAGGTTGACTTCGAGGTTGACTTAAGGACGAGGCTTAAAGAACGCGCTGACGGTTGTCAAAGTGTGGTGGCTGCCTAGAAAGAAAAAGAAACACTTAAAGGCTGAGTCGGGGGTCTCTCACCAGTCTGACGGGTATTGGGTTTCTCTAATTTTCAGCCTCTTCTCAGGAACGTCGTTTGGTTTAGTGCCATTGTTATGTACTGTAGCTGTCCTTATCTCTCACGGGCACTTCCGCTAACAAACCCCAGGCTTTCGGGAATATGCGTGTGCACATTTGGCTACAGAATGGCCTCAGGCCAACTTTTGGAGGTGGCCAATAAGAGAAAGGTCGATGGCATCGATATTATGGAGAGCTTGGCATTTCGGCTACGGAGTATTGGCTGTACACTTTGTCTTGACAGCTGTTTTGGCGGCTGCAATGCATCTTCACGATGCAATCGTGTCGGATGGCAGAGGTGTAACTTCCCCACTGCCGGCCAAATGTGAGTGCTGCATCCTTGGCTACCGCCAAAGCGAGAGCGACTTTGTCGTGATCACACCACCTCTGCCATACACGCCGCCAAGGAAACACCGGAACTACGCTATGGAACCCCTTGAGCAATCGAGCCCTGTAGGTCAATTGAAGTCAATTATTTGCTCCTTTTCTGCGCTCAAGCAACACGAGCGGCTATTTCTCCCTCGAATTCATGTTGGCAAAAAGCTCGTCAACTCGTCGCACGATTTTCGGCGGCTACTTGGCACAATGCACGCTGAGGAGGACACAGATTCAGCACAGCATATTTTTTCTTGTCTTGCTCGACCCTGTCACCTGCGTGATGCCGCGGGCGCAATCGCGGACTGGCTTAATTACTCTGTCCCGCATATGAATTCATGCAAGTGTTCGAGTCCGAGGCCGACCGCTACGCCTGATCCGGATTACGGTCCAATCTCCTGTGCATATTTTCTCCATGGGACCGGACGCTGGCTTCGTGGCAGTCGCTTACTGAAGAATTTGGAAAGCATATTGTCAGACTTGTCTCCTACCCTTTCTCGCGTGACGATTGCGTGCGTCCGCTATCGTGAAGACCCAGCGGAATTCTAACCTTCTTTTGTGCTAATCGACGGCAAGCAGTCGGGTCATCCGACCGAGCTGGGATCGACTTGACCGCAGAAATCATGATTTCTAGAGTCTTATGGTGTTCCTATCCTAATTGCATATTTCGTGGCAGTCAATATTGATTGACCAACTCTGCCGCTAACAACAACGTTGCTGGCCGGAAGCCAAAAGTCTCGGCGCTATCCTGCGTCTTCAACGCTGAGCTGGCCAACGCGCAAGCTGATAAACAACTGACAGCGGCGCTCCCCTTGGGGTTTGGCCTACTTTTATTCGACGTTTTAGCACATGCCTAGATTGTCTACATGCTATTCAATATCTCATCGGGGTTTGAGATCATTAATTACCACTTACCCCACACGGCCAACGGACCGGCCCAACGCGGAGGCGGCTCTGCTTTTCTGTTCTACCCCCAATGTGCTTTTTGTTGCTGCTTGTGTCTTGTCTTCTTCGGCATCCTGCTTCTTCTTGACGACTAATTGTGATCGCTTTGTCTGCCTCGGAGGCCCTTGTTTGGGATGTGCTTCGCTGCCGTGGAAGGGGAGGTTGCTCTGAAGCATTGTTTCACATTACCATTATTACCAATCTTCATCATGACGCCATAAGGACCATTGGAAACGTTCGATACAGGCCGCGACAACTTACACACCATGGCTCTCGTACATAACAATCTCGGCCAGAATCTACTGGAGGGTTGCTGCCAGGAAGCTGCACGAGTCCAGACAGTGACGAGAGAACTGGAACACCTTCGGATGGCCCTTCCTCTACAGTACCATGCACATATGATTTTGCTGATAGATGGACTGCAAACCACTCGCCATCGTCTTGGGGATATAATCGACAGCTCGCAGTTATACATGATTCGCGTCGAAGTTATTATCGAGTACCTGAATATTGTCCTTCCGTGCTTACAAAGGACCCTCATGGATATCGAAAGGTACTATAACGACAAGACGCGCAGTAAGATCAACAGATGGAGGGCGATGTATCATGAGATGGGCGATGAACTCCCTGGCACGACACTGCCCTCGCGCTTCATCATGTACAGCCAATTTCTAGAACTCCTCGGACTTTTGCTCACAAAGTATGAGGTCATCCCAATGCATCATGATGATCATGCTTACTCATATTCAGATCTCCAAACTTTAACATGAATACCTTGTACTCACTGGAACATCGAATCATGCAACTGAGGGAAGTAAGGAACATTCGTGAGTTGATATGACCCCTACGGCTGCTTAGTGCATTTGCTGATTTGCACCTATGTAGCGCCTCCAAGTCCGATCGAACGCCCAGTACTCATGTGGCATGATTCAGTGGAATTCTGGGAAGAACAAACGGTTTGACGAGACTCTCTGCGTGTCCTTGACCCAAGTGCTCTAACCAGTGCCTGCAGAACTCGCATTGGGCCGAGTCGATATTCACGAGACTTCCACCAACACATACCATTCTAGAAGAACCTAAGAAGTAGGGCTTCAGCAAGAAAATTCCCCAGGCATCATTGCAAGTTTACTAATTGTGGCAGTCCCATTTCTCAAGCCTTTGGACCTTTTCAACGACTTGGCCAACCACTCATCTCTCCTGCTGCCAAAATACTAGTCAAGCGGTATGTCGGGAAACAAACACCACCTCTACCCCTGTCTATACCACTCAATACCACAGCCTGAGAACATGGTGGTTTACCTGGTACTGACCTAATCGACAAGATCATTCAACGATGAACAACTCTCAGTGACCTTTTTCCTTGAAGGCTACGATGACATACCACATGTCTTTGTTCGCACTGTTACAGGTGGACAGCCTTGGGTCAGCGTTCTTGGTGCTCATAACCTTGTAAGGATCAATCTCAATTGTCTCTGGCTTACACACAACCTTCAAGACGTTCCTGTCCTCCATCTATCTCACAAATTCTATGACAACTTGCCGATATTGCTTGAAGAATTGAGTACTAACCCCGTCGCGCAGTGCATATCTCGTCATGACAACGCAACATTGAATTTAACACGATGGAGCTTGAATGAGCGCCGCAGTAAGATATGGGCAGCCCTTAAGTTCATCACATATGAAGGTCAGTACCAACCTCTAGGTCAGGTCACAGAAACGGTGACTGCGCTTGACTGAAAAGTATCTATCTGCTTACTACTAATAGAAATGGTCCTTTTCTACTGCACGTTCATTTGTTTGAAAGCTAGAAGTACGCAAACTATGAACATGGATCCATTAGAAAACTCGATACGTTTCGAGAGACGGCCTTGTTCTGCGTCAGTGTCCTTTGATCTAGATACCTTACCAAACTATCAATACGACCACGCACTGATAACCAAATAGCACTATACATGATGACGGCTTTCACCACACTCTATCCGTGTACAAGGATACCTATACGGGCCGATGCCGACTTCATGCAACCGTACACGACGGAGACCTCAAAGGCTGCCCAGTCTGGACAGCATTCCGTAAGTATATTGCAGCAAAGGCCTGTGCATCAAGCATTGACATTGAACTAGTGCCTACTTGGTCAGTCAGATCTAGACCTGGCTGGTTAATAACCTCGCGTCAGACCAACGCGCGGAACAAAATACGGATCAGGAATATCTACCCTTATATCTTTTGCGAATCTTATCGAGCTCACAATCAACGCAAAGGGAGAAGAGGAGACTTTGAACTCTGCTTTGCCACCGAGAGCGGTATGTACATACTAGGAGATGAGGCAGTACTAATGCTAAAAATAACATAGCTGCCACGCGCTTCATAGAATGGTTCGATCCTCCCAGTGCTACACAAGAGTAGGACCCAGATGGTCATATGGTACAGTGATCACTCCACGGGTTGGAGGCAACCCTCTTTTTAATTTGACTGCTTTTGCGTAGCATCACATCACGCTTAACCTATCATCAACACCTCCTCCATGCGTTCCTACCCCGATACTTTTGGAGCTTTTTGTTCTCGATGCGCAACCCAATGCTCCGACGATAACGCGACACGACCGGTGGGAATTTCCACGTTCAGCGCCTAGCAGCTCAACTACTTTAATGACTAATGAGGTATGATTTGATGAACCTCAAAAGAATTCACGGGGACCGAGGCAGATTTTATAGTATCATAGCGCGGTGCATCTACCTTGATTTTGTGTTTAATCTCGATTATTTGGTCTTTAAAGAACTTTAAAGGTTTATACTTACTCAGATTAATATGTCTGCTTTTTTGAGGAGCCCAGGAAAAGGATATTTTGTTTAGGTTGGGCTACTAAGGAACAATCTCAAATACTTCAATCGTAATTATTACACTACATCACACGAAATTACGAGATAATTCTCCTTTAATGCAGGCAAGGAACGTTGGCAACTTCGGCCTTCTTATTCTGGTTCTTCGTCGCCCTCTTTTGCTGCTCTCACGAAATTAATACCCTGGCCATGTCAAAAAGGGACAAGGTACCACCAAGACCACCAGGACCATCAGGACCACCGCCATTGTAGTCATCGTCATCCTCCCGGCGGGAGCGCGGGGGCAAAAACAGATCATCGTCGTCTTCGCCGTTCGCGTCCTCGTCATCGTCCTCCTCATCACCCCAAACCACGTCGCCAGCCTGGGCCGCAGCCTTGACGTTGTGGCCGCGGGCATGGCGGTGCATGGCCTCCTGGCTGTCATAGCTACGGTTACAGCCGGGCCAGAGACAGTGGAAACCGGTGCCTTTAGGGCGGGCTGCATAATATCCCAACATAGTTAGTCTCCATAAGGACATTGGGACTCTTCAAGGAAATAGGGACTCTTCAAGAGAAAATGGAATATATGAATAAAGGAAATTCTGGAAGGGGAGAACTTACCGACGTTGGAAGAGCTCGGCATATGAACCGCGTTCATATGCTTCTTCACGTTGTCCTCCGACGAGAAGACCTGGCCGCAGATGCCGGCGGCAGGGGCGGAACTGACTGGCCAGTGGCAGCGCTTGCCCCAGTGCTGTTCCCGCTCTGACGATGCAATATTGGTTAGTAGTTGTTGAAGTTAAAGACGTCGTCAGGGTGGAGGTTGTCGTTTGGGAGGAGGTTGCTGTCGTGAAAGAAGGCGGCGGGAGCGGCGACGGGACGGGTACTTAGGTCCCTATCCGACTCATACCGTCTGTCATCTCCGTTCTCGCTCTCGTAGTCTGTAACTCTATTCGGTGCCATCGCGTCGTCGATTATTGCTGGTGTTTTCTGGAAGGGGGCAGGGGGGAATGTGACTGGCGGTGCAGGAAGAGGGAAGGGGAAGAAAGCAGAATTGGGCCGGCTTCGAGCTCTATTTATTATGTGCGCACCGCGGGCGGTTACCAGATGTGGCACAAGACTGACTACACCCATATGCCTCTTCTGCCAGCTTATATCACGATCTACACGCCTACAGAGCCTGTACAGTGCTGCACTGCGTTCTACGAAGAAAACTCCTCTTACACTTCCACATACTTCTGATTTTACTAGCAAATTTGCGTTAAAATACCCTGAAATCTACAGATTTTATTACAGATACATCATACATTAAGCCGCAGCTCCCCTCCGGACGTGGGTCAGGGCTCTGGTCGAGCACGGCTTGACAGACGCATAGCACGGAGGGCAACACGGAGCCTGAGGCCTGGGGCAGGTATCCACCTCGGCGACAGCTAGTCAGGCGCGGAGCACAGTTTGGTAACAGCTTATACGGTCATGTTTATAATCAGGTGGGCCAGGATAACAGAGAGCATCATATAATAACTGCCAGCTTTGAGTGGCCATCTTGTGGCTTTCACTAGCTTTCACCAGCTTTCACCATCGTTACAGGAGAAGGACATGGTTTAGTAGTCATTTCTTTGATGGTATTAGTATAAAATGATGGATGCTAGTCAAGAATAAAGCAATCAACGTTTTCTTATAGAAATTGCTAATATTACCATTTCCTAGCATTATATTAAATGCATATATTTCAAACACTGTGAACTCCTTACACAATAAGTAATATCTGCCCTTGATTATCTCATAACTTGTATTGTTATGTAGTCGTGTTATATTAGGAATTTCTATTGCTAACTTAAGAAGACATTTTGTCGACTACGAATAACTGGATAATATATACACCCTTCTTTTTAGGAGCAAGCTGAGATTTTTTGAATCGGAACTTACTACGATAAACAGCTTATCACCTCTGTCGTCCGTTTCTTTATGTATGCTATCGGCATGGTTATTTGACTAATCGCTAATGTATACTCTTTACTACATAGTTGCATCTTAATCGTGGCTTGAGATAGTTCATATAATCGCAACTCATTTAATTATAAGTCATTCGAGGAATCACACTCCCTTTATTGTCCAACTCTTAGCGGGGGGGATTCTTTTTCTTTTCGTCTTTCTTTCTTTCTTTCCCCACCCCCCTCCCTTTTTCTTTTTTCTTTTTTTTGGAAGCATCCTGATCAGTCTAGGTATTGAGATGTTGCCATTCAATGGGACAAGTGCAACCCCCCACCCCATATTTCTGATAGAGTGGTTGGCGGATTCAACCCTTTTCTCTATTATGTTAATCTAGTTGTTGTTTCTTGCTACAACTTTAAAACAGAGAAAAATCATCAGCTTATAGTTATTTTGGCGGTCAGATCGGTGAGTCATGTTTTACTTTGAGTATAGAGACAGGCAACTGTCTGACCAAATCTCGACCCCTGAATCCATGACAATTGCGTAAGTACCCCCAACACCGTAATGCACCCGTACAGATCCCCGAGAGCCGATAAAAAGAAATTTTGGCAGGAATACCATTTTTATCATGCAAGTCAAAAGCCAATTGACGTATTTAGGACTACAAGCACCCATAATGCGGTAAAGCGCTATCTCAGCGCATGCAGCGATACACGGCATAGTTGGGGTATTTAGGTAAACTTCGCGTAACTAAATCCTCAACCCATGCTGCGGGAATTATCATTTCCAAATACCCTAACACGAGCGGAGGGATCGGTGAGGAGGCTCGGATAACCCAATCTGGTACAAAAATTTCATTTCACATATGAGGCTCAAGTCTGGTGCTTGTGACTATGATGATATGATTCGGATTTGGGAGGCCTCCCTTGAGGAGTTGAATCTACGGGATTGTATGCTCGAGCAGGACGTCATGGCCAGCCAGCATGGATCGCGCGGATGGGGAAGGGATATATCTTGCGTGAATGACAGCTTAATGGCGGTCTGCGTGATATCAATCACATTGCTCATACAGAAGCGATAACTCTTGCCAGGCCTCTTGTTTGAAGTATTCCTGAAACAATTCCGACATGGCAGACTGCGAGAAAGCCGGAGGTACGGATAATAGAGCAGCGGAACCTGACCATGTTCGCATCACCTTCCAGGGCGATGTACGGGAAACCCGACATGGACGGCAACGAGTCGGCGACAACAACGACAGGTCTAGTTCTCATTCTCGATCCCGTCATCGCTCCTTGAGCAGAGGTTCTGCCCGAAGCGGCATCTCGACCTCTCCCTATTCCGGTTATCAGATTGAGTACCGAACCCTTTCGATTCAAGTTTCCGAAAGCCGTCGAGTCGGCGACGGTCTCACAACTAAGGAAGCATTGCCTCAGAAAGAAGACCAAGAATACTTTGCCAACCTCAATTTCCATGAGCTGGACGTAACTCAGATCTGTCAACAACTCAATGTCGCCCAGGACCAGGGCCTTTCCAATACAGCAGCCAATAACCGGCTGAAGCGTGATGGCGCCAATACACTCCCTCATCCAAAGTCGAACTATACCAAAAAGATCCTCATGTATATCTTTGGTGGTTTCTGTTCAGTCCTTTGGGTTGGTGTCATTGTCTTCTTTCTCTGTTGGCAACCCTTGAGCAACCCTCCCTCAGCACAAAATCTTGCTCTTGCTGTTCTCATACTCATTGTCATCTTTCTACAAGCTGGATTTTCTGCCTTTCAGGACTGGTCCACGAGGAAGACCATGCAATCAATCTTGGACCTGCTACCATCTGAGACTCTCGTGATGAGGGATGGTGAGATCAAGAAGCTTCCAGCGACGGATCTTGTCAGCGGCGACATCGTGCATCTCAAGATAGGGAACAGAATCCCCGCCGACATGCGATTACTGAGCCACTCAGGCGACATCCGATTCGATCGAGCTGTCCTCACGGGCGAGTCGGATGAGGTTGAAGGTACCATTGATGCAACCGAAGAGAACATACTCGAGAGCCGCAACATCGCGCTGATGGGAACCATGGTCGTCAATGGCAGTGGTGTCGGCGTTGTCATACTGACTGGTCCACGCTCGGTCATGGGTCGCATCGCCCATGCGACAGCTCACGCCCCTGAACGAGCAACATTGATCCAGAAGGAGATCTGGCGCTTCGTATACATCATCGTCTTCTGCACTGTCGTACTAGTACTCCTCATCGCTTTCACATGGCTTGGATGGCTGCGACGGGACCATCCTGGCTTCATGAGCGTGGTCTCAATGTTAACCAATGCCATGGCTAGTGTTGTCGCATTTATCCCCGAGGGTATGCCTGTCGGAGTTGCGCTGACTCTCATGATGGTCGCGCGACGCATGAAAGCTGTCAACATTCTGCCTAAAGGCTTGTCGACGGTGGAGACCTTGGGCTGCGTCAACGTTATTTGTTCCGATAAGACCGGCACATTGACTCAGAACAAGATGCACGTCGAATCATCAGCGTTCCTGGATCGTCCTTTCACAGATGCTGATTTCCGCCATGAGTTGATGCAGAAAACACCACGACCAGGCTTCCTCGCGGTACACGAAGCCTCAGTACTCTGCAATGACGCTTCATTTGATGCTGCATCGTTGCATCTGCCAGTTAGAGAACGCGAAGTACAAGGTAATGCAACCGATGCAGCAGTGCTGCGATTTGCAGCTAATGGCAGAGATGAGCAATCTCTGAAGGCATCGCACCCGCGAGCCTTCGAGATCCCATTCAATTCCAAGAGCAAGTGGATGCTCACTCTACACCATGTGATGAGGTATGGCGAGCAGAGCGGCAAGTACAGAATGTTCGTCAAAGGTGCTCCTGATGTACTCTTTCCAGCATGCACTAAGTTTTGGTCCCATAATCGCAACAGTATCTCTCCCCTAGATGCTGCGGGCCGCTCAGCATTCAAGGCGTACCAGGACAGGCTTTCGCGCAATGCCGAGCGGGTAATCGTCCTCTGTGAGAAGGAGATATCCCCCGCCAACAAGCTTGGTACAAACGCATTTAGCGACGAAGTCGCCCAGAGTGCCATACAGGATCTGACCATCATCGGTATCTTAGGCATCACAGATCCACCCCGTGCCGAAACCAAGGATACTGTCGCTGAAGCGCGCAGGGCTGGAGCACGCTTCTTCATGGTCACTGGTGACTACGGACTGACGGCTGCCGCCATTGCGAGGAACGTTGGAATCTTCACCGGATCTGCTGAGCCCGACACCATTGAGACCATTCGATCTGCTATGCCCTCTTCGGAAGAAGAAAAACAGCAGAGGCAGCTGCACGATCAGCATCGCAGTCTTTTGCTTGAAGGCCCGTCCATCGGCTCTCTCACTTCTGAGCACTGGGATGTTGTTTGTGACTACGACGAGATCGTTTTTGCGCGGACAACCCCCGAGCAAAAGCTTAGAATTGTGGAAGAACTGCGTGGCCATGGCAATTGCGTTGCGGTTACCGGTGATGGAGTCAATGATGCTCCGGCTCTACGGGCTGCCGATGTTGGAGTTGCAATCGTCACAGGGAGCGATGTCGCCATTGAAGCTGCTGATTTGGTCTTGCTAGACAAGTTCGATTCCATCATTGAGGCGATTCGTATGGGTCGACTAACTTTCCAGAACTTGCAAAAGGTCATTGCTTATTTATTACCTGCTGGTAGTTGGTCGGAAAGTAAGTCTCGACGTTGACCTCTGTGGGGTTCTGATTTACTGACATACGGCGAACAGTCTGGCCTGTACTAGTGAACCTGTTTTTCGGCGTGCCGTTGCCACTGAGCGCGTTCCTCATGATCATCATCTGCGTATTTACTGATTTATTCCTCGCTTTGTCACTCATAATGGAGAAGGAGGAGTTTGATCTGATGTCCCTACCGCCTCGCAACCACAAGAAAGACCATCTGATCACACTTCGCATCTACGCCCAAGCGTACATTTTCACTGGATTTATGGAAACCACAATCGCTCATGCCATGTTCTTCCTTTACATGTGGAAGTACGCCGGCATGTCTGTCAAGGACCTGTTCTTCGCCTTCGAGGGCTACACCGAGGGCTTTCATGGGTATACCCAGGATGAGCTCACAAACTTCAATGTCACGGGGCAGTGCGTTTACTTTGTGACACTGGTGATCTTGCAGTGGGGCAACATCTTGTCGATCCGAAACCGCCGGCTGAGCATTGTTGAGGCGGACCCGGTGACCAAGAAGCGCAGGAACCCGTGGCTGTTACTCAGCATGCTGATCAGCCTCGTCATTGCCATCTTCGTGACTGAGGTACCAGGCATCCAGAAGCTCTTTGGCACTGCATCCGTCCCGCTGGAGTTCTGGTTCATCCCGATTCCTCTCGCCTTGGGTATACTGGTTATGGATGAAATTCGAAAGCTACTCGTTCGCATCTTCCCTAACGGACCCATCGCCAAGATCGCTTGGTAATAAAATCAGGTCTAAGATATGATGATCATGATGTCAAACTGCTAGAAATCAAGGTAGAGTATGAAAAGCACAATTTTCATTGGTCGGAAAAGCCATGCACAGTTGTCTTGTCGTTCATTTTGGTCAATATTTTAGACAGCTAGAAAACAGGAGTAGAGACATGGTATTTCGGAATATTTCGCTCCGCTCAAGCAGTATCATTATTATGGATAACCCAACTTTCGTTCTTGCCTCCACTATTCCTCCACCGCACGAAATCCATAAACGCCAGCACCGTCTCCACAAGCTGAACGACGAGGAACGGTATGAGGTTGTATTGCCAACCCGTCATGATCTGAAGATGGCTCGATATGTCATCTCGTCCGCCGACCAGGTCGAGCTGCAGCACGGCCGCGAACCAGTTCTGCGGCGTCCACGAGCCTAGAGTGTACGGGCTACCGTCCAGCTTCGCGGCCAGCGCCACGTCGATGGTCTGACCGCGGCGGGCATTCGTGACGTAGAAGACGTAGCCCAGGGCGCCTGCCGTGAGCAGGAGGGCTGGGACGTTGAGCGCGAGCCAAAGATAGTATATAAACCTGGCCGGGTTGCTCGAATGGTAGTCGATCCTGCTCCGTATCCACAACGCGACGATGCCGCCGAGACCGATGAGTACGAACGCTGTCCCCGCGGCGCCGTTGCTTGTATGGCCTTGGTCAACTAGAAAGGCCGATGGGATGCCGGCTAGCTGGTATGTCGAGGTGTTGGATCTGAACCGGAAGCCCTTGCTGGCGGTACTGTGTAGCCATCCGACGGTGGCGGTCACGAATCCCAACTCGATGATGGAGACTACCATGAGCAAGCCGAGGGCGACCTTGAGCCACCACGAAACTGGAGCCATGTTTGGCAGTACTCGATTTTTGATCATATTGGACGGGATGATGGGCGGTTTGTGAAGGGTAAAAGGAGATCGACAGTTGGGAATGCTATTAGCATTCGGACAGTTCTCACATAGTTATATACATGGATTTGGGTGGTCGTCTTTCGCCGCACCACTAGGGCTGACGATATGATTAGAGGGTTGGTCTGACTGTAGACATAGCCATCATATGGTCGGGGCTCAGCGGCTTACTGACGACTAGTCTAGTGCTGGAAGTCAGCTTGCTCGCTGCGCAGTCTAAATCTGGCGCTACCCTAGCTGAAGGTTGGGGAGGACCTCTCAATTAGCACCCAATGGTGCAGAAGAGGATGTTTGCTCTAGGAAGGACGGTCTGGAGCTTATATGTCATTCTAATTATTCCGGCCTGGTGCAAAATCAAACCCTATCTTAGGCCGATGCAGGTTGCCTTCCGCCGTAGCGAAACGTATACTGGCCCCACTTCTCGCTGTCGCCAAACGCGCCGTCCTTTGGGGGCGGGCCCACGGCCCACTCATCGAGGTCGATCGTGAGGCGATCGACCTCTTTGAAACCGTGCTTCTCAAACAGCGGCCACCCGGCCTCGGAGGCGTGCACCCACATGGAGGCACCGAGCCGGTCCGCATGCTCGGTACCCCAGCTCATGAGCTGCGAGCCGACGCCCACCCCCTTGTAGCCAGGGTCCACGGCCGTCATGCCGACGAAGATGGACTTGGACCCGTCCCGCAGGCGCTTTTCAAAGAAGTCGTTCAGGTGTTTGCCGGTCATGGCCTCGAGCTCCTTGATCCTCTCGGCACCGGGAATGGTCGTCTCGTCCTTGACGATCTGCCCATCAAACGCGGACTTGCTCTTTTCGCTAGCAGCCGGGCCCTCCTCTTCGACGTTGTCGTCGTCGTCTTCCGCCGGCGATGCGTCCAGGTCCACGTTGCGGAATCCCCAGGCGCAGAATCCGACGATTTTCCCATCACGATCGTCGGTTGCCTTGATCACGACGGAGCTGGTCGAGTCTGTGTAGTGTTGTATGCCCATGGCCATGCCCTCTGCGAAAGCGCCGGGTTTCGTGCCCATGAGCTTCACCTGCGTGTTCTTGTCCTTGTCCCACGTGCTGGCGGCGATTTGGCCCAGACGGGCGACATCACGGCGTGAGGATTTGGAGATTGTGTAGGTTGATTGAGGCATCGGGGTCAGAGAAATTTTTATTTTTATTTTCAAAGACACAAAAACTGTAGATTTTTGTTCTCGTCGGTGAATGAAAACCAGAGCGAATCGCAAATTGCAAAGTCTGATTTCCCGTATGCTGGTAATTGATGCGACCAGCTCCGATTCTTATAATGCGACATCTAGACGAGAGCGCGGATGTGAAAGTGGAGAGCCGGAGTTACAATAAAGCTGCGTTTCCCGGGTGAGTCAGGAGGGGTTACTTTATCGAACTTCCGAATTGGTGTTCGGCGAGCGTCTGACGGCTGTACCAACCCATCATTCGACGAACTATACGGGGGATGCATACAGACAAGTGCAGTTTACAGATTCATTTGCATACAAAAAAAATAACTACTATTGCAGATATGGACTCAAGTTTCGAGTAATAGAAACCAATTTTTAGCAGGTTGTACCCACTATATCCTCAAGTTACACTGACGGGTTATAACAGAACATTTCTAATATTTTCCTAATCCATTTGTGGTATCAAAAATCGCCAGTTGACGAGAAAAAAAGAAGAGAAAATTATCCACGCCCATGCCTACAGTTTTACATCACGTCTCAACGGCCCGTCCTTACATAATCGGCGGGATTGTAAGGCGCGAAAACCTGCTGCTTTGGTGGCAACTTTGGTGGATTTGCAGAGCTGTGCTCTTCACGCGTCTCCCTGTGCGTGGCAAGCTCTGTCGCAAACCCCTTGTGCTCAAGACCAGGTGATGCATATGCATTGCTACCAGTTTCGGACGAGTATGATGTTGGCCTAGAGCTTTGTAAACCAGGACTGTGCTGGCTTTGAGACCACCTCCAATCGTTTGGCCCAGGGGAGGACTTGCCTGAGTGCTCTGACATACCCGGTGACGGCTGTGGTGGTTGCAGGCTCGGAGACCTCTGCGGGTGGTACGTATCACCTGGGAGTTCCATGACAAATGGAGCAGATGCTTGCTGGGATTGCGCAGGAAGCTCAGCGGCTTGGAGCTGACCCGCAGGTTTATTGTATTGGTAGCCAGATCGATGTGAGGCTGATGATCCAGGCCTATTGTAATGTTGGTGTTGTTGTGCTGATGGCGGTACTTGATAAGAAACCGGTCGCGGGATCTCGTATGGCATATTTGGCGACATGGGCGGTTGCATTCCTGGATTTTGAGGGTACGGGCTCATGCCCGATGGCGAGGCCGGCGGGGACGCATTTGCTAGTCCGCCAGTGTACCGAGACCTGTCGTTGGGGTTTTGAGTCTTGAGTTTGCCATTCTCAATCATGGCCGTCAAGACACCAGTATCAAGCAGCTCTGCCTTCTTGATGATGCGGTCAACCATCTCCTTGCTCGCAGCCTTCATTTGCGACTTCACAAAACTGACCATGGTGAAGTTGCATCTGATCTCAATGTCCTCCCGCAAATAGAGCCCGTCCTTGGGCACGTTGAGCTTGCCTAGCCCAATCTCGTGCTGCTCTGGAGGCTCGACGCCCGGTTGGTTCCCGCCAATGCGATACTTGTTCCGGAGGTCGACATTGGCGGGCGCATAGATGTGGGTCTGCAAACCCCAGGGTAAATCATGGAAAACTCCATTGAAATGGACGACGCTGGAGCCCAGCCTTCCTATACCTGGGATGAACTGTAATCGCTCGGTGATTTCATACCAGGTCGAGTAGAATTCATCGCTTGGGGCATCCCGAGGCGCCGGGATCGGCTTGTGACCGAGGACAAGCGGGTTGACTGTTATGACCTCACCGTGGCTGTGGAGGATGTCGATCGCCAGCTGTCGGGGGATGAAACCTGGGATGGGGGTTATAACCGTGTATACCTCTTTCTTTCGGAGCACCATGATGCGCAATAAATCTTGTATATGCGGCAAAGTTCAGACGGGGTGCTGGACACGCTGGTGAAAAGTTGAGGAAGGGAAGAGGGATTTTGCAATGTCAGCCCTATCGTAAAGTTGCGACGGTCTGGTCTACCGCTCCATTTCCCTTGACATGGTTTTGCTGGCTGTGATATTGATGAGAGCTTGGGGTGGGGGGCTTGGGGCGGCCGGTTTGTGGGTTTGTTGGCCGATTGCACGTCAGCAAGGCGGCGCTGCAACTGCTAAATCTGTTAGCCTTTGATGGGTTTGTCTTGTCGCGCAGCCACCAAACATCGGCTCAGGGATGTGCTTCTCCGCCAGTTTTCTCGGGTCATACTCCGTGCACACACACCACTGGCAAACAGACCTTGTCTGCAGTAGCTTGTCGAGCTAAAGTCCCAGCTGGACTTTGAACGAGGTCGGCAAGTATGCACTTCATACATGCATTGCATGAAGAACGACCTCCCTTGAATCGTTTGGTCCTTTGAGGTGCATAGAAGCCTATCCTGTGTCTTTCCCCAGATTCATGCCCGAGTGTCAGCTATGGGCCCGGGGCGTAATCGCAGTTCAACGACGACTCGGTCTTCTTGGGCTCGGATTAGCGCAACTTGGTGTATTGCCGTGGGCTGAACTATTCTTGTACGGCTGTCCATTTTCCCGTGGACCATGATTGGCATCGCTTAATCACAATTACAACTCCGGCGATCTGGAATGTCCCTCCTAAACAATCAGGCTAGCTGATACACCCTTGTGCGAATAGCTTGCTCCGGCCTTCCAGCGAATCAGGCAAAAAGCTCCAGATAAGATGTAAGTAACCTCGTCAGCACGATTGACACATCCAGTAACTAGTTCGGATGCAACAAGGCAGCTGGAGATGCCGGCCATGTAGAGCACTCTCGGGAGGTGGCAGTTGCGTTGGTGCCAAAACAAAGCGTTCCCGGCGACGAACTAGCCCGATAATGGGATCTAACGATAGACAGTGAGTGGCACAGCACCTTGCGCGCTCGTCGGTTCAGGACACGAGAGTGACTTGTTACATTCGATTGCTAGGGATAGCAACACTGCAACAGGGTTCGAGATAATCGAATCTCTTCGAAAATTCTCCACAACACGCCCTGTCCTGTTCGCGCCGTAAATGGCAGCGAGCACGGCTCCGGCCCATGATTATAATCGTTCTCCATTCCTGCTGACGAGGATCATCCTGATTGCAGTGAAAATTCTATTAAAAGCATGCGTAAATCCTCCGAGGAAGGGGGCATTCCTAGCCCCGCTGCAGGTCAGCGTGGCAGGTGCTGCTTGCTGGCAGCAGCTGATAGTTTGTAAGCATGTCATGTTGGACAACTCGTCGTCCTGTGAGTGCGTCACCGAAAGAGTCGAGAAGCTCTAAGTGGTCGCTGTTACACCTTATTACATGAAGAAACGCTGACCACTGGTATGATTGCACAGCCTGCCAGTATTGCGGATGCTGTGATACAATCCATTCGTTTGGCCAAATCCGGCAATGAAATGCTCAAGCAACACACCCTGGCATCTTCGAAGAATGCTTCGTGAATGACGCCCCAAGCTCGAGCTTTGAAGCACTCAAGCATCTGCGTATTGAGACATTATTGTGTTCTTCTGATGTGTTTCTTAGGAGTGCGGTCGTCATGTTTACGTGTAGGTGTTTTCGTTTTTGACCAAGCTGTAATCCTCTCATAATCCATCTTTTCTACTTGTAATACCGGTATGCACGTACAGAGCGGTTTGGTGTATCACGCCGTGGTGGCTTCTGCTACACAGGATATACTCATACCATGTTTGCGCACTTTGTGCTCCTAATTGCCACAAGCCATGGTTTCACTCACCCAGCTCGGATTTATTTATTCAAGAAACCCACCAAATTCTGCTACTAGAAGTCATGGCAAAACGGAACTCCAGACAAGCACATATGACAAACCAACAATATTTGAAAGGCGCACAAAGAAGCATTGGCCATGGGCTGTTTCAGAGGCAAGAAAAAGAAGAAGTACCCCGGCATCGTCGACACTGGTACGGGGCATCCAAACACAAGCCTAGTTACCGTCAATCCTGGCACGGCGGCATCTAATATTCCAGGCAAAAAGGCCATAATGCCTGGAAGTTTTACAACTGTGTGCCAAACAAGCCCTGCAGCAGCCGCAGTGGCAGATATCGGAGCAACGCCGACGAGTGCCATGTTCCCGAATATGCCTGCTGAAATCGAGCTCGGGGATGACCCGTTCGCTTTCCTAGAAGATTTCAACACATGTTTCCTGATAGATGACTCCAAGGAGATGGAGGACGACTGGCATGAGGTCCTGGCGTTTGTTTGCGAAGTAGCACCAATATGTGTCGAACGCGACCCGCGTGGTGTCGAAATTCTTTTTGGCAACCACTCACCAGCCAGTTCACTCTGGTTTGACGTGCCTGGTCACTACGGCTATCTGAACATCGGGCTCATGCGCGGAGCCCCCCAGATGCACAACAATGTGGAGGGAATCTTCAACGACGTCAAGCCAACAGGTAGCAAAAAGGTCACATTCCGGCTAACAAGAATATTAAACCACTACATGTATTGTTACAAAGAAACAATCTCCATGACGGGCTCAAGACACCGCTGGAGACCTCTCAACCTCATTGTTGTGACTGGTCGACCCCTCAGCAACCGCATACCGGGCATTTTTCAAGGACTAGCGAAGGAATTAGACAAGCTGGATGCACCATCTTATCAGGTTGGTGTTCAGTTCTTCCGGGTCGGTGGCAACGAGGAAGCTGAAGAGCATATGCGGCTCCTCGACGATGAGGTACATAGGTGGAAGGGCGTGAGGGACTTTGTGGACACGGCAACTTGGACGGATGGTCAGGAGGACTATCATTGGAAGGCTTACTGAAGGTTGTTGCTCGTGGCGTAGAACGATCAATCGATTACGTCCACTTGGCGGAAGTGCGCATGCCAGATCTGCCACCAGGTGCGTGGTAATTAATCTATTTGTGGGATAACGGAACGCAGATGTTCCATTGATCGAGTATCTACACTAGGTTTCAAGCAAATTAGACGATGCTTTAGTGCTCATCGCTTTATCAGACCCTTCACTCTACTATTTCTCAGGCCTCCTCCAGGTGGGCGTGGGCACTACTTGCAGGTCTACTTGTGGGCTTTCGAGCCCGTGTCGCTGTGCCATGGCCTTCTTCAGCAGTGCTTGTGGGCTGCAAAAAGCGGACTGGTAGGCAATATATGATCAGAAGTGTGTCCTTAAGCTATGATGAATCTACTTACCACGAAGTTGTGATTTGTCCACATTAGCGGCCTGAGCCTCGTCCTGGACAGGTCTCGGCTGTGTCTCGGTCTTCTGATGGGCAGGAGGCTTGTTTTCGACCTCAGAAAAGTAGCCGTCAGGATAACCCGGATTGGTCAGCTGTGGGCAGCCAGGCGAGAACCCCATGTTTGGGTCCGTGTAAGGTAAATGGACCATCACAAATGATCCAATAGAGTTTTGGCTGATGCGCGATGCCGTCGAATCGCGTCTGCTAGAAATGTCCCTAGGAGGTGTGGTCGTAAGGGTGTCTTTCCCGTCGCTGCAGGCTTTTTTACTTGGTGTGTCAGCCATAGTGTATTGATATAGTACCGGTGCTCAGTGTATATAAAGATTGTATCTTTGGTTGGACTGGAATGATCATGGATCCAAAAGACTGGCTTAAATATTGAAAACTGACAACAGTCACATGATTAGAACAATGGAATGGTTAGAACAGTAACTTGGTATCCGTACCTGCCAGCAATCAGTGACTACCGATTCAAAGGAATATACATGGAACAAAACGCTGTTTCTGTTGGGACATGGTGGCAGTTGCTGCAATTTGGCAAGTACGGTTACCAATTCCCCCAGCACATTTGGGACTGTTAGGATAAGATGAAGGAACAAATAGTGCTGCAAGCATTCGCCGATTCTGTTGCAAGTACGGATACCTACCCACTGAGGTCAGATAGTCATTCAGACACGGTCGCTCCTACTGACCCCTATTGTAGCGATTTCTGGGCGAACGCTGAAACAATCACAAGCGATTTTGAGTGTTTGGGCGAAGCTGCTTCTGCGAGAGTCTAGGTTTTTGACAAGATTGATTGTAACTTTCAAGCCGCCCTGACTAGTTGCCATAGCCGTCATTGAGGAATAGGACTTCATATAGATCATGCACGATATTGGAAATAAATCAATCGCCATGTAGATATAATCTAAGAGTGGCCTATTGCGCATAGTACTCGGGTCTAATCAAGGTCAGTCGAAGGCTCTGTGATCTCAACACCAGGTTCAATCAGTGGTTGTAACACGGGCGCGTTATTGCTCCATGTTACTTGCTGAACAAATGTTTGACGATACGCATCACAGCTTCCGTTTTCGTCTCGGTTTGCATGAAAGACAATCCAATCCTGTGTTCCATCAGGACTCTTAAAGAAACCATTGTGGCCGGGCCCGTACTCTCCAGCAGTCGTGTTGGTAGTGAGTATTGGCTCCGCCAACTTTGTCCACGAGGACGTGGATAAAGGATCTGCATCCTTAGCAAGCCTTAGAGCACCTAGTGCGTATTCAGGACCATTGCAGGTGTTTGCCGAATAGGCGATGTAGACGGTGCCGTCGGGAGAGGTGATTCCGGCTGGGCCTTCTATGACTGCCGAAGGAGTTGTCTCCCAATCGTACTCAGGATACGCAATCATTGTAGACTCGCCGATGGTCGTCGGGGATGTCAGCTCTGCAACCCACAGCGTCGCGCCGATGGGGTTGTCAGTGTTGTTCACTGAGGAGTACTTCGGGGAATGTCAGAGTTCATGCTCAACAAGTTCAATCTATCGAGTGACTCACGAAGAAATAGCGCTTGTCATTGATTACGTAGGTAGTCTGTCACTGTATCAGCTCATATTCGGCGAGGCGTAAAAGCATGCCTGCACTTACTCCATCCAGCATACCGTGCGCATCATTTGACGGCCTAAGCTCCCCAACTAGGGTGTACGGATCTGAGGTCGGCGTTTCAATACCACCTTTGAGAACCCAGACGTTCAGCGTCCGCAGCATAACATCCCACGAGCTGTCCTTGACACCTGCCGTAAAGTAGATGTACCATGTACCATCGATCTGCCAAAGCTCCGGCGCCCACCAGTTGGCACTGCGTTCTGTGGTGTTGTCCGTGTAGATCACCTGTGGTGTCGCTGTCTTGAGACCTTCAATGGTGGCTGCTGAGGTGATCTCAACATCTGTCCATGATGTCGAGGTCAGATAGTACATCCCGTCGTAGTAAACCATTTGCGGATCGCTGCCATTATAGGTCTTGATCGGATTTGTAAACCCAGCCACGAGAGCATGGCAGGAGAGGTACACGGCAGCGGCGAGTGATCGCTTCATGACCGAACTAAACATTGCGGCGCGTCGAGAAATTCGTCTGCACCAACCGCCTTGAGATTCTTATCCTGAACTGCATGGCTTCGTCCCGGTGGCCAGATGCTGATCTTATAATGACCTTCCATGACACAACGCAAGCGACCTGATTGGACCGCGTAACGGCTTGCTTGTCATGTCGATCTTTACAAGTCGACCGAGCTCAAGTTTTCATACACAGTTGCGGGGTATGTCTGGGGTACAGATGTTGTATCCACCGGGTGCTGCAACATCTCAGTTATCCCACCAGTATTTGAGAATGCCTCGCGCGCATGACGTGCCTGGGAGACATTATAAGCGGATTTGGAAATGCGACATGGAGCGATGACAATCCGCAGAGCTTCTTTCCCAGCTGACCCAGGGCACAAGCCAGGTTTAACGACTTTCGATGGAATAGTCGTCCACTGGACCTTGGCAGACTCGGATTGTCATGTCTATGGACCAGTTTGATTTTCATGCACCGACCCGTCCCTATAGCTGATTCTGGCCACACGCTGCATCTCAACCCAGCCGGCAGGCTTCAAGATTGGCTGCGCTTCTCAGCTAGTCTAGGATCAGATTTAATGTTGATGTGCACAAAAATTGTCTTGTCTTCACCAGCTTGGCGAAAGCAACCTAGAGTATTACAACCATTAATTATACGGGAGGATTGTAGAGTTGGATTCCATATTGGCTGGCAACTCGATAACTTAATTCATGTTTGAAAGTGACTGATTGGCACTTTCAGTGCCGTTAGCTCCATGGACTCCCCCCGGCTTAGGGCAAGTGGCCAGGGACGCCGCTACGGCTGAGTTCGGGCATAGGCGCAGTGGAATTCAACGCAGTTGGCGCGATGATGCAGCACACCATAAGTGGAAGTTCCGGCGTAGCCCATCTCTTCACCGCTCACTGTTAATTGCAACGTTTTGCGCTATGTGACTCTTTGAGTTAACCGTACAGCAAATTTATCTCTGGCCGAACATTTAGGAAAACGAGTCCTAAGAGACATAGCCGTCTTTGCATCTTCTGAAATCCTCAATCATGACCGACAGCTGGTGGGAAAGTTACCTTGGTGAATCATGGCTAAACCACGCTCACCGTAATCACGAAGTGGACATACATTTCCACAAATAACATGATTATATTGAGGCGCTAATATATCAAAATATACTTGATACTCTACAAATAGAGTACGACGGGAGATTATAGTTCCAGCTGGCCCCACCGTGAGTTGGTGTAACGCGTCATAGTATGACTGATTCACTATGTAAAGCGGCAAGGCCGTGATGCTAAGTCCGACGGATTTATCAAGAATACCAAAGTTGGTAAGCAGGATCAAACACAGATTGATCATCATCACTATGTTTATTGTGGATACGTTTATCTAAGAGACTTCGTGTATATTTTAGCGACGATCTCCGTTCTTCGCATTAACTGAGAGCCTCGGTCATACTATCATTAGGCACTTTTCCTCATTCTCAACCTCTTAGTGTTAGGAGTCTTTGTTTCGTTGCCTTGTTCGGAGACTTCCATTGCGTTTTCTTCTTCTTTGACAACTCAAAGATACTGTCTAATCATGGCACAAGGCCCTAGTGTAGAGGATCTCCTCAAACGTAATGCGTAAGCTGTTGCGGAGTGTGGCTGTCATCAGCGAGTTGAGCTTACCCCGAACCTCAGTCAGATAGCGGAACTTCAAAAACCCATTCCAACACTAAGTGAGCTGAGCCAGTTACCAGTTTCGGAACAAGTTCCGATGCCCAAGATATTCATTGGTGAGAGCAACCACATGGCGCACCTAGAGGAAGTCGTTATTCTAACAGCACTCTCTGACATTAAGTCTCCTGCTGCGACCCTCGAATCGACCCTTCGAAAATTTTAGGTCTCAATCAGTGGGGTAAGACTCATCTTACCATGTTTTCACAATATCATGGTTCGCGCACCTAACAGTTGGTCAGATGCCACGGTTGTTCGTAGCTGTGCTGGACGTATTACTCCCCAACTAGAAAACTTAATGTTTCTCGATCATGTCTTGCAAATCAGCGACGTAATGATTATGCACCATACGGGTAAGCTGGTATTTTGTCAAGATTTCATCTCCTCAAGGTACCGACTCATGACACTCTTTTGTAGATTGCTCAGCTGAAATCTGGAAAAACGACGATGTTCGCCGGGATTTGAATCAACGTGCACCTGAGCATAACGAGAAGATTGAACAACTCAAACTTCCTGGATTTGATGAGTAAGCTGCCATTCAGAACATGTGGAAAAAGTGGCAAAGTGTTGCTAACGAACTGTTGATATTCAAGTTTGTTGCAAAGTGTTCGAGAAGACGTACAAATCGTTCGGGATTCCCCTTTCATTCGAAAAGAGCTTGCAGATCGGACTCGAGGTTTCGTATATGATATCAAATCGGGGGTGGTTACACCCGTAGAATGAAATGCCAGATCAAAGTACAGGAATTTGATCATAAAATCAGGCTAGCGCGGCGTCAAAATATTTAGATGTGTCCATTTATAGGTGCTGTCATGAGTAACTTTGCCACAAAGTGGGCCCCGAGTTTCTAGTCTTCTATCGCTTTATGCAAACGCTTCTACAAAGCTGGTCAATGCGATGGGTCGTCTCGATTAAAGATGGCCTCAATCGATATCTTGTACTAGCAAATAGGAGGATCATGCATATAGCAGGTTCAGTGCGACTTCGATGAATCCCATGGAATGATCGTACGAAACAAATCACAACATCAAAACAATACCTCATGACACATTAGTCACAAATCTCTGGAGCAAAACGCCGATTCCACGCTTTGCAGACCATTAAATTGGAAGTGTGATAGGTAATATCTTCTTTGGTCTTACATATGATCTCTGACACCAGTGTACTATGTATTAAGATCTACCCAAAGAGAAACTATCCTGATGAATCTTGTATTTTAACTAGGCATGCGGCAAGAAAGAATCTTCTATATGCTCATCATTAACCACGAACGAGTGATGAACTACTTTGAGGCGACAAGCGATATGAAACGTTCGAAAAGCAAATATCATTAAATATGATTTATGTCTACGAAGCTAAAAACAAGTGATAATTGAAAGGCATTCCTCCACTAATTACTTATCTCTCTGATGCCCATTTGCGAGCTGGGATGATATTTCCTGTACGATTAAGATCTGAAACTTCGAGGTATCAACGCTGGGATGTAAATCACGCACGTAGATGTGACCTTGAGACTTTAGAGTCCGGGCTGAATCGACAATAGCTTTTCTATAACTCATGCTGCTCCAGTCTCAACTTTCTACTTCGATTTAACGTTTTACCACTCTTTGGATAGTGTCCCGAAAACACTGAGAGACGTCGTGATCAGCGCAGCCCTGAACGTCCACATGATGGCAGTATTGTACACGACCTTGACCTCACTCAGAACCACTGGGTCGGTAATCAAGGTCGCAATGTCCGTCGCGCCTGCAGTATTGACTGCCTTTGGGCCGATGCTCAGGTTGGATATAGTCCCGAGCCCCGCAACACGTTTATTGGTGAAGACATGCTGAGCAACGCTGACGAGGAGACTACCACCGAACATTTGGGCGAAAATTATGAGAACTGTACCGGTAGGAACATCGGCGAGTGAGAGGACAGACAGCGCTGCATTAAGAGTTTGCTGCATTCCAATCCCAATCCCAATGCCAAAAGTTACCTAGTACCCGATCTAATTATCAGTTCTTTGCCGATTATGTCCCCTAGACTCAACCTCATATATACGGATGTCAAAGCTGAAAGCTTTGCTTATACGCAGGTTCCGTACCCCGGAAAATAGAGCCTAAGTAGATATATGATTGCGTCTCACTTAGTTTGTTTAGCCAATCATGTACCTCAATCGCGGCCTGCCTTGTATGGTATGATTGCACACCAGAGATTCCATCCAGCGTCGGCGACCTATGCTCGAACATGGATCGTTGTCCCCGCTGGCTTTCATGCACGCATATAGCTTTGTAAATGTTTTATATCATCACCCCGATATATGGCCAGTATTGATTCTTCACTTTTAACATGTGCTTCAAGAAACCGATGGAGCGCGATACGGCGCTTTGATAGTGTTACTTATGCTCTCGAGTTGCTCACTCGTCAGTTAATCTTCTGACATGATTTCCTGTTCGAAGTGGCTTTGCATCAGACATGCCGATAGTATTATATTGTATTATATTGTGTTATATTGTATTGACTAAAGACACAACTTTATGGTAGCTCATCTCCAAACCATTCTTTTGTGCAATCTGTACCAATCTCAAGCGAAACAATCGTCATGATGTCATGAACGGTCATAAAAATATGAATTATTGTCACTACTAAGATTTAGATGGAAAGACTTTTACTCTTCTATATTCCAGTCCAGGAAGTAAGCTGGAGTTGGTGGATGCCCCAGGTTTCCACCTATCGCCTCAGGTACACGCCAGGGCAACCGCATTAGGTAGTCTTTGGTGGAACAGAGAATAGCTCTGTCCCTTACCGTCACATCACGTTCCATATCAATAGACTACTATTGATCACCATACGTGACGCGCCTATCAGGAGCGTTGAGATAAAGAATTCTTGATCGTTCCAATCAAATTCCTCAGTATCTAATCCTTCCAAGTCAGTCTGTTCATGAATGATAGGAGTATCGATGTACTCCATTTCAGACTCGCCCATGTTGTTAGATTCTGAACATTGCTGGTCGAGCGTTACTACCGGCGTCTTTGATATATTCAGTTGGTCTCAGTCACTTTCTGGTCTCTCACTTTCTTCGGTCGTGATGTTAGGCCAAAATCGAATATAGTAGGAGATATAGTTACGGCGACATTGCTGATGACGGCTCCAGATACCAAGGCTGTATTCAGAATGGTGCAAAAGGACAACTCTACCTTCGAGGTCTCTCAGGCGACTAGTCTCATGCTCTGCTGCATTATAACATGCGGAGACGGGCTAAAGATCTTGCTGTCTAGTGATAATCGGACATCAAACTGATGATATATTACTTGACATATGGCTGATCAGCGTATCGCATTATGCACGCATTAGTAATCCTTATTAGCCTCGTAAGCCCAATCTTCTAAAATTGCATTTCTAGCGTCTTCCCTTAAACCTCCTTTCCCTAGTCTCTAGCCAACTCTTTCTATATGGAGGGTCATCCGGATGCATTGATTATACATAACTTCGAAGGCTGACGCGCTGTCCGCATGATGTGGACGAATCATTACAGGAAACAAAGCAGGCCCATATTAATTCTATAGGGAGGAATATTCTAGGTCACGACGACCCCACTTCGCGTGCACATACGCCGCGAAGAAAGTTGCAGAATCAAAACACAGATTTCCTGGCCAAGCTGGGCTGACGCAGCTTTTCGATGATATTAGCAGCCAAACAATCAACCAGCAGCGTAATTACGAAAAGAAGCTTGCATTTGTAACGGAGAACGATGGGTTGTAGTTGACGGACGGCGATGGAGGGGATAATTCAAGAAAGGTGCTAAACAACGCCGTAAGTACTTCAAATAACAACGTATCTGTTTTATGGAGGCGAAGGTTTTTCATCTCGATCAAGATGATTAGTCGATTTATTTTGATAGTGACCTCAAAATGCCCTAGATATGGTCCATAGTCAAGTGACTCAGTATCCAGGAAGGTAGAAACAAATAGAAGTGCTGACTATGATTCCAGGCGACGAGCTCATTCAACCCGCTTTCACTCCATGCCTGCTTCAATAGCAAGGACTTGCGTGTTGTGATTAGTTGTGTTCATGAAAAACCACTACCTGTTGCCATGTCTGATTCAAAGTAAATCATGCTATGGCCATTTGATTTAATTTCAAGCTGGCCAAGTAAAGACGAACTTTGTGTGTGAGGCAAAAGGAGGAAGTCAAGTCGTGTATGGAAGAGCACTTGTATCAGGCTCTTTAGCGACCTCAGGTCGCTGACCGTTTGTCGTTTTCATTGAATTTCATCATTGCTTCCACTAAGAGGAGGTGCAAATTGATGCGTTTGATGAGATACTTCAAGAACAGTTCAGTCGCATTTGCGTTGAACCTTCTTTCTTCCATCCACTGGTTCTATAATATATTTGCCAATCCCGATACGCTTTTTAAGTGTATTGGAGTGAACGACACGGCCTATACCGTTGAACTTTAACAATTCAACCTGGTTAATTGACACCCCGATAGTTCGTGGGACGAAAGTATTGTTGAGATCGGCTCATGGTATGATGTAACCGGTTTCAACGGTGTTCTTTAGGAAGTCATCCGCTGCCGACAACTTGGTACCCTGTTCGGGAAAGATCATGTAGAAGGGTTTCCTGGGAGCTGGTTGGCCATCAGTACGGGGTGTATTAGCTGTAATGGAGTCCCAAGGGGGCCAGAAGAGTGGTAGTAAGAAGACTATTCTAGAATCTAATCGTTTAGATTTGTGCGTATCAGGGGAGAAGAGCAGTAGTTAGACACATCGAGTCAGAGAACTTCCAATGCTTGATGAATGGGCAGGAATAATGCATTTATGTGTAGTCGGGCTCAGCCCTGACACACCAAAATGTTAGCTTGAGCTATACTATAGTAACCAACGGACTGGCCCCCTTCTCATGGACTCTGCTGCACCGTGCGCTATAGTTGTGGAAATGTCGTTGGCTGGAAATGGAGGTACAGTGCCAAGGTATTCCCAAAGTCCAAGAAATCCTCAAAATAGTCATATTATGAGCCGCCCGTAGCGAAAACCTTGTCGGATATTAGGAAAAGAGAAAATTCGGAACAAATAGCGAGAAGAAGAGTTTTCTATACATCAGCCTAATAGAATTTCATATTGACATAACTTTTGACAGCATCACGTCCAAGCGTGAGATTCTCGACATGTCGATAATCCGGTTGACCTACAACGATCTAACCCTGCTTTTGATAACGTTTGAGGGCTACCCCATAGTGAACATCTACAGTTTCGCTTGCTGGGCCCTCTTCTCCAGCTCCGCCTTCCTCGCCTTCTCCTTCCCCATCGAATCCGTGAACTTGACGACATCCTTACCGCTCGCCTCCAGCAACCCAACCTGCTCGCGGTACATCTCGGCCTTCAACAGCCCGTAGATCCCCGTCTTCCCCTTGCTCGTCAGGTCCCTCTCCTTGACCAGCTCCAGGACGCCCTGCAGCCCATCCGTCCTGTCCAGGATGCCGGCCTCCAGGGCGCTCTTAGCATCCCAGCGCCTGGCCTCGAGCACAGTGGTCCTGTAGGCCAGGGGGCTCGTCTTGGCCCTAAAGATGCCGCTCATGGGGGGCAGCAGGGGGGCGCCAAATTCGAGCTCGTTGATGCACAGGTATCCCCTTTCGCCCTGGAAGACGCGGTAGTCGTGGTGCATGGCCAACATGAAGCCGCCGGCGAAGGCGTGGCCGTTGAGCAGGGCGACGGTGGGCATGGGGAAGGTGAGAAACCTGTGGAAGAGCGGGTAGAGGGAGTCCTCGGTGAAGCCCGGGGTCGTCATGGCCAGATTCAGGTCCAGGCCGTTGGAGTAGAACTTTGTGATGGAAGAGGTGGTGACGACGACGCCCAGGGGCCCGTGCTGCAGCTCGATGCGGTCCAGGGCCGCGAGCATGGCGGCGCAGAATGCCGGTGTGAGGCGGTTGTCTGGTGCGGAGGTGAAGGTCAGAAGGTATACTTGAGGCGCGGGCTCTGTGCACACGATCTCGCCTCCCACATGCTCCTTCAGTGGCGGTATAGGAATGGTGAAGAGGGTGTTGGCCGCCATTGTGATGGGTTGGGAAGGAATGTGCTTGGCAACTGGATGATGTATTGAACTGATATTTCAAAGAACCGGTGTGATCTTTAGATATCTCTATTTCCCAGCTATAGATTGTTGAATGATGTTGACTGTATTAAGGATAAGGTGGAAATCAAGAAGTGATACCAGTCTAGATGTCACATTGCTGACGAAGACTTAAAGAGGTCTAGATTGCCTCGGTCCAGTTAGCGCCACCACCAAGCTGGTTTTCCTCCGTGTTGAAGAAGCCTGTACCCGAGCATTCCCAAGCAGATAGTGTAATGCGCCGTCGAAAACGCAAGTTCAAAGTCAATCAGTACAGCCTATGAATCTGAGGGATGCAAGACACTCTTGTACTCATTGCTGCGGTGACACTGGGCAGAGCTGGGATGCACAGCAATCTGGGGAGCCTCGGGACCCACATTCGGTTATATCGATCCGATTTCACATGCGAGCGCTAGCCTGCTCGATTGAAGCGCCGACTGGATTGACGCATGAGTTCAGGAGCACTCTTGTTGAAACTGCCCAAAAGGCTGCGTGAGGAAATGCGTTGATTCTATTAAAGTATTCTAAGCACAATTTTGCATTTTGTTCATAACTCGTGATACCCAATTTCCATATCTACGTCTTGACATCGGGCTCGTCGCGGCCGACGAACTCCTTGAACTTGAGCAGGTTGGTTGCGAACTTGACCTCGGCCTTGAGGAAGTCCTGAGCATCAAGATCGTACTTGGACTTGTCGTCCGTGTACTGCTCAATGTACAGGCGGATAGTTGCACCAGACGAGCCAGTACCCGAAAGACGGACGACAATACGGCTGCCGCTGGAGAACTTGGCGTATAGACCCTGGTTTGACGCGACAGAGCCGTCCAAGTCGGTGTAAGAAAAGTTACCAGCATCGGTAACTGTGTGTTCGCCATCAATCTTGCTGCCGATGAACTTGGGGTCGGCGACCAAGTCATTGAGAACACCGACCACCTTGTTGGCGCCGTCAGAGTCAACGTTCTCGTAATCGTAGCGGGTGAAGAAGGTTCGGCCGTAGATGTTCCAGAAGTCCTTCTGGATCTGCTTGATGCTGGGCTTTGTGTCGGGGTGTGCCTCACCAAGACCAGCAATGATGTTCAGCCAGGCAACAACAGCCCACAGTCCATCCTTCTCACGAACGTGGTTGCTGCCAGTTCCGAAACTCTCCTCTCCGCAAATGCTGAGCTTGTCGGCATCGAATAGAGCGCAGAAGAACTTCCAGCCAGTGGGCACCTCGTAAGACTCCAGCCCCTGAGCCTTGGCAACCAGGTCAACGGCGCCCGACGTAGGCATGCTGCGTGCAAGACCGTAGACGCCCTGCTTCTTGAAGTATGGGATCAACTGGGCGTGGTGAGCAATGATTGCCAAACTGTCACCCGGCGACACGAAAGCACCAGCGCCGTAAATCATGTTACGATCACCATCACCGTCGGAAGCAGCACCGAAGGGGATGTTCTCCTTGTCAACCTTCTCAACCAAAGAGTGAGCGTAGACAAGGTTGGGGTCGGGGTGGCCACCGTTGAAGTCGGGGGACGGCTCGCAGTTTTGTGTCGCGCCGGAGAGTCCAAGCTCCTTCTCGAAGATGTCCTTGCCATAGGGACCGGTGACACCAGACAGGCCGTCAAAGAGGACCTTGAAGTCAGGGTTGTTCTTGAAGAACTTCTTGATCAGGTCGAAGTCGAAGATGTCCTTCAACATCTGAGTGTAGTCGGCGGTGCTGTCGATGATCTCGACCTCGAGGTCGCCATATGTCTTGCTGCCGATGCTAGACAGGTCGATGTCGGGAATGTCGGCGATCTTGTAAGAGGTAAGGGTCTTGGAAACCTCGTAGATCTTGTTGGTGATGCTCTCAGGGGCGGGGCCACCGTTGGCCAAGTTGTACTTGATACCGAAATCCTCGTTGGGGCCTGTTGATTATGGGTATTAGCAGATGACGCGCGCTGCTCGTGGGTCAGATAATGCATACCACCAGGATTGTGACTGGCAGTCAGGAGGATACCACCGGTCGCCTTGCGTTTCCGAATGATATGGCTGGCAGCTGGCGTGGACAAGATTCCGTTCTGGCCAATCAGGAGCTTCTTGACGCCATATGCAGCACCAATCTTGGCAATCACCTGCACAACCTCAGGGTTCCAGAATCGACCGTCACCACCGATGACGAGGAATGAGCCTGTTGTCGAAAGTCAGCTCGTGTGAACATGGGGGGGCATGGGCACAGAGGAGGCCAATGTGTCTCGGAGCCAGACACCAGGCTCGGCATACCGTCGACGCCCTCGGGGATAGAGAGGAGAATGCTGGTCACGAAGGATTCGCTGTAGTGAGGCTTCTGGAAGACCTTGACCTTCTTTCGAAGACCGGATCTGGCTGCTTGTTAGTTATTCATAATCTCCAACACCAACGATCATCTCGAGCCACCTCATGCGGTGAGTAGTTGCAAGCGTGAAAGGGGCATCACAATGACGATGGCGGGGTAGCTCAGGAGCTGTGTAACTTACGTTCCGGGCTTCTGGTCAGGGAATGACTCGAATTGAACAGTCTTGACGCTCATGTTGTACGAGTGTTGGTTTACTGACTTGGGGAGGGATTGCAAAAGTCAATTGAGGTACAAAAGTTGAGTGAAACGGCTCCCCTTTGTTTATTTATGAGTAGATCCGAGATGTTGTGTTGAGCTTGCCAGGAGACAGCTCCAAAATAGTTGGGCCGGAACGGGATGGTGGGGTAAGTAGTGGAGTGACCTCATGGGCGAAGGACGTGGCGGCGAATAATTCTGCGACCTTCTGCCATTGCGTGCACCTTGCATAATAACGCCACGGAAGACTGGAGGGGGTTGTCGCGGCGGCCTTGAGATACATACACCTGGATCCCGTTGTTTTCTGATATTGCCTTCAAATATGGGAGTTGTGGTGCGACGCAAGCAGGCAAGGAGACAGACCCCATGTCGGCTCTAATTTACCTTGTTTTCGTGTCACTGACATACGGACACTGATTCGATTGACGCGAGCTCCCCAAAGCAATAGAGCGGATTCTATTTGCAACTATTTCATGTAGCCCAGCCGCCATGCGACACTATCAGCTCATGCAACAACCTGTCTAGTATTCAGCTGTAGCTCCAGCTCTCTTCCGAGATACGACCTCAAGCTTTCTTTTGGAAGATGACTTCCTTGTAGTACCTGGCTTCCTCGATGCTCTCCAAGATGTCGTCCTTGGCCTGATGTAGACCTCTTTTCATAGGTGCCTTCTGCGCTACCTCTGGTGGGCACCATCGTTTCGCCGCCTCTTTGAGACTGCTGACATCTAAGATGCGATGATGCAAGTGCCTGGTCACCTTCTTGTACGGCTCCTTCCTAAGAAAAGCCCGGTCGGCGTGCACACTGTTGCCAGCAAGTATAGCTCGTCTCTCCGGCACGTATTTCTGAATGTAGGCGAGGAGCTCGTCAGCCGCCTGCTCTGGCGTTACAGTCGAGGCAATAACAGCAGCCGTCAAGCCGCTCTTCTTGTGAGTCTTGATGCACCATTCGTCCATTTGGTCCATCCTCTCCTTGCTCTGGTGGATCACTGTACCCCAGCCAGCTTCGTCCATAACCTCAAGTTGGCCATTGGTGATGATGCAGAAGATCTCAATGATCTCCTCACGATCCGGGTCAAGACCCGTCATCTGGCATTCAAAGATTAGCCCTTTGTGTTCTGCACGATCGACTTGGGCGCAGCTATTTTACCTCACAGTCTATCCAGACCAGCGCATCGTTTGTTGTCATTTTCTCAGTCCGCTTCGAAGTTGTTATGGGGAAGATTTAGCGGGAGGACATCAATGGCGAAAATCAACCAAAGCAATCCACACTTCAAGCAATAGCGGGAAACCTGCGCACCCGCAACAAGACCAGAAATTATCTCTCCAATCGCAGCCGTCCTCCCAAGCGACATTCCATTACCAAAATTTGGCCTGTGGGATGTTCTGATCAGGTTACTCTTCTGCCCTGTGCTCTTGTTTGGAATATACTTTACCATGAATTGAGGCAATAAAAGTACCCTGCTGCAAACGGTCATTGGCCTCGGCGCTCCTCACTTGGGATCAGTATGATTCTTGATAGCAGCAGCCATCGAAGCAGCAGCTCGTCTATTCTGCCCGCGCTCTGCCCGCGCGTCCTGCGCTTGGTGGCGGTCTTTGCAGAATCTTCCCATTGTATCAATATTGCCGTTCAGTCCGTTCTTTCGGAAAAATGCGATCAGACCTCGACGCCAATGAACACGTTTCCGTCCGCCGCGGCGTCTTGCATCGACCTCAAGCAAGGCCTGCTCTGCGATGCAGCGCGCTGTTCTTCTCCAAAGACGTGCTGCTATGCGTTGGCGCCGAGCAGTTAGAAACATCGCCGAATGTTTTCTCTCCCGATATTCTTTACCAGAGGTAGCACCCGGTAGCATGACTTCACCATTCGTGATGTCCACGGCTGGTGCCTCACCAAAGCGGACTCTCTTTATATTTTCAGCAGTCATGGGTGAACCGGTCCTCTTGAGGATACGTTTTCCAGGTATTCGGACTGGCTCCACGACTGAAGAAGATCTTTTCCTTGGGTTAGCTGGGACAAGCGTGAGCAAACGGTCGCTGATGGGACTAGCTGCAGTCTCTTGTGTCCCGCGGGTAACATCATTCCCAACGGACGTATCACCTTGTGGCCAACTGCTGATGCGACTGCGTATCTCATCCGGTGCTTCCTCGACTGTGGGTGGTCGATAAATTCTGGTTGTGGTTCCCATCTTGACAAATCGCCGACTGATGCGTCTGTCATAAGTCTGGTTGTCAATCGCCGATTGGTGTGCCTGTTACTAGTCAACAAAATTAACGATTTAATGGTATGTCACTAGCTTGTGATTCTGTGCTGAATTCTCGAGTTTAGCTTGGACTTTTGCGACCGTTGTGGCCTGGTGATCTCAGCGGTTTCTCAAGGTTTCATGGGAGATGTGTGAATGTTTTTCTTTTGAAACGTCGTTCTGGTTGACTTGACGCACGAGATGTTATCTTGCATCAAACAACCTATGAAGTTCGGATGTGCGAAAGTGGAATTGAAAAGCAATGGGAAGGCACAATGGCTGATGGAACTGTGTATACAAGAAGTGATCTGTGGATGCATCGATTTCTTGTCTCGTCTACTTGCCAAGTTTCATCGATTGTTGGTGTGATGCAAATTACTATTCATAGTTTATCCGTTGTTGATGGCCAAATAAGCTGGGGATGATTGTCATTGAAGCACAAGTTAGCTCCTGTTATCCCACATAGTTCGAAGGCTGGTAGTTCAAAATATTGTGCTTTTGAGGGACACAATAAGTGAATTTGGCTTCTCACTATAATGGCAAGATATCTGTGCATGCTTGGCCACAGGGAGCCATTATATTGTTGTTATTACTGGTCATTCAGGGATGCTACCTAGGCGTTCTGTTTATAAACCACACAGCACTAAAGAGGTCCCTACGCCAATGGCTAGCAAAATCTAGCGCACTCCCCTAGCGACGAAGGCGCTCATTGCTGTGCCTGGGGCACTTGATCGTAGTTTCCTCAGGTTGTCTAAGGTGATTCTAGTCTAGACTAACCTAGTCTAATTTAGAAGCCTGTAATATAAACGTTTCCCTTGGGTGGGTCATACTATGGAATGAAAGCCCAACATCACAGTATGTTACGATGCGCACAATGCCCAATCTAGGCCATGTGGCATGGCTGTGAGTAATGCTTGACCGCGCCAATATTTGCCGGAATACTTTTATTGTCTATCACCATAAGACAGTTCTCCAGTCATGGCAGGTTTGGCTAATCGGAGACTAACATTACTATGTTTCCAGCAAGCGACACGCCTGGGCAAACTCTAACCTAGTAGACATTCCCCGAGACTGATTGGACAGCGATTGACCAGTATCATCGCCAAGGCGGCGATCTAGTCTATGCGACGGCAGCAGCAATGAGTCGGCGGCCAACGCCGGTGACTCACGGAGTGCGGCCTTTCTCTATGAACGCTAGATGCATTAGCAGCTTGCGATACGATCTCATAAACGAGTTGCCTTCCGGCGCTTCGCTTTTCTGCCATCTTTCTCAGACCCCGCTCTGACATACCCAAAGGCACTGGTGGGACGATACTCAGACGAACTGAAGATGGCTTCTGCGGACTCACAATCAACCACCATCCGGTACCTGCCCACAAAGGATGCATACGATCGCTGGGCATGCGTCTACGACATAGATGGCAACTTTCTACAGGCGATGGATGACATCGAGATGCGCTCTCTCCTGCCCAGGTTCGAAGCCTCAGTCCAGACTGCAGGCCGGCCCTTGAAGCTGGTTGATCTAGGTTGCGGAACGGGGCGCAACACTGCCCTGCTGCTCGGCATCCAGGACGCAGAGGTTGTGGCGCTAGACGCCAGCGAGGGTATGCTGGCTGTCGCAGAGCGCAGGCTGAGAGATGCACGGGGCGACATCGACGACGGTGCGAGACTGACACTGGGAGTCTTCGACCTCATCGCCGCTGAACAACCCCCGGAGGTGGCAGTCAGCGCAGATGGAATTATCAGCACGCTGGTCCTGGAGCACATACCGCTGGAGACGTTCTTCAAGCACGTGAGTCGGACGCTTAAACCGGGCGGTGTGCTGCTTTTGACGAATATGCATGCCGAGATGGGCCAGGTCAGTCAGGCTGGTTTTGTAGACGCCGCGACGGGGGAGAAAATCAGGCCTACGAGCTTTGCGCACACGGTCGGAGACGTGGTGAAAGAAGCAGGGAGGTGGGGACTGGTCGTTCTGGGTGATACAGGGGATGGGCAGACACCAGGCAGGCTTGAGGAACGGGCCGTGACGGAGGATTTGGTGGATAGGTTGGGACCGAGAAGTCGTAAGTGGGTAGGCATCACATGCTGGTTTGGAGGATTATTTAGAAAGACTGCGCCTTAAGCAAGGCCTGGCATACACTCCATGCTTTAAGGCGTGACTCATGAGGAAGCAATGTATAGTGCGCCAAAATTTAGCTACTAATAAACCGTGTTAAAAAGCGGCAGAATGGCAGACATAAGCGTCCAGAAACCTTGAACTGCAAATTGAGGTCATTTTCGCGGGACTCGTTCATATTTTAACAGTTAAGGTTAGTTTAGTATGAATTTTAGCTATATTAAGGCTCTGCATTATAGTCACTTGTATACGTCGAGAAGACGATATTTATGGTGGAGCTACAGTTGAGATAGGCTGCACACCCCATGTCCATCTTTCTACGCGGTGGCTGAGCACATTGCCCCACGCAATAAATTCACGTCTGACCCCGAGCACTACATCAAACACTTCGGAGCTAAAACATACCTGTTCAGTCTCCCATCACAGTCTGAATCATCACTCCTGTAGTCCTACCGGACACATAATTCCATACGATAATTGAGATGGGCAAGGCATGCCAGGAAGCTCTCGGGATCACGGAGATTATGGACCTGATCCTGCAGTGCCTTGACATCGGGGATCTTCTTTATAACAAGCGCAGGGTCTCGAAGCTCTGGCAAGCCGTCATCCTCGGCTCAACCGAGATCCAGCGCCGGCATTGCTTCCAGCTGTCGGCGCGAGAATGGCGATCGCAGGTCGGGGGGCTACGCCGAGAGAACAAGGTCGTCCGGCGTCTGTTCCCCAACTTGTTCAAATTCCCAATACGGCAACGCCCCGGGGAGAACCGAAACCGTCTGCGTTTCGGCGAGGAATACAGCGAGCACGGCGTCGAGTTTCCAAACGCCTCGTGGCGCCACATGCATGTCTTCCATCCAACAACGACGAAGATGGCGTGGATCTTCCGGGATTCTCAAAGGGAGGAGTATTGGGTTTTAGAATTCGACCTACCGCATGGACTGCATATGGGTACGGTTTATGACACCAATCAGCTTCTCTCGAGGATTGATCGCAACATTCTATATCCAACGACCTGGCAGCGCCCGTGGACAAACTCCCGAAGTGCAAGCATCAAAGAGCTACTAGAAACCGGCTGCTTCGTTGTCTATATTAGAGGACGCTCTAGCAAGCGCGAGAGACAACAAGATAGCAAATACGAGCCTTCGGGTGAGGGTTCTAAACGTGTTTCGCACTTAGCACCGCTTTTATCAAGAGCCTACCATACTCCTGCTCCCGTTAAAGTACCGGACAGGGACCAGCTGATGGTTGAGGACGAGGTGCCGAAAAAGTTAGAAGGCCCTCTCGATGAACTACTTGCCCGAATTGATCTAGGCTTCTGTACAGATATTGATGGGGACCAGTCACTTCTGGCAAACTAGGTGTTGTTCATGAACAATATTGAATAACATGATTCAATTGCCTACCTATACAAACGGTGCGTAGATCATTACTGGCTGCCATTTTACGGTTTCACTATTTCCCACTCGACCTCGGCTCAGTGCGGTTGATTATTTTCAGCCAAGCATCTCAATGGCTGCTCGTCTGTCTCCTTTTTGTCCCGCTTCATCTTTGCTCAATTCTCGAAGCGGTGTCAAGTGGAATCGCCCGACGGGAAGAACGGCCTCAACAAATGCGAGAGCGTTCGTATTGTTCTCTGATTGTGTCTAAGCTAGATGTCTATTCATTATAAGAATTCGCTGAGGCTTTTCTCTAACATTTCTATCGAATCGTTCTACTCTAAACTTTCCACACTGGAGACGTCCTGCTCCAACGCGTGGCAGTATCACCGACAACCAATCGGATACTCCAAATCGACATTGATATCTTACTTCATTCCATTCATATTTCCTAACTTCGTACGCCGGTGGTATCCTTGCTCATTATTAAAACGTCAAAATCTGTAGGTACTGTAACAACTCGACCGACAGCTTGTAAACCCTGTTGCCGCTTAGTCGACGTACTGAGGGATGGTCGCCATTACGCCGTCCCGAGCAATAAGCTCCATAGCTGTGGAGACCTCATCAAGGAAGCGCTTGTCACCTCGCAAGTCGTCACCGAACAACGTCTTAACGCTGAGTATTTGGCGGGGATCATTACCACCTGCCTTAGCTAGGGCCTGCAACTCCTCTCGCATAGGGTCATCGACCTCGAACGAGTTGCCCTTGTCGTCAACACCGTTGACGTAGCGGAACCAGCCAGCTGCAACGAAACACAAGCGACGGAAGGGACCAGTTCTCACTATCTGCTCAGCAATGGAAGGCATGATGAACTGAGGGATCTTGCCCGAGGCGTTGAGGGCGACCCGAGGAATTTGGTCCATAATGGTAGGGTTGGAGAAACGCTCCATGAGGGTGTTGCAGTACTGGTCAATATCCACGCCGGGGATGTCAGGCAGCAGAGGCTTGACCTCGTCCTGCATCATCTGCCAGACAAACTTGCGGTAGATGGGGTGCTCCATGACCTCGTGGACGTACTTGAAGCCGGCAAGCTGTCCCGGGTAGGCCATGGCGGAATGGCTGGCGTTGAGCAGACGGAGCTTGTGCATCTCAAACTGCTCCACATCGTGCACGTCCTTGACGACCTGGACGCCGACCTTCTCAAAAGGTGGGCGGCCATCGCAGAACTTGTCCTCGACGACCCACTGCATGAAGGGCTCTGTGACAACTGGCCACGCGTCCTCGATGCCAAAGTTCTCTGCCAGCGACTTGATGTCGTTCTGAGAGGTGCTGGGAGTGATGCGGTCGACCATGGCGTTGGGGAATGCTCCCTCCTCAGCAATCCACTTGGCAAGATCCGGGTTGCGGAGACGAGCAAAGGACTCAAGCATGTGACGAGTGATGGAGCCGTTCTTCTGCATGTTGTCGCAGGACAAGACGGTGAAGGGCTTCAGGCCCTGCTGGTGACGCCTGGCCAGTGCAGCATAGAGGAAACCAAAGGTGCTGACGGGAGAGTTCTCGTTGGCCAGGTCATGCTGGATGTCGGCATGGTCAGACACTAGCTCGTGAGTGTTTTCGTTGTAGTAGTAGCCACTCTCAGTAATGGTCAAGGACACAATGTGAGTGTCGGGGTGTGCCATCTTGGCAATGACGGCCTCTCGGTCATCAGGTGCATATAGAAACGAGTTGATGCTGCCGACAACGTTGGCGAAGCTGCCCTGGGCAGATCGCTCAATGACGGTGTATAGGTGGTCCTGCGAACTCAAGACATCGCGCATGGCAACATCGTTGGGTCGGAGACCGACGCCGCAGATAGCCCAGTTGCGCTCACCGTGCTTCTGCAGCAATTGGTCGACATAGACAGCCAAATGTGCTCTGTGGAAGCCACCGACGCCGACGTGAACAATTCCTTCCCTGACGTCATTACGGTCATAGGTAGGGATTTCCACCCTCTGATCTCCCTGCTGCGAAGAGATTGAGGATAAATTCTTGCTGGTGAGCTTGAGGGATGTCGTGCTGGAAGCCATCGTAGTCAGGGTAAACGGGATGAGTCCAGATAGATTAAGAGAGGTAATGTGTTTGAATGATCAGAAACACACCGCTGAGTCCGGAACCTCAGAGTTTTGAACAAGGGCCGGAGAGTCATGGCTTACAATAATATGGGCCCGGTGACGTTTTTGGACTGGCCCGGTCAACGGCTCCGTCACAAAAAAAAACAGTTCGTGAAGCACGTCCACCGGTGAACTCCGAAATGCTCTTGTGGCAACTACAAGATCAGACGCTCCGCCGGAGTCGTACTCGTCACGTACAGTATCAGCTATTTCACTAACTCGATAGACTTTATAATCGCCTTTTTGAAAGGCGACGTCTATTCTTCACATATTCGCGGAACGATGTACTCTCAATCGAACTCCGTTGCTCAGACTCCACTTACGAAGCGAAGCGCACGGCATCAGCAATGGCCTTTGCTCTGGCAAAAACTGACTATCTGCTATGCGCTGGCACAACTTCAGCCACCTGATTGACGTGTTTGACTACCATCTCGAATAAAAGGTCAGTGATCGCGCTAGCGATACAGTAGCTAGCATTCAAGTCTACAACAAACCGTATTTATCTGGGTGCTAGCTGAAGAGGCTTAGTAAGAGCGCGAAAGATGTCGAGCACTTACTTAAGCGTTATCGAAGGCATGAGAAATTTGAGTCTCGGGTCGAAGTTTGTGGTTCAGCTAATCAGCAGGCTAAAGCGACACGCGCCTTCAGCTGCGGGAGCCCGTTCTGCCCATAGCTCCCCCCAACCAACCATGTGCTCAGGTACCCCTTGCCCACTTGATCTCGCTCAACCATCGTTCATTCAAAAGTAAATGACGTGAGACTAGTTGAGCTTTGCAATCGTCATGCAAGTGACTGTCGATTATGTGTATGGGCCATGTAGCAGAAGCGTGTTGTCAATTCGTTGTGCACGAAAGCTGTAAATGTTCACGCCCTGGTGGCTTGAGCGCTACTAACACCACGGTTCAACCTTGAGGAACACGCGTTAACGCATGACGGTTGAATACAGCGCCATTCGTGCTGGTTAATGGTTGAGCAACGGAAAAAAAAAAATTCTAATCTTTTTATGTTCTTTTATTTCTCTCGCCCGTTCCGTCAGTCCTGACGGCAATAAGTCCCTCCACAACTTGACACCATTCCCAGCGTCTTTCCGGGTCCCACAATAGCTATCTATGTACAGTCTAAGCACGATTGACGTAGGTGAGCAAGTCAAGCGAAACGTAAAACTTTGGCAAGTAAGAACTGACGTTACAGTAGTCTAGGTACACTCTCATCTGTTTCCCTAAGTTTTGTACCCAATCAAGGGCTTCTTAGCAACAACATCAACATATCCGTGTTACCAGACCAGCTGATGAACGTGTACTTTCCAGCATGCTAGAAATATAAGTACGTATCCTGACAGCGCTACTGTCCACCTCTTCTCAAGTCTTCTCTACTCTCCTTCACAAGTAATGCAACTTGGTATGTGGAACTGGTGATACTTGATAACCTTCCACAGCTGTCTAAAAGCCGTGTCTCGATCGATCGATCCGAACTCTGAAGCATGATTGGAAGTTGACTCGTGCAAAGATGCCAAGACAAAGAAGCGTCTCACCTGGTCGAGAGTATTGTCAAAGCTATCGGAATTCAGAGGTTGATGCAAACACTCCTTGCTTGCATGAACTGCATCCCCATGAATCCTGAATAATCCAGCTTCTGAGATTGGTCAAAGTTGATCGATCCGAACGTGCTCTGTGGTAAGTGGCCTATATTTCCTTTCCCATGGATGAAGCACCACCCGAGCCTCGGGGGATCTAGTAGAAGATGTTGCACAATACTCCAACCGTGAGGTTTTGCAAGCGTAATACTAGTTTAAGATCGTGCCCTGGGAACGAGATTCGCCACGAGATATTGACTTGTGGTGGAAAGTAAACGGGCATATCTTTCCAGAGAGCAGCCTCTCGCTAGCAAGTCCAATCCTGGTTCGCGGACCGTTCATGTGCCTTGTTCCGTAAAATAACAGTACCTCATCGGGCGTATCATCCCAATTGCTAAGAAGTGCCTCATTTGAATATAGAAGCTCATATAATGGGCCAAGTGTTAAGTGAGAATTTCGTAAGTAAGGAAATTGTCCAATCTTTTGAAATGGTGCAACTTGGATTAAGGCATCCTCCTTGGATTGCCAAAACATGCGTTTGAATCGGACCCCAGACGATCTTATGATGATCTGCCTCCATCTCTTACACACATTGGTGGCTACTGAACGAAACAAGTGCATCCGAGTTGATGTAAATACGCTCAAGCAACTCTAGCGCCAATGATGCAACTTTTGAAGAGACAGTGCCCATAGAAGTGCTACCGTGTTCGTCCAAATCAGTTCTTGGCAGGTCATCCATTGTCACAATGTTGTTCAGCTTTGTGGTCATCTTGGTGTTGTCGTTTGTAGGGGCAGCGAAAGATACCAAATGAATGTGAAAACAAATGGTACAAGGCTGGGTTATATAATGAGACACACGTCGGGCGCTCAAATATATCTGTCTTCACACGATAAGAGGTGTTTTTAAAGTCAAGCGCGGAAAGAAAATACTTAAACTCACGCCCCGATACCAAACGAACATGCAACACGGAAATACCTTTATCTACCAGACTAGATATGCTCTCTTAAACTTTATTGTATCTTCAAACGATAAAGATAGGTCGGACTTCAGTATACCCGACGCTGTACCGGGCGAGCTCTTTAACTAGCACTTAAATGGCTTTCTTTATCTGCTCATAATGTCCCTGGTTGTCGGCAGAACCAATATCCCTTAGGTCGAACTCACCACAATCAGGGTTCCAGACGAAAGCTGCTCCACGTCTATTACCGATTTCCCAAAACCACCGCGCCTTGGCATCGTTTTCTCCTGCATGGGTTTCTAGCTGTGCGTCGACAATAACGAACAACACTTCCACGTTGATGTACACCAGAAATAGTTCGATCGGCGTGTCGGGCTCACTCAGCAGTACTGGCTCAGGCATGACAATACGTATGAGGTCTGATGTTATACCGACTATTTTTCTTCTAACATCCGGCACGAAGTTCCATTCCTCAGCTTCGTAGGTAGATTCGTCCCATTGATCGAGCGCAATATACAAGACATTTTGGGATTCGGAACAAAGTTATGCCGGACTATATCGTGTACATTGGAATCATCCTCTGCGGACTATGGGGCGCAAGGCACATCTAAAGAAGTTAATTTAGACTTTAGGAAGTCGATTGTGATTCCCGTCATGGTGAACTGACCAGCAACCTATCCCAGGTTAGTGATCCGCTTCTGATATCTACCGATAGCAGCTATCCGCATCTTATTCGGTTACAATATCTTCGTTCATGTCGACGGTCCGATGCACTGCTCAATCCTAATAGCCCACAACAGATGTTACCATTTCATCAAGATTACGAAGGAACATGATAGCTTCGAAATGAGATATCTATCGTGAGTCCTACAACACACATCCGAGGAAACTTCGGAATAAAGCAACCGAACGGACCGTACAAGAACCATCATTGAGACGATAATTCAGTAACTCAGCAGAACAAGCACAACCAGCATTACAGTATCACTCACGAAAGTATCACACAAAGTCGCCGTCAGCTAGCACAATGACATATACAATCCACCCTCCAGAAATCTCATCAAAATATTCAACTTCACAGCCATCGTTCTCGCCTCTTCGTGTTAGCAGCCAGTGTTCTGTCCAGCGACACCATCAATGTCAGCTTCAACCAGAAGTACAACAGTTTGCTCATGGGCGAACATCGTAGCACTACGGCGAGGGAATACAAGGTTGATGACGAAGATCAAGCTAAGAAGCCCGATTTGTTCCAGAAAGGAGAGAAACCCTTATGATATGTTATTACGGTAGTATAATAGGTCTTTGTCTTTTGGTATTTCTTTTCCTTTTTATGTCGACGGTGGTCGTCTGCTAACGCCTAACTGCATTTACCTCAACGAATGTTGCACAACGCCATTGGTACTGCAGGGACTTGTAACCAGGTATCATCGGACAAGCTCAAGACGAATAACCTTATGTAATTGAGCCGTGAGAACGAAAGGGTCGGGGTTATCAATACACACAGGCTCCCCATTACTTATAATATTGATTCGTCATGACAAATACAAGCGCGGATTGGGGAGGTTTTCCTACCATCATATAGCAATGGTCATTCGTCTTGATTGGACCGACAGCTACGTATACTCTTCCTTCAGGCTTAGTTGACGTTCTGTCGTAGTACATATCGATTACGACTTTGCTCTCGTTTGGGATAGGACCTGTTTTGCTTGCGCCAGCCGCATCCTTGAACATGACCACCGCTTCTCGACTTGTAGCGGCGTACATGATCTTCGTGTTGTCATTAAAATCAAGGTATTGGCCTCCAGAGCGACTTCTGAGATAGTATTTGGTGTCATAACAGACCTAATAATATGTGAGCATCTGCATGTCATGGAACTGAAGGTACAATGCAAAATACCTGTGATGCACGTGAAGAATCAGTAACGGAGCACACTTCGTATCCAAGACTAGCCATGTCACGAATAGGGGTCCTAGGTCCTAGGACGGCCGCGCCTCTCTCACCAAGAACCGTGGCCATCTCGATTTTCTTCGAACTCGACTTGTTGTAGGCGCTGGCCACGTCCACTACCACGTAGAAGTCAGTCTCATGTTGGAATGTTGGAACCATATGAGCTTACTTAAGTTTATTTCCGAATCCTTGCATAAAGCAAGGAATCTCCCTTGTGGATACCCGTCTTCTGCATTGAGGTAGAGTTGATTCAGATCGCCGAAGGTTTTCTCCTTTTCAATCTCTTCTTTCAAGGCTGAAATTTTGGCAGAGATTCCCTCGTAGCCAGAGAATCGCTTGATCTTGTCAACCATGTGAGTGACCTGGTCCTGTTTGGTGATCCTCCAATTCCAGTGGTAGGCAACTGTTGGAGACCACAGAGTTGGACTATGGCCAGTTCTTTAACACACAAGTTCTGTAAGATTTTCGTGGTGATACTAACCTACTACACAACAATGTGTCACCCCCATTGGCTTGCCAAGTCATTGAACTTGTCGAATTTTGAGCAATGGAAGCTCCGGATGCTGTCGCACTACTACCGTAAGAAGCTGATGCGGCGGCAGAAGCGCCCCATCCACTGAACGCTACAGCAGCGGAAGCTTTCATCGATCTTGCCATTTCTGATGATGCAGTAGCTCCCGTGGAGAGCACATCTTCCGTTGCAAACAATCGGCCTCCTAATTGCACACGAGTGCTGAAGAATTCACCTATCAAGTATTAGTTTTGTTTTAGAATCAAGTACGAAGGACTGCTTGGCTCACCAAAGTTTTCCAGAAAGCTCGTGAGTGATACTTTATCGACGACAGCGAGCAAGGCTTCTTCACATTCTTTAGTAAGCTCTAAGCTGCCTTCGTCCAGGAGGAGAGTAACGCGTGGAAACTACTTTCGATTAGTTAAAGTTACAGCGCAACATAGTTGACATAGCACAGGTTCCAATTACGTTATAAGCAATTGTGACTCTCTTGGAACTGGTGCTCGAGGTACTCGTCGACACGTTGCTCGAGCTGCCTCCGTAACTGGCTGATGCTGACATGGTGCAACCAAACATACTACCAGAACTGATATGATTTAGCATGGCAATGAAGACTAAGTTCTAGATTACCACAGGGAGAATTACCCGGCGACAGAGACATCAAACTGAGAAAAAGATGATGTAGCCAAGGAGCTTTGCAGGTCGCTTTTTGTTTCATAAATTGAGACGTACGACTTGTCGTCAACCGTGTAATCCGGAATACGAAGAAACAGCTACCACATGATCGAAGGTGGTTAGTAAAAACTTGGATATAGTATTCTCCACAATCTAGAGCTCACCTCAACGTCTTTGACAGAGGTGCTGGTCAATTGATCGGACAGGATTGATCTCTTCTTCAGGCGAAAGGCTTTTGATGGTCAGCAGATTATATACAATGGTATTACTATCATCTTACCGGGATAGCGAGCCCTTTCCACTCCGACAGCGACCGTGTCATTGCCCTCTTTCCTACGAATGACGCTGATACCATAGCACAAGGAATTGTTGTCCGCTATGACGGACCACTCCTGCTCCTCGAGCTCAGCAGGGTATCTGATATACAACCAAGTCAGTCATCAAATTCGTTGCGCAAATTGCATGGTCTTACTTTGCCGAGGTTCCTGTCAATAACTTAAACGCGTTTTCATCAAAGTGCTGCTTCAGAAGCGCAAGTTTATTCGCATCCATATACTGGCCTATCTGCTTCGCTTCGGCCTATGCAAAGTAAGCAAGTCTTCTGACCAGTAAGTTTTGTTCTTACTTGTACTGGGTCCTGCTGCGCCTGAAGATAAATCTTCACCGGCGAGGTGGTCAGATCGGCCTAAGATAGTTAGCCATGCATGCTTCGGTGTAGCGATGCATCGGACAAATCAAACTACCAGACGTACCTTCACACAATCCGTTACATACTCTTTGATTGTGTATGTGTCAGGTACGACAGCACCGTTTACAGAACAGAACTTGAGCAATCCACTAGCGGTATTGTTAGGTAAACGAAAACATTCGAGAACGAATTGCTTACAAGGTCTTGTACTCGGTATTTCCGGCTAGGAGTATTCGTAGAGCACTCAAAAGTTCCGAGTCGATGGTTTGCTTCGTTACTTTCAGATAGATGACCTCCTTAGCGATCTTGCCATCTGTGACGTACAGTTGGAGAGACACATCTACTAAATTAGCATTCGACTACAACGAATCTGCACAAACTTGCAGCAAACGAAGATAAAGGAACAGGCTTCTAACCATCCTGTGGGGCAATTGAGACAGTGGTTGTATTGGTGATACCGTTGGTGGTATTGTTGCTTGGTGCGGTTGTATTAGGCATTTTGAGAAGTTCCGTGACGGTAGTGCGTTAATACTCTCTATATCTATGGCTAGATACTCTATTTGTATAACGTAGTCAATAAGTAGGTCAAATTCGGTAGCGAAGTGAATCTTTGAGGACAGACAAATTGTTCGCGGCGCATGCTTATAAGTATAAGTTGTCACAGGCTCGAAAGTGACTATTTACTTTTGCATAGCTGATCCTTTTGTCTCTCATAAGTCTGATTCATATTAAGAGGGAACTGTAACTATAAGATTCGTCACATTATGCTTCGACGCAAGCCAATAGCAAGGTTTAGTAAAATTGGTAGCAATGCATCCAGGTGCTGAACTATAATATGATGCTGTCCAATCGCATAAAGCCAGTGACACCATCGTATCCAACTTTATGACAGGTCAGACAGGCTCATATAGTGCCGATCAACAGAGACACCGATATGCTTTCTGATGAACTCTATCCTTATACCTTAAAATTATGGCAGTTGCCAACCGTGTACGGATAAGACTTTACTAGATAATTAATACGAAAAGTGCTGTCTGAGATATTCTAGTCATGTCATGTCTCATTCATAGTCTTCAAGATGACAAGGCTGTAATTTCTTACGGCCATATCGGGGCTGTTTCCGATGCATTCAAGATGCAGCATACGCAGGGTGCAGACCATGTCACAGAGGGCTTGGTGTTCTTAAAACTATGAAATCTCTTCTCAACCGCCGATATTAACACTTTCAAAGAAACGAGCCGAGTGTGAGTTGATATCTGAGTCATGTTTTCGGCATTGAGGTGGAAAGTATCGGAAGCACACTCTGTGGGGTTGGCGCCCAGAGTAGATGGTCTATTGATAATAAGGATGCGCGATGAAGCAACAAAATCGAGGGAATAAATGTCAGCTGTATGCTCAGGCCTGGGTACAGTCAAGATTAAACCTTGTCATAAATCACGAGTTGCCAATATTGCCCGTGATTTCATACGTTGATGATGTAATTAGAAATGGCAAGATTTGCTAGGCTGGTTTCGAGTTAGTAATAAAACGGTGGTCAGTGTAGAGAGTTCGATAGAAGACATAAGAGAAGACTGTCGGTGGTAGAAGAAGACTTGATGGTGATATAACCTGCTGCGGTATATAATAACAACTCCCGTCCTAGAGCCCTTTGAAAATTCAATAGGTTATTCGCCAATGACTTGGTATGACATTTTCTTCGATATCGGCTGGTTATGTCGGAGAGTATCTTGAACGCTTCCTGTGAAACAAGGTAGGTGGCAATGCTTGATGTTACCCTTCCTATGGTATGACATGCACGTAACCTGTCCAAGGACTCTTATAAATTGAGTTTTGAAGAATCGTATCCGGAATGGCAAGAGCTGGTGCGCTCACGGTGTAATGTCGTAAAGCTGAAATCGCCGTATACCACTATCTTTTCGTCATTGAGAACAACCCTTACATAGTCTCTTATCTCGTTTGTTCCTCAATCGCGACTGCCTTTGAATGGTTTATAGACCTGGCGGCAGCCAGCAGTGAGATTGACCACATTATATATGGCTCCAGCTGAGATGGTAGAGAACTAGAGCTCGATTTATTAATGGCTGGTAGTTGACTTGATCTGTCAAGACAGGATGACAATAGATGGAGAGAAAAATAGGCATCCATCTCTAAGAAGCATACTCAGCCCTTACTGTGGGGAGCGCTCGTATGTAAATCTATTATTGCCGAATTTGTGCGTATATCTGCTGCTATGCGGATTCGTAGGCTGTCACGATAAATAAACTGTCGGCATACGACTGCCTATAGGACGGGAGAGCGTCGCTGCCATATAGCAGATCGGTTCAGTAAGCTCTCCTTCAAGAGTCAGCTTCTCATGTTGGAGTTGCCGCTCTGCTGAGCGTTTGTATTCCTAGCTAGAGGGTTCCGAGGAGAACATGCAAATGCTTAGTGTCTCTTCAAAACTGTCATCAAAGGTAACTTGATGAATACCATGTCTGTAATTTCTGGAGCAAATCTAGATCTGGGGCATCCTACGAAGGTTCACTGAAGAATTTGGCAAGCTGAGGAATAACTTGAACATCTTTCTTTGCCCCCATATGGTCGTTGTACGCTGGCGATTGTGATCCTTTGAGTCTTTCTGGTAAGGCAAGCGAGCCTGGTGGTTTTCGTCAATATGTTTGGGTCATTTCAGGGAGTGTGTTAAAACCGAGCACTAGTTCAGAGATAGACATGTAAATAACTTTGTTTCTGCCTGCCAAATACTTGCTCAAATTGGCGGCACCTCGAGGTGTTACAACATTCTCACGCATTCTTGCTCATTTAGCGCTTCTGTGCAATAACCCAGAGAAATGACGATGCATCCACAACGTCTTTGGAGACCTCGCTGACGATAATGTCCATTCCGGCTGCCTTGATCTTTGACAAAGTCTCGTCCACTCCAAATCCGCTCCAGTAGACCCAGCCTTTCTCGGCAATCCATTTCTCAGAGACTTGACCTTCGCTCGCTTTCTCACCAAAGTTGGCGAGCAGGTATCCTTGAGGTTTCAGCCACTTCGTAATCTTCGCAAAAATCTCCTCTTGCTCTGCACGAGGCAGGTGAATGATGCTGTACATTCCAATGACTGCGTCGAACGAGGCGTCGGCAAATGTTAAAGCTGTCATGTCGCCTTCGATTAGTGTAAGTCGCTCCTTGTGGGTTTCTAAATTCTCTCGTGCCACATCAATCTGTGCAGTGGATAAGTCATTGGCTGTCACTTCGTAACCGTCGCAACTCAGAAGTTTCTCGGTCACTGGGATGCCAGAGCCGCATCCGAGCTCAAGAATCGATATTGGTCCAGTCGGTTGTCCGGCGAGGAGAGTAATAAGCTGATCCAAATACTTTAGTCGTTGTTGTGAATGTGGTATTGTCCATTCGTTGTACATTGGTGCGATTGCATCATAAGACTCCTTCAATCGCTGCTTCAGATTCTCTGGTACGTTGTCGGAAGACATCGTGATTGGCGAAATAGGGTGTCGGTGTGAAGCCCTTGAATCGAACCTTGCTTAGCAAGTTGGAACTTTGACTACGATTGAGTGGCCCAAGTATCTAACCTAGTCAAGGAGCGGTTGTGTGAGGATTGTGTGGTCGAATAGAGTGATTAGAGCAAACACAACGCATTCAACGTATTGATCCTCAGCTTTTACTGGAGAATATATATTTCGCAGCGGGGTATCTATACTGCTCGAACCTCTACCCCGCAGTGCCTTAGCACCTGACTCAGGCCGTTCATATCTTGTAGGAGTTTTGTGAGTCACTCGGAGTGGAAAATTCGTTGTACGCAATTTTTCATGAAACCTTTTGCCTTTTTTCTAGGAGTATTGATCTGTACCTCAGTATTGCAAGATATGCTGTCTGTCACTATCCCGTTGTAATTTTGAGTCATAAATTAATTGCGGGCGGCCTAGGTCTCGGTATCAGTAAGAATCGCCGGCACCAGCGTTGATATAGCGGCCAAAACTGCTAAACCCCTGGATGCAGAAAATATTATATCATCTGCCAGCTTCTTAAACTTTGCAGCCGCATCTTCCCTATGTTATGGAACATCAGGTGTCGAATAAATTATGAGCCATGCTTTTATTGACCATACTCATATTCTGCTGACTTTTTGCAGTGACTACTGGCTTCTTCTCCCGGACAAGGGCCTGTGTTGGCAATATGTCTGTCAAGATTCTGGCCGTGTTGTTACTCGCCGGTCTGACTCGTCCTCCTATTTTGGACAGCGACAGAACCGGAGCGGGAAACTATTGTAGCATTGTCGACAGAATACCCATGAACGCTCTTGATATACTCTTGCACAGGCGCGCTAGGTCAGTAGTTAGATTGCTTAGGCTAGTGCCTTGGGAAGCTTCCACTAATTATTCAACGCCTATTAGCGCTATGTTTGCGGTTCTTACGGCCTGAGCTAGCCTATGTGATGCTACTCGTTACTGTGATTGCTTGACGCCAATATAGGAGAGTATTTGGATACAATTTGGCATGTCAAGCCCATGGAAGTGCAGACTGTATATCCTAGTGTGCTTGCATACAATTCGCATCGGATCACCTCGTATAATGAACCAATCAGAAGTGTCAGCTGGATTGCTTCTTGGATGTCCTGCGGCCCAGAATGCCTCGAAGAGCCCTCGGCGGCAGCCCACAGTAGCAGGCAGCCAGATCGTGCTTTTCGCACAACTGTTTTCGGAACTCCTGGACACCAGCCTGTGGATTATGGCATTTGTACTCCGTCTAGCTCAGTTGATATCGTTCGCTTGCTGGGGAATTGTACATAGACAACAAGGGTGTCGGACGATCAAAGAGGAGCGGTGTTTAGCGTGCGCTACGATGATCTGATCAACCAATTGCTGCGGTATCCTTGACGGCTGATCTACATTGGCCCAGGATCGGACAGGATCGGACAGGGACCTTTGCTGCGAACTTTTGAGGTTTGGAGAGTAACTTACTTAGTAACAAAAGAAACTCCAAAATGAAAAGCCCCACGACCAAATGGAATACAGCAACGCAAGATAAATTTACCCTCTCCGCAATTGAAACTATGCTTTCGTTACTGGTAATCAATTATTCCGGAGAAGATTGTCTTTTCGCTTGCCCTCCCATTGATGATATTGCAAGGTGTCCGACCACTCAGATATCGCAACATTGCCAAGCAATAAGGGAAATGTCGCCTCGGAGATTTCCGCGGATGGGGTGGAATGGGGGACGCCTCCGAGTCTATTAACAAAAACCTCCCACACAAGATTCTAGTTTGCCCTGCGTATTTCGTTCGCGAAATTCGCGTAAGGCACTTCATCAGTAATTACCACACCAAATAAGAACAGTTTGTGATAAATCCAATCTCAACAGAGGACCTCTAGTAGTTGAGTTGTGGCCGTAAAAATGCCAGAAGCCCACGACAATGCGGGGCAACCTTTTGTCAAGCCAGAATCGGAATACCAGGCAGAGCTGTCGCATCCCGAGAACGACGCTGGCTATGCGTACCAACAGTTCCTCCAAGATGCAGTCCCGGAGGGCGCGATGCCCGTGTTTCCCTCTGAACTATTACCCCCCAGTCAAGGCATAACGGCGGCGCCGTCAAACATTTTCAGCGAGTCCATGCCCTCGGCGGATTCAGCAAGCTCCAACTCCGACGGATCTAACGTCGCCACGAACAGGAGCCAGAACTCAAATCTCAGTTTCGCCGAGCAGGCGAATGAATTCATCAACGCCGCGCTTGGTCGCACGCCTGGTGGAACGTCTGTCGTCGATCCTGACTCGGTCTTGGATCAGTCCGGGAGGCTTTATCATGGTTATAAGGACGGCGCATATTTTCTACCCAACGATGCTGTCAGTCCTTGATGCCCCACGGCGACAGGTCGAGAGGACTAATGAAAGTACAGGCCGAACAAGATCGACTCGACTTGCAGCATCAGATGTTCAAGGTCATGTTGGATGGCTTTCTCTCCTTGGCTCCAATGAGTGCTGTGCCGAACTATGTTCTAGATGTAGCGACGGGTACTGGGATATGGGCCATGGATTGGGGTAAGAAGCAAAACCACGTTTTGACCTACTCATATCAAGCTGACATGCCCTGATAGCCGAAGAATATCCCTCTTCCTTTATCATTGGCACCGATTTGAGTGCTATACAGCCTAGGCGAGACTTCCGCAACCTCTTTTTCCAGAAGGACGATGCGGAATCGCCTTGGCTCTTCCCAACACCACATCCAGCGGATAGCCCGCCTTGCACTGGTACATGTCAACACAACATACAGTTTGACTATGTCCATTTTAGGATGGTTTGTACCTGCTTTGATGATACCCGCGGCGTAATTAAGCAGGCATACGACAACACAAGACCCGGCGGCTGGATCGAATTTCAAGATTTCTTCTGCGACACAAGCCACGAGAACAACAAAGACAGTCCCATGGCCAGATGGTACGACGCTGTGGCATCCGGCGCCGCGATCAAGGGGCGCGATCTCAAGCAGCCGATGAAGTACCAGCAATGGTTGGAAGAAGCAGGATGTAAGTTATCTCCCAATCTGGTCGTGCCACTTTGAGACTAAGCCGGGGAAACGTAGTTGTCGAGGTCAAGACACGAGAGCTCATCCTTCCGTGCAGTCCATGGGCTAGAGACCCGAAGCTGAAGGAGGCCGGTGCGTGGCAGCAGCAAAACTTCCTGGACGGCATTCAAGGTGTAAGCTGGCGCATGATGGCCGCTGCGGGATACACCGGCCCTGAGATTGAAGCGAGCATTGAGGAGGTGACGGATTACTTGAAGAGCCGTGGCAATCGCCCCTTCTTTTGGCTGTATGTCAATCTCATCGGAGCTCATGTTGTTCCCCACCATACTGATGATCTGCAGTTACGTTGTTTACGGGCGCAAGCCATATCCCAACGAAGTGCAGCCTGCACCCTAATTTCACATTCGCTAATGAGTTCTAATGGGGAATTTGGTGGCCGGCTAGCACGATCTTAAAAACTTGGGCAAATCTGGTGGAAGGTTACTTGTCTACATACTCACTTAAAAAGGACCACGCCTGCAGAACTACTTACCCGTTAGCTATGGTACTACCACTCCACGTAGTGTCACTCCAGGTACTGCCACTCAAGGTACTGCCACTCAAGGTACTGCTACTCAAGGTACTTCGACTCGTTGGCGAAGCTGAATCGTTTGTTGGCACCTTGTTCACGAAAACCAAAATCTCGCGCGCCGGATCCGCACGCAGATGCGCGCGTACAATGGTCTCCCAGTCCGCCCCAAATTCGCCCCTCAGGTCCCCTACAACAGTCTCGGATGCACAATGAATACTCATGTCGAGTTTGACCGCCAAATTCGAAGCTTCTCCGGCGCCGCGGTCGCCTACAACTTCCACGTTGTCCCCGTACAGCAGCCGCAACGCGGCCCAGGCGACCTTCTTGGAACAAGGGTGGAACAACACCGTGACGTGACGCGAGGGACTCCCTTGGTCCCCTGCTTCACGGATTCTGACATTGAACGGCTCGATGTCGGAGCCGAGCGACTCACAGTTCAAGTTCCAGTCCCTATATTCACACGTGTGCGGCCCTCTGCTGGTCGGTGGCTGCGTGGCCAACGAAGTGGAGGAGGATCGTCTTACCCTCTGCTGGATGCAGCAGGGTAGTACCATGGCGATGTCGCATCGCCTGCCTGGCTTATCACTGTCTGGAGCCGACAGCTCTTGTGAGTCTTCCTGGTGTCCACCATTGTCTGCTGCTATGGCCACGGAGAAACCAATCGTCTCGACGCCCGTGGTGTCGACTACAGCGGTGTCCACCTCATGTATGGTGTCTAGACGGGTTACATCTTGTTGCGATATACGTCGTTGCATACTGCTGGATCTATGTCATTTTGTTGAAATGATCCATAAATAGACTGTCCATAATAAATCAGATACGCTCACTACTGCACAAATAAAATCCAGAATAGGGGGTATATATATAGTGGCACATTGATCTTGTTTTGTTATTCTTCGACATCTTTGATGCAGTATGCCGTCCCAGTGTTGGCTAATGCCCGATTTCTTTGTTAATAATTACATTCCCTGCGACAATGCCGTTGTCCGTGTACAACTTTGGACAAAAGCCAAACTGGCTCCAACCGATTTCCAAAATGTTTCTTGTGTTATTGCCGGGTTACTCCCCCATCACTCACAAGTCTTGACCTTATACTCGACGGTCTGGTTCCCCGTGGCGACGACCTTGGGCTTGAAGTCGAGGTAGACGAGCTCGCCCTTTTCGGGAGTCCACTCGCCGTTGGTGTCGCGGTAGTAGACGAGCTCGCCGGAGCCGGCGTCGCGCACCTCGGCCGTCGTGTGCGTCAGCGTGCCCTCGGTGCTCCACTCGATCTGGTAGCACGTCGACCTGGCCACCAGGAACGGCTTGCTACACCGAGCGTTTCCCTCGCTGTCCACGCACTTCTCGACCGCGTAGTCCAGGACCTTGCCCTTGGCTACTGTGGATGCTGCGTAGGAGGTTGTTGCGTTAGCCAAAAGAAACACTGCCCGAACAGAATGTGGAAAAGAGAAAGGGTGGTAGGAAATGGCGGTTGCTCAGGTCTTCACGTACTGTCTTTGACCATTCCGGTCATAGCCAGGCCGGCCGTGAGGATGCTTTGTGCATTGGGTAGATACATCTTAGCTACGGCTGTGGATTTTGTTGATTGGTAGAGACGAAATGAGAGGTTCGACTGATTCTGGTTGTGATAGTTGGTGCTTATAGTTACAGTATTGAACAAAAAGTGCACATATTTTCCGGGCTCAACGGCTTTATAATCTTGGGTAGGCTCTCGTGGCTCAAGCAGTTTACCCCGTGTTTGCCTTCGGCGATGACAGAGAGCAACGTCATCATTCACGACGTCATAGCCGGCGTTTAAGCTGCCTGAACGCCGAGAGGAACAATTCCAATTGACAAGATTATTCTTAGCTAGACAGCCTCCGAGCATAAACGAGGTTTTTCTAATGCACGAAGACAGCTGGATTCATCTGGTACGATATTCTTTGCGAGGATGGGATGTTTTGAGACGCGTCAAATGGTGCAAGTCGCGGGATGTGCCGCCCCCGAGTTCCTCTTCCCCCGGATTTCTTCTGACAGGTCCCCCGCAAATGAACCAATCCATGCAACTTGTAGATCACGTATGCAACTTAATCTCTGAATACTCGCTGAGCAACGTTGAATGGCTGTCCCGGTCCGGGTACCGCATCCGAAAGTGTAGTATGCGTTTTCTCTACTGATTTTGCAAAATACGAACGTAATGGTAAAGATACATGGTCATGTCCATATCCAAGCCAATTGGCATAGCGCGTCCATGCTTTGAATACGGTATGTGCTCAGTACACTAACTTAGCACTGGGTTCCTGCGACACTTGCCATCTGGTTCGGCAAGTGAGTCACGCCTATTACTGGAACCTCACATTTCTTCCTCTGCTGGATAAGGCAGAACTACTCCGGTTTATAAAGAACCCCAACTTAATTGTTGAAGGTATGGTTCTTCAAGACTGTTCTATTAAGGTCCTTCCCGAGACTTGTCAGATTGCTAGGTCGATCTACTGTATCTCTTTCATAATATGCTCTGATCCTCAGCACCAGTGCTAGCCCTAGGAATCGCTTTGATGTCGAACGTGTCTGGTTAATAAGCACGGCGAGGGCCACACTAATAATGACAACAACAATGGCACGCATCAGGAAAACACCCGAGCCTCAAATAGTCTCACGCCCTGACATACCAACGACAACCACCCTAACAGCAGCAGCAGCAGCAGCACCCAAGACCCCCACCGCCACCACCACAACAAGGCCGAACAAATGCCCCAAACCCCTCTACTTCTGGCGCGAAACCCACGTCTCCACGGGCTACCTGTCGCAGTGGTACGACGCGGTCCCCTTCTGCGACCCGCGTGACCCGGTCCGCAAGACGTACCGGTCCGCGGAGCACTACATGATGCACCACAAGGCGCTGCTCTTCGGCGACGTGGAGATGGCGGAGCTGATCCTGCGGTCGGGGAACCCGCGGCGGGCCAAGGAGCTGGGGCGAGCGGTGCGGGGGTTCGAGGAGGCGGCGTGGGAGGCGGAGCGCATGGGGATCGTGCGGCGGGGTACCAGGTGCAAGTTCGCGTGTCCCGTGGGGGACGAAGGCGGGGCGAGCGACGGGGGAGGGGGGGAGGAGGAGAAGAACAACAAGAAGAAGAAATGGAGGTTGGGTGTCAGGCCGGATGCCGTAGAGGTCGAGGCCTCGGGTTTTAGGGAGGTCTTGTTGGGGACAGGGAATCGCGAGCTGGTGGAGGCGAGCCCTTATGATCGGATCTGGGGCGTGGGGTTCAGGGAGGAGGACGCAGAGCGGAACCGGGAGAGCTGGGGTGCCAATTTGTTGGGTAAGGCCTTGATGGAGGTTAGGGAGGAGTTTCGCAAGGAGGAAGACGAGCGAGCAAGACGAGAGGGCGGTGAGACGGATAGTCAGATATAGCCATCGACCAGAGCGGTGTGTGTAAGTGGTGGGCATTTCGGTCAGTGTGATACCTATCAAGCTCGAGGTGATTATGAGCGCTGAAAGACTATCAAAGATGTGGGTGCTACACTGGCTGTGACAGATTGGAAGACAGTCAGTTCTTCATAAGATGGAGATAGATTTTCCAGATTTGGCGAACTGCCAGTCATCCGCGCAGGACGAACGATGAGTATAATTACAAGAGATTGCTCGAAAGCATGTAGCGTGCCCTTCATATGAGAAGCAGGCTTGTTTTTTTTCTATCATACATCCAACCGCTGATGCACCCATGCCTATCAAAACGCCGTCGTGCCATGCTGTAGAGTGGTGTGGTGAGCCCAAACTGCCATTTCCGCAGCCAGATCTCTGTGACTCAAGCCCGTCTACATGCCATTCCGTATGATACAGTATTATAACACATATGTAGTATAGGTGGGGTGAAGGTAAAGCAAAATGGAGACGCCACAGTTGCGTGTGCTGGAATACCCAAAGAGGGACAAAATGCAGCGCTTAGATCCATTCACGAGCGCTCTTTTGCATTTCGATCAACCTCCAGCCTCTCGTCTCGGGGTTGCTGACCTCCTCAGGCGTTCTCGTAATGCCAATAGCATAGGTGACGAGCTGCACCTTGTCCTCCATACCGGCAGCTAACTCATTGGACTTGGCATTGCGGTAGACGTGAACTTCCTGGGTTCGGCAGGTGATGATGAAAACGGGGATCTCGCCGGGTTCTAGCATGCGCGCCTTGAGGATATCAACATTTCTGATGTCGAGAATCTTGCCGTCTGACTTCATGCCAGCTTGAAGGTATTGCTTGGTGAGAGCCTCGTAGACTGAATACTGGGCGGCAGACAGCCAAAGCTTTAACGTCTCGGCATCACCCTTGACATAAGCGTCAAGGACCTCGGGGAGGATATACTCTCTGAGCTCCTGCAAGAAGGGCTCGACCTGGAAGTTGGGATCCATGGAGCGAAACTTCTTAATGACCATGGCTGTCTCGTTTTCCGCGAAGAAGCCGCCAATCCGATCCGTGATACTTCTGGCCGTGGAGATCAATGGGTTTTCGGACTCGTTGTAAACGTTCTTGGCGTTGAAAATACCCTGAGCTAGCTTGCTTGAGTCCTTGAAGTCCTTCCAAGCTTCCTTCCAGGCGGCATCCTTATGGACTGTAACGTTGGTACCGGCACTTGAACTTGTCAGCATTGGTTCTCATGACACAAAGCGGGAACACATACTTGGGATCCTCAACCATATCCTCAGGCTTGATGTGAAGCCCGGCCTGCTTTTGGCGCAGTTCTCTTGCCTTGCGACGCTCTTCCTTTTCAACCCAACCGCCATACCTCGAGCTGCTGCCGTCGTCGATGACATTCTTGACGTTCTTGTAGGCCTCGGTATCACGGATGGGTTTGGTGGCCTTGTCGAGAGCGTCGCCGGTGACATTTGCGCCCTTGCGGACACCCTTCATGACAGAGGTATCCCATGTCCAAGCAGCACCCTTGCCGATAGCTGATCCTGTAGTCTTGAAGACCTTGCCGGTGGTCTTGCTAATGGCGCCGGTTGAGGCTTCGTAGGCCTCTCTTGCCCGTCGTACGTTCTCGCTTTCGGCGAAATCCTTTGCGCCGGCAGCAAGCTGCTTGGTGGAGTCGTTCCACTCTTTCGACTGCTTGAGCTCGGTCTGCATGGTTTCCATGAAAACCTGCCAAGGTGTCTTGTCACCATGGGGAGGAGGAGGGGGCAGGTCCTCCTTCTTCTCCTTCTTTGCGCCGTCCTCGTCGGCCTTGTCTCCATCTTCCTTCTTTGGTTGCTCTTCAGACTCGGTCTTGGCCTCCTCTGCGGCATCGGCGCCAGCAGGCTTGGGCTCCGGTTTCGCGTCCTTCTTGGGCTCCGGCTTCGGTTGGTCTTGCAAGCATCTGGAAGACTGGTGGAAGGATCGCAGGTGCACACTAGCTATTGTCTGGGGGAGGAAGGGGGATCGCAGTGTCGTGAGAGCGGGCGATGTTGACGCAAAGGACGTGTTTTGTGCACCTCGGCTCTGTGGTTCAAGGCCAGATATTAACCTCCTGTATGCAGGTGATCTGCCGAATGATGAAGAGGATGAGGCCAGTGAAGGCGTCCTTGATGCTGAGCTGGCCGAGTTTCTTGCGACATGTCTGAAGGAACTCATGATGGCGGACGGCTGGACAGTGACGCGAGGTGACGTCCTGGGAACTATGAGTTCGAGGTGGATGAGAAAGGGGCGTGCTACAGAGGTAAGAGGTAGAGGTAGAGGTAGAAGTAGTATGGGGGATCGCCAGAAAAACCAGCGACGAGAACGGCTTGTTGCCCTTTTGCCCTTTTGCCTTTTTGCCTTTTGCGACTTAAGTTCCAACCTGATTAGTCCACAGTATGCGTATGACTTTTCTGCTGCTGGGAGCTACCACCGGCCGGGACCAGGGTCAGGGTCCAAAAACCCAAAAGTCCAGAGAATTGGAGAGATCGGAGCGGTCATTTTGCCGCTTCCGAGTCATTCCGCCGTGCCTCCCGTCAGACCCCGTAGTATGCTCTTTGCTACTGTGTGAGTTACAGTAGCTATTGTCCAATGCACTGCGGTACAGGTAGCCAATTAGACTGCTTGGTGGATCAGACCTGCTCCAGCAGCTTTTTACGAGTAGCTAGGCCCAAAACCCCTTGTCCCAAACTGCAATTCGCGCTACGCCTACAAACCGCTACGGGTATCTTCAAAATTTCCAGTTGAGCATTTCGAGCTTCGGTGGATTCGGGCTTCAAGGGACCACACGCCGTTCGACCTACCTCCCTTCCCGCAATTCACAAAGCGTCAATCCAGGTACACAGCTCCAGGCGAACGCCCAGGAGCATCTGTCGCAAACATGAGCAAGCCTGCAAGCCGCCTGATGGCCACGTCTATCCGCCACACCTCCCGGGTACAGAACAGCATACGATTGCCCGTCCGCTCTTTCAGCCAGACTTCTCGACAGCATGCCGATGAGTCCGCGCCAAAGCCACCTCAGCCGGTAGCAGGAGCACCGGCCGACCCTCCAACCTCGTCGCAAACCATCCCTCCTACACCACAGTCACCCTCACTGCCGCCCAGGAAGTCACCACTTCTCGAGACTCTCAACCGGCGACAACCCCAACCGACCGGCCTCTCGAGCCTCTCGGACCTCAGTGCCTCCCTCGCCGGCACCCGGGCACCCATGCGCGGCCAGCAGCTGGCCCAGGATACCCTGGCGCGCGCCCGCAACCAGCCGACCGCCCAGGAGATCCTGTCGTCGACATCCGAGGACCTGGTGGACAAGGAGAACTGGTCGCAGTACGAGGAGCCCTTCCACTTCCACATCTACGGCCACAAGCACAACACACACATCACCGTCACCAAGCCGGACCGCAACGCCATCATTTCTATCTCCGCCGGCCAGATCGGCTTCCGCAAGTCCAAGAGGGGCACCTACGACGCCGCCTACCAGCTGTGCGCCTATGTCATCGACAAGCTCAACCAGGGCAACTGGCACAAGAAGATCCACAAGCTCGAGGTCGTCCTGCGCGGCTTCGGCAACGCCAGAGAGGCCGCCACCAAGGTTTTGCTCGGCACCGAGGGAAAGTTCTTGAAGCCCAAGATCATACTCGTCAGTGACGCGACGAGACTCAAGTTTGGTGGCACGAGGAGTCCTAAGCCCAGACGTCTGGGTTAGGAATCTTCCCGTGCAGTTTTGTCTTGGGAGGATTGCCAGCTCCACAGCTTCTACGGGAGCGGGTTGGGGGCTCATCTGTATCATATGACTTTGAAACGTCGTGTATATTTTGACTTATGTACGTTCATGTACAAGTTCACCAAGGCTAGAGGACTAGAACAACTCGATTCGGAAGGAGAATGCCTTGGGGGAAAGAAGAAAGCAGACACTTGGAATCGCTCTTGCTCAAGAAAGCATATTGGTATCAATTGCAGAAATAAACATGTCCGCCGAACTCCTAATTCCCCATGAATGACGACGCCCCAAAACGCCTTGGATGCAATCAAGCCCAGCGAACTAATGCATTGTCGTTCTCGTGTCCATTTGCCTCGCCAGTCTCGCCTCAACCCACGAACTGTCCAACGAACCCAGACGCTCCTTGTGTACTCGGCCTATGTTCCCGTAGTCCGCAGTCCGCAGTGCCTCGTCTTAACTGGCAGGCGCCCTCTCAGCAGCCGGGAGCACCCTTCCACTCGTGTCCCTCGCGCCCGCGCCCGCGGCCTTGGCCTTGCCTGTGCTTCCGCTGGCGCTTCCCGGCACCGTGCTCCTCCCATCGTCACCACGCCGCTCATCTGCCAGGTTCCCCCTGAAGCTATTCCCACGGCTCAGGAACCCAGTCCCCTCGTTCGCATCCAGCCCATCCTCGTCTTCCTCCACCTCCTCGACCAGCTCGCCGTCCGCCGTGTCGTAGTCCGGCGGCTCGAGCCAGTCCCTGGGCACGACGCACGGCAGCGCGACGCCGATCTGCGCGGCGCGGTTGAGCCAGGCGGGCCCGCGGCGGCCCGTGAGCCGCTCGCACAGCGTCTGCGTGAAGTGGTTGCAGTTCCTCGTGAGCAGGTTGTAGCTGGTGCCGGGGAAGTCCTCTGACGTCGACCGGACGATGCCGTCGATCTCCGCCTGCGTCGCGAACGTCATCCCGTGCAGTATCTCCGTGCGGAACGTCGCCCCCGGCGGCGGCGACCGCGGCGACGTCCAGTACACGCCCGTCACCCCCGCGCGGTCGTGGCCCCCGTAGGCGTACTCGCGCCCGTTTATCACCACGCCCGTGTGCAGAAGCGAGGAGCCGACTGTCCAGAGGATCGAGGAGAGGCGGCCGGGCTGGGGGAGGGTTCGAGAGGGTTAGAGACGGCACGGCGCAGGATGGCTGGGTTTTGGTGGAGCTGGGATGTGTATGTGTGCGGACTTACAGGTAGTAGATCGTAGACATTGATGATGACTTCGGTCCGCGATAGTGACAGGGTTGATCTATGTGAGGATGTTCTGGTCGGTCGAGTCAGCGATGACCGGCTGGGCCGGCCGCCGCTGGGCTTCTTGGAGTGTGCCGACATGGCGAGGCTGGCTGTTTTCCGTCGTCGAGGTGGACGGGTGGAGATGCGGGTTGAAGCTCTAAGACATGCGATAGTGTGGTCGGGTGGGGTTGAGGCGAAGTAATAGCTGGGTCGCGACGGATGGTAGGTCTCGTGGGCGGGCCGAATCGGTATATAGTTAAAGAAATGTAAACGTATCTCCGTAGAGGTGGGCTATTAAGTATATGCAGTCCCTGGCGATGGGGTTGGGCGAAGGTGACAAGCGGAGAATAAGGTCGTGACGAGGATGGAAGCGATATGGGTGAGAATGCATCATTGGGAATTCAGGTCCATGTCTCAATTGAATCTGCCTAGAAGTCCAATGCAGAGGCAGAGGCAGAGGCACTAAACCGACATCAGCCACTTCCCAGCTGATGGATGCGGGACATTGGAGATCAATGGCACAGCATCCAATTCCTTCTGCTTGGTAGCACAGTTGACTTAGCTATGCAACTACGTAAGGTTACCTAGTTTTCTGGGGTACACTCTGAGGGAGAACCCCATCCCCTTTCAGCGTAGGTGCAGGTGGCGTGACGTCTTGCTTGTTTAGTGTTACGTGAGACTATGGTATAGCATGTACTAGTAGATACTGTATGTGATAGGTGACGTGTGACCTGTAGCCTGTAGCCTGTAGCCGGCAGCCTCTGAGATCTATTTCTGTATCAGGTATGAAGTACGGATCCGCATCAAGTAGGTTACGTATGAAACTCCTCGAGACCAACCTGAGTGCATGTTTACAATGTCCCAGCTTGGGACCACTTACCGTATGTAGTTAGAGGCAGGAAAAGTGGGCGCTGGGGCGGCGTAAAATAGCGCCGGATTCCGTCTAGTTTTCCTTCCTTGAAAAACTTGAATTTTGATTGGAAAAGGAAAATAACCCACACTCTGCAAAGGTTTTTTCTCGCTCATTCGAGCAAGAATCCAAGAGACAGGGCAGCCCCTCCATCCCACCCCCAATATGCAGCTGTGAAAAAGAAGCCCGAAGCTCCCCCTCCCTCACACATGAGGCTACAAGCCATTTCAATCTTTTTTCCTCCCTGAGATACCCAATCACGCGGTTGTAGGCAAAAACAAACTCTTGATTGAGATTTGCAGCAGACTCCCCAAGTCGTCGTCCTCACCAGGCTGGAATAAACCCCAGCTCCCAAAGACAAACTGTCTTCCCTACTCATACCCAACTCCTTCACTTCTTTCACCCGCCTCCTTCGTCCTTCCGCAGCTAGCTCTGCGTTTGCTGCCCTCTCAGTAGTGCCTAGAAGCACCGCTCAGACAGCAACCTCCCCACTCTACTGCTTCATCACATCCCGTGGTTACAGCAACAAGAAGAAGTCCAAGATGGCCCCCAAGAAGCAGGTTGTCGAGGAGAAGATCCCCCTGGGTCGTCCCGGCAACAACTTGAAGAGCGGCATCGTCGGTCTTGCCAACGTCGGAAAGTCGACTTTGTTCCAAGCCATCACCAAGTGTTCTCTTGGTAACCCTGCCGTACGTTGAAAAAGAGGAGCCACGAAGCCGTCCACCTCTGCTTCCACCTCTACCTCCACACCTCGGGCTGCCGGCGCTGACTCCGCTAAAGAACTTCCCCTACGCTACCATTGATCCCGAAGAGTCCCGCGTCATCGTCCCCGACGAGAGATACGACTGGCTCTGTGAGAAGTACAACCCCAAGTCGCGCGTGCCCGCCAACTTGACTGTCTACGATATCGCCGGTCTCACAAAGGGTGCATCCACTGGTGCGGGCCTGGGCAACGCCTTCTTGTCACACATTCGAGCTGTCGATGCCATCTTTCAGGTTGTGCGATGCTTCGATGACGCCGAGATCATCCACGTCGAGGGTGATGTCAACCCCGTCAGAGATCTGGATATCATTGCAGAGGAGCTGCGCTTGAAGGATATCGAGTTCGTCGAGAAGGCCCTCGAGAACCAGAAGAAGAAGACCCGCCAGGGTGGTCAGTCTCTTGAGCAGAAGAAGCTCAGGGAAGAGCAGGACACCATCGAGAAGATCCTCGCGTGGCTCCAAGACGGCAAGGATGTCCGAAAGGGCACCTGGTCGCCCAAGGAGGTAAGATTTCAAGCCTTTCTTTTTCCGCCTTGCTCCACCAAACCACTTCATGCTTTATGATGAATAAGGGCCATAGCGCCTGATCTAATCCCAGCTCTTCGAATGCCTCAACAAACAACGCAGAGGACATCCTGAGATAAGAAACACACTCTGACTGCAATACTCAAACCACTCTATGTTATCGCATATCTGTTCATGAGTCATAGCTAACCAGCTGTCAATAGGTCGAGGTCATCAACCCTCTCTTCCTCCTGTCTGCCAAGCCTGTAGTCTACCTCGTCAACCTCTCAGAGAAAGACTACATCCGCAAGAAGAACAAGCATCTTCCTGCCATTGCTGCCTGGTTGAAGGAGCACGCCGCTGGCGACCCCATTCTTCCCCTCTCTGTGTGCTTCGAGGAGCGTCTCACCCAGTTCGAGACCGAGGCCGAGGCCGCTGAGGAGTGCAAGAAGCTTGGTGTCGACTCGGCACTGGGCAAGATCGTCACCACCATGCGCAAGGCCATGGGTCTCGGCAGTTTCTTCACAACTGGTACCGACGAGGTTCGCCAATGGACCATTCGTCTTGGTATCAAGGCACCTCAAGCCGCCGGTGTCATTCACGGTGATTTCGAGAAGACTTTCATCCAAGTCATCGTGTACAACTTCAACGTGTTGAAGGAGCTCGGCGACGAAAGTGAAGTTAAGTCGAAGGGTAAGATCATGACTAAGGGTAAGGACTACGTTGTTGAGGATGGTGATATCCTCCTCATCAAGGCTGGTGCTGCCAAGGGTTAGACAAGCTAGATAAAATCCTGAATAGACCCCATCAAACTGTGTATACTTGCCCCTACTTTTACGTTCTTATTTCTTCCGCCGTCGTCCAACTGTACCACGATGATCAGCCCTGCCAGCATGTTGTGCGCACCGCGACGGTCAAAGGCCTCGTCAGGGCTCCATGATCTACCATAATTTCTATTACTGTGGCCTCTCCACACTGAACTTGTCCCACACCAGTGACGCACACAAAAGTTCGCCATGAGTATTTACAATTAATCAACTTGTGGTTGACCTCCACGATTATACGGCGGGATGATTTTCATGTTGACTAGTTTTAACAAGTATTTTGGGTGGATGGCAGCAGTACAACATGGGTTAATACAGCTAGATCAGTAAATGCTAATGTTTATACAGCTCCGTGAACCCTAGTACCAGTAGCTTAGCCACACTCGGTGGGCACCTACAAGTATAGAAACCTGCCTATTGTTACTATGTAAAACGATACTACTTGACTCTTGCTTCGCGAGACCTTCTGATATCGCTCACATTTTGTTTGGGTCAACCATACTACCTTTAACGTGGAGACGAGTCGATTTGTAGAATTGTTTATTGATCAGTGACCATAAATGATACAGTATTCAACATACCAATCCAGTCAATATAATTGCTCACTCTACAATTAATTATCATCCTTCATGTAGACCTCAGCAAATACAATCAGGATCACATCGATTATCACCATGTTACTTTTCGCTACTCCTATGACCGGTCAGGCGTGTCTGAGACTAGTATCCTACTGCGTGAAGTGGTTCGATTTGGATCACTTCATCTTGCTTCAGTTTTACAGATTGAAATCGGGATTCAAGAAGAATCTGGCAAGGTTGGCCAAGCTGTACTGTAGACGCCTACGCGGGTTGCATTCACAATGAAGTCCTGCATGCTGATAGTCAGGTAACGAAGCCCGCCTACTTCACCCTAGATGGTTCCATCGTCCCAGTAGCTGTCTTCCAGGATTGAATCCCGAGTGGCCAGACGCAAAGGGGGTCGGGAAGATGTGATTATGCCGTTATAACGCAGTTGCCATCACCCGGCGATGTTGATATAAAAAGAAATATATAAAAAAATTATAAAAAGAAACGTAAAAGAAATAAAACAAGAAATATAAAAAGAAACGTAGAAAGAAATATAAAAAGAAACGTAAAAAGAAATATTCATGTTGATGCTTCCCAAATTGTAGAAACCTACGACATAGGGTTTTACATTCCATATAGTAGCTTCTTGCTGCTTCAACTGGAAGAATCCACATGTGTTGATAAGATCAACGATGAGGGAAAATACCACGCCATCATAGGCGCCCTGTCAGTCATACCCGACGATTGGCGTATCAACTTCGAGTTTTAATAGTACAATGTATGCTCTAATCATCCAGATAATGACATAATCTCATCAATGAGTTAGGCAATCTGCTCAAGCACGCCGATCGTGAAAGCGCTTTTCAAATTGTGGATTACGGCATCCATTGTTTGAGAAACAACCCTCCCTTTCAACACCAGCGTCTGACACAAGCTTACCCAACGAGCATGAAACTTCGTTTGACATTCAAATAAAAGGCGCCGGTGTTTGGGGGCGAAAACAATGGACATCTAGAAACCCTGTTTGGCGCCGCGGAATTTTCCCGATACTGGACTTGTTCCATCAATGTTGAATAAGACTGATAATGCTCGTTCAGATAACGACCGTCTGAAATCAAACGCCGAATGCGTTATACATCTAAAATGGCGCGAAGTCAAAACTGTATGCACAGAGCTAAGTGTATAAACCTTGTCAAAAGATCCAGTGCGCACTTTGCCCATTCACAGTATGTCCATTATTCTGGAGTAGCTATCGAACAGCTTTTGTCATAACATCTTCACAGCTCCTAGTGGAGCACGGTTTGGAAGACAGCAACTGTTGGACAATGATATGCTTGTACCCTGAGAGCTGTCATGCCCAACTTGGGCCTAACATATTTTTGGAGACGCTCAAGATATTACGAAACTAGTCCGCAAGAGAGCCCCCCACTTGAAACATAGGTTCCTGATAACCATGAAAAGATGGCATATGGTGTTTTTGGAGCTCTTGTAAAGGGCACTAAGGGCTGCTGTTGACAATTTGAGTGAGGACCGCGACAAGGTACGAAAATCACTTGACGAAATTGAGGGCTTCGACCATGTTGGAGATTACTTAAAACTCCCTTGTCGCTACATTGATTCTCATCATTCGGACTATCGAAGCTACTGTCAAAGAGAATGATTGGTGGATGGACCGATAGAAAGACTTTGTGAGCGATATGGCAGTCATTGGCCCTGGGATACGGCCATGAAGTTCGGGTATTTAACACCAATACGCGGATGCACTCAGAGAATGCGGGTCATTCGGTTGAACCTCATCAAATTCAGACAGCGGGCACTGCACCAGCGAAGCGCAATAACATGCTTGGAATCACTCTGTTGCCGGCTAGGTTACTAATGGTGCAAAGGTAATGGACGCGAACAACTTCATCGAAGCTGCCGCTTCGTGTTATCTACAGGATAACGTCAAATATATCACCTACACGACGATCTTGTATCTCCCCATATCACCATGTGCCGTATGTTTGCTATCCCGCTGAAGCAACAAAGCCATGACACCTCAAGTGGCTGATGATGTAACAAACACACCTTCGATCTTCTGTATATACCAAGCAGAGCGACGGAGACAGCTGCAGCATATATACATTGGTGATGATCTAGTACTTATCACTTGGAGTGTCGATGCCTCCACGCATTATTCCTGTCGCTTAGCGGTCGCTTTTTTGCTGTTTGGCGAATGGCCGGTATCATGAGATGGAACGTACCACTGATTTCATGTTGTCAGATGTCAACGACGGCGCTATTCTTGGTCGCAAGTCACAGGAGGGACCAACGCCTAGTAAACTCGCAACTCCTCCTTCTGCGATGTCAGTCATGGCAGAGGCTCGAACAAACTCATACAGTACGTCATTACCACATACCAACAATAAAGACCACGAACTATGGCTGGACAGGAGAGTCTCAATCAGCTTGGCGGGTTGTGCCATGCCTTACTCGAGGCGTCTAAAAGCAGTACCGGGTGTAGACTATTAACGACGTATCCATGAAATCAAGGTCTCGGCTTCGGAGCTTGAGCATCTGTTCCACTGACACGGCCAGCTTAGAAGAATCTATACGTGCTATGCGCCTTTACCGATACTATCGTTCGTATCCACTTACTGAAGGCCCCGGCCACCGCTGAGAGTACGACGCGTACTATAGCACAATATAAAACCTGGGAGGAGGCACGAAGTTGTCTAACAAGCACCCAACAAGTAAAGTTACCTTTATTTTATAGGCTATATCACGCGTCTTTACTTGCCCTTCCAGCGGCTGTTCAGATTTTACAGCATTAAAGAGCCACGAGCTACTATATTCATTATTTAGAATCGTTGTTTACAAGTGTCATGCAATTTGCAGTAAACGTCCACCGCCTTCCTGGGAAACCAAGTCATAGCTGTATAATAGCCTGGTTTCTTACGTCTGGTCAGGTTCCCTTGATATTACGGAGCAAGGCTTCCGCACTCGGTGGATGGCCTAGGAACCTTTCCGACATCTGAAGTTCGTCACGGCTTGCTCCAGGATCGAGGATCTGACCGCGGCATCTGTCCCAAGCAGCGTGGCTGCGTGGGTCTTTTGCGAACGCGCTCTCGAAGAGATCTGCAGCGAATACCTGTGCGCTTCATAAGTTAATCTATTTGTTCATATGACATGCTAAGTGTCTCCCCACTAACGGAAAGTAGACTCACCTGACATAAGGAAAAGTACCCTGCGTTATATCCAGCTGTCAAGTGCCCAATACTGGCGAATGGATACCCGCGGTCGTTGATGTCTCGAGTTTCAAGTAAAGATAGTCTCTCCATTAGACTGTGGTAGATGTCCGATAGGTTCAACTTCAAGGCATATTCGTGACTACTAAGATAATGAATGGCCGCTCTTGGTGCAGTGGGGTAACCTACAGCTGCCGTAGAAACCATACTGTCCTATTCGTCTTGCGACTTTCGATGAGGCTGTCCAGAATGTCATCCGGTATCTGCTTTGGCGGAAGAGGGGCATCTGGGTTTTCGGCTTTCCACAAATTCTAGGAATTTGGGATTCACCGTAGTATAATGCCGTCTCATGCTCCTCAGTTCGTTTTTGGTCCAGCACTAATTACCCAGCATGACACCCAGTGCCTCTGCGAACTTGCGGACCACGCTGTGGCTATGGAACCTGACATATGATGTCCTAGAGATAAGGTCGTGGATTCCATGCCCGAGTTCTGCCCTAGTCGTCAAACAGTGCAACCGATGTATGATCATGGTAAGGGGCAGGTTCATACTACTCAACGTGGAAAAGCGATATAATCTCGTGATGCTTGACCAGCGCACTTCCAAAACTCGTTAGACGGGGAGAACTGCACGTAAGTATAGTCACCGGGTACACTCTGCTCCCATTGTCTTTCAAATAGCCTACACTCTTGTTATCCAGAGTCAGCTTGGGTTTCTTAACCAGTCTCCAGGCTGTCTTTAGGGATAAGATGGACTTATACATTGAAGGTTCACATTCTGCGAGCCCTGATACTTGTTCGGCCTCGACAACAAGTCTGCATAAAGATATCCGACGAACTCATCTCTCGAATCCTCCCTATTGTCCCAGACACTACACATCTCAACATCTTGATGTAAAACATAACCTTCTGATAATTCCAAAGGAAGTGGGGGAAACCGCAGTCGCAAGCAAGAGGCAAATATCTGTAGCATAGCGGAAACGGTATTCCGCATTGGGAAATACTCAGAGATCTTGGTGTGGTTTACCTGTATATTTTCTTCTGCTATTGGGGCGTAGTGACAGGAGTCCCATGGCAGGATTTGACCATGTTGATTCTGAAGAGTTTGGTTGGCCGGATCTTGCGTCATCAGCTGTAGTAGACGGTCCATCTCTTGGTGGCCTTGGGGCAGGATCGCTTCCCCCAGCTCATTTAGTAGGTCGATTACCCAGCTAGGAGATTTGGCAGCCCGCTTCTCAAGCTTAAACGCAGCATGGCTCTCATAGCCGAGCAGGCGTGCGTTCTCATCTCTCTCCACAACGATCTCTCTCAACAAGTCCACACTGCGCGGCAGCTTATGAGCGCTGGCAATATGTATCTTTTTCCGAGTTGAGTGATTCGATGCATACTCTAACAAGGTGTCGACATCATTCCTCTTGATTAGAACATATACTACGACATAGTCAGCTCTTGTAGCTTTGGCAAAGCGATCAAATCGCGGGGGATGACTCCTGCTAGTTCCTCTAGCGAGAATTCCTGCTTTCCCTCTTCATTCCGGATATTCCGATTGTATGTTCGTCGCAAATCCTCGATATGCTTTTTTGTTTCCGAGTATTGCTTGATCTGGCCGACACTGAGCAATCCATTACCACACAGCCTGAAATCCTTCGGTAGACTATCGAGGTACTTGGCTTGGTCAGTTGCGAGTGGCTCGGGGTTATCCTTGACCGCTTTACCAGATGAAATAGGTCGCTCCTCCTTGAGGTGAACTCTGCCTCGCACTCCACCCAGAGCTTGCAAGCTTCATCTGAGGATTCCCGAGACCCCGCATCGGGTGATGCATAACGCAGCATTGCCATGACTCCAACTTCGCCTTGCGTTTTGGTTTTCAATGTCAATGAGCGGCTTGATGACATTCTGGAAGCTGGCCTGCGCCGGCTGAATGGTTCGTGCCACGCGCTCACGAACCTCGTGGATCTCCGCTACGATCCGCTCCATTGTTGGGACGATTTCATTGCCCGGAATGATCCTCAGAAGCTCTTGTGGTAGCGTATGATGAGCCATAGCTGTGAATTGGCTCAAAGAGGAAAAGCGTAGTGTAACGATGTAAAACTTTGATCGCAGCCGGTAAGCTTGGAAGCAGTAGAAGCTTTGAGAGGAATTGAGCGATTGGTACTCACACGGTTATAGCTCATGGTGCGAAACCAGAGTGTTGAAGATGGGAACATAGCAGATGGAACGGCTGCTGCTCGCTGTTGGTCAGCTCGACTCGCCAAGAAACACGAATATGTGACATCCGGAACGTCATATTACTGGGCGTGCATACGCGCCTGCGACGCGATGGTAGAGCCACATCAACCAACAAGTAGTCATACTTACCAAGGTACGTAAGGATACCAGAACTTGCAGGCGACCCTTATACTTAATTTGCCGACTGCCATGACGTGGCAAACAGGGCGTGGCCACCTGAATGGGCGAGCAAATCTCGCAAAAGGACTAGCCACTCTTGTGCCATTCGGAATTCCATGCAACATCAATCACAACCTGGCATGAAAGGTACTTGGTATCAAACGCGCGGTTATATAAGGATCAGTTATCTCCTCTTAAAGAGAACGGTTGCCCTTCATCGCCGCTTCACACAGTCTATTTGGATCCGGAGGCATTCTAGTTCTCACAGTAAAAGGCTTTGGGTAACAAATCTCTAGTCTTGAACTCCCAAGTACTTTCACCGCCCTGGCCCTCCAACTTCACAAGATATTGTATATAGGTGGTAGTTTTCGGCATGGAGATATCCAAGGCTGATATTAGCCGGTTAAGGATCATGAAGTTTAACGCAAGTAAGAACCAAAGTCCGAATTTATCAAAGACTAAATCAAACTTGCATCACACAAGCAAAGGTTACTGATGACCGAGATATCATCTTACCTCCGGAGCAGCTATAATAGCAGCCACCATGCTTTCGCTAGGTGGTTCCCTTGAATTCGAGCAGCTAGCTGTCGTGTGTAATCCTCAGGTATGGCCTGCTATGACAAAAGGCGATAAACGAGTCGGTGCCATGTGAGAAGATCTTATCAATTGTCCAATCAATATTCTCATTTGCCATTAACAATAATCCGCGAGATCGAGGAATGGCTACCAACATCGGTTTGCCAATCATCTAAGAGACAAAGGTTACTGCTTATACCTCGCAAAAGTTAGAATAACGACTAAAAGAGGTTCACGAATAGCAGCTGAAATTAATTAACCAGCATTTGGTCGAGATTTTTGAACGAGGGCAAATAGTTATTATTAGATATCACGCCGCCCGTATTATCCTCCACCGTTAGGCATTAATTAGAGACAATACACACCGTTAGCATACCGTATCCATTTCCTCCGGCTACTCCAGACGATCGCTCCGATCATCAGGCCCGATATAGATCGACACAATTTTCAAATTAATTCATCCGTTCGGTATCAATCCGTAGGCTTGCGAAGCCATCGGATTTGGTATCGTCGACCTGACCAACACGGTCGCTTGGCCAGTCAATGCCATCCCTGCTTGTAATGGAATGATGACCGAGGACTAGAGATCTAAGAATGTGATAGATTCCAGCGCTGTTTGTGGACCATGTTCAACCGGAGAATTCTATTTATCAATCGATAGGAACCCTGAGACGTCGCAGGGATAGTCACGTCAAGTGTCCAGCAGGGTTAGGTCAAGTAGGATCAGGTTCCAGACAAGAAGCGGTTGCGTCGCGCCAGGTTATAAAAATCAGTTGAATATTCTTGCAAATCAAGCTTGTATGTCTCCTCCTTCGCTTCCTATAGCAACTGAAAATTTCTCAAAACCGCACCACTTAACTTCCAAAACATCAACCTGTGCCAGTATTTTTTTAAATACTTCAAATTCTTGAGCTTCCGGTCTAGTTTTAGACGAACAGTTACTGTGCCTTCTCTTCTGGCTAAAAGCCCATTCCAGGATAACACCAGAAGCTCTAAGTTTAGTACAAAGTCCCCTGGAATCAATATTCCACCGTCTGTTTGAAGATATGCGTCAAGTAATAGGAGCGGCGAAGATTTGAGCGCTTCTTCATACTTTTTGGTCCGATCAAATCGCCTGTCAAAATGCCACTCGACATCTAGTCTTTTACTGATAATGTGGTCGCATATTGTGAGCTCAAGGTCCCGAGTATACCTGGTCGTGTAACTAGATGTTGTACGCACTCGCGTATTCCGACGCATAAACTGGAATGGAAGCTGTAATACTATACCTTCGACACATAACCTCGCATGCTCATGCAAATTGCTGCGATGCGCCGGTATTGCTCTATCCTGCTTCAAATCTTGGTTGATGGTGATATATGGGCTTGTAAAGTTTTGTGACCAGCCGTGATGCGCGAGAACTAGCTTTTCCCACTTTCTGCGAAAAGCAACAGAACCTTCGTAAAGCTGGACTTGTTTAGTGTCGGAGATATGTACCCAAGGTTTCAATGAGTATATTTCTGGTTCCCGTGTCTGATCCGGTAGCCGATAAAACTTGATTCCGGAAATGGGCCTCCAGCTAATCCAGCTCCAGCTCGGCAATTGAGGTAGGAACTCGCGCTTTGTAGCCTGGCTGAGGCCTCCATATTTCTTGCCAGAAATCTTGTCCACCATAACGCCATAAACTTTCCCTGCTCGCCAAAGTAGTGAGTGCTGAAAATCTTCTTTTGGCAGCCCTTGGTGAAAGCCGTCTGGAAACTTGTGCTGTTTAAGCTCCTCCAGGATGCCGGAGAAAGCGTGCAGAATGTCTTCTGGTTTTTCCAATTCGCGCTCGAGATATTGATTCACTATGTTTTCGAAATCTGAAACAATGTCGCAATCATGATCGTTCTGGGTGAAAAGGTCATCTTCACGATTTGGAGGATTCATGATCAAATAATCTTCCTCCTCTGGGTTATTGTGGTAGTGAGTCTCATCGTGCCACGCCTCGCAACAGACAAGCTCTGCACAGCTCAAGTGAACTTGGTGATCTGTAAAATAGATTCTTCGATGAGACAGCAACTTTTCTTGGAAAGTCCAACACCGGGTGTTCCATTTTGCCTCATGGATAGCATCCGCGAGTCGTGGAAGCTTCTGTTGAAGACACTTCCCGTGACCAAAGTCGAGACTGAGCTGGTTTGACCTTCTTGATCCTGAATGAACTCGAGGGAATCCATCATCGCTTGTATTTGAGCTGAGCGGTATTATGGTAGCTACGGCACCACGATAGATCGACGCCATCAAAGATATTTGCTCCTTCTTTTGGACGTCGTCATCCTGATCAATGCATACAGCATCTACCCACAAGTACCCCAATTTCAGTCTTTTTGTAACGAATATTGCATCCTCAATGGTTTGCGGGAGCGGGTAAGGCAGCGTGCTATGAGGCTTGTAGCTGACTCCCTTGTAACCACCCCACACATAACTCAAAGCAAAATACTCTGGTGCATGTTCGCCATTCTTTGGATACGTCACAACCTGCCGCTTTTCGATATCAATAAGGAATATCATTTCAAGAGCAGATTTGAGATCCCCAGAATAATTGCACTGCTTGTGGCTTCGTAGACAATGACCGAGCCACACTTTAATTGCATCGTAATTCGGAGTATCTCCAACATGTCGAATATGATCAGGACCAACGATGTCCGAGGTGGTGTATGTCCCAAATGATTTCGACTCAGATCCCCAGTCAAATGTTTTAGAATCATTGTCCACACGGCAGAGCAATGGTCTAAGATCAGGGTTGATTTGAAAAGTGGAGCGAACTAGGAGATCGTCTCCCTCTGATTCTGAATTGAATCCTAGTATGCGACGTGGACGAATTGTAATCTCTTGACGGTCGATTCGCCTCATCAAGTCTACACAAGACGAACAATACTCTGAGTTCACTTCGCGAAATATAAAATGATCCACTAGAATGTTGGTAAGTTCAATTTCTCCGATATCAAAGCTCTCGTTGAAAAGCTCTGTTGATAACTTCAAATTGGCGCATCTGTCACAGGGAAGCTCATCCCTTAACGGCCTATTGATGAACTCCTGATGCTGGCGCTCCAGGTCGTCGTCCATGATGACTATTTCTGGAGTGGGCACTTAAACATACATCGGGAACTGAATACTCATTCATGAGGAAGTTTGTCTGTACCAAGATATCCATCGAGGCTGAGAGCAAACTGTACCATCTTTACGATTAGGCTGCACCAGGACAACTTTGGGTTGTACTTGCAATTGCAAATTACCCCGCATTCATTAACATTCGTTCCGTTACGGATAACTTCCGTCCACATTTACTATCTCTTGGCAAACTGCGCACTGCCGCACGACAGGGGTCTGTTAACTCATCCCTACCCTCTATATGGCGCCCAGTACATCCCCGGGGCCCCGTGAAAGTATCGGGCGCCACTCCATTTTTACGGCTTTTGAGCGCCCCCCAAAATCTCCGCATCGTAACTCCGTTCCAGGTGGTGGCTCCCTGCCGCAAGGCCGTTTCGTAGACACGAATTTAACCAATTAGAATAAGACGTGTACAGGGCTAGCTTCAGTCAACTTCAAACTCCTTCAAAATATCGATACCCTTCCTTCCTCCCTCGACACTGCCTCTATGACCTCTAATCTGGTTGCGTTACACGTTGTTAAGTTCTTTCTGCCGCCGTAAGCAGCCCGAAAAACGTCCCACTAGGCACGATTTAAAGATAACCCTATTACCCGTGCTATATGTAAAATCCATTTTGCGTTGCTGTTCCTCAGATTTAATTATCTTTCAGAATAATCCTAAATTCTTGTTCTACTGTAATGACGTCCATATGCAATGTCGACAGGATACAAGGGACGAAAATGCACCCGTGATACGCCATCACCGACAAGCTTCGTTCCACAATGTTTGGGTGTCAAACTCAAGGACAACGGAACAACTAGCCTTTTTCGGGGGTTTTTTTTTTTCCTTGTTGATCATTTCCTTATAAACATTAACAAAGCCCAAGGCTGTAATAATGCTGTAGAAACACATTGTAAATCCTACCCACACTTGACCGATATGATTGACACCTGTAGTTGCGAAATAGGGGGTTTTCGAGTGCCTGGTTACATCGAAAATAATACAAACTGACGGCAATGATCAACTGAGTGTTAATTATACTCTTAGTTAAATCAACTAGATCCTGTAGTCCTAACCTCTTCCCATTCGTAGAATATCCTCTATTGACCATAAGAAAGAAAAGATTCGGGACGATATGAGAGGTAATTCATGCATACTCTGCAAGTAGAATGATTGTAGATAACACTAATCAAGGCTGAGCTGGGGCGAGATGACTAGATACGCTCTTGTACCTTGCACCAAGCCCGTATGTGTCCAATCTGCTACGATCGCTGGGAGCTTGAGACATGCTTCTGTCTCGTATCGCTAATTCCACCTCGCTTTCGGCTATCTGCTGGAAGCGCCGCGAGTCTCTTGACTCCTTAGAGTCGATCATCTTGGAAGTAGAGCGCACTCTAGAAGAGATGAATGAAGGCATGGTAAAGAGTCGAGAAATAAAAGGTCGAAGCAGTGGTCCACAAGCAGCAATGATACCGACTTGCACCTCGGCCAAATTCCAGATCGATAGACCTGTAAGGATAACTGCCATGTATGTCAGTGGATATAGTCTTCACTATGCCATCAGACAGATACTCACGCAAGCCATCCTCTGTGTATTGACCCAGACTTGACTGAATGTAGATATATCCTTTAGCTACTGACGCACCCACGGACCTGGACATTAGTTAAGTATTGTGTCCTTTAAGAGGACATCAGGATCAGGTTGAAAATAACTTACAGTGCGCCAATGAGAAATGCTGAAAGAGTTAGGAGTTTTCGATGCATGTCCATATGCAACCCAAGGATGATTGGAATAGGAATAATAAGGGTGATGAAGTCAGTCGCGATATCAGTTCCTACCATGGCATATCCACTGGACACTGCTCCACCACAATGTTCCAAGTATTCGGTCGGCGTGCCAAATACTGCTGAAAGGTGGGAACCACATTCCAAAAGCCCTGCTAGTACGAAAGAAGTTGCCCAAGCCGTAATGACAACCATCCAAACAATGAGGAAGCGGCGGAGCACTGTTCTGCTCGAGATCTGAGCAAACAGTTGCCAATAGAGAAAGCAGACTGATAGTTTGATCAATCCCAGAGCAGTAATGCCTAATAACAGAAAGGCAAGCTGAATCTATGCTCATGTGTCAGAATAAAACGACAATGGGATAGCATCCATACAGAAACTGTGATCCGGATCAACTTGAATCTTACATGTTTAGCTTTATTAAGCTGTCCGGTTACAGATGCTGGATCTATAAGGGTTGCGCCAATTCGGTATCCAAGCGACTTGATGGCGATGCCTGTGCATTTCAATCTCAACCTGGCAGCTCAAAATCGTTCGCAGGTATCTGCTTACCATATATCTCCAACACTGTCAAGCCTGTTCCAAAGAGCCAGCTAGCTAGAATCAACCAGTCGCTCACGCGTAATGGCTGTCTTTCATGCAGTTTGAGGCTAAACCTCAAAGCGACGCACAGCACAGTCAACAGCCACAAGATCACGCTTGCGGCGATAAGGCCTGATGGGTCATCATACATGTTGACTGAAATGAGTAAAAAAAAACAGAAACTACCAGTCTCTGGATTGGAAATAGAGGATGTATGGAACTTTTTATCAGTAATTGAGTAAGAAGTATTGACAATTTCGAGCAGAACGCGCGAGAAAGGAGCAGGAGGCGACTGGGAAATTGTTCTTTACTTATGTTACGTACAGTTACACGCACGCAATTATGTGATTTCCGCAGCGCTCAGCTCCAAAGTCTTGAGCACCCAGCCATTGGCATAAAGCCATAGTGAACGGATGGTTATCAGCCGAAAGAGTAATTGAGAGGAGTACCGTATTCGCAGGATTGATGCCCGCTAGCACGTGCATGTTGGCCTAAATAAACCAACATTATCATAAAGACAAATAATTTAATTGGCCAACTAGCAATAGCCACAAGCTTCTGCATCCTGGTGGGGTCTTTTCGAATAAACTAAGCACAATCTATTATTGCATAGATTATTGTTGGAAACTTCTCAACATTTGGTGTCGTTAAACTGTATGTTTGCGTCATGAAGTGCAAATCATTGCGCGGTATGTTTTGTTACATTCGATGATGCTGAAAAGAGCCTAGTTGGAGTTACATGCAACCTCTCTCACTAGAGCCGTGGCCAGTTAGTCCTCTCGTCTTGAGGTGGATAGTCCGCGAATGCATGCGGGTATACGTGCCGATGTATGTTCCATGTAACCTACGCGCGCGACTTTTAGCGTCTTCCCTCGCAAGCATGCCAATTCGATGCCATATGCAAATCAGAATCCACTATAGGTGGTTGGTGATGCCTCGTCCCTTGTCATATCTGGCTATTGATTTGAGAATACAACCCTAGCTCATATGCAGATCGACGAGCTTTGGGGCTATGCAGTGATATTGATACCGAGCCAAGCACACTTCAACTTACTAACGCGACCCAGTACATCAGTAAGATTGTCACCGAGACACCAACGGTCGTCCGGCATACCGACAAATGTCACCATAATATGTGTTACTGTGAACCTTGTCCTTTGTTGGCTTATCTGTGCAATATGACTACCCAGCTGGCCAATATGGTGCAGGTAAAAGCTACGAGCTCTGTTTTGCGCCGAGCTGTTTGACCAAGAATATATCGAATTGAGAGGACTATGGTACACAAAAGAATGTACAGATATCATATCCCATGCACAATCAGACCACCTCTTCTTGTTGCGGCCCACCAAAACAAGCCTCGGACATTGGACGCAATATCTAGGAGACATACTACGTTGTGGCGTCCGAGATAGTATTATTAATATTTTGAGTTTTAGGAGTAATGTGATGATCATGCAGTTGTTTATCATCCCCTCACAACTTCAAACATGTTTTCCGGGGGACCAACAACATCATCTAAACTGGCAGATCTACCGGCCATCCATTCGTGTAAAGCTCGCCAGTCTACACAAGCATGAGGCTGAGGAACTTTAACCGCGGGCTTATACCTGTTGTGCGGTGTCCATTTAAGTGTATACACACTTACGTCCGCCTGGCACATTACTGCCAGACGAAGCGATTCTAAGCAGTGATCTGCATGCATGAAAAGCTCGTCCCATGATTGTCCTTCTTTACCGTAATAGTACTCTGGGTGCATGAATTGCTTGATTCGTTTCTATGTGGTCTGTCAGGTAAAGCTTTCGTGGCTGTAGTTGATATCATGAGCGTATTAAAAATTGGATGACTTGATAGTGTTACATACCACGCAATGCAAAGAATGTGATATTCCTAGTCCTCCGACGTATCCACCATCTTTGTGCTCTATAGATGTGGCATTGTTTGCAAGAAGCAGCTCCTCACTAGACAGACGAATTGCAGTAGCTGAAAGCAGTTCATGCCATGCTTCGTCCATCTCTGGTCGTGGTAGACCCAAAAACTTTGGAGTATCAGGATCACCCTTTAGCCACTTGTTGACATATGACACCGGTGCTGGAGCTATTAGGATGTTAGCGATGGTTACTGGCCCAGGGTTCTAGACACGGACAATATGGTATCGTCACTCCTTTATTCAATGGTGAGCATGAAAAGGTGTTAATCCTATACATGAATCCAGCGATGATGATTGTGATCAGACCGACTAAAGACACAAGTAGAAAGTAGAATCTTTGCCGCCATGCATTATGCGAGGTTGCTCTCGAGGATGCCAAGTCATTATCAGTGCTCTCGTCGCTTTCACCAACAGCACGATATTTGTGCTTTAAGATAGGTAAAAGAGGCATATCTAGAACCATGAGAAGTATTCTGGCAGCAATTGAATGGAGTGGGCCGATGTTGTCAAGGGGTAGGGTGATGCGATGGATAAAAAGAGGAAAAAGAAAACATGGTCTCCTAAATCCAGAATAGCTGTGAAAACCCAGAGAAACCCGCGTGACAGCAGGTTAAAGAACTGCTGATAGTTGGATCGGAAGACATGCAACCTTGGTGCAACCTTCTGCAGACTCTGTACACTTGTCCAGCCAGTATTGGGGGCTGTGGTGGGCAGAAGCTTCATCTAGCCAATACGATAGTCGGGGGAGGGGGGTTGGTTTCAGATATCTACAGGAGGCAATATACAACGGCTGTCTACTGTATCAATATCATGTCATGTTGCTAGGGCAAGCCTTTTGTTATAGATCAACCTCCAATTAGAGGTCATGCTTGGATATGCATCATGCTCCAAAAAATTACACATGCATATATCGACAGCTCGGCTTTGTGATACTATATGAATGTCACTGTGACTACATTTCAGATGGGCTTCCTATGTATGGCGATGTACTGTTCATGTAGATCTATTGGAGGAATCGTCGCCAGCATGAGCGGAGATGTGGAGATACGCATTTGCAGATACCTATATACATACTACAATGGTAGCCACTCCCTACCCATAATCATACGGAAGCGAACGCACCCATCTATCTTCATTGTTTTGTGAAAGTCAAGTTTTCGATATCGCCGCCATTTAAGATGAAGGTCCTTACCCTGCTCATCTTTGCTGTTTCAGTTTCGGGTGCACCAATAGCGCTCAGCGTCCCAGGTAAATGTTTACTCTTTCTCCTTGAATCGAGTTATCATCAGATACGGGGGACTGATCTGGACTCGCGCCTAGATGCTCCAGCGAAACGAGACGGCTCCACGGAGTTTGACACTGATCTCTGCTTGATCAAAAGATCAGAGGAAGAGCGAGGCATCACTGGTGTTGGATTGAAATGGTGCGACTTTTAGCTGATTAGTAACTTCAATCTGCAGTATATAGAGCAGTGTCTGACAAGGCAAATGCTTGAGTGTGGCGGTGATGGGTGGATGGGTGGGGGCTGTATAGGGGAGTTTTAGGGCAGTGATAGCTAGCCAGGGGTTACATCGGGACTGACGTCGGCGGTAGGCTGGCATGCAGGGCTGAAGCAATTGTTACCCGTGATTGCATTAGAGGCCACCGGTGTAGGGGCTTGTGTGAATCCGATTCGCTCGTGCTCGTTAATTATGTGTTTGTGCAGTATTATTGGTGCATACTTTTGCTCTTAGCGTTGCTGGGCATATGCGTTAGGGCTGATCCATCCCGCATTTGTAGCCGCCGATGGAGTCCGTCTATTAAAAGTTATGCGGTATAGATTAGCATTGCACTTTCCCAATATCAAATACATGAACTTATTGCCTACCGGACAGGATTTACAGTGGTAGTTTGCCCGCAGCGACCTTTTGACCGGATGAAACCCCACTGCAGTGCTGACCTTGTTGGCTGTTGCTGCTGTGCCGCAATTTGTTGGTTGCACATGACGTTGGTGGGGCAGCTACCAGTGTTGAGTTTCCACAACAGCGTGAATGTTTGCTGTAGTCTGACGAGTTGTGCCACCTCAAATTACTATTGAGACAACTCAGAATGATTGGACTCGCCTCGTCAATAATCCAGCGGACGTGGGGGATAGTTCAGTCACGTTGTACGCGTCATTTATCCTCGCTGTTTGCCGTGTCACACTATTTCTCAAAATCGCTCACCTTTCATTCATCTATAGTGTACCAAGTCACCAAGTCAAGATGGTTCGAGTTCTTCGGTGCGCTGCAGCACTATTGGCGCTATTCACTAACATTGCTGCAACGACAGGACCTATCGTTGAGATCAAACCCAAGAATATCAAATATCAAGGAGTGCTCAAGGACTCCGTCGAAGAATTTCACAGCATCAAATTTGCTCACGACACCTCTGGACCACGGCGATTTGCGCCTCCAGAGCCGTATACACCCCCTGATGGCAGCAAAATTGATGCTACAACCCCTGGTCCAGCATGTCCCCAGATCAGAGACCCCATTCCGCCGTTCTTTGGCGCTGCACCAGATCAAAGCGAAGATTGCCTCCACCTTCGCATATCAAGGCCAGCTGGAACTACCGCAATTGACAGATTGCCTGTCGTTGTTCATATTGTCGGTGGTGGTGTTATAAAGGGACATACGCAAGAACCACTTTTTGACCCCGTCAACTTAATTACACATTCGTCAAGCATCAAGAAACCTATCATACACGTCGTTCTCAACTACCGTGTCACAATCTTTGGCTTTGCGCGTCTGCCGATTCTCAAAGACCAAAGATCACTGAACGTGGGGATGCGAGATCAACGAGCTGGATATCAATGGGTGAAGGACAACATTTCGTCTTTTGGCGGTGATCCGGACAGGATCACCTCCTTTGGTCTGAGTTCCGGTGGCACCTTTTCATCTCTCCACCTCGTGACATACGGTGGCGAGCAAGGCGTTCCTTTCACTCGGGCCTGGGCTATGTCCGGCCCTCCAGGGACGGCCTTGAACATGACGTCTGATGCTACTGAAATACATACTCGTGCTGTAGCTGAGGCATTGGGATGTGCATACAAAGAAGACCAGGACATCCTTGATTGTTTAAGGGAGATACCGATGAATAAGCTGACGGAAATCGCCATGGCGTATTCTATCAACAACCATCCACCAGCCGGGCTCTTCACATTCATACCCTCAATTGATGGCGACTTTCTACCTGATCGACAGTCGACACTGTACAAGGCTGGAAGATTTGTCAAAGGTGTTCCTATGGTCTTTGGTTGGGCCCATGATGACGGCGCCACCAATGCCGGGATAGCTACGACGTATGAGATCGAGGCTGATATCAAAGCAGTGATCAAGAATTTCGCTCACGCCCTTACCGAGGAGGACTATAAATCGCTATTCTCTCTTTACGCAGTTTCAGACTTCGAAACAGAAGTATCAAACTACGATGCTCGAAGAGGCGAATCTGATCCGAAGGTGTCTATCCATTATTTCCGAGCGGCTCGTATTATGCGAGACCTACTATTCACATGCTCATCCCTGGATTTTGGGTCTGTAATCACGAAACATTCTAAAGCTTTAGATCAATCATTTCCTGGTGTTCATTTGTACAACCTTAATCAAAGCATGGTGACACCGCTTTTTCAGGCCGCGGGGATGCCTTGGCTCGGCGTCATTCATGGCAGTGACGTTGACTATATTTACAACAACATGTTCACAAGAGACAAGATGTCGGAGCAAGATCTTCAGCTCTCGAACCAAATCCTCGCATATTTTATTAACTTCGCTTACACAGGCGACCCAAATCATAACGGCTCTTCCGCATGGCCTGAGGCCTTCCCCACAAAGAATGATTTGGAAGTCACAGATATTGAGCTGTCCAATCCATTAGAAACCAACGTCCAGCTTATCGGTGGACCTTGGGGCACTGGAAGTTGTCACCTGACAAAAGATGCAAAAGTAGTTGGAAAGGTCGAGGACATGCAAAGGATGATCGACAGTACACAGTTTGGAGAAATGAACACCGGAAGTCGTCAGCAGGGCCAGCAGGAATTTGAGCGCGAGAAACTGGTAGAAAGATGCGCGTTCATCAATAGTCTGGCCGGAAGACTTGGTAATTAGAAAAAGGGTGCTTAGATACAGCAAGAGAAAATGTATGCGATTGGTGCATTACTTCTATATCAACAATGGCTGAAATGATCATACAATCCAGTTGGCAGCAGATTCATTATGTTACACTTGTGGACCGGTGCCGATGTTCCAATCTAGTCTAGCAAATGAATATAACATTGCCAAATCCCTAGTGCATGTAGAAATGGGCTTTGAGAAACTGCTTTGTGCTGGTTTAGCATCACAACGTCCTTCCACTGAAGCTTCTATCGAAGATGATGTTCATTCTCGTTGCTCCAATGGGACTTTATTTAGGACATCGAGGACGTGAAATCCATAGCGCCTTGAAATCTTGGATATAGTGCCATATTGCCCCAGTTCTGCTTGTATCTCCATTGAGAGTGCGAAATATGTCGCCCACTGCGGTTCAAAATACAATATGCAATCATACAGTTCATCGCTAGTTTAGAGCCGCTGAAAGGAATAATTATGAAATTCCGTCGAGTTGTATACCATGACCGACGTCGAGGTCGTTCGATTGGGGTTTTAAGACCCGAGAACGCCAACGGTTGAGACGTGATGCGAGCGCGATCAATTATGCACATTTTAATTGTGCCAGGAGCGATAGTAGGAATATTTACGGATGATGTGGCGTCGTGACTGGAATGAATACTAAGAATGATAAAGTCACCAAATTTACCTCAATCCGTACATGGTTTACAACGAAGCGCGGGGAGATATGCTTGCGATTGGACAATTTCTCCTTTCTCTTGGTCCCATTGCATCAAAATGTGAGTAAACCGCCCTCGGCCATCATGAAATGTGTTAAACTATTGGTTTATAGGATGAGGGATTTGTAAGTTTTTGACCCTGTAGTATAAGAAAGGTTTAGATTATGCACAAGATACAATAGACGCCAGCTGCTAGCCTATGCGCGGGCTAATACAATCTTTAGTCAAATGTAGTCGGTACGAGAGGATGTCTCATCTAAGACGACATAGAAATCTTGGGGTGACACTATCTATTGGATAGACAAGACGAACTCGTGCATAACATTACCTATGAAATTCTTCATGACACCGTGTTTTGCTACAAGATTGCTACACGGCTAAGCATAGACCGGATGTATGACTAGAAAATTCCGTTTGACATGATCGAGAAACACAAACGAGGAGCATGGAAGGACGGCTGAGAATTAGGAATTAAAGTAGACTACATTGTGGAGATATACTTGGCCCGGATGCCTGTGTTACTGCAATACTGTTTTTTCACCTGATGAAACTGAAGAGCATACAACAACGGCTCACCCCGCTTGTGCACCCGCCTATACAGTAGCCTCGGGGATGGAAGCACTTCTATACGAGCTGCTCTAATACATCAGTAGACAAGGCTGTTTTTGCCATCGGCGGCGCATTCAATACCATTCCTTCTGCGATTAGTCTCGGCCAACACGGTGCCATGATCCGCTGGGCCTCAGGCGATCAGAACCTCGATTTTAATGTCGCCTTGCCGGGCCATGATGATGCGACCACGGGTAGCTCACACCTCCAAGTCTTCTGGTAGTTGGCAACCTAACCAACGCTCTCAGAGGCCTCGACATGGTCGCCGACATGGAAGCACGGATCGAGGCCTCCCACCAGCGATCAGGTGTGCTTCAACCTCGTAGGCTACGGTTCCCAGCGCCCCACTTCACGGTATCGTTCGCGCACAACCATCTGAGCCTCCCAGAGGTTGGGCTGTGATGCATGGCCGCTGGCGGATATTTTAGACAGCTTCGCGCCGTGACATTGCGCGGCGCTTCTCAGGTTGTAGCGGGTTCTGTTACATCGCTCGTCGCCACCAACATCAGCACCGGCCCCCGCCCGCGTGGGTATCAAGCCGAAAAATAGCACGGGAGACTTCATGGTTACTCTGTATGCTGTCCAGCTTCGTTTACCGGGCTTCGTGGCATTTGCAAGGCCTTTAGAAGTGTTGTAGACACGGCATGTCCAGATAAAAAGCACTAGCCAGAATGAAGATGCAAATACCTGTGTTAGCCAATTGATGGTCTGTACCCGAAAAAAAAAATGAAACCTTTCCTTAGAAGATCTCTTTGCGCAAAAGGACTGTGGATCGTCTCTATGATGGGTTGGAATATATAAAACTAGTAATTGTACTACTCCATGGTATCTAGCAATGAAGTCAAGCATCAGAGCCCATTCTTTGCCATACTGAATGACGACTACCCCACATCACGTCTAGCTTTCCACGTACATATTCCAGATCCTAACAACACTTGCATGAAAGTCAACTCTCTCCCTGTCTGCGTTACCATGTACGAATACAAGGGTAATACTTAGGTGTAATTCATCATGCGATATAGCGGGGTTCTGGTTGGGCAACCTGACGACACCTTCGATTGTTTCCATGTTACCGGGACTCCCGGCAGGAGGTCTGCGATACCCCTGCGAACGACGCATCCCACTCTGGATAAAATTACAAATGAAGATAGATATTGTAACAAACTCTGAGTAGATGGATACATACTAGGAAGAGTTAGATGCTAGTTGGCAGGGCAACTGGACCAACCGGTAGGCCATGTGCTTATACGACCGGGTCTCCGGCGGAGATATGCGGTCGCCGAATGCGATCGAGTCCACGAGAACCGCCAACACTGTGTCAGACCCGTGCCGTCGCCCCTTCTCCGGTCCCGCGTACCAAGGTCCGGTCTCCAGGTTCCGGAGGTCGATTTTATCATCGGTCGACACAATGAGGATAGTCTCTGGGATCAAGCTGTCTTTGGGAACATCAGGTGGCCACCCAACGTGCGAACCGCGAAGTTCGCCGGTAGTGTCAACCTCGCCGAACCGGAACGTCTTCCCTGCCAAGAGTTGGACCCCGCTGGGTGACCCGTTCGAGAGGAGGACAACAGAGTCTGCGCAGATATCGAAGAGGAATAAGTACAAAGTCCGACAGCCTGTGTTGGTCACAGAGATGTACATCCTAGATCCTTCAGGTAGTGTCACGTCCGATGCGGGATAAGGCCTAGGCTTCCCGTTCTCAACGGATCCAATCTCATAACGTAGTGTCATCCCTGAAAGCTCTTCGGACGGCTCGCTCCGCAGATCTAGTAAATGCTGCGCCCGGGCCAATGATTCCAGCACCAAGACGCAGTTGCAGACGAGCTGGCTGAGGTCCCCATCCCGGCCGATCTCCCAGTCTCGGAGCAAGTAGTGTCGATAATGCCATATCCTAACCCGGTTTCCGGTCTGCTCAATCTTGGCTATACTCTCGACTTCATCAATTGGTTCTGAAGGGCGGATGAGTGGCGACAATCGTAAATGTTCCCGCAGCTTGTGCGCGAAATCCCCGCGTCCGGAGACGTGGATCGGGAGTACGCCAATTGATTTCTTCCACATGAACGCCTTGGCTCCGGCGGGTAGGTGAGGTCCTCCGTTTCTCCATGACAGCTTAATTCTCGATTGCGTAGGTCCGACGCTCATCACCTCGGCCTCCGCGAGCATGTTCTGTTCTACCAAGCCTCCGCTCTCCTCGAACAACATGATAGCAAAAATGTCCCCATGAGCCACACCGTGGAGAGTCCCACCCCTGAGGAGAAACTCGCCAGGAGCCGTCTCGGCTGCTGAGAGCGCCGTTTTCGTGGAGGCGGTCCTCTCCTGGAACGGTAAACGGTCCTGCGGGCCTTCGATGTCCGGATACTGTTCTGGACAGGTCCGCGACATACGGTCGCGCACTCGGCACATGATATCACGCCATGGCAGCCCCGAGTCGACACAAGACCTGAGCGTTTCTGATAGCGCTTCGGTCAGAACTCCCATGCGCTCGCCGTTCGGGAACTGCTTCTCGTAGGCGGACTCGGAGATTGCCGCGCCAACGACGGAGATGACGTGGGGGTTGCGCTCGTGATGGAAGTCGTGCTTGGATAACATCCCCGGCAGCATCTTCCTGATATGTGATATGACGTGACGGTAGTCGTTGGGGTCGATGGTCTTAACCGAGGTTAGGCCCCTCGCCATGTGCGCCGCGTGGCAGCAGTCAAGGATAATGGTCACGTTTTTGGTCTTTTGGGTGGTCTGATATAGTAGATCTCTTATATCTGCGTCAGAGATACCTCTCCAGTCTCCAATCTTTGTTTCCCCGAAGTCAACCGGAACAAGATACTGCAACCTGCGCGCTTGGTCGCCCCATTCCGATCCGTCCGCTTCGGTGAGGCCGCCATGGCCAGAATAGTAAATGACGACGGCGTCAGATGGCCCCGTCTGCTCTATAAGTCTCTGCCAGGCGGAGGTAATGCCCGATCTTGTGGCTGGAAATGGACCATCATCGGCTCCGAGGCATTTCTGGACCGAAAAGTTGTAAAGCGATAGCAGTTTCTCCATTATACGGACATCGTTGACAGGGCCAACCAAGGGGTGGACGGGGGACCCGATAAGAAGGGCTCGAGACCGAAGACGGACCGGCTGCAGTTGAGTGGGACGCATTCTTGGAAAATATTCCATGGCACTTGCCGGCCCGCTCCCTATACAGGCTTACAACGAGGGCAAGGTGGCTGAAGTAGCTTGATGAGCAAGCTGCCTAGCCAGGAATGCGCAGGATGGTGGACGGTCCCGTCCCAATGCGGACAGTCCTGTAAGTAGAGTAAAGAGCTAGAGTGTGCCTATTATAGGAGATATTTTGAGATCTAATTTTCCGAGTATGCCTGGAAAGTAGGCCATATGGTAGTGCTATGGAACAAGGGAATACCGTCTTCGCGCTGATAGCTAGTATTAGAAGCCAGGATTGCGGCCTTGAAGAATCACCAGATCTACGCATAGAATGCGCGATAACTCTGATCACATGTTTCCGAGAAATAAGAGAAACAAAACAGAAGCTAGAGTAAAACTATCTTTAAACTCGGGCACCAATTTTATGCTCGGTGTTAGACCCCCAGTAAGCTCATAACTTCATCCATTTAAGTTACATCGAAGTTGGCGTTGTCTACACAACTCCGTATTGGAGTGTGGATGGTCAGGTCACGCGCTGAACACTCCAAGCAAGGAATTCAAAAGCTCAATTTCGATATTTTCGACATACAACTAAACTTTCCCTGTCTCGAGTTTCATCAAGAGTTAATTTAACTAATAATTGGTTTAAAGCAAATAGCGTGGAGGTGTATGACGCTATGATAGTCACCACTCGGCAGTGGCTGTTCACTTGCCATGCTCCCATTGCGATCGATAGGTACCTACCTACTAGTCCTAGTAGAACCAAGCCTTATAGACGCCGCCCGGCTATTTGTCGAAGATTGAATTAGGTTTCATGGCGACGCCCCCCTTTCCAAGCCGCTTTCTCGAAATTGCACGGAATTTTCCGTTTCACCTTAACGCATTTCATATCAGCACAAAAAGGCGTCTGTTAGTCAGACTTCCGACGCCAATGGTCGAAATGTGAGGTCGTTCATAACCACGTTATCCGCTGTAGTAGCTCCATCCTGGACCTCCCACATAGCTGAAGCCCTGCCCATCACTACCCCCATAGTGGCCCATGCTTGTCGACCAACTATGGCTCCCACCAGCACCACCACTGGCACTCGCTGACGCGCGCAAATTCAGGCGACCGAGAATAAGAGGGCTTCCCTCTGCTCCGTAGGTGCCGTCGCCGTTGACCCACCAGCGTCCAGGCATCACAACCGTCCCAGCGCTCTGCAGGCCTACAACGTCTACACTATGAATCTGGCGACCGTTGATAAAGACACCTGTACCAGTATTCCCGGAGGCATTCTCGGCGAGTTGCCCGCAGCCAAGAGGTAGGCCAGGCGACAGGAAACCACTACAAGGTCCTCCGATCATCCCGTAAGCCCCACTGCGGCGATCGTACCTATGCCTACAATCAGTTCTCCCACGTGCTGGGCGAGGGTAGCTCGGTGGTACCAGTAAGACCCGGGTAGTACAGCACCAAGCAATGCCTGGAGGCTCATGATGTCTGCCTGCCCAAGGCTGACGTCGTTGACAATGACCTGGTTTCCGGATAACGGCGTAGTGGGGGGTTGTGTGGAAAGGGCTGGTGGGGCCTGATCGCGGGATATCAGAGACGACATGCCCGGTGCTAGGGATTCAGGCAAAGCGGCTTTCGCCATAATCCCGAAGGTGGAGCTCCACGAAGACCGCCTATCGCTTGACTGAGGGGATTGGGAGTTTGTGGTTACGCTTGCTTGTCCGTGAGGCGCAGGCATGCTGGAAGTGGCCTGGGGGCCACTAAAGACGCTCGTATTAGAAATGATTGGCTGTTCCAATGAACCGGGCCTCTCATCAGCGTATTGGGCGACACCAGGTCCTGGATTTGAGAACTCGGGCCGTGGTGGGCGTAGAGGCACCGTTTGGGTGAGTGATGGGGAGGCAGGAAGCGCTGTTTGAGTGAGGGAAGAGGCGGGAAGAGGCGCTGTATTGACAGGTCGCCGACGAATATGAGGTAGCGCGTTATTGGGTCGTGGGGGGAGAGGAGGTGCGGCGGAGTCAGCCCCGGATGTCACTGAGCTGGCCGGAGCCATCGGACCAAAATGTAGGCAAAACGGATCCGCGTGATTCTGCGCCATGCTTCAAAGCTCTCTGTTCTCATCGTGACAGAGAGGCAATACAAGGATTCGTCCGAGATTGATGTCTGCGTTATATGTTTCGCTGCTGTGTTTTTGTCCTGTAAAGTCTTTCTGGGCATGTGTCCTACCTGGAGTGCGGCTCGTCAGGGCTGCCACCATCTCGTCGCTATACCGGGGTAAACCCTATTATCGCCAGAGCAAAGCTTTACCGAGCAACCACATGAAGATGAGAGACTGGAACTGCCTACTATTGGAACTAAAATTGCGCTATATACGGAACTTGCCGTTGGGTAGTGCAATAGACGCATGTGCTCATGAGTCTGGTCTCAGCTTGTGGATAGCTGGCGCCCACATAGGCAGAGCTTATTACTATGGTATTTTGCAAGCCGGCCGGCTAACTGGGCTGCTGCAGCCCAGTCAAGTGCCACTTGCTAATCATCTAGTTTACTACAGTATAGCTCACTATCATAAAAGATTTTCAAGATCACGGTCGAAACGCAGCCTATTGGTATTTCCAATTCGACAATAGCACTTCGCAGGATATCCCAAAACTGCTACAGTCAATCATTGCACAATTCAGCTTCTTTCCTTTGCCCGTCTTGTAAATTGCTTTATTTTATTTTATTTTCTTTTTTTTCTTTCTTTTTTTTTTACGTTGGCGAACATGCGGAATGGCATCTTGCCAATTCGACAAGTCCTGGACACGAGTGCAAAAATCCATCTCATGGTTTAGTAAGTCATTATTCGATTGGTTTCAATGGTTTCGATTATTTCAAGTTTACTCAGCCAGTACCACCAATCAGTGAGTTTCAGTTCCATAGGATACAATTGAATCATACAACGCGCAGGCAAAAATGGTGGCCTGTGAAGCTCTATATCGCAAAACAACTAGGCAAGTTTCTAGCTTGGAATGTGAGGGCGTTAGACTCGAAGCTATCAACAAACATTGAACTAATCAAATTCGTTCACAAAATTTAACTTTATGTGTCTATCTCCAACTCAATGCAAAAGCTTAACGCATATTCTTAGAAATAAGATGATTTTGAGACAGCAGATTGGCTACTAACACAAGAAAAAAGTGCCTCAGGCAATAAGCTACCCTGCTACCAAACCACCCCTCCCCCCCACTCCTTCCGGGTTCATTAAAAAAGTAGCCGTATAAAGAGAAAGATTCTCTCCGTGCTTGACGAGTTAAACTGCTTGGGGAATACTCGGGGTGTAGATTGTGTAGTTGAATTGACCGAATTCAGTGATGCATGAGAACTGCGCAAGAACACCACAAGTTACTCGACAAGCTATTGAGCTTAGCAACGTCCAATAGTATCACCCATAACCCCAGTGATTCCGACCGATGATGGTTCCTATATTCTAATTACAATAAAATTCAAAGAAATATATGCCTTAATCAGCACTGATATTAATATTACTCATGTCATATCTTACCATACAGTTGCACCAAGAAACGGAGCCATCTTTTTCCCGTGCCTTACTAGCACATGTTATACCTGCCAGACTTCTCCAAGACGGTACATAAAGCTCGCTATTGACATGTGATTATTGCAGTATGTTAATAGACGGATAGAAACTACAATTAGAGAATGAGCCTTCCCACCATCGGCGACCTTTTTGAACTTCAAGTCTTCAGTATCGAAAGGAATTGTTCTGGTTCATCATGTCTTATCCTCGGATCCCTGTTGGTGAGGTGTCCAAACTTGCGGAAAATCTATTGAGTTTCTTTGGGCATCGCGGACTGAACCGCGACGATCTCGCTGCCGAGAGAGCATCCATGGAGCAGCGTCTTCAAGAGCTTCAAGAGTTCCAAGAAGCTGACACGCCTACCAAGGCTCAGGCCTCGCTAGAATGTGGCATCAGTTGCCTTCTTCAAGGCGAAACGTTGGTGGCATTCGAGCACTTCAAGAAGGCAGCAACTTGCCATTATGACCCAGGGATTCACCTTCAGGCGCTGTGTTACGGACTTCACTGCCTGTACATGACATACCAGTGGATGGCGGGCTCCCAAACGGTGCCAGCGGATGAAATGGATCAACTTTACGATCTCGAAAGAGCACTACCATATTGGGTGAATAGAATCTCCGAGCTTGAGAGATTTGTCGGCTGGTCTCTCACAAGCCATATGAGATGCCTACTGGAACAGCACCGCGCTGTTCTTGTTCAGCCCCTGGGAAGCTCTCAACAACTGCAGGCAGCACAGACGCTTGAACACAATATCATGAACCTCTCGTTAGTTGGAGTCTCATTCCAAGCAATAGCCCCGTTGCTGTTTGAGATATCCAACCTCTATCGCCGCGCAGACCCGCACTCGCCCCACGGGGGGGAGGTAATCAGCAGCTTGTTTCGCAAATATTCTGACGTCGATGATATCGTGGGGATGGCACATTGCGAGATGGAATTAGGCGATCTCGAATGTGCGCCGAACGATCCACCAGAGTACTGGGGTATCATGGTCCATTCAGGTTTCCATAGCACCACGTCCAAGCCACTGGTCAGCTCTTACAAGCTCTCAATTACTGCTGCTCAGATTGAAAGTGCCGCCCGACATTACGCGACCGCGTACTCCCTATTTCAGCAGGCTAGCTTCCGGCGAGGATTGGCATCTGCCAGTATGCGGCACGGCTATTTAGCAACCTTACGAGCAAGAGCCGGGGATACTATGCGTCACTACCAAGAAGCCCTTCGATATTGTACTATGGCACGGTGTGGTTTTGAAGACACAGGTGACGTTGTTGGGTTTCAGAACGCTCGCGTTCATTTGATGCTCTGTCGAGCTGCTCTCGGGCAACTTCCCGAGGCCACACACTCAGCAAGGGAGATTGGGATTTGGGGTCGAACGAAAGGTAGTGTCAGCTACACCTTCGGGCTGGGTCTCTTCATAGCGGCACAAGCGCAGCAGTGGATAACGGATGAAGGTGACTATGAGCGGGGTCTGGCCGCATACAGACTGGCTGAGGCACTGCTAGATGGCTTGGGACTTTCACGACCTTGTACGATGAGTATTGTGGACCAAACGTCGGTCCACGAGATGCTTGGAGAACACAACAGATTTCTCATCACGGCTGAGCGCGTCCTGAAAATCTGTCGAAAAATCTACGAAGGGTCAGGCTCGCCACTCACCTCATGGGCCAGACAGCAAGCAGCATACATGTTACAGCGCATACTACGCCAAGCCATAGCGCGAGAGGATCCGGATCAGATCGAGAACGCTGTTTTCAGGATACGGCTGATATATCCTCAGCAACCTCAGACGGCTGCAGTGCAAAACCTTGCCTCGATTTGCCATATGAATCTCACGCTATCCGGCTCTTACTCAAACATAGATATGGACCAACTCGGGGATGTCGTGTCAGATCAGACGACTCAATCACTTGTACAGACAGCCGAGTTCCAGGGGCTTATGTTTCGAGCAAGCCGTGCTCGTCGGGATGGCGACATGGACAAAGCCGAAGGCATGTGGAAAACTGCTGAGTTAAAGGCGCAACAGGGCGAAGACCCACGTATGAAAGCTCTCCAGCTAGCCAACGTCTCCACTGCCTGGAAAAGATATGGTGATTCTGAATCCTACCTAAATGAATATTGCAAATTAAGCCTGAATGGCGCGGCGACCGCGCGACATATTCACTCAAATTTGGCGGCAGATCTGGGCCAACTCCTTTACCAGGAGTCCGGAGATATCTGTCAGCATGTATTGCCCGGATTTACCCGTATTGGAAAGTTCGACCGGGCTGGAGAGGTCCTCGATGTGTTGATTAGACTCCGCGGCGATGAGTGGTGGAGCGCTGGTGATGTGGTATCAAACCTGACAGCGGCTGCAGAAGTCAGGGAGGGCCAGGACAAATTCTCAGTCGCGTGGAAACTATACGAACAGGCCATAGAGGTGTTCGAAGATCGACGAGGCCGGCTATCACTAGATGAGTACAAGCTCTCCTTAGCCGGCGGTTCTAAGTTACAGGGACTCTACTTCAAGGCAGCGAGAACAGCTGTGAAGTGGCATCGAAGTTGCTGCCAGACCATCCCCGCGCCGGCGCACACACATCACCTAGAGAATGCCTTCATGACACTAGAAAGGGGGAAGGCCCGTAGCTTACTCGACTTGATGGCCGCTGGCACTTTGATGTATACCAGATTTTCGCCATCCGGACTTCGTGAGTGGGACAGCTACAGGCGGACGGGCGCGTACATTGCCGCCAAGCGGGGCGTGCTTCGGCAGCTGTATGAACTGCAAAACCCCGATAAAGACAGGATCAGCGAATTAGAGGTAGACATACTGGCAGCTACCGAGAGACAGAGCCGACAAGAAGGACGCCTCTTTGCTGAAAAGTCCCCTACAGCCAAGCGCTTCGTCACCACTACAGATGTTTCCGACATCCAAACGCTTAGATCCCAGATGGACAAGGATACAGTTGTTCTGCAGTACGCATACCGAGACAACGACTTCATCGCGTGGGCGATAACTGTAGACGACGTTACCGAAGTTTATCGCTCAGTACCCGAGATAGAACTCGAGCTGCGAATCAAACGATTTCGCCAACAGTGTCAATCATCATCGCCAGATATCGTGCCCGGACAGGCACAGCCTATGGATGGGCAGTGGCTTTCTCAACATCTACTCCCGTTTGAAGCCATCCCAGACAAGTCTCACGTAATATTCGTCGCCTACCGAGCCCTGCATACCCTCCCTTTCCACGCTCTGCCCTTCAAGGGAAGCCCACTGGTGGCAACACACTCAGTGTCCTACCTCCCCAGCGCGAGCTGCATAACCTATTTGCAACAATCTAGCGCAGATCATGTTGGCTTCAAACTACTAGCTATAGGTAATCCCTCAAATATGAAGCACGAAGACATTGTGTCGGGGACATCACGAAACCTGAGAGAACTGCAGTTTGCTGAGGCTGAGGCAACATATGTCGGCCGCATTAATGCGTCTAGTAGGTCGCTCGTGGGCAAGGAAGCCACCAAGAAAGCTGTGACAGACGTAGTTGGAGAATATGACATATTACACTTCGCGACGCATGGGATACTGTGCCCCGAGGTCCCGATGATGTCGTCCGTTGCCCTCGCAGACGGCGAGGAGCTGACGGTTGGCGAACTCCTAGGCCGGCGACTCAAGACATACCTTGTAGTCTTGAGCGCCTGTGACACCGGCATAGGGCAACTCACCGACGGCGATGATGTCATGGGATTTTCCCGCTCGCTGCTAGCGGCGGGCGTCAAAAATATTGTGGTCAGCTTGTGGCCGGTGCACGACCTGGCCACAAGTTTCCTTATGAAGAGATTCTATGAGCAGCTACAGAAGGGCCAGAGAGTATCTGCGGCACTACGGGAGGCCCAGAATGTTGTTAAACAGCTGAAGCCGGACGAGATGGACAGATATGTTGTGGAATTGCGGAAAGAATGTGGGGAAGATACTTTTGCACGGTCAATAGCGCCGGAAAAAGAGAATCCATGGCAGCACAAAGTCTACTCCCAGCCTAGATTCTGGGCGCCATTCATCTTCATAGGACTCAGATAGCGGCGATCTTAGGTCGCCCCAGCGCGGCTCTCACTCGCATGATGTCCTGCCTCGCCGAGACGAGTTTTCCATAAGAGCACACAGCTAGAGCCGCCAAGGTAATAATGAGTCAATTGGACTGATCTTAGGTTGAAATCGTGACCTCGTAGAATGGCCGTGGAGTAAACAGAATAGATCGCAGTATATACACGTACACGTTGTCGTTTCCATCGGGCACTGTCGGATAAGCATTAAGCTTTGGCAGCTGCCCGGTCTATGGGGCTGCGGGATCTCATACCCGTAATTTATGCCCCCATCCGGCGTTTGAATGAAAATATTGGTGTGAAGGCATTCTTGGGATGGCCATCGCTTGAACCCAAATCTTCCCAGTCTCATATGGGCATATGAACTCGAATGTAGATGTGGGATCAGAAGATTTTCAATCCTTGGGAAGCCTTTCCAACCTTTGGGATCTCTTCAGAAGATCTAGTCGGCTCAAGTCTCCAAAGCTTAGTTTAGGATACTCATTCGTGCGAATTATTTCAGCCGAGACTTAAGCAAGCGAGGCAACGTAATATACCCACTTCCATCTTCCAGCTAAGAAGAGCCAGGGGCCATAATTTGCACGCCTAAATCACAGTCTACCATGGAGAGGTTCCTATTTCACTTAAGCCTTGGGCCCTGTTGGCATAATGTAGAATTTTACCCGCATTGTCTGGCCGAATCAAGTATTTGGTGCTTTGAAGTCAACATTGGAAATAGCTACAGCCAGCTATTTGGTGGTTCCACGAGCATTATGCCAGCGAGGAAAGCTATGGCGGTGTCTGGAGCAACCGAAGATGATAACATATTTAGTTGATGTCAAGGTACTGTAAAACCATGTAATCAAGCCAAAAACAGCCTATTACAAAGAAGATGCCACATTTTACACCATTCCAGGGTTTATATTGATGAATCAGGATCAGATCAAGGTCAAGGAGCCTAATATGCGATTTTACAGTAATGGTGAAGAACTTGACAAGAGATTAATCCAGATTAGGTCAGACTAGTACAAAAGTGGGTTTAGACATGGAATCGAAACATAGTCGCACACTGAAAAGCGCTATAACGTTATGATATAAACACTATAACAGTGAGTAGAAGATAGAGAGTAATTGAACATAAATGTGATCGCGATACCCGCTGAGGCTATTATAGCATAAGTAACGAATATGCTTTGACCACATACGGTGGTGCGTTGTAGTATTTAGAATGTGCACCTTATTATGTCAAATCAAAATAGCGGGATTAAATACTATTAATTTGAGTGCTACATCTATCGTTGTGACCGAATCCTGTATAATTTGACAAATCTCCCTCTAATCCTTAAAACGCAAATTAGTTTCACAATGTACCATTTCTAACCAGCGCTCTAGGACAACTTCATAATTTGGGCAAAATGGCCTAAATTGCAGCTATGCATAGATTTTACCTAGTTCCGTAAACGCGGTATTCTATAGATTCCCATGATATCACTACCGAAACCCAAATTCATCTTGTAATACTCTGCTCATTGGATGCCCTTCGCTCTTCCATCAGTCGGCTCGTGTGGCTTGTAGTGAGACAAGGTGTTAAGGTTCTGACCGACTGACCTTCTCCACCGAGTCTGGTCTTTTAGCCGGATGCCTCCACGATTTTGCTCATCGTCATCTGACAACCAGATGTGTACAGTCTTGACCATCTTGTGCTAAGAGACCATTCGCACGACGTGAAGCACGACTACATATCCCCAGTGTCAAGGAAGGAGTGACGATAGACGTTAAAATTACTAGTAATTTAAATTCTCAAATAGATGAGCAAGAATCAGATACCGCTTGGGTGGATATATAACTGGCTTGGACCCAGGAGCGCTGTTCAGATTCAAAATCGAAGGCCTTCAGTGAAAAGATGAATGCTCATTTTTCCCGTCTGACGGGCATTTGGCCGCTCAATTATGAAACCATGAAAGTAACTTGAAGAATCATCTCCCATGTTGTTGTTCACAGAGCTTCCCGCAACCTGTTACACAGTCTCTCCTTGGCCTCTCCTAGAGTGTTTCTCAAAGCGTTTTGATAGCAATGGCTCAGTGTAGTTCGGGCAATCCTTGTCGCAAACCCGATACGACCTGGTTTCGGCAATAAAGCCAATTTCTTTTCTTAAATACTGATAGTAATTTCGGTAACCCTGCTGACAACATCACGAAACACCATAAATGTTATGATCATCTGTCTGAGCATACGAGTCAGGATCCATAGCTTGGTACCAACCATTAATAGTGCGTCGTGATTCTGAGCCTTTTGCATAAGCCAGACGGTGCTCTGGCATTCTATTCGAGGGCGCCGGCTTCGATCGGTATCACGAGTTCATAGATATGAATACGACGCTGAAGTTAGTATATTGGCCTGCGGTGGTCGTAAAACTGGGATGGTGAACCATCGGGAACTTCGTTTCGTCAGGCAACTTTTCTTCACCGACCCATGGAATCTGAGCACCGCCAAATTCATATAGGACTCGGAACGACACGTGAGTTTTTTTCCTCTCTTCTAGATGGGTAAGCTGCCAATTTCTTGGTAGATGTTCTCATCTAGAGTAACAGAAGCATGCGCAACGGTTTGGATCAAAACACCCCATTTCAACAAGTCGTCTTGGGGCTACCTCTGGGGGAATGAATTGAGCAGTGCTGACTCTGGTTGCTCCCAGTTGTTCCCGGATGAAGCTCAAGGCTGCCTGATTGGCTTGGAAAGCCTCATCATCAGTAGAATAGAAAACAGGAAGGCGACCGAGCCATCGTAGCTGGAGGGCAATATGGCCTTTGATTGGTCTTGGGGGGGGGGGGGGGGGGGGGGGGGTATATAGCAGATGGATGGAAGTCGCGGTGAAATCTTGAATAAGGATGAGAACCGTGTTTGGGCACATGGATTTTGTGCCAACAGGTGGCCAAGACTGTGTAAGGGGCGGTGTCAGCATTGCGTTTCCTTTGGCCTGATCGCTACCCTGGAGGCAATTTAAGCGACGCAAACGTAAGCCCATAGAAGCACCTTATGATCACATACTATCAAATATCTCTCACATCCGACACACATGCATTTTGTGGTTGGAGATGCCCTCTGCCTTGCACAAAATAAGCTGACCGAGTGGCAAATGCGAGAGCCAGAACAGTACATATATTCCAGAAGTCATCTTTCGAGTCTATTACAATCAGGAAGGACGTGCCCATTACTTATTATATCCATTCATTCCTTCACTGATGTCCTGGACGGGGAACCCCCAAGGACACCGCCGGTCCCGGAGCTTATAACCCAGAGAGACCATATGAGGTACTGGGGATGGATTATGAAGACCCCGGAAGCCTTTAAAACACTACTCGACGTAACACAGTTTTACAGCGAGATATGCCCTCGGTAAAACCGGGGCAATAGGCACTTATATAGGCTAGGAAACAACAATGCCTAGCCGATAGCCTATAGCCATTGTCTACAGGTCCTGCCTGCGCAGAACAACCGGGCCACGCTGCCCTAACCGGCGAGGACAGAAGGAACGGAGAACACAAGTCATAAGGCGGAGAAGCTGCTAGATAGACGAGGTCGGTGAAAAGGGGGCTGAGGAAGTCGACTGCAGATAGAGGCTCCCAAGTAGCATACCATAGACTCTAGCCTAGCACGTCAAGTGCCCCAAGGGAGGCCCGCGGGCCTCGTTATACGAGCCTGCCACGACGTTAAATACAGCTACTACTACTACTACTACTGATGTCCTGGCACCTTCCCTTCTATTTACTGTCCGAGCGCAAGCAACTGTTAGCAACTCGGCGCATAGCACACCAACTCCATAACAGTGGGCCCATAGTGGGACCCGAAAATATCAACACCAAGACGAAAATCTCGCGATGGACGTCGACATCACCACCCCAATAAGGCCGCCGGCCGAGGAACAGGCCCATCACACCCGCGAAACAGGGCCAAACACGCCATCAAATGAAAACATCAAACAGCGGAAGAAGCCCAAGACCCTGAGCTTCAGGGCCCCCGAGAAACTACCTAGGAAGGCCGCTAGATTGGAAGAGACGGTCCAGTCAATGATGACAGGCCAACTGGCTCAAGTGGAGAGAGACCTCAGAGTCAAGAAAGAAGTGATCACGAAGCTGGCAGGAACACTCGACGGCTTCGTTGAATCCTTTCAGGGAGATCACCTTAGCACCCAGCGCAGGACGGCAAGAGAGCTCGTCAACGTCCTAGCGAGGCATCTCAACACGGCAGTATTTGCAGAGACCGATGGGCACCTATACGCTCCTATCAGGGTCGAGAGCAGCCCAGAGCAGACACAAGAGTCCGAGGAATCAGGTTTGGGAAGCCACAACCGACCAAAGGAAACCCCCGCAAATTAGACGTGGGCCACGGTGGCAAAAGGCCCGAAAAAGGGAGGACGAGCGAGGGTAACGCCTCCGACCACTAACACGAAGAGCCAACACTCGACTGCTAAGACCACGGAGACCAGGACATCAGCGCCTGCGCCACAAGAGGACCTAAGAATCCTGATCAGGATGCCTGCCACACCGACTGCGCGAGCTATACAGCCGTATGCCGTCCGGCAGGCGGTAGTATTAGAGTTCCAGCTAACGCTTAAAGACGTTCCGGACGCGAAACCGACCGCAACCGGCTTTGCGATCAAGCTAGCCACGGCAGAGCTCCGGGACAAAGTCATGGGGCCAGAGAACAAGCCCCGCCTCAGCAGAGCCCTCCAAGCGGAGGCAGTAGAACTCCCAGAAACATGGGCTAGCTACATCGTCCCAGGAGTACCGGGGGCGATAGTAGATTATCTACAAAGAACTCAGCAGATAGTCACACCCGAGATGGTCATCGAAGAGGTGATCGCGCAGACCGGAAGCACGCCGGCAGATGTTCGGATCTCCCGCCACGGAGTAGACCCTGCAAAAGGCACGGCCACATGGCATGTCAGCTTTAGACAACCAACCCAGAGATTTCGGCTCTTCTCCGCCAGCGAGCTCTCACGAGTATATGAAAAGAAGATAACAATAATCAGGTGTGAGAACTGCTAAGGACACCACCGCGGAAGATTCTGCACAAGAATCGCTAGGTGCGGCCGTT